GTGGTGAAACAGTAGTGCCAGTGGAAAATAAGAAGGGGTCATTTGAAGAAACAGAACTAGCATCAAATGGATCAATAGTGGGCATACTGTTGCTTTGTAAATCATAGATAAATGTTGCAGCAGAATTTTTGAAATGGTCATGGGCCCATTTAAATGTTTCAACATCCTTACCCACCACAGGCCCTCCCATATGTTGTGGTAATGCACCTATTGTCTAGAATGCATTCCAGAGTTATGGTAGCCTCTTGGAGTTTCACCCAGAGGGCTCAGAATTTCTCCTTGACCCTCAGAATTAAATTCCAATGTCACTATGCTTACTAATTACAGTACTATAAATTTTCTGCACCATTCTTTTCCACCTCAGTGATTACTTCATACACTGAGGTGAGCATATTTATACTTACATTCATTTACTCAGTACTGACATAGTGTAGATACTCATACCTTCATTAGGTACCAATATAGTGATTACTTCATACACTGAGATACTCATACCTTCATTAGGTTATGAGCCCCACTCTTGTGCTCTAATTCCAAAAGAGTTATTACACAGCAAGAATACCCACTATGGCAAAAGACAATCATTCCTTACAAGTCCCAACCCTAAATGCAGATGGAAGCAACTGGCTATATTACAAGGCTTGGGTTGAATGGGCCATCAGTTTGAAAGGGCTGAGCAGACACCTGACTGGCTTGGATGCGAAACCAGAGGACCCTTCAGCAGGGAAAGATGCCTCCTGGAAGCCCACAGCCACAGAGCAAAAACTTGTTAATGAATACCCAGAAAAATTCTGGCAATGGGCTAAGGACAACAGATATGTCAAGCAAGTGATCACTGTGTCACTCCCAGAATCATTGTTCCTTCAAGTTCTGAAGGAAGAGACTGTGAAGAGTGTTTGGGGTGTCCTCACCAACCTTTTCCAAAACCACTCTTGCATTGTTGCAATCAATCTTCAGAGAAAACTCCAAGAATCCTGCTGTTCAGAAAAAGGCAATGTCTGTGCTCACTTCAACAAGATGTGTGCACTGTGTGAACAACTTGCTGCACTTGGACAGTCTATCACAGACAATGACTTCACAGCCATCATCCTCAGTTCACTTCCTGCTTCTTACAACTCCAACCTCACAGCTATGACATCTTCAGCCCTAGTCATGCAAAAGGACCTATCTCCAGACTTCATCATTAAAGTAATTTCCAATGAATATGATAGGCACCAAATGTGGATGAAAAGGGGCAACTCTGGAGACTCTGGAAATTCTGAAGACACAGCTTACTCAGCAAAGGATGGAAAGAAGCTGAATTGTGAAAACTGTGGAAAGAAAGGCCATATGAAAGACCAATGCTGGGAAGAGGGTGGTGGAAAAGCTGGGAAAGTGCCCAAGTGGTTCCAGAACAAAGGCAAAGGGAAAAAGAAGGAGAAAGGCCCTGGAAAAGCAGCCACTGCAGCCACCTGACCTCTCAGAAATTCCAGTCTGGGGATGTCATGTCAAGGTCCATGACACCTCTGGCTCCAAACTAGACATGCAAGCCTGAGACAGACATTGGGTAGGTTTTGATCCTGAGAGCAATGGCCACCACATCTACTGGCCAGACACACAAGCAATTGGCATAAAACATAGTGTCATTTTTGAGTGCTGAGATGTGTCCATACCACATGGTGTGCCACTCGAGGGGGAGCAGGGGAATTCCAACACCTCAGAAAGAAATTCCGAAGCCTCAAAATGAAATTCCGAAGCCTCAGAACAAAATTCTGCAGCTTCACAAGGAAATTCCAAGGCCCCACAGATAGTCAAGCGACCCACCAAAGCAACTTCAGAAATTCCGAAACTCATTCCAGACCCACTTGGAGAAAATTTCAAAACACCTCCACCTCAACCTCATCATTCCACTCACCAGTGCTTTGAATCAGACTATATGAGGCGCCTATGTGCAGGGGAAGGCACTCATGATGGACACATCCCTCTTGATTTTGTAAAAGAACTCCGAGAGAGTGACACCAACCCTAACAGCCCTAAATCCCAAGAGAATGCCACCTACATATTTGATGAAGAACTAGCTACCAATGAAGACAACACTAACATCATGTATGCTATGGTGGCAGGGATGGCTGAAGCTGAAGGGCTGGATCCATCTACAGTACATGAGGCGAAATCCTGAGCTGACTGGTTGAAGTGGCAAAATGCCATAAATGTGGAATTAAAGAGCCTAGAGGAAGTGCATACCTGGGATGTCGTTGAGTGCCCCAAGGGTGCAAACATTGTAGGATGCAAATGGGTCTTCAAGATCAAACACAATGCTGCTGGAAAAATCGAGAAGTACAAGGCCCACCTAGTCACTAAGGGCTACTCTCAGATCCAGGGTGTTGACCATGACAAAACATATGCTCCTGTCACAAGACTTGCATCTCTCTGCACCATACTTGCAATCGCCACATGCAATGACTGGGATATCAACATATTCGATTTCCACTCAGCATTCCTCAATGGCAAACTCAGAGATGGTGAAGACATCTACATGGAGCTCCCTGAGGGCTATGCTGTAGGGCGGAATTTTTCCCATCCAGTTGGGAAGCTAAACATAGCATTATATGGCTTGAAACAAGGCACACTTTGGTGGTACCAGAAGCTGTGTGCAACTCTTGCAGACCTTGGGCTTACCAGGGCACATGCAGACTGGGGAGTATTCTATGGTTGCATAGGATCAGAAATCCTCATCCTTGCCAGCCACATTGATGACTGCACTGTAACAGGCAGTTCCCCATCGTTAATTCACTCATTCAAACAGGAGATAAGCACTCATTTCAAAATCTCTGACCTAGGGCCCATCAGTTGGCTACTTGGAATGAAGGTGATGCAGAATAGAGAAGCCCACACCATATCCCTGTCACAGCAGTCATACATCAAGGCTATCCTAATGAAATACAACCTCACTGACTGCAAGCCAGCTGCAATTCCAATGGACCCCATCATAAAACTCTCCCACAGAGAAATTCTGCAGCCAGCTGAAGAAGCTGCATGCATGAAAAATGTACCCTACCCTGCTGCTGTTGGCTCCCTCATGCACCTTGCCATTGGAACATGCCCTGACATTGCATTTGCTGTTTCCACAGTTGTGCAGTTCAACAACACACCCAACATGATTCACTGGGAGGCCATGAAATGAATCTACAGGTATATCTCAGGCACAAAAGTGCTTGCTTTGACATTCAGAAATTCAGAACGAGGCCTTGAGGGCTATACCAATGCAGATGGAGCTTTGCAGGAGCATTGATGCACTATAAGTGGATATGCCTATCTACTGGATGGAGGAGCTATCAGTTGGGCTTTGCAGAAACAGGAACTTGTAATGCTCTCCACTACTGAAGTGGAGTACATCACAGCAACTCATGCAGCCAAAGAGGGCCTGTGGCTTTGACGACTCATTGGGGAAGTTTTCCAACCACTCAAACACCCTATCCCACTGTATTCTGACAGTCAATCTGCCATCACACTTACCAAAGATGGCAGCTATCACACTCATACAAAGCACATTGACATATGATACCATTTCATTCGTTTCACTGTGGAAAACCATTCCTTTCATTTAATTTATTGTCCTACTGATGACATGGTTGCCAATACCCTTACTAAACCCTTACCAAGCATCAAGGTGAAACACTTTGCATCTGCACTCAGACTTTGTTCTGATTGAGGGGGAGTGTCGAGAATGTATTCTAGAGTTATAGTAGCCTCACAGAGTTTTGCCCAGAGGGCTCAGAATTTCTCCTCAACCCTCGGAATTAAATTCTGATGTCACTATGCTTACTAATTACAGTACTATAAATTTTCTGCACTGTTCTTTTCCACCTCAGTGACTACTTCATACACTGAGGTGAGCATACTTATACTTACATTCATTTACTCAGTACTGATGTAGTGTAGATACTCATACCTTTGTTAGGTACCAATATAGTGATTACTTTGTACACTGAGATACTCATACCTTTGTTACTTATGGGCCTGTACATACATTGCTCTCACTTTAGTCCCTTGGGCCTGTCCATGTGTACCAGCTAATCTATTTAGGCAGGCCTGTCTTGGGGTCTATATAAGCATTGGTGTTTTGGCACACAGGCTGCCCATGTGTTGTGACTAAATGTGACTACACTATGTGTGCTACATGTTGTTGGAGATATATTCTCCCCTGTGTTCTGCTCACTTTGGTGCGATGTTTGGGTGCTTACATAATCACCTCAGAGCGCACATTTTACAGTAGTTTATTCACTGTTCCCTCAGTAGCTTGTTGCACTACTGAGGATACCTACAGCATCCTTCAAAACATGTAACAGGACAAAGGCAGAAAAAATGCTCATCAGCAAAGTTACAAGTAGCCTGCTTGTCTGATCCATCTGATTTAGTCTGACAAACTTCAACTCAATTCATTTGAACTCTTGGCACACCATTCAGTCATCTAGTGTCAGACATCTGGATTGTCTGAATTGTCTGAATTGTCTGCAGCAGACTGTATCAGACAAAGCAGACTAGATGTAATTTTCCTGATGCTGTGGAGGCAGGTACATGCTCGCACAAGGAAAGCACACATTACAGAATTGATCAAAGTGTGAGAGCAAGGTACTCGAACCTGCCTTTCATACCGATCTCCCGACACACATCCTCATTCGAAACCCATGCATTCCGGGTCCAGCAACATTTTTCTCCGATATGCTCTCCAGGACGCCGAGCATCCACCACTGTGCCGGGCTTTTGTCTCCCGGAGCACATTTTTCGTAGAAGAAATCGATGCCTTATGTTTCCGTGCACTGCCCGACTACCGTAGTCGAGAACTGGCGTCTTCCATTAAGTCTTTGGTCTACTTATAGTGGACTGGACCAAGCACGTATTCTCTATCATAGGGGAATCCGGGGTCCTTCCGCAGTGACTCACAGTTGTTCCAACCCAGAACGCGCTACTGGAATGGGTGACTGGCTATAATATTGTGTGTAGCATAACGTGAAGACTGTCTACACGATATCAAATATCCTAACGTTACTTTCCAGAATGCTGGATGAGTCTATCGGCTGAGCAGTAATGAGAGCAGGAGACGCAATCCTTTTGTACTCGTTATGAGGTAGTTCGAGCAACAGCAGAGCGTGAAACGGCCTTCCCAGTGTATAAATAAGTGCCTCTTCTTTCGTGGCGTAAACCTTGGTGAGTGGATCAATCAATTTCGAGTGCCATGGGCGAACAAGCTGCAGAACACCGTCCAAAATTACAGCACTTTCTAGCTGCCCTGGCAGTATGATCTCAAGTCGCCTCAGACCAAATGCCCGGATCTCGTATGTGTAGCCCGGAGCATGTGCAGGGGATTCTTTTAACTGGATTGCTGTGACGTGATGGGCGATGCATGGGAGTGCAAGGCGGCGAGTAAGGAATCGCGGAAGGGATGACTTGGCAAGTGTGCAATACAACGTTTGTAGGGCTGACGACGGCGTAAACTGCTCAGTCGTCATCAACGCATGTTCTTCCACATTAGATTGGGTTGGAAGCAGTGGTAACGCTTGATACGAGGTGATGTTGGCAGGGAAACAACTATGATATGATGATGCTTCTCCGACCCAATCCAAAACTGAGATGTCCCCAGACTGCGATATGATCTCGGCCAGCAGTCGACCAAGCGCATTCTCAGCGGTTTCGCCATACAGAACGGGCAGGTGGAGATTAAAGATCCCGAAAAGTGAATAGGCTATATCTTCAGGCCGAGTGGTTTGACGAAATGATGCCCATTGCAGTCTCGAGCGTGCGTCATCCATACCCGGAGAAAAGTTGGTGAGGAATCGGGTCTCTATTCCAGTTACCCTCTCCAGTTCTTCCAGCACTGCAATATCGGCTTTATGGTTCGAAGACGTCAGGTTCTTATAAAGTGACCAGTTTTGGGTGTAGAATACTACGGTTCGGGGAGCCAATAGTTCTTGGAGGGTCCACCCGCGTTTGAACCATTCACTGCTCCCCAACGAACCGGTATCGGGAGCGTCAGAAAGGTAGACGACGGTCAGGGCAGACTGTCGATACCATGCGAACATTGATCCTATCGCTTCTTGCAACTCCGCACTGCTATCTTTGTCTATGCAGCACGTGTCGCTCCATGCCCATAAGTAATCCCACTTGCAAGCAACAATACAGAAGGCTTGGAGCTTTCGAAGGCCCCCCCTTGCCGGCATACTATAAATTGGCTGACCTTCGATGTCGCGCAGTGACGGCTCACTTTTACCCCAGCGGTGGGAAAAGGAGACGTACTGGAAGTACCTTGAAAGATCAGTGTGAACGCGTTCCACTAGTTGATCCGGGTCGTGCGTTGTGCACAAGGACAACAGCTGATCGCACTGTTTACTGCTCATGAAATGCGATATCTGCATGTCCCGGTTGCACAGGCTACCGGTACGTGTAAGCAGCAGCCTGGTTGGGGAAGTCTTGAGGATTTCTAATGCGACAGTACGAATGACTTTCTTAATGTCAATGTGGGTGGTATCTGAGATATTGGAGGCCGGTGAAGAAACTTGTGACCTGATCTTCATTTGGAGGTAGGTTGTGAGGCAGTGGTGGGATAGCTTGTACCCCAGATCTTTGGGTGTGAGTAGTTCCAGGGCTTGTTGTTCAAGTGCAATCGCTTTATCCAGATCCCCTGCTACGAGTTGTTGAGAAAACCGGTCTGCAAAACACTGGGCAAGGTTGTGCAGAGATGAAGCGCGACCGGGATGCCCAGACGGGCGGAGTTGCAGTACATATTGGTAGAGTTGGATGGCCGCATGCAGATTGACAACTGCGCGGTGATTGTGGAATCTGACCCTAAAGTAATCTGCAAGGGCACATATATTGTCTACCGCTCGGCAAAGGAGAGTGTCATCCAAGTCTAACTGCTGGGCCAGCCGTTGAACCCGCTTCCCAACGAAAAAAGCTAGCTGTTGGAGCGAAACAGCGTAATCAGAGTGTCCCGGTAGTAAGAGCTCCAAGACGTATGTTGCGAGACAAATTGCCTCGTCCAGGTCAGCCAGTTTGCCCTGGATCTGAAACCTGCCCCAGAGGTGCAGTGAGAGCTCAAAAAGTGTGGACGGAACACCAGCAAAGCTTGCGGGGTAGACCAACGATACAGCTCGACGCAAAGAATTTTCCCTGTGCGACCCGGGAATGATGGCATGCTTCTTGCAGAGATCGCAAGCGAGATTGTTGAGAGATGTAGCACGACTGGAATGCCCTGGTGGATAGAGCTCTAGTGCAGCACGTCCGAGCACGACGGCTTCTTCTAAGTCGGCAACTACCCGTCGATGGTCATATCTACTCGAAAGACAGAGAGCAAGCCGATGGATTGATGAAAACCGATCGCGTACAGAGGGACGTAGTTTCAAAGCTTCACGGAGCAGCTCAATCGCCTCATCCAAGTCGTGGGTCGCAGTCTGTTTCATGAACCGTTTCCTAAGCTGGCAAGCAAGACTGTGGAGAGTTGCGCCGCGATCAGGATGCCCTGGTGGACAAAGCTGTAGCGCTGCACGTGCGAGCGAGACAGCTTCTTCCAAGTCATTGACTACCCTCTGACTGCTATATCTCCTCGAAAAACAGACTGCAAGATCGTTGAGTGAAAGGTGTCGCTTGTGATTCCCAATTGGACGGAGTTCTAAAGCTGCGCGGTGCAGAGTGATGGCCTCGTTCAGGTCGTCAGCTTTTCGCTCTCTCAGGAATCTGTCGTAGAGGGCGCGCGCCAGATTGGTGAGGGCAGCATCCCGACCACGATGCTCCAGAGGATAGCGTTGTAGCTCTGCTCGCTTGCAAGAAACGACGTCTGTCCATTCCATTGAGTACGGTTACACGAGGAGAATATTCACGGCAGAACCGGCTGTGCCTTCAGGTCAGGTTCGGTGATCATGTGCAACAAGACAGGAATAGAACCATACGTTATCCTCGGAAACGGAAAAAGAACAGGGTATCAAACAAGTTTGAATGTCAGGGTGCCACCCGAATCAGCCAGGCTACTTCAACTGCGCGAGAAGAAAACCGTAGGTCAAGAGCAACAGAGAGCCGCCGGCGATGTTGGGTGTCGATGAGAACAAAGTGTGGAGAAAACTACATCGAAGTCAATGCATATTTGTGTAAACGCGACGGATGGGTAACTCACCGATAGATACGAAAAGTGCAAGTTGGTTGAAGAAGCGTAGGCTCTGTGCTGTTCCAGCAAACCGCGCAGATCGAAGAACTGGAGAGGTGCTCGCCAGTAGCCCAACACGCTCATGGACGTGTGTGTTGTTGTCCACAAAAAGCAAAGGATTACCACCCATGCTGTACCGTGTTACCGGTGTGGCCAGCACTGCTCCTGATCAGTTCCTGTCTGGAACCCTCTGCCATCGACTGACCAACGCAACGGTGGTACGCAGCCAGCTATTGGGTGATGCATACATCTGCTTGTTCGCTTGCACCCGCGCCTCCTCGAGACTGGTCTCATTGGTGAATATGACATCCTATCAGCCGCTTGTTGATTTCGTCGTTAGCAGAACCCTTGTCCACGACACTCACGGCCGCGGAGCTGAACCGCTACCCATTGTCACTAGCACAGCCATGTTATGCAGTCTCGTCACATATGACTCGGTCGATTTGACGAACTTGCGAGGGGAGCGGCGTTGCAGTGAAGATGCTCAGCAAGTCTGCTTCACCTACTTCTGTGCTGACACCGAAGACTTCCGCAGTGACCACTAAAATGACAGGAAAGCCTGTTGCTGAGTTGATCTAATAGAGCCATTCGCCAAATGTGAGTGTTCATCTCTACTGACAGGTGTCAATATGTGACATTTGACAGAAGTACATACTCCTACAACGTATGACTTCACGGAGCACAAAATACAAGAGGAAACAAGCGTGTCAATACGATTAAGGCGCGAGAAAAGGCAGCGCATGACAAGGAGTGCCAAAGCGGGCGCCGACATCAGCCTACACCATAACGCCGTGGCTACCTATATTATGCTGGATATCCTAGCCTTGCTACTCAGAATGCTAGCACGGTTGACGGGCTGGGCAGTAATGAGGGTAGAAGACGCAATCCGTTTGTGCTGGGAGTGGGGCAGTTCAGTCAACAGAAGAGCATTAAATGGCCTCCCAAGTGTAAGAAGTAGCTGCTCTTCACTCGTGGCGTCTAACACAGCAGATTGACCCTTCGAGTGCCAAGGGCGAACGAGGTGCAGTGCACCTTGTGAGATTGTCGCATTATCTAGCCTGTCTGGCAGAGCGATTTTCAATGGCCTCAGACCGCATGCCTGGATTTTGTACATGTAACTCGCTCCCGATGGATCTTCACCCGCCAATTGAACCGCTGTGACATGGTGGGCGATGCATGGCAGCATAAGGCAACGATTGAGGAATCACGGAAGGGGTACTCTGTTCAATGAGTGGAAATCGTATACGTCGCTTGGCGCATATGAATCTAGAGTTCGCAGCCGATCTGCTGGGGCGGTGCTCGGTGATGTCAGAAAACGACTTAGAAATTGAAGGAGGAGCGACGCAGCAAGGTCACACAGTATGTCGAACAACGACAGTGCCTGACTTGTCGTGGATGGTTGTTCTTCTGTATGACGTTGGGGTTGAGACGATGGCAGCCTTTCATACGAGGTAATATGAGCAGGGAGACAGCTATGAAACGATGATGCCTCCCCGACCCAATCTAGAACTGATATGTCCCCAGACTGCGATATAATTTCCGACAGGAGATGGCCAAGTGCGTTCTCGGCAGGTTCGCCATACAGAACAGGAAGGTGAAGATTGAAGATCCCAAAAAGTGAATAAGCAATATCTTCGGGTCGGGTGGTATGACGCAGCGCCGCCCATTGGAGCCTCGATCGCGCATCATCCCAACCTGGAGAAAAGTTGGTGAGGAACCGGGTTTCTATTCCAGTTACCCTCTCCAGTTCTTCCAGCACTGCAATATCGGCTGTGTGGTTCGAAGGCGTGAGGTCTTCGTAAAGTGACCAATTTTGGGTGTAGAATAGCACGGTCTGGGGAGCCAGTAGTTCCTGGAGGGTCCACCCGCGTCTGAACCACTCGCTGTTCCCGAGCGAACCGGTATCAGGAATATCAGAAAGGTATACGATGGTCAATGCGGAATGTCGATACCACGCGAACATTGATGCTATAGTTTCTTGCAACTCGGCACTGCTATGTTTGTCGATACAGCACGTGTCGCTCCAGGCCCACAAGTAATCCAGCTCGCGAGCAACAGCACAGAAGGCTTGGACCCCTCTCACTGGCATATCATATATCACACGACCCTCGATGTCGCGCAACAACGGCCCGGATTCGCTCCAGCGGTGAGAAAGCGTGATGTATAGGAAGCACTCGGAGACATTGGCTTGGATGAGTCTCATTTGCTCAGCTCGATCGCATGTTGTGCATAGCGACATCAACCGTTTGCACTGTTGACTGCGCATAAAATACGACACCTGCGCATCTCGGCTGCACAGGATACCGGTGGGCGTATGGAGCAACCTGGTTGGTGCAGATCTAAGAGTTTCAAATGCAACATTACAAATGTCTTGCTCGACGTCAAAGTGGGTGACAATTGAGGGGTCCGGGGAAATCATAGCAACCTGCGAAGTGATTTTCATTCGGAGGTAGGCCGTAAAGCATTTCCAAGACGCATCGTAACCCGGATCTCCACGCACGAGTAACTGCAGGGCTTCTTGCTCAAGTGAAATAGCCTGATCCAAATCGGACGCTGTGGGCTGTTGATGAAACCGTTCTGCAAGACACTGTGCAAGGTCATGGAAGGACGAAACGCGGTTTGGATGCCTAACCAGGCAGAGTTGCAGCATATATCCGTATAAGGTGATGGCCTCGTTTAGATCAACGATTTCATGTTGAGTTTGGAATCTGGCCCTATGGTATTTCACAAAGACACATAGATTATCCGCCGCTTGACCACACGTGATAGGTTTTTCTGAGTCTGCTCCCTGGGCCAGCCTCTGAACCCACCTGCAATTGAAACATCTTCATGAGGCAATCGGAGCTCCAAAGCGTACGTTGCAAGACAAATGGCATCGTCTAGATCAGTTGTGGCAGCCTGCTGCTGGAACCGGTCCCAGAGGTGTAGTGAAAGCTCGAAAAGGGATGAGGCGACATCAGCCTTTGGGCAGACTGCCGACGCAGCCCGATCAAGGAAATTTGCCCCTGGCAACCTGGGCATGTCAGCCAGCTTCTGAAACTTCTTACGCAAATTGCACGCAAGGCTGTAAAGAACGGCACCACGATCGGGATGCCCTGCTGGACAGAGCTCGAGTGCTGCACGTCCAAGCGCGATGGCCTCTTCCAAGTCAGGAACTATCCCGTGCTTGTCATGCCAATTCGACAGACAGAGAGCAAGTTCGTGGAGCAATGAGGACCGATCAGGATGTCCGTTGGGACGTAGTTCCAAAGCTGGGCGGAGCAGCTCAATTGCCTTCTCCAAGTCATCGATCACATGCTCTTTCGCGAACCTCCTCCTGAGGTCGCGAGCAAGGTTATGGAGAGACACGCCGCGATCGACATGCTCAGGTGGACAGAGCTCTAGCGCTGCATGTCCAAGCGTGATGGCTTCTTCCAAGTCATTAACTGCCCCCTGCTTGTCATGTCTGTTCGACAGACAGAGAGCAAGTTCACGGAGTGATGAAGGCTGATGTTGATGCCCAGAAGGACGAAGTTCTAAAGCTGCACGGTGCAGCTCGATCACTTCCTCCAAGTCGTGTATCGTAGCTTGTCTCACGAACCTCTTCCTGAGATTGTAAGAGAGATTGTGAAGAGATTCGTCACGATCGGCATGGCCTGGTGGACGAAGCGCCAGTGCTTCACGTCCAAGTGTGATGGCTTCTTCCAAGTCATCGACTATCTCCCGCTCGTCATGTCTATCCGAGAGACAGAGGGCGAGTTCATGAAGCGATGAGGACCTGTTAGCACGTCCAGGTGGACGTAGTTCCACAGCTTGACGGAGGAGCCCAATCGATTCCTCCAAATAGCAGATCGCGGTCTTTTTCGCGAACCTCCGGAGGTCGCAAGCAAGGTTGTGAAGAGCTCTGGCATGGTCTGGATGCCCTCGTGGACAGAGTTCTAGTTCTGCACGTCTGAGTGTCACGATTTCTTCCAAGTCATTAACTGCCCCCTGAATTTTATATCTAATCGAGAGACAGAGGACGAATTCACAGAGCGGAGAAGACCGATGTGGATGCCCAGAGGGACATAGTTCCAAAGCTTCACGGAGCAGCTCGATCGCTTCGTCTAAATCACTTGTCTTAGCCTCTCTCAGAGACCTCTTCTTCAGGCGAGTAGCAAGGTTGTAGAGAGTCACGGCTCGAACGCGATGCCCTAGTGGACGGAGCCCCAGCACTTCACGTCCAAGCGTGATGGCTTCTTCTAAGTCTTCGACTGCTCCCTGACTGTCATATCTATGTACAAGATAAGAAGCAAGGCCGTTGAGTGGTTTAGACCGATCGTCATTCTTGAGTGGTCGGAGTTCCAAAACCTCGCGCTGCAGCGTGATTGCCTCGTTCAAGTCGTCAATTTCCTTCTCTTTGCGGTATCTCTCCCAATGGGCGGACGCAAGGTCGTAGAGGGCGACATCCCGCCCATCATCCCCTGGAGGGCAGCGTTCCAACTTCGCTCGTATGCGGGAAACGTCGTCTGTTGAAGCCATCGAATACCGTTACACCGGGATGGTATACTCAGTGAAAATGGTTCTGCCTTCGGAACCAGGTTCGATGATCAGTTGACAGTTGTAATGAGACAGGAACAATTAATCCCTACGTTATCACGGGAATAAACAAACAGGGTGAGCAACCTTGAGCGTCAGAACGCTGTTCAAATCAGGAGGCTAATTAAACAGTGCGAAAGGGCCGGCGAGTAACGACGCAGAGTATAGAGTAGGCAATCCAAGGTTGTCTGTATGAAGAAATACCTACGCGCATGTCAGTGCGTGAACGTGGCGGTGGACCCATAAGAACTCACCGATACGTGCAAAGCAAGAAGTTGGTTGGAAATACGAGAGGAAATTCGACCCTGCCCCTTGAGTGAGTTACAGATCGAAGAACTGTGGAGGAGCTCACCCGTACACCAATGGTTAGTAGAAGTCTGTGGAAGAGAGAGGGCAGGAAGCTGTGGTCTCGAACACCTCATGTTGTACCTTGTGTGACCAGCACGCGATCGCAACATGTTCGCCTGAATCTTTGCCACGAGGCTGCAGTTACTCATATGTACTGCCCTTGGTAACCAATGACTTACCTTGATCACCGCAGGGCCAGCGAAATGCAATTCACAACCTTGCAATCCGCTTGCCAAGTTTGTCCAATCGATCCAGTCCAACAAAAGTAGCTCGTGCACATGAATTGAGGGAGACGTGCACCTCCCAGGTTGCACCCAGATCTACCGTATGCGAACTTTGTTTTCTATGATCATGATACTCAGGTCACCTTCAGTGCGGACGAAACAAATTCCTAGCGTTGTCTACCAAGCGCCTCCCAGCGACTTAGGGCTCAGGAGCTGGCTCTTGCGTGGCGTATGCGGAGAAGGGCACGACTGGGTATTGCGCAATAACACTAAGGGCTACGCAAACGTATCAAGGGATGATCGGAAGATCGTTGGGTGTGTTGCAATTCCTCGGCATTGGTATACATACTTGTATTGCTCCTCATAGCACGGTTTTCAAACGTACACATCTCTCCTGCCGCGTGATGGTGTACAGTCGCTCAGAGGCCATGTTATATGGCATTTGATTCATCAGACATGTGCTTGCTTGTACTCCTACGGACGACGGGACGAAGGGGGAGAAGGTAGGTGGAGGAACATACATACTTGCACAAGGAAAACACCTGCAGCAGTATTGATCAAAGCGCTGGGGATGGGAAAGGGCCTTGTCGGAGGTCAGAATGGAGTTCATATGCTGGATCAAGACCTGCATGAAGCACGATCGATACTGATCAAAAGTTAGGGAGAAGTTGGGTTCGACAGAGCATCTACGACGAATCTCCGTGTCGAACCTAAGGATGACGATGAAATAGTCAAGAAAGTGGTCCTTCCGAGTCAGAAAGCGGAAGTGACAAGACCACATGGGCTTCATAGTCAGGCTCTGACGGTTACCGATCTATTCTAGGTAGCGGTCCCAGGCCAAATACCAATCCAGGGGGCGCATGTCAATTTCGAGTGGGACATGATAGGCCTGGAGGAGGGTTGTTGAGCGCAGTAGGCGCAAAGGCCGCAGACTGACTGGAAACAGCCGAGGGCGTGTTCGAGACGAAGGGAACACCTGCAGGGAGAGGAGAAATACTGTCAGAGCAAAATACGACGAGGATATGCGCGAGTTGACCACATGCGATGAAGTTGAAGACGAAAAGTACAGTGCGGCAACGCGCGCTCCAATGATCGTGCTTAAGGAAATCTGAGGTGGGGACGAGTGGTATGTCAGAGGCTCTGGGCAAGAGCAGACGCCGGTTGGAGTAGGGCAACAACTATACGATGCAATCCGAGGCCGGGAACAGCGCTGTATCTTTTGATCTGACTCGGAGTGGTAGGCACTGCGAAAGCAAGGCACGTGATCAGGCAACGCATGAAAAATTCTCTTTTGTAGCCGTTCCACTGAAGAGGGTGGCAAGTAACCCCTTCTTCGATGCACGGGGAAAGCTAGGCAAACGAACGCTACTTCCCGAATACTACTGCAAATCCCCTCGCCGGCTTATACTCTATCACTGCACCTCCTGTAGAATCTACCACCAATCCGCCCCCGACCAGCAATGCCCGAGCCCTACGATCTCTCACTCGAACGTCTCCTGCGGAGTGGAGGGGCGCATTCGCGTCATTTTTACGCAATCGTCTGTTTATTCCCGAGGATCGTAGCAAGTGAGCGTAACCGATGCCTTCAGTGCAGTGGCCTTCCTGCACCCTCCGGCTCAGATTCCCGCCCATAGCTTTGCTCTCGTGGCGCTCAAGGCCGTCCAATGGCATCCTTTGTTACTTCCGAGTACGTATATTTCCATACTGCGTCGCGTGCAGGCCGATCTGGCATCGACACCCACTTGGTCACTCCTTTCATGTGTTGCGTCGTGTATCTTTTTCTCGCACTTTAATTGATAATGGAATGTACGTTTTCCTTGTGCCGGTATGTCCTTCCACTTGCGTTTTTTCAATTTCACCCTTCGTTCCGTCTTATGTACTACCGGAGCGCATGCAAACACGTATCTGGTGCATCGGGTACCACATTGTATGGCCTCCGAATGGTAGCACACCATCACAGGCCAAGAAGAGAGGTATGCGTTGGAAACTATGCTGTGACGAGTCATGTAACAAGTATATATAGTATACCAATACCGAGGAATCGCGGCACACCTAACGATCTACTGACCATCCCCTGATATGCGTCGTGGACCTCTTCTAACTGTGCGTAGCCCCTGATGTCAACCTGTCGTGCCCTTCTCTGCATACACCACAAAAGGCCAGCTCCCCAGTCGCTGAGATGTACTTGTTTGGCAACGACGGGAATATATTTCACAATTCACTTCCTCTGCGTTCAAGGTGTGTGCAGTACGACTTCGGGGCGGTCGTGGAAAGCCTCCTCGAGTGGGACGAACGGGACTTCGTGCGCAGTAGATCTGAGTGCAACCTAGGAGACACGGCGCCATCCCATTCATTTTATATGTGGCACGAGGCAGGTTGTGAACTCTATCAGTCCGACGAAGTCGGCAACTGAGATTATACCAGCAGCTATAAGCATGCTCATGCCCATCAGAAGATCAGAAGAAAGGCAGCGGTTGTTCCGTAGACGTAAATTTGCCAACAAGGGTCCCTGCCAGCGACGAAATCAGCGAGTGACCAAGGTCAGCTATGGGTTGGCATGGGCAGTACCTGGAGGTTCGCCAACGAAACCAGTTTCAGGAAGGGCGCATAGCCCGTGGGATCAAGCGGACATAGAGTATCGCCATTACGTTTGTCATAGAGGGGGACTGACTAAGAAACTTGAGTACTTGAGTATTGGGGAGCGTCGGACGTGCGGGAACGTGTACGGGCAGCGTCTAGGGTAGATACAAAACCCGCGCTTCTCGTACATCGTAGCCACGTGCCCTCTCTCCCACAAACGTCCACCAACCGTTGCTGTACTGGTAAGCGCCTCCCCGGTTCTTCAAGCTGTGTGACTCACTCCAGCAGCAAAGCCCGATCTCCTCTCGCCTTTCCGACCAACTTGTGCATTTCGCATCTATTGGTGAGTTCCTATCGGGTCATCGTTGCGTTACATGCATTGACTTGCGTGTAACGTTATCCACAGTGTGTGCTTCGTCCCGACATCCAAGGTTGCCTGCTCGAGACTTCGTGCCTTTACTGTGGGTTCTTTTGCGCTGCTTGGTTAGCCTCGCTGATTCGAGCAGCGTTCAGCTGACACTCAAGATCGCTCACCGGGTTTCCTTCTCGTTTCAAAGGGTAAGACTTTACTGTCCCTGTCTTGGTGCAAGTGATCACCGGATCTAGCGCGAAGGCAGAACCATTTCCGTCGTGTATATCATCCTGGTGTAACGACATTCAATGGCTTCAACAGACGAGGTTTCCTGGAGACGAAAAAACTTGGAACGTTGTCCTCCATGGAGATTTGGCCGGTATGATGCCCTCTTCGACCTGGCGTACGCACTCTGCAAGAGATACAAAGAAGAGCGTAAAATCGACGACTTGAACGAGGCAATCGATTTGCATCGTGCTGCTTTGGAACTCCGACCAGTCGAAAACAAGAAATATGATTGGTTCGGGTCACTCCACACCCTCGCTCTCTGTCTATCACGTAGATATGACGAGCAGGGGACAGTCAACGACTTAGAAGAAGCCGTCACGCTTGGACGTGAAGCACTAGAACTTCGTCCACCAGGGCATCCTGGTCGTGATGTCCCTCTCCACAGTCTCGCTTTCTATCTCAACAAGAGGTTCGAAAAACAAGCTACAACCGGTGACTTGCAGGAAGCCATCTCGCTCTCACGTGCAGTACTAGAGCTCCGTCCACCAGGGCATCCTCGTCGTGATGCCACTCTCGCCGATCTCGCATACTACCTCAATAGCAGGTTCAACAAACGGGCTTCGATCCGTGACTTGGAGGAAGCTATCTCGCTCTCACGTGCAGTACTAGAGCTCCGTCCTCCAGGGCATCCTCGTCGTGATGCCACGCTCTACAAACTCGCATACTACCTCAATAGCAGGTTCGACAAACAGGCCGCAATCTGCGACTTGGAGGAAGCCATCTCGCTCTCACGTGCAGCACTGGAGCACCGTCCTCCAGGGCATCCTCGTCGTGATGCCACGCTCTACAAACTCGCATACTACCTCAATAGCAGGTTCGACAAACAGGCCGCAATCTGCGACTTGGAGGAAGCCATCTCGCTCTCACGTGCAGCACTTGAGCTTCATCCACCAGGGCATCCTGATCGTAGTGCCACTCTCGACGATCTCGCATACTACCTCAATAGCAGGTTCAACAAACGGGCTTCGATCCGCGACTTGGAGGAAGCCATCTCGCTCTCACGTGCAGCACTAGAGCTCTGTCCTCCAGGGCATCCTCGTCGTGATGCTACTCTCTACAAACTCGCATACTACATCAATAGCAGGTTCGACAAACGGGCTTCGATCCGCGACTTGGAGGAAGCCATCTCGCTCTCACGTGCAGCGCTAGAGCTCCGTCCACCAGGGCATCCTCGTCGTGATGCTACTCTCTACAAACTCGCATATTACCTCAAGCGCAGGTTCGACAAACAGGCTGCAATCTGCGACTTGGAGGAAGCCATCTCGCTCTCACGTGCAGCACTTGAGCTTCATCCACCAGGGCATCCTGATCGTAGTGCCACCCTCCACAATCTCATCCGCTGCCTCAATGACAGGTTCGAGAAACAGGCTGCAGCCTGCGACTTGGAGGAAGCCATCTCGCTCTCACGTGCAATACTAGATCTTCATCCTCCAGGGCATCCCCATCGTGACGCCACTCTCCACGATCTCGCTGTCTACCTCAACAAAAGGTTCGCCAGACAGGCTACGATCCGTGATTTGGAGGAAGCCATCTCGCTCAGACGTGCAGCACTGGAGCTCTTTCCACTAGGCCATTCCGATCGCGGTAAATATCTTTACCACCTCGCTCGCGACCTCTGGACAAGGTTTCAGAAACAAGTTGACATGCCTGGGTTGCATGGTGCGAATTCTCTTCATCAAACTGCGTCGGTGGCCCGTCCAACAAGCACAACTGATCTCGCGTCCTCACTTCTCAAGCTCTCACTCCACCTCTGGGACAGGTTCCAGAAGGAGGCCGCAATGACCGACATGGACGATGCTATTTGCTGTGCAACATATGCTCTGGAACTTCGGTTACCACGAGACTCCCATCACGGGGGAGCTTGGTTTCAGAGGCCAGCCCAGGGCACCGGCTCAAATGAGCCTGTCGTACCTGGTCGGGAGATAGACAATCTAGGCGCTCTGGTCAATTGCTTTGTGAGGCATAGATCTGGCAATCAACACGCAATGGTCGGTCTGAACGAGGACATAACACTTTGTCGATATGTATTGCAATCCTTCCCGACTGACCATCCCGGTCGTGCTTCGTCCCTGCATAGCCTGGCAGAGTGTCTAGCACACCGGTTTCGTCAACAATCTGCAGCAGCGGATCTGGATGAGGCTATTTTACTGGAGCAAGAAGTCTTGCAGGTACTCATACCTGGAGATCCTGGTTACGACATATCCCGGTGCTCCCTTACAGCCTACCTCCACATGAAGGTCGAGTCACAAGTTGCTATGACATCCTCCAATGCCTCACCTGTTGCCCACTTTGATGTTGAGCAACTCATCCGTAATGTTGCGTTTGAAACCCTCAAAACTATGCCAACCAGGTTGCTGCACACGCATACTGGCGCCCTGTGCAACCGGCATGCGCAGTTGACCCAGTTTATGAGCAGCCAACAGTACAAACGGCTTGTGTTGTTGTGCACAACGTGTGGCCCAGATCAGCGAATGGAGCTGGTCCATATAGCTATTTTGAAATACTTTCAGTATGTCACGCTTTCTCACCGTTGGGGCGAAGACGAGCCATCATTGCGCGACATCGAAGGCCACCTGATATATGATATGTCAGCAAAGGAGGGCTTTAAAAAGCTGCAAGCCTTCTGCCTTGTTGCCTGCCAACGAGATTTCCTGTGGGCGTGGAGTGACACGTGTTGCATAGATAAAGACAGCAGTGCCGAGTTGCAAGAAGCTATAGGATCGATGTTTGCGTGGTATCGACAGTCTTCCCTAACCATTGTGTATCTCTCTGATGTTCCAGATACTGGTTCGCTTGGGAACAGCGAGTGGTTCAGACGCGGGTGGACCCTCCAGGAGCTACTGGCTCCTCGAACTGTACTATTCTACACCCAGAATTGGTCGCTCTACAAGAACCTCACGTCTTCGAACCATAAAGCAGATATCGTGGTGCTGGAAGAGCTGGAGAGGGCGACTGGAATAGAATCCCGGTTTCTCACTCACTTTTCCCCAGGAACAGATGACGCTCGCTCGAGACTCCAATGGGCGTCATTACGTCGTACTACGCGGCCTGAGGATATCGCCTATTCACTTTTTGGGATCTTTAATCTTCACCTTCCCGTTCTGTATGGCGAACTTGCTGGGAAAGCGCTTGGGCGTCTCCTGGCCGAAATCATTTCGCAGTCAGGAGATATCTCAGTTCTGGATTGGGTTGGGGAGGCGTCGCAGTTTCATAGCTGTTTCCCTGCCCAGATCACCTCGTTCCAAACACTACCGTTGCTCCGACCTCAACATAATGCAGAAAAACCATCAGCGGCGATAAGTCAGCGTCCCTCGTCATTCGAAAAACTGCGAAACCTCCGTGGCTCATTCATTCTCCCCCGATTTCTTAGTCGTTTCTTTACATCGTCCAATATCGCCTATCACGTTCCGGCAGTTCATTTGCGAACCCCAGATTCATACTCTCCAGGTGATGTGTACGACTTCCATTCGCTTACTAGGGTGCCCCTCCCACGTTTTCTCAATCGCCGCCTCATACTACCATGCATTGCCCATTGTGTCACAGTGGTTCATCCGAAAGGGTCTGATCCATCAGCACCGAGTTACACGTATAACATCCGGGCATTCGGTCTGAGGCCGCTTGAGATCACTCTGCCAAACAAGCTAGAGGTTGTAACGCGGCTGCAAGGTTCTCTGCAACTTGTTCGCCCTTGGCACTCGGAGTTGCCTGGTTCATCTGCCAAACTAGATGCCGTGACTGAAGAACAGCTGTTCTCTGCACTTGAGAGGCCATTTAACGCTCTTCTGTTGAGACAGCTACCTCATAACGAGCACAGGAGGATCGCGTCTTCTACTTGCATAACTGCTCAGCCCATAGATCGGGCCAGCATTCTGAAAAGCAAAATTCGGATATTCAATATTGTGTAGATAGCCATGGCATTATGATATCTTGGCATCGACATCCCCGTTGTACTGCCATTTACGTTTTACTCTCCTTCGTCCGGTCATATCTTGTAGGAGTGCATGCATATACATACATGTCCAGTGAACCTCAGTTTGATTGGTTGCGTTCGCGTCGTTGTTTGCTGGATTGGCGGGCAGACCTGTAACTGACAACCTAACGAGGACGGCTACGGAGTACACTATGGAAAGCCGGACGGTCACGCTCAGAAAGGCGGTGAGCGAGGCACCCGTAAATACTAGACTTGGTAATTGACCCCTTTGGGACCCAAGACACCGCAAACTTACCCGAGATGTAATTTAACAGCTTTGCATATATTATACAATAGCCCTCTGGTTGCTCCTGGATGCAGGGCACTTCTGCATGTGACTCACATTATTGCTAAAATGCAGATGCTACACTAGGGAAATGTTTAAGCAGGGTGGAAGGGAAGTTTATGTGACTGTTTTGTCAGAAAATCTGTATATTAGTTTCAATGCATCACAAGTGATTGCAATGCCTGCAATCAAATGCATAATTAAAATGGCACTGCAATACTAAAGTTTTCTATGTAATTGGACTTACAATAGGCATTGCTATGGCATAGCAAGGTAATATTTGGGGGTCAATAGTACAAACATAGTGCCATCACCCCTACATTGCAATGCAATTATAATATAATTATAATGATTGTTATGATAGCCTTGTCATGTGACAAACATCAAGACCCTGGGCCCTGCTGTCCTACCATAACTGGACTTGCAATGTATTGCAATGAGAGCCAAGGATCACAATACACTTCAGACTAAGGCAACAAAAATTTTATATTATATTACCTTTTGTAATCTTATCTTATCACCTGACCACAATTCTATTCTATTCTGATTCTGATTTTGATCTATCTCATCTTTGTCTACTACATGCTATGCTATTAGTATCACCTTACATGGAAATCTTTACTAATACAACCCATCCCCAATCTAACTAGTAAGTATTACTAAGTATTTTGTATGGCTCTGATCAGGATTTGAACCCAAGGACTCAGTGTTAGTTAGTCTAGTGCCAACTAGTAGTGAGACTTACTTTAGCATGTGTTACCATTAGTCCATGCAACCAATCTTTCTACACAAGTGTCAACACCTCTTAAGGAGCTTTTCAAGACTTGGGCAAAATTTTCAAAATTGCATACAAGTAGTATTACAGTACACATGCTGCAACTAACAGTAATGACAATTAGTAGCTACTTTGCCTGTCTACCTCTACTGTGATGTCCACTAGACTTATTCTGTGCTGTAGTACCAGTACTGGATTCCACATTATTGCTATTGGTGGTGGCTGAGTCAGTGGTGTTGCCCATGCCAAGAGCAGGTGTGGATGTTGCATTGATGTGAATGTTCACATTGGCAATTGAGACTGAATCCAGAGTGGACAGACCAGAGCTACTTTCATGAACATTGGAATCAGTGGCAGCTACCTCATCTGTATTATCATCTGACAATGCAGTGACATCCATTGCTGCCATGGCAGCATTGATCTCTGCAGACAGGTCCTCCATTGCATTGGTCTTGGACTTGGTAGCCCCATTGGGATTCCCAAACATGAAGTGATTCATCTCTGCAACAACATTCTGGATGTGACAACCTGTCCACTTGGTGATAAGCACTTGTTTGTATGCATGGAACACTTGATAGTAGTTGATTTTTGAGATTTGTCTGCAGCCATTCCCTGGGAACTCTTTGTTGGGTGAAAGTAGAAACATGCACTATAATGATGGGGATTGAATCAGTGATGTGTGGTGCTGTATTGATGCAAGCAATCTACTTACCACTGTGGCTGCCCATGCAATAGACCCTGGTGTCACTGCAGTGACCTTCCATTTCTGCCTGTTTGTCCTTGGCCCACCACAATGAACAAAGCCTTCTGTGAGGGACATCTTGCCCCACAGTGCTCCCTTCAAAATCTTTTCCTTGTCAGTGCAAACTTAGAATGGTAGTAGTTTTGAACACACCAGAGCAAGTGGCTTCCAGTTCATGAATGGTTTGCACACATCAACTTTCATGTCCTTGAACAGAAAAGGGAACCAGATGGTGAAGTGTTGGTTAGGAGTGCCCACATTGTTAACACCAAGCATCTTGATGATTTCAGGGACTTTGAGATGAGATGCAACTGGCAGGAAGTGGTTCTTCGGTAGCCCAAAGATTTCATGGGTGTTGTCATGTAGTTTGTAGAGAATGTCAGAATGACTGTTTTGCGTTGCCTGCATGAACTAGGATCTTGTCAGTACAGAAGAACCAAGCAACAAATGTGAACATACAACATCAAGAAAGAAGTGTGTATGTCTCAATCTACATAGATGTTCCAGGAGAATTGAGTCAAGCTCTGCGACGAGACTGTGTTCCTCCACTGCAGCACTGGCATAATGCTCAGCTGTTGCAAATATGGGAGCAGGGGACATAGACAACTCAGACATTGCATTAGTTAGTGGTGTTTGTGGCAAGAACATCTCCATCATGACAGTGTACTCCTTCCCAAGCATCTTGATCTCACTATCATATGTGATAATGTCAGCAGGAATGTCATTCATAGACCAGCATGTTTTGTTTGCCTTGAGGATGGTATCCTTCTCCAGTAGCTCTTGATTTTGGGATTTCTCTACATCAAGTTGCAGTTGGATGGCCTTCAATGCCTGTGAAGCAGTCAGTAAGAGCAGGAATTTGCATAGGCATGGGTATGAGCCTCTGCAAGACCACCACTGCCATCTCTTGACCCAGCTGATGCACTCATAGTCCATTGGTTACCTTCACCAGCATTGGCTTCATCTATGTCAGTGAGTGCAGACAGAGAGTGCCCACTGAGATTCATAATGGATGCACTCAGAACACATAGACAGAGTGTAAGGGGACTGGGCAGTGGGGTTGTCAATCAGTTTCTTGACAACCTTTTGAATGTGGGAGTGGTGCATATGCTACTGACCCTGACCAAAAAAATAGTGCACCATGATGCAGCCATGATGCCTCTTACCAAAGGGCTGGTGCATAATATCAGGTCAGACAAACCTCATGGCAAGGGAAAGTCATCATAGATCCATGGCTATGCCATCCTTACTGGGGAAAGGCATATTGAATTTGGCAGAGGATTGCAGGGGCTAGGAATGGATGGAACATAAAATAGTAGGCTGCTGCAGAATTGGGGCACAGGGAAGTGGTGTGATGGAGGCCACTAGTGAGCGCAGGATGGTGATGCGAATGACAGTGCATGTGGAGTCAACAAGGTACTGCTTAAACTGGTTAGAACCCAGGGTTAGCATGATGACCTAGATAACTTAGCTTGCCAGTCATGGATGAATTCAATTTCCTGGTTGAACACCTTGGGATCATACCCATGGAACAATTCAGGGAATCTACATTTCAAGTTCAACAATAGATCACAGGGAAAGGAGAGATATGCACCAATTAGATGGACACTGGCATGACTGAGAATCTCCTTCTCATACCAGCTTCTAATGTCCTTGTTGTCCACAGGTTCTCCTGTCTTGGCATCTACCCAACCAACATGTAGAGTACTGTCTTTGAGGTGGCTGTCAAAGTGCTTAATAGAGCCCATGATCTGTGCCATGTTGATGCAACCTTCAATAGTGAATTCTCCATGAGCTTCCATCTCCTGCTGAGTCCATGAACTATGCCATGGGCTGACTTTGGTGAACCCAGTTATGACAATGACTTTTTCTGAGTCAATGATACCACATGATTTTCTGAGTTCCTTGAAGGCAGAAGCAGGTTCGAGAGTAGGGAGATTGAACTTGAAGTTAGCATGAGGTATGACATTGACATTCTGGAGTGCACATTCTGCAAACTGAAGATGTTGAATGCCATCTTTTTTGTGGAGAATGTGTGCACACCGTAAGCTTTGACTTCCTGAGCAACTATATTGGTGGTGTCCATCAAACCTGTACTGCAGGTCCATCTAAGATGGGAGTTAGTTGTAGGTGCCAAGCTGGGTTTAATGAGTTATGCACCCAATCACAGCACCAGCCAGGCATAGATATTCACCCCAGCTTTTGGAGTTCCAGCAGTTGAACAAGGTTTCAAGCGAGATCTTGGACTCTGAGTACAGGTTGTCATTGCCAAAGAGACTGTGGTTTGGTGACAATGGCAAAATAACCTGGGTAGGCTGAGTAACGAGCTGGCTGGATGCTTTTTTGGTCTTGATGGCACCCAAGATCCACAGCAAGTTGATGAGCATAATAATATGGTGAGCAAGCTCCAATTTGTTGTCCAAGCTGTCAATCTCGCACCCATTCTCTGGAATGGCAGCAAATGGAAAGATGTAGTCAAGATCCATGCCAAGAGTAGCATAGATATAGTTGATGAGTGCCTCAACATCCTGCTTGGACCCCTGATTGAAGGGCACAACAGTGAGTGCTGAACCCTGGGCACTGAACCTTTGGTAAATGTCTTGGTAATACTCCACAGTGCAGCAACTGTAGCAGGAAGCGATAACAACATGGGCACTGCCAGAAATGAGGCCCTTTAAGATCTCAATGCCAATGGAACCTTTGCTGACACCAGTGAGGAGAGTGTTCTTGTCCTTGAAAGTCATTCCAGGCATGGCAATTTCATGAAGAATGGCATCTCATTGGCAGATATGGATGTGATTATAGAGACCTGAGGTTGAAGAAACTGAGAGGAAGAACAATGGTTGTGATGACATTGATGGGGCTGGTCAGGGCCCCTCCTCAGTGAATGGACAATGCCTTCATACAGAGCCTTGATACAGCTCTTCCAGTCCTGGCTGATTCTGGGTTATGAGTTGACAACTGTCCAGAGTTTGAGGACATCTTATTGAACCTTTTGAATGTTCATGGTAGAGATCATGTCACTGCTGGTCATTTCTTCCACATATGCTTCCATTCTGTGAACATTCACATGAACAACCTTGGAGTAGTGCATACTCACAAATCTCTGTGGTTCAAAGACAAAAAGATATTATTAGTGGTAAGGTAATAAATGAACCAAAGCAAGGAGGTGACTATGGTCAAGGGAAAATAACCTTGTATGCCATATGGATCTATGAAGTAATGAAAATGTTGTTATTTTGTGGGCAAGACAGCTTGTCAATCCTCAATACACTGGTGATCAGAAGGGGGACTTGTCAGTTTCAAATGAAAGGGTTTCAGAAGGATGATGTATGAATAGACTGTTTCAGAGGTGCCCTGCCACTTTGTGCATCATTTGCACATGAAGGAACATGTCAGTGTTGATCGTGTCAACAACAAGATACTTGCCCAGTCTTGTATGATCTGGATATAGAAGGGCACCACAAATGATTGAGTGGACTGAAATAATTTCAGATGATCTGCATGGTTGTGCACATACCCTCCAGAAGTTGAGGTGGTTGTCCTTCTGGAGCTGTTGCCCAATCAGCTGGGTGTCATATGGCTGTAGCAAGGCCAAAGGGAAGGTTTCTTCACTGACAACACAATTGAACAAAAGTACAAGGTGCCCAAATATGTCTGTCTCCTGAGTCTTGACAAGCACACAGTCATAACGAGGACATCCATGGAAGTTAGGATGGCAATGTAGATAATCCATGTACTGACACCAATCAACAGTGGACTCAAAGTTCACTTTGATGAAGTGATATTCCATGATCTTTGGTGAATATTAGAGATACTGGAAACTGAACAAAAACGATGTTTCATCTTACCTTGTCATTCCTTTGGAATTGAATGGGCTTCCTTATAATGTTGAAGTGTTTATTGAGGAACTCACTGAGCTTTCCATGGAATTGATTGAACGCATTGTTGGTAACACTCTTCTTCTCAATGTCCTTGAATGTTAATGGTTCTTTCACTTCACTACCAAACTTGACATAGAAAAACTCCTCCTCAGGTTCATCAGTAACAGCTTCGAGGTTATCCAGATTTGTCAGTTTTCCAGTCAACCTGTAAGCATTGTATTCTGTAATCCTGCCATGAATATGTTCAAGAACCAGTCCAAGATGATCAACATTGAGAATCTACAGAAGTTTAGGCATGCCAAATACTAACAAACAATTTAGGACTTACTTGCTGAGCAATGTCCTTGAAGTTTGTTTGTTTTTGATAAGCTTCCTTCAAGGGGCCATGCATTTTCTCATTTGGCTTTGTGTTGAAATTGTGGGTGACACCCTTGGCTTTGATGTTGTCAAACACATGCATACAGGTATGGTTCTTTGGAAAGTTCCAGTTTTTCCCTGTATGTTGCATCTTCTCCACATATTTCTGGTCTGGAAACAGTGAGGGAGAGCTACAACATTGAAAGTGAAGCTGACCTGAATCAATGAATTGAAAGTAGCAAGCACCTCCTGCCCAGCAGCAAGTGTGTGTGTCATATGTAATTCAAGCACAGTATACATATCAAACTTGATGTAAGCACACAGACAGCATAACAGGAGGTAACTGTCTTTTTCCATCTCATGGGGGAAGATGTCATGACAGGCAAATATGATTATCTGTTCAGGAAATGTCAGTGAAATCAGAGCTTGGTAAGACACTTACAATACCTTGGATAGGTCTGCAAACTTTTGACCATCTGTGTATGAAACTGAAAGCACTTCCTTGAAATGATTGAGACTGTGCCAATGAGGCATTGCATTGAGACTAGTAAATTATCAGCATGACTGCTTCATGCAATGAGATAGATGCACTTCTGTTCAACTTTTCCCATCATCTGACGACCCATTGTCTCAAGAATCCTCAAAAGTTCTCCCCACAAATGGTCACCAAATTTTCCCACACAGTTGGCATGGAGTCTATCCCAACACAACACTTGATAAACATCCATGTTCCTGACCTCCCAGAAGGCACTCTAGAGGTGATTTGAGCTAGAGCAAAGGTAACAGCATGAGCCACTTACATCTACATCACATAATCCCTGTTTCACCAGAATTTGTTCCTTGCCATCTGCTCAGGTCTGTGAGTGTGCTTCCTGTAATGTCTTGAAAATGTTCTCACTGGTACGATGTTCACAGTCCTTGGGGAATTTTGATATCTCATTGTGATGAATAAGGCAAACAGGGCAAGGGTGATTTGACATCACACCATGTATGAGTGCCATGACTGCTCTGAGTGACAAAGATTGTCAGCCTGCATTTGTGATATTTTGGGCAACATATCCACTTACTGCTCTTCATAATCAGCTGAAAGAATTAGTATGGTAGGAAAAAGTCAGCATGTGATGCCATCCCAACACCTTACCCAATAGCCAGTTTTTGAGTACTCTGATATTGTATCTAGTATCTTCTTGAATGAGTCATGCCAAACATGATTCTTGAAGTTGGCAAATGATTTCTTTCCAGAGCACTTCTTGTCTTCCTTCACCTATTAGAAGCACGATACAGAAAATCAGCCAGTGTACTCAATGCTATCAATGAAGGAACTTACAATTGGTAACCACCTGACTACACAGCCACCACCTAAACCTTCACCATTATGGATCCAAGTAGGTAGATTCGCAATCCACACAACAACTGGATACCCTTTTTGTTGACCAAATAATGACAACTTGGCTTTATCAGCATATAAAACAAATGCTAGAACTTTGCCATCTGAAGGTAGATTACTCTGAAAAAAAATTGTCAAAGTTGCATGCAAAGACTACTAATGACATATGTGTACATCCCAAAATTCATTAGCTGTCCATGGCTCATTGATGAAACAAACAAATGAAGTGCCATTGAACTTGGATAGGCACTGAGTATCAAATACAAAATATGGGCCCACACCTGAATCCTTCAAGAGATCACAGGCCCAATCCCACAATGAATGATAATACATCTTAAATTCCATTGTCTCACCTCCAAACAGTGCACTTATTATCATCATCTGAAACTGGGCTAGGATGTAATTAGGGTTGACAATGTCAATGAACAGATGCCACTTACTGCTGTCATGCAGTGCGAAGCAGCCCACTGAGTGCTCTCAAGATCATTGTAATTATTCAGAGTCCAGTCCTCAGTGTGAGAACATTTCAAAAGCTTGAGGATACAATTCACTTGCTCCTTGTTGAGAGCAGCATCATGGATAAATTCTGAGAGGTCAAAGTCAAGACAGGTTCAGAACAGGTACCATGGAGTGGTGCATGGATCCAGTTTGTATGTCTTGGGTGCATGACCTCAGGTGAACTCAGCAAATGGCACTTTCACAGTTGGCTTTCCAGCATTCAGGTGGTATTTGACTTGGATATCATCAACAATGTTGATATCAACCTTGGGTTCAGTGACTGTGTAACATATTGGCATGGAAAATATGTGATCACATATTGACATGTGCCATTTGGTTCATCATTTGTGCCCATGTTGGTGCTGGCAGGTGGCTCAAGATCCATAACCATGGGCCAGAATGTGGCAGGCTCTGCTAACAATTGTGAGAGTCCAATTCAGAGAGTAGCAGGAAACTTACCCAGTGCTGGCTCTGCATGTGTCTCAACAGTGGGCCCTGTCACTGATCCACCAGTAAGAACACCTGTTCAAATTGATCCAGTGGTAAATCAGAAATAAAATTGACTGGTAAAATTCCTATGTACCTTCTCAATGAAGCAAGTCAAAGTGAGCATGATCTTCATTCATTTTGCGAGCCTGCCTGATGCATGATTTGCGATGAGGTCCTATTCCAGTCAGCTTGAATGTTTTCCCACATGATTCACAGGTAGTAGTGTGCTTTTCCAGAGGCATACTACTGGTCAACAAAGGGAACACATCCTGTGAGAGTAAAGACAGTAAATACAATAAAGAAAAATGAGTGGACAGCAAAGCAAGATGCAGACAGTAGCAGTTGCTGTTGCAAAGGGCATTGTGATGGCATTGCCAGTGTATTGCAACTGTGCACTCTTACATGCAATCTATCATGAACTGATTATCACTGTGTAAAAATCTGACATCATTGCAATGGACCAAATAATTTTCCAACATTGTTTTATGAGGTGATGCTGTTTATGAAGGTAACACATAACTACTTGTTTCTGTAGGTTTTATGTTGGGTGGTAGATGTCATATCTGTTTGAAGGCATCAGTTAATGGATTATGGGGCAGGAGAGGGTGGCATACAAGCAGTTGTTTATAATGTAGAGGATAGGTGGGGCATGTAATGACAAAGAGCCACAAACATGCCCTCTCCAGTGGAACACATGCACCAGCAAAAGACAGGAAACCATACAATGATGATTGTGTAGCACATCAACACACATCACTCAAAGCAAGTTACTATGCAGAACCAAATTGTGATGACCAGCAATAGCTCTGCGTTGCATCAACATCAAATACAGATACTGTTCAACAAGCTTGCAAATGGAGTCTGCACAACATACCAGCATGGGGCCTTCAAGGCCTGCTGACCCGGCACAAAAATCATCATACACAGTAACACACTCAAATGCATATTCTCACTGCAGGAACTCATAAGAGATTGCAGAACCATCACTGACTCCAGTAATGTCAATATACAAGCAGTGCATGCCACTGTCCATGAGATGTGCACAATCTCCCATGTGCCTCCATGTAGTCTGCTAGACACAATGTACATCGACAAAATTTCTATTGTGAATCGAGTTAACCCCAGAGTTCTCACCCCCAACATGTGACCAGAGGTCAGCCCAGCATGATCAACCCTGACAAAGAGTTTACAGACCTGGGCCTAGCAGTGTCCAGGAATAATGAATCATGAAAAATGGCCATGAAAATGTAGATACAAGCCTGCCATACTACAAAGTATCTACCACTTGTCTAGGAATAGGTCATCATCATCAATTTCTTTGTCAGAAAACACCCTACACTGTATTTTTTGTGTTATGACCTCATCAGGGGTCATTCCTTTTTTGCCACAATCAAGTCACATGGGTCATGTGCCTCATCACATCATTTGTCCTCACCATGGTTGTCCTCAGTCTGCTTGCTCAGCATGCCTTTGGAAGCCCAGCATTGGAGGTATTTCCAATACCTGCCAATGCTGCAGACACATGAGTCACCTGACTCCAAGCAATGCCCATCTTTGATGGATGTATTTCATCTTTTGTCTCTGACTCATATTTATTGCTTGATTGCTTACTTCTTGTTCTGGTGTCAGGCTCCTAGCTGTGCATTGATTGTGCAGCTGGTATAGCCTTCATTCCCCTGTCTACCCCATCATATGACACCATATGACTCTTTCTTATTTCATTGTTTACTGCTGCAGATACTTACTGCCTGGATGGCATGACTGGTATGGTACACTTGTCCTGAGGTATTTATACAAGCTGTACCATACTCTGTATCCTCAGTTTTTTGATAGCTTGCAACTCAGCTTATTTCTTTGACTTCATCCTTGTCTTCTCCCCATTGTGATCTCAGAAGAACTTGCCAGTGGACAAGACCTCTGTTGGATATTGTCAATAACACTGAGCCATAGGGGTTATGATAAGTTTGGCCCATGGACTCCCCCTTGCACTATTCATGACTAGTCCATTTGATGAAGTCACCTGGCTTGGGCATAACAAAATCAAAAAACTCCATGCAGCTTTTGGGACTCACTACTCCCTCAGTTGAAAGTAACTTGTCCCTGGTTACTGAACTTTGACAAACCAGTTACTCCAGCTGGAGCATCTGTCACAAAAAGTTTCAGCATCATTGTAATGAAGCTGAATGATAATGTGATGTCCCTGAATTATTATGTGCATTGAAAGAGTCATTATGATGGTGTGCGAGACCTGATTATGGCATGCTAATGTAATCAGGAAGCGCCGCCAGAAACCTTGCTTGTCCAGCCATGCACAATGCACACATATGTGACTTCAACAAGCCCCTCAGACCCTTAAAGAACATTCACTATATTTGTATGCATTTGCTTTGCATGGCCTGAGATGCTGTCACCACTCACAATGTTGTGGCTTTGAAGAATTGTTGGGTGAGTCAGGCGGCCCTGGTCCATAAGTTGTTTTGTTGCCATCTTGCATTGCTGCAAATATGCTGACCTTTTGCAGTCAGGTGCGCTGCTTCCACTTGTCGCAAGTCGACATTGCTGCTGCTGATAGTGCTGTTCACCTCACCATTTCATTTGCCAGCCCTACCACTAGCTTCCTCAACCTCGACACTCGCCACAAAGTCCTTGCTTCTGCCCATCACCTCAACCATTCCCCAAAGGCAATCTTTATGTTTTGTGTGTCCTGGGCTTCGATCAGCGTGTTTCATGGTGCGTGCATGTCGTTTCCATCAATGTTAATGTGTTTCTGTCCTTCGGGACGCTTGGCCATTTCAATTTCAAGCTCTAAAGGTGAGTTTTGGGTCCTTGGCTTGTTCTGACTTTTCTGCTCATGTTTTTAGCAATTTTCAGGTTGTTCCCATTGCTCTGCATGTCCATCTGTGCAGTTGACACATCTGCATGTTTCCCCAAGCCATCCACTTCGCCAGCTCTTTGTGCCAATGAGTGAGTTGGGCAGTTTTGGCCCGTTCTGACATCTTTGAGTTCTTGCAGCCATTTTCACATCGATTTGAGCGCACTGTGCCTGCATGCGTGTGCCCAATGCATCTGCATGGTTCCTGGGCCTGTGTGGCACCTCTAGGTGTGGTTCTGGGGCTGATGCATTCTGATTTGTTTTCAGGCCTTCATGGGTCACTCACAACGCTCCGCGAGCGCACATGTGTTCCATGCATCCATTCTGTTTTTGAGCCTTTCTGGCTCCCCTATGCATGATACTGCCCCTCTGGCAGGTATGTCGGGGGTTGCTAATGAGTTTTCAGCTGTTCACGAGTTGTTCGCAACACTCTGCATGTGTGTGCATGCATCTGACACATCCGTTTGACTTCCCAGCCTTTCTGGCTCGCCCATGTGCAGTTTTGTGCCTCTGGCAGGTAACCCCAGGGCTTCTGACACTTTGCAGATTCGCATTGCTGTGCAGGTATATGCGCATGGTTAGTAACCTGGCCCCTCCACCATCTCCCTGTTCTACAACACTGTTGAGTGTGCTCATGGATGCCCACTTGCTGGCTGCCCTCTACCACGACAGTTGCGGCATTGGGAGTCGCAACCATAAATTCATTTCTGCCTGCCAAGGTGCTAACCATATCCTTTCGTTACCTGTTGCAAAGGGGTAAGCTACTTGGTTACAATACTCATTGGATTCTGCAAGATCATCTGGAATAACAACATCATATGCTCACTGTGCTTGTCCTCCAACAACTGACATGGAGTTTGTTTGGATTTAACCATTTAATATGCAGGGAATTGCTCGTATTGGTGTGACGAGTTTCATCGAGAAGGATGCTGATTTGTTAGATGCTGCTTTCGTCTTGCTTTTGTGTCATTCCTCGGACTAATTCATTTTCAAGCTTGTTTCAGGACCATCAATTGCCACTGAGAAACACTCAAAGGACAACTCATTTATGGTACAAGCACAAGTATGCTCGCAACCACTTCGTGATCCCACTCTCATCCTTTCCCCCAATGGCTCGCTTCCCTCTGGCGACGATTACCACCACCACACATCAAGGCATAGGTCTGGTCTCTACTCATACCTGACATCGTTGCGTGCAGGAGCATCGAGTATGTTGCCAACTATTCCCAAAGCGACCTCTGCAAACGATATGTGCCTGCTAGTGTGGATCAGATGCAGAACGCATTTGACAATGTGCCACATTGAATGGGTGGCAAGAAAGTGTCAAATAAATGATCAGACACCGGTCTATTTGGCTTTCGTATGCCACGTGGAAATTGGTCAAGGATGAGTTGAGGTGGTCGCAAGGGAGCAATGCAGACTGGCACCTGATGGCATCGACAATGACAACGAGAGCATGGTCAGTGACACCAGGACAGATTACACCCATCAAGATGCAGGACCCGATACTGAGAGCAGGGATAATCTACTTATTGCACACATGGATTGCGCTCACCTAGAACCTCTGTGTCACCACCCACCCCCACCCCAACCCCCTCCCCTCCCCGCTGGCATCAAGGACCTCTTGGCTAAGATTGTTGTTGCCAGGCTACCCCGAGCTTTCTGCAAGCAAAAGCAAGATGTTCACATTCACATCACCCGCCGTTTGGTGATTTATGTACACATGCTCCTTGTAAAATCTAGAGTCCTTGATGAAGGAACATTATATGGCAAGCCTGATCAATCACATAACACATTTCATACTTTATGTGAATAATTTTACTGACTATCATGTGTCTGAAATTGCATACTAGCTGCAAGTATTGCTTGTAAAGTTGTTTAACTTCAACTCCTATTTTCTCGTGTGTTGGACATTTCCTGCACTCACTTTCATTGCTCACTCTCATCACTCATTCTGATACAGAAAGCCACTCTACTCTACAAGTATCTGTGAGTCACTCAGGATGTTTTTTATTTGCATAACTAATGTAATTCTTAGTAAATGGCCAGGAAACATGTGCAGAGGAAGAGGAAGAGTAGGAAATCATGTAGGGCGGCGAATATCAGCTCCACTGGAGTTGGAGGGTCGAGTGGGCTGGACAGTATGTCATTTTCATCCCTTAACGTGCACTGTGGAGATGAACACATAACAGGTGACAATGAAGGACCTTCTGCAGTCATGGTCGACAACAGTGTTGGTACCGGCCATGTGGTAATTGGAGGATCACCCAGGACAAACGGTGCATATGGTATTTACATTTATCTGCATGTACTAACGTCACCTTCTATATTACTAGTCCACTATGTACAAATCGGCAACGATGTGGAGTCGCAAGTGTTGGAAATGGAGGAATTTTTTATGCCCTTGTTCACTGTTTTTATTCTCAAGACTTTCTTCTCACTCAGTTTATCTGTTGTTTTCTGGTGTTTCCAAGTTTGCATGTCATACCTGTGGTGTTTTCGAAATGTGTTGCTTTGACTTTTTAAACTTCTTTTGAAATTTTGACTATTGTAACTATTATGATTTTAGCCACCATTTCAGCTTTGAAAACTGTCCAATTATTATGCTTGTTCCACGGACTCCTAGTGTATTACTGATTAGTAGCTTGATTCTAATACTGTAATCAGCGTGTGCATATGTCATTGGTATTATTAGTAATCAATGATAATCGAAGACTGTCTATTAATTTATGCTAACATTGTTTCTCAAGAACCTGAATCATGGGACCCTCGCACAATTCTCGAGGCAAGTATAACTACTCTGAGGAAACACTTTCTACCCTCCATATATGCTGGGTTTGCAGCAAACAGTTCAAGGTACAGGGTATCAAAAGGCACGAAACCAGCTGCAAAAAAACAACAAGAATTACAGAAAGAACAAGCTGAACATGGGAAGGAGTTTGAAAGAGAAAGATGCAAGGGCAAGTTCACAGCTTTTAAATTCCTTCTAATGCTTGAATTGATCTATTGTGTGTCTGCAGCTCGAAAAAAGGCTCAACTACTAGATGATTATGCTTCAATCAGTGCATTTGTTGCACCATGGCAGCATCTATCTCAATTGGATGCTGGTTCTTCCCATGCTGTTTGTGAACATGTAGATGGTGATATCTATGGGGATGATGGCAATTGCTGTGAGTTTCCATTCATATTAGCTTGATATTCTTCACTTATCATAAAATAGTTGATCCTTTGGTTGATAGCAATCAATTGAACCATGATGACTACAGTGGGAACAGTAATAATCCTAGTAAGTACCTCTTCAGCATATAGTGTTATCGGATTGATCATTTAACTGTGATATTTTTCTAGCAACTGTGGACACATCCATGGAAAGCACTTCCAATATATCTACCAAATTTCCATCACAATCATGCCTGCTATCTACTGCTTCCCTCCAACTGCCCACTGAATTTAAAACAGAGTACCATCCATGCAGTCATCAGCCCATTTTGCACCAGCTGTATGAAGAATTTGGAATCAACAACACTGCTTCACCCACTATGGTTGACTCCATGCCATGGAAACCATTCAAAACATGAGGTGATTATCTTTTTGCAGAGATCGCCCTTGATGCTGGATTGAACCAGACTCAAGTCAATGGATTATTGGAACTTTTCCTTCTTGTAACCAAAGGTATGGAGCAGGTGATGATGAAGAATGATGCTAAGTTGCAGAAGGCATGTGATAATGCAGGAGCTGAATTAACACCTGTGTGTATTAGTTGTGCTGTGCTGTGAATGCTATTTATCGATATTGATCCTTTAGTTCACCAATCATGTCATCTCTGCACCATACAAGGGCAAGGAGATGGAGTTTGAGGTTCATACTTGGCCAGTCTGGGACTGGGCTCTTGACCTGCTTGCTAACCCACAATTAGCCCCACACTTTGTCTGGGATGCTGAATGGGTTTACAAACACAATGGGGAAGAATATGAACACTTTTATGGTGAGCCTTGGACATGTGATCACTGGTGGGACATACAGGTAAGTATGTGCAAGCACAGTTCTTGTCCCTGGACTGATTATAACATTGCCATCCCCTTAACAGTCTCAGCTTCCTGCTGATGTTGAAAATGCCATACCATTCTGTTTTATATTGTATGCTGACAAGACAAGGCTTTCATCTCACAGCACTGTGAAAGGGTACCCTGTAGTTGTTCAGTGTGCTAATCTCCCTGTAGACATCTGGAATTCTGAGTCTGTTGGAGGAGGTTGTGTTGTTGGCTGGCTTCCAATTGTAAGTTCTACATTATAATATGGTCTGCTCACAATATTGACATCTAATGCGATTTAATCCTTCAAGGTCCCAGAAGATGCAGCTGAGGAAGGTAAACTTGGCTATACAACTTTGAAACACATTGTTTGGCATGAAAGTGCCATCAAATTATTCAAGGCCATGGTTCACTTCTTGGCAACTGGCTTTCAGCATAGGTGTTGGGACAAGATTATACAGTATCTTTTCCCATTGTTTTTGATACTATCTGCAGACTACAAGGAACAGTAAGTCAATGAACAAATCAGTTTCTGAGTTAATTGAATGATTGCACCAACAGATGTATGATGTCTTTGATTTGAGGTCAGAATGGCAAGGCTCCATGCCCTATATGCCTTGTGCCACTTGAATTACTCCATGACATTTCTAAGACTTTTGCTCTTCACAATGCAGGGCAAGGAGAGGAAGCATTGTGAGTTTACAATGATTGTAAGGCCACTGGTGAAGCAATTCTCAAGAAACTTGGTCTGCATCCTGTACCTGTACATTCCTCATAGCCCCCATTCACAGTAGGTTTATTAAGGGTAAAAGAATGTCTTTTGGCATGTCAGGTACTCTGACCCTCACTTGGCACTGAGTTTTGATTGCTTGCATGTCCTCCACCTGGGATTGTGGGGGAAACATCTCTTTGAAGATCTGAAGATTATTTTGAGGTACCTTGGATGTGACGATTCTGTTCTGAATATTGGCATGTGCTAATCTACCCTACAATAACAGTACAAAGGAGCTTTCACACTGGTGGAAACTGTTTCATTTCACAGCCATCCTCAAGGTGACATTTAATGATGGGAATAAGTTTGCTGACCTATCTATTGTGAGCCTGATTTCTCCATGTTTCATGATGTTTCACTGACATGTAACTTCCTGGTAATAGCAAGTTTTTTATCCTGTATTAAGTATCCTTATGAAAGCAGCATGTCCCAAGGGATATCTCCTTCTTGGCCTTATCAGCAGCTATCTATAACTTGATAGTCTGATCAGCCTTGACATCCAAACCAATTGCATGCTCTCTGCCATTGAAACTGAGCTTCTTGTTTTCAATGAAAGGCTACAGGTGAGTCTTGACTCTCCATTTGAAATGCTATTTCTTTAGTTAGCTCTCTCAGATGTTACATTCACTTTCATAGGCATACAAAGAGCATGAAATGAACTCTTCCATCCCAGGTCTCAAGGTAGATTGGGACTTTCTGAAGGTGCACCTGTGGAAACATGTGGTGTGTGATATACAAGAAAAGGGGGCAGTGCGAAACTACAGTACTTGCCCCAACAAAAAAATGCATGGTCCTCTAAAGGAAGCTTATCAAGATTGCTCAAATGGTAGGGATGTTGCTGGACAGGTAGGTGATTTGTTAAAGCTTCAGGCCTGGATGTATCTCACCCTTTCTACTAAGATTCTTCATGTTGACCAACATATCCTTGCATGCAGGCTCCTATGTACTTGTATAGACCAGTATGACAAGTGGCACAAAGCAAGAAGTGGGGATGATAATGACGATAATGATGATAGTGTCCTTGAACTGGGCTTTGAGGGACATTACAAGCCCACCACCATCCAGGGGATTGAAGCAGAATGTGATTGTGAAGACAAAGCATACCTGAGACTTCAAAGAAAGTTCACTGACTATATCAACAAATTTCTGCCTTAAATTGGGCATGAGCTAAAAAAAGTGGGTTACCATCCCTGCTGATTTTAATGTATATGTTTGCCACTTGCATGCCAATTAGATGGTGGCTGATATCATACTCACCAGATATATGAGTACTGCTACCTCAAAGTCAACTATGAGTCCTGTGTTGACTGGAAGTTGGCTACTGATCATTTGCGATGTAACTCTCAGTTCTTCAGCACTCCTCGCTATGACTGTGCATATGTGCAACTCATGTCAACACAAACAGCCTTTGTTTGCTTGATAACCTTTTTTATGTGTCAAATCTATGGCTACAGAGAACTTCAGCTTGCACTCATTCAGCCTTATACTGCAAGTGTCAGCTGAGAGTGTGAACTGGACTGGGCCATGAAACTTATGCATGTCAAGGCTGTGCCTAGAAGCAATTCCACATTTATTCCATTAGTTTCAATCATTCAAGGTGCACTCTTGTTCCCTGACCTGAAGAAAAAGGATGAATTTCTTGTGGTAGACCATGTCAATGGTGACATGTTTCTTTGAATGAAAACATGGAAGTAGGGTGGCTCAGTGTGTATTAATATTTGCTGAGCAATGCCATTCAGAGGGAGAATGTTGTTGGACCTTAATTGACATGATGCAGAACTGAATCCTACCACAAACTCATTTTACTGCAAAGGTCAGCTATTCCATTTCAATCTGACACCTTTACATGTTACAGGCTGTGTCTCTTTTACATTAACAGCTAACACTTGATAATCAAGGTATGTGATTTCCTTGCTGCTTCAAGATGTAACTGATAGTGGGTTTCAGGCTAGAAACATATATAAGGACCTTGGTCCAAGCAATGTTTTCCATTCTGCAATGGCACTCCCAGACTCATGACCAGTTTTTCCTAGTTGCCCCAGTTTAATTCTTTGTTTTCAGAATGCCCCAATCTGACTCTGAGGAGGATTTCACCAGCTGCATTGGTGCCATTGATGGTGGCAATGATTCTCAAGCTGACAAAGGGACTCATGGAGATAGCTCTGACTCCAAAAGTGACATCGAGCAGATGCAGAGGGCCCTCCATGTCCCAGGTCCCACTGCAGATGTGCAAGAGTTGAGAAAGGTATGGTCCTTTTCTTCATGTCCATCTACTATGATTATTGACATCCATTCTCAGGCACTTTCCTTTGTACAAGAGGCTTATTTTGAGATGTGGAACAAGCTTCGAAGCATACACAGGGATTATGTAGCCCTTCAAGCTACAGTCCCTGCTCAAAGTTGCAATTGTACCACAAAGGCACCCTCCAAACTCAATAAATCCATTGCCAAAGCTGCCAAGAAGTATATGATGTTCTACAATTTCTGGATTGATGATTCGATTTTCCCAACAATTCAAAAACCAAACATCAATCCCTGCAGCCCCATGTGTTGGTCATCCCCTCAAGTGATGGCTGATGGGACAGTTGAAGAATTGTATGAGGTGGTTCCAAAAGAACTCCATAAGCAGATGGAGACATACCAAGCATTTAAGACTGTAGTAAGTTTAAACTCAAATCTTCTGGATAATATGTGCTAAACTATTGTATTTGACTTGTATTAGTTTCATCACCATGTCAATACAGAATGTTCTAACCTGCTCAAAGTGGTTAAAGATAGTGCTTCCATTGTCTTCTCATCTTCAAAACTTCCTGTCAATATCTTTTCAGAGTCTCTCCAAGATTTGAAGGCTACCAGCAAGGATCTTCTCATTTTGTTGAAACTGCCAGAAAATGCTGAACTTGATGGCAAGTATGAATGTCTTGCACCAGTTCTGTTCACTGATCTGCACAACATGACCTCAGACATGCTTTTCAAGAGTGTGGTACTTGTCAAAGTAAGTTGCTGTGTTCTATTTCTCTAATTTGACTCAGTTACTCTGCTTATAGATGGCATGTCTTCTGTTGAAGGGGAAGAGTTCACTGCTTGGCACAAAGAAAAGGGGAGGACCAAAGCCTAGAGGGGAGATTATGAAGGTCAACAGGTAAGGCAGAACCTTCTAGGTAATGCCACCAATGGCAGAAGGCCTCAAAGATAGCCAACAGCTCCTTGTCATGTGTATCATAGTTGAGTTCTGGCATGGTCATGGTGTGGGAGTAGAAAGTGATTGGGCAGAGTTCACCATCAGAGCAGGTGAGTGACAAAATGTCAGCAATAGCATAGTTGGACATGTCAGTTTCAACTGTAAGTTGAGCATCAGGAACCCAGTGAGTGAGAATAGGAGTGGAGCTGAAGGCATCCTTCAGGCAGAGGAAAGTGGAGTGACACTCCTCAGAAAAGTTCCAAGGAGCACCCTTTCACATGAGGTAAGTGAGAGGAATGACAATGTTGGAGTAGTTATTAATGAATCATCTGTAGAAATTTGCAAAGCCAAGGAAGGACTGGATGTCTTGCACCTTCCATGGCTCAAGCCAGTCATGGACTGCCTGAACCTTCTCAGTGGACATGGTGAGACTGGAGGGAGAGAGGATGTAGCTGAGGTACTCAATGGAGTCAGAGTGGAACTTGTACTTTTCCAGCTTGGCATAGAGACCATGCTTTCAAAGGTGGCAGAGTACCTCTTTTACATGTTCATGGTGTGACTCCATGTCCTGTGAATAAATTAGGATGTCATCAAGGTATACCATGATGCAGACATTGAACATGTCTGCAATGATACTATTGACAAACACTGGAAAGCCACAGGCACATTAGTCAGACTGAAGGGCATTACCTGCCACTCATAAGAACCATAATGAGTGCAGAAAGTCATTTTCCATTCATCTCTGTCTGCAATGTGGACTAGATGATAGGCATGGCAGAGGTCAATCTTGGTGTAGACTTTAGTGTGGCTTGGAGAGTCAAGTAAGTCAGAGATGAGCAGTGTCACACACCAAAGGTGTTTGGTGAGGTGGACATGGATACAGCTGATGAATGGAGATGAAGACCATAGCCCTCATGTGAAGAAGGATGGCCAGAAATGTCAGCAGTCATCTCTTGCACAAGAATGAGTCATTGATGCCAAAGAAAAAGAAAGGAAGTGAGTTAGGTGCCAGTAGAAATTCTTAAGCACCCATCTATGGCATTCTGGTTTTTGACATATCTCCACCATTTTTGCAGATACTGACACCATTCCCACACTTGCTTGTAGTGCTCAGCCACACAATCCTACCTTCCAAAATTGGAAAGGATTTGCACACTCCACACATTTCTACAGTACTCCCTCCACAAGACTCTCATTTTGCTAATTCTTCTGATATGGCCACCTCCACATCAATCATTTCACTTGTCCCCTTTGCTAGGGACCATGACTACATATATCTACCAGGAGTTCCTACCAGCTTCTGTCCTGAAGCATCCTGGTACATCCCATCTTTGTCTGCCCCCTCTCAGCCCATCCAGCTTGGACAGTGTGTTCTTTTTGTCAGTATGACCTCTAGGAGGATGTTCTTTGGTCACCTCACATCAGTAAATCACTTTTGCTGGCCAGATTCCCTAGGACTGCCAGCACACAAAGTGGTTTACTGATGCAGGTCTGTCACTTGCTTTGAAAAGTCTTATGTGGTCATTTCAGTCTCTCCAGTCCAAGAAGCATATGGATCCTTCCTCCCTGCTCCCTGCAATGTCTTCATACCAGTCTCATCCATCATTCTTCCAAAATTGCAACAGCTACAGTATAATCTACTGTTCTCCACTCTCCCTGATCACATCCATGACAAGTATGATGCACATCTTGCCTCCTTGTTGCAAGATACAGCAGAAGATCCTCCCCCTTCATCCTCTCTTCCAACAGAGCCTCATTCATGAAGTTTTTATTTGCTTCACTGAGAGGATGGTTTGGGGGGGAAAGTTGCAATCCCCTATGCTCCTTTCACCCCACAGACCCCCAAAGCTTGACCCCTGTTGACATATGACTCACCCTGTCTGCTTTTGGATGTACTATATCAGCATCAGATCAGCACTGCCTCTCTGTCATCCTACCTTGGCCTAGAAGTGATCTCTTTGAGATGTGACATGCACAGCCTCCCCCTAATGTGATTCCAGTGCACTTTCCCAGTTCCTGACATTACTTGACTCATACTTTGACATTTTGACTGTCCTTGACTCACCTATTGCCAATACTTACCAATCTTTTGACTTTGCTTACTGATTCTTTGCTTTTTGGCTTACTTATCCTTACCAATGCTTACCAATGCTTTCTAAGACAATTACCCATCACTTACATTCCTTACTCATCAGTTACCAATCACTTACCAAGTGTTTGCACCTTGTTTTCCATAGGCAATGCTCTTGTACTGTATATAAATCACTGTACTTAGATAGCTGAATAAGAAGAAGACATCAGAGAGCCCCTCTTGCTCACATTTTTCATTATCACTCAGCAATTCATTCATCAGCCTCAATAGTTGAGACTTTATTAAGGGTCTAACTATTGTCTGCTTTGCTTATTATCATCTATCATCAATCAGCTTTGCTCCAAGTCCTCCCTGAGCTCAGTGCAGCTTAAGACATTAAATTAAGTTGTCCTCCATCCTTCTGTAGGCTGACAGCAGTCTACCCCATCACATCCTCTCACATTCCTGCTCTTTCTTCAACAAGAGCAACAACCCACCCAAATCAAAGGTTCTACCATCTAGGTACTGCATAGGCACACCACCACTCACTCTTTTTGTCTTTTGTGTTGGTTTTGGTTGGTTTCCACCACTGAACCACACTTTGACTCACAGCAGATGAAGTAAATCCTTAGTGTTGTCTACCAAGTGCATCCTAGTGACTTAGGACACAGGAGCTGGCTCTTATGTGGCATATGCAGAGAAGGGCATGACTGGGTCAGGGGCTATGCAAACATATCAAGGGATGGTCAGAAGATTGTTTGCTGTGTTGCAATTCCTCAACATTGGTATATTTGTTTCTTGTATCACTCCTCACAGCACAGTTTCCACCTTCCATCTCATGTGATGGTGTACAACAGTTCAGAGGCCATATCATTTGGCATTCAGTTCACCAGACATATGTTTGCTTGTACTCCTACAGATGGCTGGGTGAAGGGGGAGAAGGTGGGTGGAAGAACATACACACTTGCACAAGGAAAATGCCTGATCCATTATCAATCAAAGTGCAAGAACAAGGTACAGGCCACAAAGCACAAAAGGAGCAACCTAACAAAGGTGTAAGTTCTCAGTGTATGGAGTAGTTACTGAGGTGGAAAAAAATGGTGTGGAAAATTTATAGTACCATAATTAGTAAGCATAGTGACATTGGAATTTAATTCCAAGGGTCAGGGAGAAACTCCAAGCCCTCGGGTGAAACTCTGAGAGGCTACCATAACTCTGGAATGCATTCTTGATGTGACCAAGTGGGGGCTGATACCAGATCAGTGTGTGCACCTGGCCTGTACATGCATAAAATAGAGGTGCAGAAGGGACTTATGAGTAAGGGCCAGAAATGGGACTCAAATGTAACCTGCTGTCAATGTAATCATGGACAGCAATGATATGCTCAGCAACACTTTGGTGATTAGAAGGGATGTACAGTGCAACTAATGGACAGCTGCATGTCACTGATACAAAAACCATGAGACAATTTGGATGGGATGTTAGGATGATGTCCAACACTGGTAAGGAGCAAAGCATTGGGGATTGGAATGGGCATTGCCAGAGGTCAAAATTGATCTCATATGCTGGGTCAAGAGCTGCAAGAAGAGCAATCAATACTGATCAAAATTTGGGGAGAAGTTGGGTTCAGCAGAGCATCTACAACAGATCTCCATGTCAAACCTACACATAATGTACCTATATTGTACCATATGACAGGGCCAGTGGAGGCTGACAATTCACCATGTCCCATGGGCCAGTGGAGGTCAAGCCCTACACTGAGTCATCCCCCTGCTGAATGGACCAGCCCAGCTTCAATTATCAAATAACACAGAGTAGGCCACAATCAAATTGTCCCTGTAGTACCTGGAGTAGCCTAGTGTGAGATGTCACCTATCTGGTGCCAGCCACTCCAGAGCAAATTCTGGGACACACTATGGCACATGTGCCAGAGCATACCATAGCATTCCAGAGAACTCTGGAGCAGGCCATGGCCCTCTGGGGTGCAGTAAGGTTTGGCATATGTTCCAAAGCAAACTGCAGCATGCCAGCCACTCCAGAGCAAATTCTGGAGTAAACTGCAGCACATGTGCCAGAGCATGCCATGGCCCTCTGGGATAAGCTGCAGCATTCCAGCCACTCCAGAGCAAATTCTGGAGTAAACTACAGGACATGTGCCAGAGCATACCATAGCATTCCAGAGAACTCCAGAGCAGGCAATGGCCCTCTGGTATAAGCTGCAGCATATGTTCCAAACCAAGGTGTGGCATGGCAGACACTCTAGAGCAGATTGAAAAGCAAACTGTGGAACATGTGCCAGAACATACCATAGCATTTCAGAGCACTTGGGATCATGCAATGGCCCTCCAGGGTAAGCTTTTGGCATATGTTCTGAAGCAAACTGTGGCATGCCAGCCACTCTGGAGCAAATATTACCAGCATACCCAGCACACCTACCCCTTGCAGATACTACCAGAATTGGCATAGCTTAAAAGGTTGGCATTCAGTACCACAAATTGGGATGCAACACCATGTATTCAGAAGCAGTAGCAGCTGACAGATATGGCATTCTGCATTATGGCACACTGTAGCATGCAGCATAATTCATGGGGAAGTTGTAGCAACATGTACTGTGGCACCTGGTGGCACCTGCTCCATAAGTCTCTGGAGGGTCACAGCAGCTGGTGTAGATTGCTTGGCACACACTGGCAATGTGGCCAAGTCAACTAGACTTGACAGGGATGCCTGGCAGCTGGCAGCATGGGCATGGCATACAGTGGCAAACACCTGACTGGCTTAGGATCCACATCAAGGCTTGGTGTGTGGCATGGATGGTTCTGCATACAGCAGCACACAGTTAGATGCAGAGGAATAAACCAGCAGTTCTTGGCAGCTGATGGCATTGACCCAACATACTACAGCACACATTGGGATTGAGTAGGATTTATGTCAGCCCATGGGATCCAGCATGGATATTTCTGTATATGGTGGCACACAACTAGGGTGCCGTAGATATGGGCATGAAGCATAGCATGAATTGTTAGTATACTGCATATCTTACCACCAGTATAAGATCATAACCTATACTTCATATGATCACAGAAGGGTGGCTAGTAATATTGCATTGATTTCATAGATTTCATTCAAACTGGGATTGTGCCAATCAAATACTGGACACCTGGGGCATTAAATAATGACCAATACAATACAATACAGGGTGCCATGGGTGATTTACATGCCTGTGAGAGCCTGCCACACCAATGGAATGCACATCCAATCACTTCAAGGGACTCCAAGCCAGTTGTGAATATTGTCCTGCATGTAGAATGCTAGTGAGCAATGGTTGCTGCTCACATCATTCACACCATGCTGCAAAAGCCAACCAGAAAAGGCTACAACAGTGCCAGGCTGGTAATCAAATTGAAGACCAAGAGAGGGAATGTCAAGAATGCATTCAGAATAATTGCCAACACTGACAAGCATGTCATACCAGTCAGCACAGGACTGTGGGTCATGATGGAGAGGAGCCAACTGGTTAGCAATCATGGAGATGTTGGTATAAACCATTGGCCAGTGTCAGAGCACTGCTGACATTTTGGGATCATTCATGGCAGACCACTCAGTCAGCTGCCACATGGCTTGGCAACCAGCATTGTACAAAGGAGGGTGCATAATTGAAAGTGTAGCAGAGAGAATTGCCAATGGCATTCAGACAGCATGGATCCATTGCCAAGTGGCTGGAGCTGCAAGGTTGGCAGATATGGAAGGCTGGTGTGCCAGTGTCTACAACATTAGCAATGAGTATTTTGAGATAAAGCATGAGGATGACTCTCATGGCATGACCAAGTTGATGCTGGGCTGGTGAAAACTCTAAGCAGCCCACTGGCAAACAGTGATCCACCAGAAAGTAATGGGTGATGTTCACCAGGAACCATCATATATGCTTCAAGTCAACATATTGGAAAGTGGGGGAATAGCTCTCACCATCTGGTCCTTGGCAGGGTTGTGAACTGAGGACAGCAGGATACATCACAATGTGTACCTGCATTGATTGGGACATTGTACTGGGTAGATATCACAAAGCAATTGCATCCCCTTCACCCAGAATGATTGCAGGAACATCCAAATACCCACTCAGATATGGTGGGTGAGCAGAAAGGATGTGGGCCTCCTGGTTCAAATTGAAACCTGTTTCTCAAGGCAATAGGCTTTCTGACAGCCTGATTAATTCAATGCTTGAGGGAACTGCAATAAATGTTAGCAGGGTGCACAGCAGCACTATTAAATTGGCATACTGGGATTACAATAGGCCTGGGCCAGTGTTGCCACCATTTGATTGAGCACAATACATGTCTGGACCTTGAGTTCGAGAGGTTGTGGTGGGACAGTGGCAGTGCAAGGATGCATCTCATGGAGAACTCAGCAGGGCATGTACTCTGCAAGCTGGTCAGAAAGTAGATAGTTGGATGGGAATGTGCTGGTACCAGACATTTCTAATGTGATCAGGTTAGGGACATTAAGGGAATCCACCAGAAACAAGGGGGATATCATCCAGAGATGTGAGGAACACACATGGCATGGATCCCTCTGGCTGTGGCAATTGTGCAGCCAATATTGTTGGCAATGGTAGTGACTAATGTGGCAACATTGAACTAAATGCAGCATGGCAGCTCTCTGTAGGAATGTGGCCATAGCCTCATCAGCATTTTGGAATGTGGCCCAGCTGGAACACAACCTTAAACAGCTGTGAATGCTGCTGAAGTATACATTACAGAAGATATTAGCCACTTCCACACATTCCAATTGGGGGTTGCACATTTCTGATACTGCTGGCAACATGAATCAAGGTCCAGATTACCAGCCTGTTTTGCTAGTGGCATTGTTGAATGGGCAATTTTGGAGCACCATGCTGGAGATGGTTCAATGGTGCTGGCACATCAAGGATATCTGACTGTGAACCTGGTGGATGGCTTTATAGACTGCTGGCCCAAGAATGATGTTGACATGATTGGGGCTGCAGGGAGAAGAGTACACAGAAGACCCAGTGATCATGGGAATGCCCCTATAAATTTACCAGCATTGATTCTGATACAGTAAAGCTACCAACCTCAAAGGAAACTCACTATATATGGTTGATAATATGTACAGCAGCTGTATGTTCATTCCCACACCTTTGACACTGACTCCACCCATGCAACCTGTAATGCAAGTTTAGATTGGGTAACAGCTTCCAGTGATGACATCTGCTCCTGTGAGTGTAAGATTAACTTGGAAAGATACAATAACTCCTGATCAATATCCTTCAAGCCTTCTGTGCACATCACATGTAGTGCAGTGCATTTGGCAGTGGGGGATGGATGTGAATTACAGCAGTTTGCAGTACCGAGGGCACCAGCCAAACACAACAAAACTCATAGGTATCCTAGATAAAATATATATCTCAAATATTTCACTCAATTCTTGATGGATCTGAAAGAAAATTTGATATTCTGAATCAGCATTATCAGCTCTAGGGGATGATGTAGAAATCATGATGAAATAGCTGCTATTTTGGACAGGAAAAAATACTTGGTCATTCTGAGCATATAACAACAATTGCAAGTGATTTACACATTTCTATGGCTGTAAATGCCTCTAGCCATGATCTATACACTGGTGGTGAGGGAACCATGGTGAAAATCCAGTGGTTTTTCCATTGTTTTGTACCAACAGAGAGCAATCTGCACTCCAAATGGTGCCAATCATGTAACAAAAATTGCTCACTCCACATTGCATATTTTTTTGCAAAAGTTTCAGATCCATAAAGCCCTTCAAAATACCTAGGGAACAGTATCATACAGAAATGCACTTTGTTTTGCACTTGTTGAGGTAGTTGTCCATGCCTGTCTTATCTTTGTGTGTGAGTTGTGCATGCTGACTAATCAAGTCAGCTGCCTCGATGCGCGAGCATGTTTTTCTGTGGTACTGGCCTGTGAGCATGTGAGTGATTTCCATATGGCATGCAGAAGGCACTTTTCTAGTCGTACCTGCAGGCAATACTCTCGAGATCTCAAGCAGTGAATCATCTATCAAGCTCATGTACTTGGTCAGACCACAACTTCTATTGCCATTTCACTCGACATGCCACTTTGAGTCATTCAATGTGTCCTCAAGACATACCATGAAACTGGTGAAGTTGTCAATGAACAACAAATGGATGGGCGCATACCTTTGATGTCTGAAACGGCAGTAGAGGTATGTCTAAATCGTTCTAACATTGGAAATAGCATCGAGAGCTGATCATATCCATATCTTAGTTCATGCTGGCACTTCTTGAACATTCCCCTGACCTCTATCTTGAAGAAATTCAGCAACAATTACTCTTGCTTCACAACATCAAAGTCTCTATTGCAACAATATGGCGTACACTCAAATGTTTGGGTCTGTCTTCAAAAAAGGTACAACACATACACTTTGATCTCAATTTTCAGACACTGACATCATCATATTTTAGCTTTCTCGAATTGCCAGCAAGCACAGTGAGGAAGCACGTCATGAGTTCACCATGGCAATTGGTGAAGACTCTCCTGACCACATTGTCTGTATTGATGAAAGCACTGTGAATGTACTTATGACATTTTGCCTGAATGGATGGAGCCATTCTAGTATGCAGGCACACAAGCATTGCAACTTCATTCATGGGACACAGTATGTATTCTCCATATGATGTTGCCTTCTTTACATAACACTCTTTCCAACAGATATTCCATCCTTCCAGCTCTGACGATGAGTGGGATAATTTACAGCCATATCAAAGTAGGTGCATACAATGGCAATCACTTTCTCAACTATCTTCATGGACTCCTTGACGTCATGAATCCATATCTGGCCCCTCATAGTGTACTTGTGATGGATAATTGCAGAATCCATCATGTTGATGGTGTAGAAGAACTCTGCTGGGAATGGTATGTTTTTTTTTTCTTTTTTTTTTTTTTTCAGTACACATACTCAAGTAACTATTACAGTGGCATCAAACTTGTTTATCTACCTCCATATTCCCCTGATTTGAACCCAATTGAAGAGTGTTTCTCATACTTGAAGGCCTACATTCACCACCATGGCAATCAGTTCCATGCTATCATTGAATCTGGAGACAAAACACTTCCATATTTGTTTCTCTATGGCACACTTGATACAGTCACTCCAGAAGCTGCGCATGGGTGGTTCCATAATGCAGGATATTTGTAGCTTTGTAGCTTGTGTCTGTATGCAACATGTATGTTGGTTGTCACACTGATGCATACCTAAAATTTGTGCAATGTATGCTTGCTATAACAATTACTGCGAAGGACATGATGTATGTAGGGAGTATCTACTCTACCCTTGTGCATTTTTTGCATTCCACCTGCTGAACAGCTTGTGCAACCTCAGACAGTAAAAAGCATGAATTCCCGAGGCTCATACCAAAGTCCTTCATGAGCTGTTCCTCACTCAGGCTTCTAAGTTCGTCAATGTTGTAAAAGTCCATCGCTTTGAATTGTGGAATATAAACAGATAGTTTGCACTTCAGAAAACTTGCATTGAGCTTGGTGAGGAAGTTGATGATCATTGGATATGTTGGCTGGGTGTCATGGTTGAGCTCACTGGGAGACAGCTCACCTCGCTCCTTGCCCACAGTAGGTGTCACTGGAGTTGCTGGAGCCTGATACACCGGAGGCACCATCCATGGAGGCATCATTGGGGGCATGGGGGGCATGGGGGGCCATCCATACATCGACATATAGGGACTGTTGAGGGGCATTTGTGTGGCTGATGTTGACGAGGTCTTGTCACTTTGTGGAGCGTGGAATTCTGAAAATAGATCGCCTTTTGGTGGGGTCTTCAGTGTGACTCCATGCATCTCATGTCCCTGTCACTGTCAGTAAATTGATTGATGTAGCCACTAACAATGAAACTTACAAGTGCGAGTGCCCACCCTCAATGCTGGTTGAATGTCAGGTTTACATGTTGGCCAGCACGGTTGATCTTGCAGTATTTGGAGGGACCACAATGCTGACACAACTTCAGTGACTTCTCCAGCTCCATGAGGGATTTGTTTTCCTTTTCAATCACAGTGCTGTCTTCGTCATCTGCACTGGATCCGTCATTGTCAAGATTGAGAAGGGGAGGATTTTTGCCTTTTCCTGGTGGCTTCTTCTTGCCATGCATTGCACATAGGGTAGACATATACTAGTTTTGACAATGAATAAGTATCATACTGACCACAAAACAATTTGAAACGCACCTGTTCACTAACAAGAATCTTGACTGAGATGACCGAGTCTTTCTTCTTCTTCCATGCAGAATTTACCTCCTCTAAGCATCCATCCCAGTCAGCCAGCATTCCAAGATTGATGGCATCGTCCTTCTGAGCAGAAGTTGAGAGCTTGTATGAGAGCATAGGTTTGCATGCAAAAGTCTGACACCCAATAGTGCTGTAGATTTCATCCAGGACCTCTGAAAATGGAGTCCATTGTGAGAAAACAAGGTGCTTGGATCCCTCATTTGCCACTTGAGGCACCAGTAAAATGACATCTAATAAATCAGGGTAGTAAGGGGCAACAAGTACATTGCAAGACGAAATAACATACTTTTGTCAAGTTCTGGGGAGTTTTCCTTGCAAGATACTGGCTTGATGCTGAGCTGGATGGATTTTCACTTGAGTGTGTCAACAGGAGAGTGTGCTGAAGTGCCATCAGTTTCATCAGGTGTGATACCAAGGCCATCCTTGTCAAGGTCAGGAGTTTCCGAACGAGGTGCCATGTCCTGGGAACAGATGGAGCTAGTGTCAGGAACTTGATTGATGGGCAAACTGCTTCGGAGCCAGTTTTTCACAGCCTGCAAGCACTCACAGACTTTTTGTTACCCATGAGGAAGACATGTTGTGTGCAGTGCATGTCTGGGATGAGGCTCATTAGTCAGCATGCACAACTCACACACAAAGATAAGACAGGCATGGACAACTACCTCAACAAGTGCAAAACAAAGTGCATTTCTGTATGATACTGTTCCCTAGGTATTTTGAAGGGCTTTATGGATCTGAAACTTTTGTAAAAAAATATGCAATGTGGAGTGAGCAATTTTTGTTACATGATTGGCACCATTTGGAGTGCAGATTGCTCTCTGTTGGTACAAAACAATGGAAAAACCACTGGATTTTCACCATGGTTCCCTCACCACCAGTGTATAGATCATGGCTAGAGGCATTTACAGCCATAGAAATGTGTAAATCACTTGCAATTGTTGTTATATGCTCAGAATGACCAAGTATTTTTTCCTGTCCAAAATAGCAGCTATTTCATCATGATTTCTACATCATCCCCTAGAGCTGATAATGCTGATTCAGAATATCAAATTTTCTTTCAGATCCATCAAGAATTGAGTGAAATATTTGAGATATATATTTTATCTAGGATACCTATGAGTTTTGTTGTGTTTGGCTGGTGCCCTCAGTACTGCAAACTGCTGTAATAAGCAGTGGTAGTGAAATGCTGCCATTCTGATACCACAGGTGAGTTGGAAACAAGCAAAGGTGTGTGGCCACTTACCAATACTCCTGTGAAAAATTCTGCAGCTTCCACAATGACATCCTGCAGTGGTCTCCTCTCATATCCCAATTCCACTGTGCCACTGTCATTCTGCCACCATGCATGGGCCATGGTAGTGGCCAGTTTGACATGGCACTCCTTAATCCTTGACATGCAGGGATTCAAGCTTTTGATGAAAGCTAAAATGTTGCAGGGACTCTGTTTGCCATTGTTCAGGTACATTAACAGCCTGTTGGCTGTGAGCAGCATGATCAGGGTAATGGGATGGCAAGATGCTGCACCCATCAGATGCTCCATTGTACCCTGTACTACTATCAACCATTGCACCACCACAGGAACAGTGGCTTACCACTTCTGCCAGGAAATGTTGATACCAACTAGTATGCCAGTATTCAGACCAATCCAGCTTCTTCATGGTGGTGACAAGGCAATGAAATCTCATTCCCATGTACTGTATGGCCATGGTGAACATTGATGACATGACTTACTGGCATGAAATATGAGATGTCATACTATATAAGCCTTGGCCAACTTTCCCATGACTTTGCATGGTGGCATGCATCTGCCATTAAGGCAGTACTCATTAGCAAATGCTTACCTTGCATTCAACTACACCAACCAATATATGATAAATAACCCCAGCATCAACTAGGAGATCTCAAGAATGATGTCATTGCAGATAGCTAGTGGTCTCTAGATGGAAATGGTTCACAGAAGACATGCTAATCTGCCATACATCTGGCATTGCCATGCAGCATAGCATGTCAGCCTGGCCTGTCCCTTTGCCAATGTGGCAGCCTTTCTGCCAGTCCAAAATCTTACCTTGCTTTCAAAGAAGTTTTTAGTCCACTCCTGCTCGCATTTCAACAGCTGAACCTCCTCCTTCCATCTGTCCCACAGTGCTCTCATCTGGAGCCAATTGACCCTGTACACTAGAGAAAATGATAAGTAAATCTCAGATGCAGCTGCCATGTGATTGCCCCTTTCACATTCTGACATCCAATCATTAGCAGCCATGTCCCTGGGTACATCCATGGTCCAGATCCAAGGTAGGGTATCATCTCTGTGACCTCTGGCATTTGGGTCAGATACTGCTGTGCAGATAGTTAGGTTGGAGTCATTCAACTCTTTGTATTGCTCCAGGATATCTGGCCCAGCCCCTAACCTGCCCATTTGAATGTGGCACTGGCAGTACACAGCAGCATGACATTGCATGGCTGCTTTGGCATTGGCCACCCTTCCCCAGGCATGCATGGCCATGTAGTAATTACTTCCATGGCAAATGTTGGTTTGAAAGATGACCACCTTCTCTGCATGCACAAGCTGCAGTTCATGAAGGCAATCATTGGCCTGTCCTTGCTGCAGTTGCAGCTCCATTAGTGTCACATACCCCAGGCCAGATCATTCAAAATGATCTTTGCCAACATTGGATGGCAGCAGCAATGCAATGGTTTCTGGATCATGCAGGTGAGATGACTGGCACAGCTTGGCACCCTCAAATCTGTCTCCAAATAGTGTTTTGGCAGTGTTGCAAATGCCATGTATATGGGACTGGAGATGATCATGGCAATGTGCAATGGTGAGATATTGAGCTTCTGTTGATCTTGAGGTGATGTGCTGGCATGCCACTGCAAGCTGGATTTGTGTTTCCTCTATCTTCAATGCCTTCACAATCCAGGTCACCATACCCTGCAAATGCCCTGGCTGGGGGATGGCCAGTAAATCTATCTCAATTGCCTTTGCAGAGGGAGCTTCAATACCACTCAGCACAAATCCTGTCCAGGATAACCTTCAATACCTACCTTTCTGCAGCCTGACCTCATATATATCCATGGCCTGCAGCCTTGACAGCCTGTTGTCCAATGCCACTGCTGCCTCTTCCCCCCATGATTGGCTGATTGCCAGTGGGACATTACCATTCAAATCAGCAAACCTGCCTTCGACCACTAAATAAGATTCCTCAGCAACCTTGAGTTTCCACTTGAGTCTTATTGCTGTAGCCTGTTAGCCATGCAACCATGTCTGATACAAGCACTAGACTTACACATTCTGACCATTTTCAGGAAATTGCTATCATTCATTTGGAAATCAAGTACCTCCTGCTGATGGGGAGTAGCCATGCCTCTAGCAGATGGGGAAATGATATTCAGGGAGGACCACAAGGTTTCCATGATCTCCCCATCCACCCAGCCAGCACCCACAATGAAATTGGGAGCATATCATGGAAAGCATTCTGTGCAGTGGCCATGAACATGCCACAACCCAATGCCAGGGCAGATCTGCATGCCATCTGGCATGGATATATAGGCATTGGCATGTAGCCATCATTCTAAACCTTTGCTATACTGGCAGTTAATATCATAGAAATGTATCACTTGCTGGCCAGGGACTGTGCCATGCCTGACAGCATGCACAAGCACATAGTCCATGTTAACCTGCCTGTGATGTCGATGTCAATATTGTCATACATTGTTACAAGGTTATTCATACTGTTTGCCCTTCTGGAAGTTGACCATTGCATGCAGCACAAAACAGCCATGCTGCACACAGGCACATCCACCTATTCCCATAGATGCAAGCTGCTGCTGGTTGGCATTTGCTTGATTAACTGCTTGATGATTGCTGCAATCTGAGATCTTGTAGTGTGATCAGTCCATCAGGTAATACATTCCTACACATCACCCACCTCAACCACATTTTTAGTGCTGCTCAAATATTCCTTGTATGGCTGTGATGCAACCATGTACCCCTTTCCATCCATCATCCAAGCTGTGCTGCCAGCCTCCTTTGGATGCATATGCTCTGCCTTGAAATTCCCATCCATGACCAAGCTTCTTGCCAGTGTCCAACTGCATTACACAGTGTATAAATGGCTAGTGGTGTTCATGATATCACTCACTGGGAATAATCCATTGCATCTTCAGGAATGTTGATGCCAGGTTGGGGACATGCTGGACAGAATAACACTAATTCCCCAGGGCTGGCATCTTCTGTGCTTGTGTGGGATCCCTGCCATTTCAATAGTTTCAGGAGCCACCACATCCTAGCAACTCTCAGCAGTTCCCTGTACCTATCCTATCATCCAGCTAAGAGTTGTGTTGCAGTGATACAATTCAACAAATAGGACACACTGGCACCAGATGAGGAAAGGCATTGGAGGTTATGCAGCAAAGTTTGCTGTAGAAATTCATCACTGAGGTACCACATTCCACATTGTCCCAAACAAAGTCATCAAGTACTTGGAAGGTAAATGCAGTCCTTGGGGCCTTTGTGGTAGCAGGAAACATCCCAGCCCACATCAGCTGTATGTGTGAATCCTCTGCCCCAGGGCATCTACAATACTGCACATTGCAGTAGTGTATTCCATTGGTGTGCACGACAATTAGACAGCTTTGGTTCTTTGGGGCCTGCAGATTTGGTGGACAACCATCTTGATCCACACCCTCCCAATCATCTTCCTCCTCAGTTGTGACTTCATCATTTGAACAACCACTGGCTGGGCAGTGCTTCCCACCATGCCCAACATGCAGTACCAAACTGGCCTGAATGGTAAATACAGGAACAACCCTCATGATTCAGCTGCTTACCAGCTGCAGGGACAATTCCTCAAAGAATGTTCCATTCCATTGTTCCACCCTGTGGAATGGCTAGTGCTTGTGTTCTGCCCAGCAACACATGGTGCAGAAGACCAGCCAATGTGCACACTCAGTGCACCAAAAAATGCCATCTGCTCCACACAGGATACAATCCCTTGGCTCAGGTGGGGCCTCCATGTCCAACAGGATGGCTAGATAATGCTATTGATGCAGCAACCACTGCTGCAGATAACTATTCTACAATTGTGTGACACTGTCATTGCAGGTTTGTTGGGCAATGTGGCATTCCACACACCTGACTTTTCCAAGGTTTAGAAGGTGTTGCAGGCAATACATCATTATTGGAAGGCAGTTGTTCACCCACATCATCCAACAGGCAGTCAAGGTGATCCAGGATAATAGAGCCAGGCTGCACAGGAGGCTGAGTTGCATGGCCTGGCACCTGCTTTCTGGGTGCTACCTTTACCATCTTATCCCTATATCCTTGGGTGTTTTTCACTCTTTGCCAGGTCACCTGGGTCACTCTTGTAGTGGGTCCCACTGGTGCAATCTTTGACTTCCCCATGGTGAATGTTGCAATGCAGAAGGGTTTTGATCACAACAAATACATGAAGCTGACACATGCTAGCAAGGTCTGACCACCAACTATGGTAATGCTGTCTTAGGATCTGGCACATGATTTCAGTGCTGGCACCTGCATATTGCCTAGAGATCAATGAAATGAATGAGCACTTGCAAAAAGCCTTCTCCTACATCATGCCTATAGTGCCTATACCATCCACAGCATCTCATTGCACATTGCCCAATTACCAAAGATCTCAGATCCATGAAGTCTGAGAGGCACTGCCTTTGCACATGGCTCAGGGATGGAAATCTCATGATTGACTAACAACCTTAGCCATCTTGGGAAACTGTCTGATCAAATGGCATGCAAGAATGGACTAGAAACCAGAATGTAACCTTCATTGACATGGGAGAATGCTGGAAAAGTCTATTCTCTTCAGCAGACATCATACCAGCTGTCCCCAGAAAATTTGCACACAAACACCTCCATCCTCAATGGCATCCAGTGACTATGAAAGTGACTCTTTCTCCAACAACACTGAACCCTCCCTGCCACAAAAGGGGACCAGTCTTCAGCTGGCTGAAATTGAGATTCTTGAGGCCAAGCTAGAGTCATGGAAAAATGCCAACCAAAACAAGAGGAGCTCCATCATGTTAACCCTCAGAAACAAGATAAAGAACCTTGATGCAAATGTAATGCTGAAAATGCATGAATGGGTTCAGAAGAAGAAGGTGTGGCCACCTTCCATTGATTACCTGGCATGTCCTTACCATTTCCAGGCAATTCAGACTTGGTTGTACATCCACAGCTGGAGCTGTAGTCAACAGGCTCTGATCAAATATGGTGGTGGTTGGACACTGAGGAAGGTGGTCATGCACCATCAAAAGAAATCAATCAACAAAGTGTTGGAAGAAGCAGGGATCAAGCAGGGATCTGCAGAAATGATCAAGTCTTATCAGAAGGCTGTCAACACTGTCATGAAGTCCCTTACTGCTGAGGAGATACAGGAGGCTAAGGCATTGGCCACAGAATGGAATGAGCGGCAGCCACCTTGGGATGTTCAGTCAGAGTATGTACCATTTGGCAATGCTGCCCATCACTCACAAGAAACAGAACCACAGAGAAGAAAGGCCATAAATATGCTGAGGAATTTGCTAAGGAAATGTGGAAGCATCATGGTGCCAGGGTGGTAGTGATGGCAGCATGGGAAGATGCTGATGGAGAGGTGATAGTTGGAGCATGAGGAATTTGTTCTTTGTGCAGATGAGTACTGCCAGATTTTGACCAACTCATCCAGACATGATTTCAATGATGAATTGGGTAATGGCAAATTATTTGAGGAGTTGGATGAGTGCTGGGATAAATTCTTAAAGTATGCATGAACAGCATTTGGGAATGGTGGCACCAATGCTGAGTCTCCAGATGAAGATGCCACTCCATGGTCAAGGCAGAGAAAGAGCAATGGGAAACCTAAAACCATCCTGCCAGTTAGTGACAATGGCACACCATACATCCTGAACATATTGGACATGCAGGCACCAAAGTTGAAGGATATCATGCAGACATTTGTGACATTTCACTATCATATGTATAACAATAGGAGAAATACTGTTCTTGACATGCATTACAGGGAAGGCCTGCAGGAATTCACAGGTGACTGTTCCATGGAACACAATAATGACCAACACTGCACTTTATATTGCACCACAGTTTCTGCCACCTGAGGTTCCCTTCAAAAAGCTGAGCCAACTCACCCAGGATGAGTTGACAGCAATCTTGGAATGGTGGCAAGAGTGAAAAGAGCAGCATCCCAACAATATATTTGGCTTCAAGAAGTGGAGAGATGCTGGAGGGTCCCTCCAAATGCCAGTGGCAGTGGCCAACAGCAGTGGAGTGAGGATGGGTGTGAAGCAGGATTTGGATGGGAGCCCAGACCACTTGGCAGGCAAAAGGGCAATGGATAGAATGATGCAGGGTAGGAGGAAGAAGTGATGGCAAACAGGTATGAAGGAATGCATCTGGAACTTAAATGTCTGGCAATATTATCTAATGGGGGACAAAGTTGTAGGGTCTGATTCTGACAATGAATCCAATCTCTGTCAAATACCACCAACATTGCCATCAACAGAAATGATGGTACAGGCACAAGCATGGTAGATGAAGATGCTGCCAAGGCAGTAGCATTGCTGGATGCCAAGTGGCTGAGGGTGACACCTGCCAGCCAATTGGTAAGCCAGCAGGATCACAACAGCCAAATATTGTTAACATTAATGGCTGACATGTTTCAGCCATTGGCAAGGAACCACCACATGCCTGGTGGCAGGTTGTGGGCAGCAACTCAAGCCCTGTGCAACCTATGCCAGAAGGCCACCACACTGATTCACCTGATTCTCTCCAGCTGGCAGATCCTTTGGCAGTGCCAACAACTATCAAGAGAGCCCATAAACAGGAAGATTCAAAGTGCAAGTTGCCCATTCCATCAATGAGTCAGTACTTGTGCCACAGTTGCTGAACTGTTGATTCAATTCATCTCTCAATTCTAGTACCCATGCACCAGACCAGCATAGACAATGCAAGGGGTATGTGGCAATCAAAATGGGTGCAGAAGGCACCAAAGCAGCCTGATGACAATGTTACTACTCCTAGTCCCTCCAAGAAATGTAGGCAATGTTAGCATTTGTATTTTACATGGCCATGGAATGTGATACTACATTTTGACAACCAATAGCTACATTTACAATAAATCCTCATCCAGTTCCAATTCATCCTTGCCATCCCAATTGCTGGTCATCAAATCTTGTATATATTGCTGAGTCCTTGCCAGCTGCTCTCTCCTTGCAAGCAACAGGCAAAACTGGATGCTTGATTCCACCAATATATTGCTGTAGTGGCTGTAGGCCACAATGATTGGCCCATTGGTGGTGGTGTTAAGATGGGGTGGTGTGAGTCAAAGTGTGGTTCAGTGGTGAAAACCAACCAAAACCAACACAAAAGACAAAAAGAGCAAGTGGTGGCGTGCCTATGCAGTACCTAGATGGTAGAACCTGTTCTTTGGGAGGGTTTTTGCAAGCTATAACACTCAAAGATGAGTGCTGAGGGTTGGGGGTGCTCCTGATGAAGAGGGAGCAAGAATGCAATAGAAAGCGATAGGGTAGACTGCTGTCAGCCTACAGAAGGATGGATGGTGACTTAATTTGATGTCCTAAGCTGCATTGAGCTCATGGAGGGCTTGGAGCAAAGTATATTGATGATAGACAAGGATAAGTGAAGTAGACAATAGTTAGACCATTAATAAAGTCTCAACTATCAAAGCTGCTGAATGAATTACTGAGTGATGATAAAATGTGAGCAAGAGGGGCTCTCTGATGTCTTCTTCCTCTTTTTTGCTATCTAAGTACAGTGATTTATATGCAGTACAGGGGTGTTGCCCATGGAAAACAAGGTGCAAACACTTGGTAAGTGATTGGTAACTGATGAGTAAGGAATGTAAGTGATGGGTAATCATCTTGGAAAGCATTGGTAAGCATTGGTAAGGATAAGCAGGCCAAAAGGCAAAGGATCAGTAAGCAAAGTCAAAAGATTGGTAAGTATTGGCAATAGGTGAGTCAAAGACAGTCAAAATGTCAAAGTATGAGTCAAGTAATGTCAGGAACTGGGAAAGTGCACTGGAATTGCATTAGGGGGAGGCTGTGCATGTCACATCTTGAAGAGATCACTTCTAGGCCAAGGTGGGATGACAAAGAGGCAGTGCTGATCTGATGCTGATATAGTACATCCACAAGTGGACAGGGTGAGTCAGATGTCAACAGGGGTCAAGCTTTGGGGGTCTGTGGGGTGAAAGGAGCATAGGGGATTGCAACTTTCCCCCCCAAACCATCCTCTCAGTGAAGCAAATAAAAACTTCATGAATGAGGCTCTGTTGGAAGAGAGGATGAAGGGGGAGGATCTTCTGCTGTATCTTGCAACAAGGAGGCAAGATGTGCATCATACTTGTCATGGATGTGATCAGGGAGAGTGGAGAACAGTAGATTATACTGTAGCTGTTGCAATTTTGGAAGAATGATGGATGAGACTGGTATGAAGACATTGCAGGGAGCAGGGAGGAAGGATCCATATGCTTCTTGGACTGGAGAGACTGAAATGACCACATAAGACTTTTCAAAGCAAGTGACAGACCTGCATCAGTAAACCACTTTGTGTGCTGGCAGTCCTAGGGAATCTGGCCAGCAAAAGTGATTTACTGATGTGAGGTGACCAAAGAACATCCTCCTAGAGGTCATACTGACAAAAAGAACACACTGTCCAAGCTGGATGGGCTGAGAGGGGGCAGACAAAGATGGGATGTACCAGGATGCTTCAGGACAGAAGCTGGTAGGAACTCCTGGTAGATATATGTAGCCATGGTCCCTAGCAAAGGGGACAAGCAAAATGATTGACATGGAGGTGGCCATATCAGAAGAATTAGCAAAATGAGAGTCTTTTGGAGGGAGTGCTGTAGAAACATGTAGAGTGTGCAAATCCTTTCCAATTTTGGAAGGTAGGATTGCATGGCTGAGCACTACAAGTGAGTGTGGGAATTGTCTCAGTATCTGCAGAAACAGTGGAGATATGTTGAAAACTGGAATGCCATACATGGGCACTTAAGAATTTTAATCAGCACTTAACTTTCTCCCTTTCTTTTTCTTTGGCACTGATGACTCATTCTTGTGTGAGGGATGACTGCTGACATTTCTGGCTGTCCTTCTTCACATGAGGGCTATGGTCTTCATCTCCATTCATCAGCTGTATCCATGTCCACCTCACCAAACACCTTTGGTGTGTGACAGTGGGTGTTCATCAGCCAGTCCTGAGAGAAGAACTGCAAGTTGCCATGCTTTTTCCACTGCCAGATGATTGATATATATGTGAGGGATATCATAAAACAACTTACATGTTGTAATTGGCCCTTTGTCATGAATTTCTTGTATACCCAAGTCACTGGTGAACCATTGCAGTGCCAAAAAGTGAGCTAATACACTTAATACTGGCAGCAACAAGAGATGACATGGCACTCACCAGTGGCAGCATCAGTGGCTGTAGGCTGTGGAGATGGTTGCTGTGATGTAGCCAGGATGGGCTGTGGCTCAGAGGCTGCCACACCATATAACTGCTCATCCATACATCCATGCTCCAGGGGAGATGGCTCAGTCTGTGGAATCTGTGCAGATGCTGGTGTTGATCTAGGTGGGGGTGAGACTGCTGGGGAAGATGTTGGTGAATCCCAGCTAGGTGCAATGGCAGCCAAGGATGGCATGGAATGACTTGCTTGCCACAACTCCCATTGTTGATCAGCAGCAGATGGCTGCACCTCTGGTGAAAGTGGTGGGGAGTCCCAGGATGGTGCAAGCATGCTGAGTGATGGCCAGGCAGGGCTGGCATTTGGCAGCATGGAGGATGATGGAAATCCTAGCTGATGGCCCCAAGCTGCAGCATTTGTGGCTGCTCCAAACAGTAGAAATTCAGGTTCATCTATGGCCATATCTGTATCATCAGTGCCTGGCAATACCTGAGGTTTCTTATGTGGGGAGATGACTGGCAAAGGTTATTGACAGTTGTATGTTATAACAACTACTTGCATCAAGTGTCTGGTGTAAGGAATCCACATTCCTTGGATGTGTAAGCCCCTATCATCTACCATTCTGCAACTGTCATTATGTTCCCAGACCTCTTGCATTCACTGCCACTTGCATACTGCCTTCCTGCCTACCTCACTACCTTCCCACACCCTCATTCCCTCTCATGCAATGTTATACCCATGGCCACTGTGCTCTGGTCACTTCTTTTCCATTGGACTCTTTCCTTTATCATGGTCTCTATTCCTTTAGTGCTTGTAGTATACCCTTGGCCTCTGTTCCAGCCTGTCTTGTGTGTACACACTGTCACATGGCTTTCCTTTACTTGTACCCTGTCTTACTTAGGTTCCAGGTTTTCCCAGACTATAAAGCCCTGTACTTAGGTACAGAATGATACCTTTTGGCACTCAGAATGTCACCACAAGTTTCTTTTTCACTTCATCTACACTGCATGTCTTGCATACCACTGTGCATGAACTACATATACTGCTTGCACTGCTCACATCACCAGTACTATTCCACAGACCATGCCATGCACATCATGAATCACTACTGCTACAAAGCACTGGGTCTCACCTTCTAGTCTCAGCAGTCCAGAATCCCTTGGGACAAGCTGTTCATTCCCTTCATTTTTATTGTTGTTATCTAAGCCATCTAGCTCATATTATACAGCTACTTGGACTTTTCCTACACTGGACTGCCCGGCCTCCACCTTACTGACTTTTGCTCCATGATATTCAGCGATCTGTAGAATGTTGATAAGTTGATTGAAATATTGTTCAATTGTGTCACAATGGCAGATTTGGCTATTTGGGCTTGGTTGTCTACCAGCCAGTGTTGATGCCAGCACAATGGTTCATGAAAATATAAAATGTGGCTGCACTGCCAATGCAATTGTCAACTATCACTTGACTGCATTGCTCTTGCACCAGTACCCCACTTCCACAAAAATGTCCCAACATGCTGAAACATCCCAAACCACTGCCACAGCCACTCCCTCTGTTGCTCTCCCATGTGAAATAGTCACTAATGTGGCAGACATAGTCATGGCAGAGCTTTTGATGCTCCATGACCACAGGAACAAGCAATACTGGAAAAGAGCTATGCATGTCATTTGGGAACAGTTGGTTCATGGCATGCCAATCTATTTTTTGTCTGATATTTACAACATTCCAGACCTGCATGTGCCCTTTGGTTGAGGAACTGCCCTTGAAATCCACCATCCCCACCCACATCATTGCCACTGAAATGATTATGAGAGATCCAGTGGTGCTTATGGCATTGAAGGAGTGGCTGAACTATGACAAGATCAGAGATGCAACAGATGCTGATGTTGTGGACCATCCATGGTACCAGATTGAAAGGCCCATCAATAAGGGTAAAGGACATGCAGTTCCCTTAGAACCACTTCAGATAAGTGACACTGCTGCCACTGCTGCCACTGCTGCTGACACTTTGGAAGAACCCCACAGCTGATCAACCAGTTGCACTGCCCCTACTGGCACTTGGCCCAGAAGTTGAAGGCCACAGAAGTGTACAAGGTCAGTGGCAGCAAGTGATGCCAACATTTCAACAGTGACTCCTGGAGCATCCACTGGTCACAGCCACTTAATTGCAGCTCTTGCAACCCCTGCTGCTGGCTATATGCCTGTTGCCAAAGAAGACCAATGTGATAGGTGCATGGAGAAAAATCTGCCATATGCAGTCAAGCCAGGTTCTGTGTGCTGGCAGTGTAGCTGCCAGAAGTACAGGTGCAATATCTTTGCTGGAGTGAAGGCTGCACAGTCACAGTCAAGGCAACCCTGCAGTCACGCTGTAACTGAGGCACCTGATGGAGCAGTGGACTGTCCCCAAACCATCACAGCCACCCATCCCCCAGCCAATGCCATCCTCAAGCCCTTCACCAGGGCCATCAGCCATGATATCCTTGGAACACACCACTCCTATGAGTGACAGGCAGCTGCTAGAAGTATGACACCCACTGCTGGCAAGATAACCACCTCAGCCACTCCAAGCTCCAGCAGGCAAAGTAAGTCCTCCATTTCCTTCATTCCACTATTCTTATTTGAGCCTAACATAGTTTTTGATGGAGTGGTCATCATCACTCCATCCTGGCAGCAGTCAGGTCAACAGACATCAAGCCTGGCATCCCAGGGGGTGGCAATATCCCAAAGCCATCTCACTACCCCATCCTGCCCAGTGACCCCCAATGCCACACCCATGGAGCATATGGAAGAGGAGACTGCAGCATTGCAGCAGCAGCATATGGAGATGACACAAGATCTCCTAGATACCTGCCACAAGCCTGCCAATACCCAGCAGGCCCTTGCAGATACCCAGACTGAGTTGCAGGCACTTTGTGATCTTGTCAAGGCCCTACACCAGTGCCTGTACCCATTGCCACACTCCTCACCCAATGCACCTGGACCCTCCCACCCCTCCCCCATCAGCTTTGCAATTATGAGTCATCAAGCAGTCATTCCCACTGATGGTGCAAGGATACTTGACCTTGCACCCACTACAATGGTCCAGGAGGTTACGATTGATACTGGCATCCTCCAGAACCTCCTAGGTGATATGCTTTTAGCCCCTTCTACTTTCCTGCCACCCACCCACTGTTTTCCATGCTCATCCACCTCTGCAGTAGGAGAAGCCCAGCCCCCTATCTATGTCTCTTTGGGGGCAGCTGCTGACCATGCCAGTGGGGATGATGCCAATGATCAGGATGCCACTAATTGGATGGACATAGATTAACATGTCCATAGAATGTACTATTACCATTTCATTGTTGCTATTCCTGAGAATGATCATCCCCACCTGCTTTTGCTTTACATGGTGCAGATATGGTCTCTCTGGTGTGTGCCATCCCATTTGAGTCTGGCCAGGCAACTGGCCTTGCAATTTATAAATCTGCTGGTACAGCTAAGCTAGTGCACACTGGCAGCACCCTCAAATCATGCATGGTACTTGCCACATATGTCCTGCACAATTGCATGGGTTTAACCCTCTGACTCAGGTTGAGGCCATGCAGTTGTGGCCTATGCTGCTGGCAAATAGCACTCAACATTGCACATTCCTGTCCATGCCACTCAATGCTGGCAACACCCAACCTCTGCTGCTACCTTTTGTGTGTATGCCATCAACACCCACCCCCTGCTGGCACCTCACATTCATGCTGCTAGCCCATTCCCATCTATGTGGCTGCTCATTTCTGTCTATGCCACTTGATGCTGTCAACTTCCACCCCCTGCCAGTACCTCATATCCATACACTGCTACCCCATTCCCACATATACTGCCCAATGCCATTGACACCCACCCCCTGCCAGTACCTCACATCCATGCCACCACCCCATTCCTGTCTATGCCACATGATCCCACCATGTGCTGGCCACTCCATGCCACCAGCTTCTGCTCTGCACTAGTGATTACCACTCCCTGCCTGCTGCTGCTGTGTCATGCTGGTGAGTTCTGCTGGCAATGCATGTTGCACTCTCCTCACTACCCCACCCTGTCTCTATATGCAAAACTATGCTGACACATACTAGTGTATGTGGCCATATGCTTTTGCATCTTCACCAGCTTACCACTTACCATGTTGTGAGATGCAAGAAAATGCCACTTTTGCCTCAGTCATGCTCAGATGGTCCTTGCCACTGGTACTCACCACTCCAGTAATCCACCCAGCATTTGGTGCAATGGCATATCATGTTTCCACCATGTGCTGGGAGTTGCTGCTGTGTGCCACTGTATGCCCCAGACATACCATGTTGTCATGTTGGGCTGCCCTATGTGCACAATGCAGATCTAGTCTGGGCTATGCTATATATGTCCTTATGACATGATGATATTCTATTTGAAGCCTCTCCATGTGACACCTAAAAATATAATTGTAGCCAATTCTGGTGTCATGCATGACAATACAATTGTAGCTGATCCAGAATGACATGTGACAACATAATCACAGCTGATCCCTATGTTATGGGGACAACTCATAGGTTGGCTCAACCTCTGCTGGCCCATGTCACACAACCAATTGTCAACCTCTACTGGCCATGTCACATGGCCTAACTGGGTACATGGGCTCAAACCTAAGGATGATGGAGAAGTAGTCAAGGAGGTGTTCCTTCCAAGTCAGAAAATGGAAGTGACAAGATCACATGCACTTCATAGTCAGTCCCTGACATTTACCAATCCATTCTAGGTAGTGGTTGTTGGTGTCAATGGTCACATGGCCACATGCATCTGTACTTATAGGTTTGTTTGTGCTACTTTACACCTCAGTCATTGTGTCTACAACACTGAGGTAGGTACTATAGCCTCTGAGGACTCATCTGCATACTCATCTTCATAGCATGTCCTCTCAGCTTCTACAGTGGTCCCAAGCCAAATACCAATCCAGGGGGCACATGTCAATTTCCTCAGGAAACTGACTGATGTCAAGAACATAGACCTTCTGATTTTTCTGGTAAATTTTGTGATCTTCATAGAGTGACACCCATTCCATTGCTTATAAAGTGATTTATAGGTGAAGAGCAAGAGTGGGACATGATATCCTGCATCTGCAAAATCATCAATAAGACTGGATATGGATATGGTGTTGCCATCAGGAGTGACAACTGGAGCTTGCTCATCCAGATCAAAGCAAATTGGAAGTTTGACTGTAGACCAGTGAGAGGGAGATGAGCAAGTGCACTCAGCATCAATGAGAGCATCAACAGAAGCCTTAGAGGAGGGAGACAATAGCATATATGCAGCCAAAATCTGCTGACACTGACTTCCAGAATCTCCAGATTGGGTTCTGAGAGTCTTTTGGGGAGGGGGCATTGTGACTGCAGGGGACACACCAACAGGAGGTGGTGGCATGGTGAGAGTAGGAGCTGGAGGAGGGTTATTGAGCACAGTGGGTGCAGAGGTCACAGACTGACCAGGAACAGTAGAGGGCACATTTGACACATTGGGAGCACTAGCAGAGAGAGGAAATATGGTGTCAGTGCAAAATATGAGTGTATGTGCAAGTCAAGCACATGCGATGAAGTTGAAGACAAAGAGTACAAGGGACAACTAAGAGTCATGTGATTACTATGGAACTTGGCACGAGTATCTATGTTCATGAAATAGCATGTTCGCACTACTCCCATGACACTATGCTTTGGGCAGCTATGCATGCCTGAGGGAGGAAAAGGTGCTTCAAAGTCACTTATCCAGACAAAGGTTTCTGCGACTCGTCATCACACATGCTGGCTCAAGTCTTTCCCATACTACAGGCATTTCAAGTAGATTCACCAGGTAGTGGGGATGCCCAACACTCAATGTTTTTCTTTGGTAGAGGACAGCAGCATGCAGACTATGAGGCTTTCTGAATCCTAGGAGGATCAACTCTGAAGCACATTCTCAAGTGTGGCAATGCTTGAGGAATGGGATTGGTCTTTGAAGTGGCTTGGAGAAAATGCCAGGATGGGGCTTCATCCCCAACAGAGTATGATAAGCTTGTAGCACTGCACTTGGGCTGGTGTTTCACCTTGTGCTGAGCCATATACATTCATGGATGCTTTAACCCCCACTACATATGCAACCACTCTGACCAAGAATGCCAGTATGCCTACAATGTAAGTCCCATCTTCTCTCAGCCCTGCTGTCTCACCTAATTGGTATCCCACATCAGCAACTCAGGATGTTTGTCTTGCATATCATGAACTGATTCACATTCACTAATCCTTCGTGGTGTCTATGCTTGCCATGCCATGCTTAACACCCCACCAATGTACAATCAGAGACTTAGTTTCCTTGGTATATTCAAAAAGACTAGCATTCTTCCAGCCATGTATGCTCCAGAAGGACTATGATGTTGGTGCAATAAGCATTCATTGCGAAACCACTTAGGGAAACATGGGAGTCGGAATGCCTGGACATGGGTAATGTGATGGAAGGATGTCCCACATGGATGTAGACTGCTCACATCGAATGTGAGAAAACAGACAGCATGTATGCTGGAGAAGATTTTGTTGAGAATGTGATCTGGAATTACAGTAGCATCTCAGAGTTCCACCCAGAGGGCTCGGAGTTTCTCCCTGACCCTCGGAATTAAATTCCAATGTCAACATGCTTACTAATTACCATACTATAAATTTTCCACACCATTGTTTTCCACCTCAGTGACTACTTCATACACTGAGGTGAGTATAGCTAGATTCCCACTCATTTACTTGGTACTGATGTAGTGTAGAAACTCATACCTTCATTAGGTACTAATATAGTGACTACTTCATACACTGAGAAACTCATACCTTCATTAGGTTATGAGCCCCACTCTCACACTCTAATTCTGAAAGAGTTATTACACAGCAAGAATACCCACTATGGCAAAAGATGATCATTCCTTACAAGTCCCAACCCTAAATGCAGATGGAAGCAACTGGCTATATTACAAGGCTCAGGTTGAATGGGCCATCAGTTTGAAAGGGCTGATCAGACACCTGACTGGCTTGGATGTGAAACCAGAGGACCCTTCAGCAGGGAAAGATGCCTCCTGGAAGCCCACAGCCACAGAGCAAAAACTTGTTAATGAATACCCAGAAAAACTCCGGCAATGGGCTAAGGACAATGGATATGTCAAGCAAGTGATCACTGTGTCACTCCCAGAATCATTGTTCCTTCGAGTTCTGAAGGAAGAGACTGTGAAGAGTGTGTGGGGTGTCCTCACCAACCTTTTCCAAAACCACTCTTGCATTGTCACAATCAATCTTTGGAGAAAACTCCAAGAGTCCCACTGTGCAGAAAAAGGTGATGTCTGTGCTCACTTTGACAAGATGCATGCACTGCATAAACAACTTGCCATGCTTGGACAGTCAATCACAGATGACAACTTCACAGCCATCATCCTCAGTTCACTTCCTGCTTCTTATGACTCCAACCTTGCAGCTATGACATCTTTGGCCCTGGTCATGCAAAAGGACCTATCTCTAGACTTCATCATCAAAGTAATTTCTGATGAATATGATAGGTGCCAAACATGGACTAAGAGAGGCAATTCCAGAAACTCTGGAAATTCCAAAGATGCAGCCTATTCAGTGAAGGACAGAAAGAAGTCTACCTGTGAAAATTGCAGAAAGAAAGGTCATGTGCAAGACCAATGCTGGGAAGAGGGTGGCAGAAAAGCTGGGCAAGTGCCCAAGTGGTTCCAGAACAAAGGCAAAGGGAAAAAGAAGGAGAAAGGCTCTGGAAAAGCAGCCACTGTGGCCAGTGCATCAGCCAGCTCAAGCATGCAGACCAGTGCTGACTCAGAACCTGATGGAGTTTGGCTAGTGCACCTGCAGGATAACAACTGGCTAATGGAAATTGCAGAGGAAGAAATTCTGAACCCCCAGGATATCATTATTGACAAAGAAGATGCATATATGAACACCTTCAACCATGCTCTGCTTGCAGGCAAAAGCCTAAATTCCACAGAAGAGACCATCCTGTTCAACTCTGGTACTTCATGTCATATGTCCTCCTACCACAGCAAATTCCTCAATTACAAGCCAATCATACCCAAACCTATCACCACAGCTGACAATAACACCTTCCGTGCCATCAGAAAAGGCAATCTTGCAATCTCACTCCCAAATGGCACTACCCAGACCCACATTTGACTCAAGGACACACTCTATGCTCCCAAGATGGGAATTACACTTGTTTCTGTTAGCAAACTTGACATCGCTGGGTATGCAGCATTATTCTGTGACAAGCATTGTCAAATTTTTGACACTTGGAAAAAGAAAGTAGCCAAAATTCCAATGCAAAAAGGGCTCTACTGCCTCAAATGAGCCCATCATGCCTTTGCAGGCCTAGCCAAGGCCACAGAATCCCTAACCATGGAGGAGATACACATCAGGCTTGGCCATATCACTCCTGAAGCCATCTGGTGCATGCTCAAGGATGGCACAATCAGCAGAATTAAACTGGACAAAGTGCATTCCACCATGGGCACATGCAACTCATGTGAATATGCCAAAGTGACTCAGAAGGCCATCAGGAAGGAGCACAACCCACCCTGCTGTGAACATCTAGGCGACAAGGTCCACACAGATCTCTGGGGACCTTCTCCAGTCCAAACCCCTGGCCACAGTCAGTACTACATGTCATTCACAGATGACCACACCCACTACACCAAGCTGAGACCTTCACATCATACAAGGCCTACAAAGCATGGCTGAACACACATTTATGGCATTTTGCCACTTTGGCCAGTCAGCTCAGGATTTTGCCTCCTGTACTGTCAACAGATCCAGCCCTTTGACTTCAGCCATCCCTGCCACCATAGCATACATGATGTTAGTGTCATCTTCATCAGTAGCTAGTTCTTTGTTGAGTACATAGGTGGCATCCCCTTGGGATTTAGGGCTGTTAGGATTGCTGTCACTCTCTTGGAGTTCTTTTACAAAGTCGAGAGGGATGCACCCATCACGAGTGCCTTCCCCTGCATGTAGGCGCCTCATATAGTCTGATTCAAAGTGCTGGTGAGTAGAATGATGAAGTTGAGGTGGAGGTGTTTCGAAATTTTCTCCAAGTGGGTCTGGAATGAGTTTTGGGATTTCTGAAGTTGCTTTGGTGGGTCACTTGACTGTCTGTGTGGCCTCGGAATTTCCTTGTGAAGCTGTGGAATTTCATTTTGAGGCATCAGAATTCCCCTGCTCCCCCTTGAGTGGCACACCATGTGGTATGGACACATCTCAGCACTTGAAAATGACACTATGTTCTATGCCAATTGCTCGTGTGTCTGGCCAGTAGATGCAGTGGCCATCACTCTCAGGATCAAATCCTACCCAGTGTCTGTCTCGGGCTCACATGTCTAGTTTGGAGCCAGAGGTGTCATGGACCTTGACACAACATCCCCAGATTGGAATTTCTGAGAGGTCAGGTGGTCATTGGTAGAGCATTTCATAGGGAGTTTTTGTGCCTAGATGGTGAGTCAACAAGCAGTTTTTGAGCCAGGTTGCATGCATGATGGCCTCCCCCCAGAGATTTTTGGGTAGGCCACTGGTGTGAATCACCACAGGTATGCACTCAACAAGTGTTCTGTTGAGTTGTTCTGCAACTCTGTTGTGTTCAGGGGTATCATGGACAGTTATGCATCATTCTGTGCCTCGGGATTTCAGATATTCTGAAAATTCTGCACTAAGATACTCTCCCCCACAATCTGAGTGAAGTTGCTTGACTTTAGTATTGAACTGTGGAATTAAAGTGCCTAGAGGAAGCACATACCTGGGATGTTGTTGAGTGCCCCAAGGGTGCAAATGTTGTAGGATGCAAATGGGTCTTCAGGATCAAACACAATGCCACTGGAGAGATCAAGAAGTACAAGGCCCACCTAGTTGCTAAGGGCTACTCTCAGATCCAGGGCATTGACTATGATGAAACATATGCTCCTGTCACAAGACTCACATCTCTCCACACCATACTAGCAATCACCACACACAATGACTGGGATATCGACATATTTGATTTCCACTTGGCATTCCTCAATGGAAAACTCAGAGATGGTGAAGACATCTACATGGAGCTCCCTGAGGGCTATGCTGTAGGGCGGAATTTTTCCTGTCCAGTTGGGAAGCTAAATGTAGCATTATACAGCTTGAAACAAGGCACACTTCAGTGGTACCAGAAGCTGTGTGCAACTCTCACAGACCTTGGGCTTACCAGGGCACATGCAGACTGGGGAGTATTCTATGGTCGCATAGGATCAGAAATCCTCATCCTCACCAGCCATGTTGACAACTGCACTGTAACAGGCAGTTCCCCATCATTAATTCACTCATTCAAACAGGAGATAAGCACTTGTTTCAAAATCTCTGACCTAGGGCCCATCAGTTGGCTACTCAGAATGAAGGTGATGCAGAATAGAGAAGCCTGCACCATATCCCTGTTGCAGCAGTCATACATCAAGGCTATCCTAATGAAATACAACCTCACTGACTGCAAGCCAGCTGCAATTCCAATGGACCCTGGCATAAAACTCTCCCACAGAGAAATTCCACAGCCAGCTGAAGAAGCTGCACACATGAAAAACATACCCTACCATGCTGCTGTTGGCTCCCTCATGCACCTCACTGTTGGAACATGCCCTGACATTGCATTTGCTGTCTCCACAGTCATGCAGTTCAACAATGCACCCAACATGACTCACTGGGAGGCCATGAAATGAAGCTACAGGTATATCTCAGGCACAAAAGCACTTGCCTTGATGTTCAGAAATTCAGAATGAGGCCTTGAGGGCTATACTGATGCAGATGGAGCTTCACAGGAGTATTGACAGGCTATAAGTGGATATGCCTATCTACTGGATGGAGGAGCTATCAGTTGGGCTTTGCAGAAACAAGAACTCATAACACTCTCCACTGCTGAAGTGGAGTACATCACAGCAACTCATGCAGCCAAAGAGGGCCTGTGGCTTTGACAACTCGTTGGGGAAGTTTTCCAACCACTCAAACACCCTATCCCACTGTATTCCAACAGTCAATCCACCATCACACTTACCAAAGATGGCAGCTATCATGCTTGCACCAAGCACATCAATATACAATACCATTTCATTCATTTCATCAGGAAAATAACACTTTACTATTTTTGACTTTTTGTGACTAATGTGACTTTTTGGGAAGGAATCTACTATCATTACCCATGTCCTGCAGGCATGGCTGCACTTTTCTTGCTGATTTTGGTCTTGTTCAAACCACCTAATTCATAGCTTTCAGTAGATACCACATACATTCAAATTGATGGAGGTTCCAAAGAGATATTGTGATTTTTCTCTCAGACAGTGTGCATCACACCAATGGCTCAATATCTCTGAATTTTCAGACATTTTCTAGTCTTCTTGGCTTAGATATCATCACTTAGTTGTCTCAATAGATTCTGTTCTCTTTTCATTCTTCAAAATGCTGTATGTGGTCAAAAAAAAAAGTACAGATAGTAGGTTCCTTCCCAAAAAGTCACAAATAGTCACAATAGTCACAAAAAAGCCAAAAACAGTCACAAAAAGGTCAAAAATAGTAAAGTGTTAATTTCCTGATGTTTGCTGTGGAAAATCATTCCTCTCATTTAATTTATTGTCCTACTGATGACATGGTTGCCAATACCCTTACCAAACCTCTACCTAGCATCAAGGCGAAACACTTCACATCTGCACTTGGACTTTGTTCCAATTGAGGGGGAGTGTCAAGAATGTGATCCAGAATTATGGTAGTGTCTTGGAGTTTCACCCAGAGGGCTCAGAGTTTCTCCCAAACCCTCAGAATTAAATTCCAATATCAACATGCTTACTAATTACCATACTATAAATTTTCCACACCATTGTTTTCCACCTCAGTGACTACTTCATACACTGAGGTGAGTATAGCTAGATTCCCACTCATTTACTTGGTACTGATGTAGTGTAGAAACTCATACCTTTGTTAGGTACAAATATAGTGACTACTTCATACACTGAGAAACTCATACCTTCATTAGATTTCAACGAAGTGCAGAAAAATGCCACGATGGCTTCAAACTATTGCTGGACCAGGTGATCAAAATTGACGGCTTCCATGGTTAGGATTTGCCTAAACATTTGTGATGGTGGCCAGACCGAGATGTCTGACGCCCATTGAGTACGCTAATGCGGTAAGCTAGCCTGCTTAGATATTAGATTTAGTCTCCTCCTGCAGGGCATGTGCAGAGGTCTGGACCAAGCCAGACTCAGAGACTGCGCTACCCAAAGCATACATCGTTGTAACGGAGATAACGAAGGATTTGATATACAGACGCGGACCTGGGAATATGCGGGCAAGGACTCGTGAGCCCATGCAGGCGTCATCAACCCTGGGTCGTGCATCCGGCAATATTCCCAGAATTCGGGATAGTAGCCGGCGGTCTCCCAGTCGATGATCCCTGCGCTCGTGGAGCCTTCGACGAGAATATTCTGAGGGAGAAGGTCGCCGTGAGTGAGGTAGGCATTTGCCTCTGTGGGCAAGGAGCTGAACAGTTCATTCACGAATTCTTCTCCACAGATATCGAGGAATATGCTGCGATAGTAGCCGAGGTACTCCTGGATGCTCGAAAATGCGTGTGGAGGTTGTCGGGGGTAGGGCATGAACCGGTTATTGTACGGACCACCAGTGACGGACCCGATCATCGTGCTCGTGTATGAGCGCATGTCTTTGAGAACGACAAGCAGCTGATCAGCGATGTGGTTGAGTTCGATAGGGGACATGCTGCCAATAACGGTATTCAGGGGCACGTCACGGCATTCTTCCATGAAGAAATACCACACGCTCTTCGTGTTCCAGTTCCAGGGCTCGACGACGGCGTTGGGGAAGGGGGCGTGATGTAACACACGAGGTATAGGGACAGAAAGGCGTCCGTGAACGAACTGCAGAGCACGGACTTCAGCGTCATGGTCCCAACCGAACTTGACCAGAATACCGAGTGCGAATCTAGAGACGGGCTTTTCTCCACCTGGAGTGACACGTTCCAGGGCTACAAGCTCCTCCGCGTTGGCCGGTGAAGGGAGAATACCCTTTGAGGTGTCTGGAGCACACTGAACAAACGAATATGAAAGACAATATCGGGAGATTGTAAAGGACTTGCGGTCGCTGATGGCATAGCTGAAGATGGGCGATAGGAGAGGCGCGGAAGGCGAGTTCGAGAGCGGTCGAGAGCCGAAACTGGTTTACTTATTTACATAGGGAGTGGTACAAGCGAAGTTCGAAGTTCGAATGTCCTTTATTGAGTCGTGCGCGTGAGGCACGCATGACTCCTCGTTCATATCACTCTTCCAAGTTCCATCCCGGAGAATTGGATCAGGGATTAAATACCCATTACAGAGCATGTCTATGTTCTTCGAAACAACCGTTCCACAACGCTCAGAGGTGGGTTCGTCACCATCTGTTTCAATGATCCAGAGCGGGTGCTTGATCAAGTGACTCCCCGCCATCATACTCTTCGAAGCTTTACTCCGCAGAATCGGATCGAAGTGGTTCTTCGCTACAGATCTATTGTAGTACTCATTTAGGGCATGTCTATTGTTTTTCAAAACAATCGTTCTACTGCATAAAACTCAACAGAGGTGCACTCGTCACCATCTCTTTTATGTTGGGAAATATATAAATCATTGACAAGGGAAACTTCTGCATTACTCATGTTACAGAACTCGAGCGGGCAGGACAAGACACTTGCTCTGCCTAGGCAGTCACCTCCCAGAAAGGAGGGTTGCGAGAGTGGAGTAGCGCCAGTCCCGTAAACTGCATGAATAGTCGCTTCCCTGAGTCTCAAGTCTGCCAGGCCATCTACGTTTTGAACCTCTTTCAGGCTGTCACCGCTTGTTTCATTAAACCCGCTTCTACTTTACCCTCAGTGAGCCCTTTTACCGCAAACTACATTCCTTAATCTCATTTCCTCAAGACATGGCTGCCGCAGCTCGTCGTCTCGCTATCAACCCGTTTGGTAATCAGTACCCGGATAACGACACCACGAAGGAGATTGTGCTCCAGGCAGACGGTTTGGTGGCAGAAAACCCCGATGACCGTCACGTTCTTCTTCAATGGACGAATGGGGTTGATCTAGAGGGAAATAGCTACACTCAGATTATCCACCTCACCGGTGGACCAGGCAACTACCAATTCCACACACCGCAGGTCAAGATTGACTCCGATCGATCCACACAGGGAAACACATCTTACGTTCTTGGCCAGTACACCCGGACACAGCGCGACCAGATTATAGCACTTGCAAAGGCCGTTAAGTTCAACAAAGAATCCCGTGTCAATAACTGCCAGACCTGGATGCGTGACTTGCTTGAGGCCATGGTCAATAATGGACTCCTCTCTTCAGAAATATTCAAAAAGCTCGATGCTGGCGTTCCGCTCAAGAAACGTGTTCCTGAGCTCTCGCAATAAATTACCTAGGCTATTGGTGCCACTCAGGTATTTATTGTGTGCCCTCTGAACCTGTATGCCATGCTTATACAGATCTGCAGCGGAGCGTGCACGTGTGTTGCACCTCATTGCTTCGGATATCCTGACAGCGTCTATATGGCTTAAGGATAGCGATGTACTCTATATAAAGGAACGACACTGTCAAGTACTTGTACACTTACTACATCGTCTGGCACGACTGACTTTATCGTTTGGCAATCAAGATGTTCATCCGTCATTTTTCCGCTGATCGACTTCCCCGTACCTGGCTTTCGAATCGGGGTGCCCTGCATCGCTTTAGTTAATTAGTGAATTAGTATGGGAACTAGCAACCTGTTGTCTCACAGCCCACTGGCGATTCACAGCTATGTTCTTCATCACCAGAGTGGTGAGGTACAGTACACCGAAGCGCCTGGCGAAGATCAAGCACGTCTTCTCACCCGAGCGCGACGGAGCACCGTTCGACTTCCTGTATGCCACATCCACGTATAAAACAGAGGGCTAATTGCCATACCTTTTGGGTGCAAGTAACCCGCGAAGCCCGACACTAGCTGGTGCCCTCCCTGACAATCCCACTGTAGGTGGGCACGGCAACTCTTGCGGGGTGGAAGACCATGCTGGTGTTTGCTGTGACACCGTCTGATTAGGGGTTAGCCCGGAAACAGGGTTGGCAGTAATATGTAGGAGATTGTTCTCGAAGAGCACATTCAAGAAATAGTGACAATACAGCATGCATGACGACGAGGCTACCGCGATGCCCCACTCGGCTGTAGTCAAAGAGCCATCAGTATCAAAGTTATCAGTCTTATCATCTCCAAGCAGCTATTAGCCTTGACCCGGGTCCCTTGAACGTCGTACTTGCACTTCCCCTTACACTGCAAAGACATCTCAGCAACCAGGTCAGCATGGTATTCCGCAAAAGGTTGTAATGTACCACAACATTCACGAATACGAGGGCCCTTGGATGATTTTTTCCCAGAATTGGTACAGTTGGGGAATGACTGAACATCGCTGCCAGCTTCTCAGTAGCGCTTGAAGGGGGGAATTGTCTCATGGATAATTTTTCTTCTCAACAATCCTCGTTGACATCTGGTAAGCGACCCCGAGTGAGTGATGTGAGGCATTATTTGCGACGTCACGTAGCAGGAAGATGGAGAGCACTTAGAACAAAGAAAATGTGTAAGTTAGCAAGAAGAAACACGGCCGCACACGCACAAGTGACAGTGCTCAAAGAAATCTGGCTGCCTGAAGAGAAGGTGGATGCGGAGTTCGCAGTCGGATACAGCAGTGGTTAAGGGTGACTGGGAGTTATCTGAGGTGGTAACGTGTGGTATGTACCAAAAGCTCTGGGCGAGAGCAGACGCCGGTTGGAGTAGGGCAACAACCATACGATGCAATCTGAGGCCAGGAGCAGCGCTGTATCTTTTGATCTGACTCGGAGTGGCACAGAGGCAAGTGCGAAAGCAAGGCACGTGATCAGGCAACGCATGAAAAATTCTCTTTTGTGGCCGTTCCGCTGAAGAGACTGGCAAGTAACCCCTTCTTTGATGCACAGGAAAAGCTGGTTCAACGAACGCTACTTCCGAATACTACTGCAAATCCCCTCGCCGGCTTATACTCTATCACTGCACCTCCTGTAGAATCTACCACCAATCCGCCCCCGACCAGCAATGCTCGATCCCTACGATCTCTCACTCGAACGTCTCCTGCGGTGGCGGAGGGGCGCCTTCGCGTCATTTTCATGCAGTCGTCTATTTATTCCCGAGGTTCGTATCTAGCGAATGAAAGCGGCGAGGATGGCACCGGTGTAGCAGCTTTCCCCTACCTTCCGACTCAGATTTGCACTCATACTTCCGCTCCTGTGGTGCTCAAGACTGTCCAATTATATCCTCAGCCATACCTGTACACCTGTCCTGCTTCCGAGTACGTATGTTATTTCGTTTTATGTGCCATCTGCTGTTTCCATGTTGTGTCGCGTACGGGCCAGGGGTGCACGCCGATCTGGCATCGACACCCACTTGGTCATTCCTTTCATGTGTTGCCTTGTGTATGTTTTTCTCGCACCTTGATTGATAATGGAATGTGCGTTTTCCTTGTGCCAGTATGTCCTTCCACTTGCCTTTTTTTCAATTTCACCCTTCGTTCCGTCTTACGTACTACCAGAATGCATGCAAACACATCTGGTGAACCAGGTACCACATTGTACGGCCTCTGAACGGTTTCACACCATCACAGGGCAGGAAGAGACGCATACATTGGAAACCGTGCTGTGCCAAGCAATGTAACAAGTATATACAGTATACCAATACCGAGGAATTGCGGCACACCTAATGATCTGCCGACTATCCCCTGATACGTGTCGTGGAGTAGCCCCTGGTGTCACCCTGTATGTCCTTTTCTGCATACACCACAAACGGCCAGTACGCAAACTCCCAAGTCGCTGAGATGTACTTGTTGGGCAACGATAGGAATATATCTCATAACTTCCTCTGCGTTCAAGGTGCGTGTGGTACGACCTCGAGTGGGACGAACGCGACTTCATGCACAGTAAATCTGAGTGCAACCTGGGAGACACGGCGCTATGCTATTCATTTCATTTGTGGCACGAGGCAGGTTGTGAACTCTATCAGTCCGACGCACTCGGTAGCTGACGTTATATCAGCAGTCACGAGCCTGCTCATGTCCTTCAGAAGAAAGGCAGCGGTAGTTCCGCAGACGTTAATTTCGCCAACAAGGGTCCCCACCAGCGACGAAGTCAGCGATCGGCTATGGGTCGGCATAGGCAGTACCTGGAGGTCCACCAACGAAACCAGTTTCAGGAAGGGCGCATAGCCAGTTTCCCTTACGAACGGCGGCCTCGCACCACTGGATCAGGTGGGCATGCAGTATCGCAGAGTATCGCCATTGCGTTTGTCACAGAGGGGGACTGACTAAGAAGCTTGAGTTCTTGGGGAGCATCAGACATCCAGGGACGTGTACGGCAGGGCCTAGAGAAGGGGTGGGGCCTATGCTTTTCGCACGCCTGCGCCAGCCCCGTGCCCTCTCTCTCCCACAAACGTCCACCAACCGTTGCTCTGCTGGTGAGCGCCTCCCCAGTTCTTCAAGTTGTGTGACTCACTCGAGCAGCAGAGCCCAGTTTCTTCTCGCCTTTCTAACCAACTTACGCATTTCGCATCTACTGGTGAGTTCCTATCGGACGATCGTTGCGTTATATGCATTGACCTGCGTGTGACGTTATCCACAGTTTGTGCTTCGTACCGACATCCAAGGTTGCCTGCTCGAGACTTCGTGTCTTTACTGTGGGTTCTTTTGGGTTGCTTGGTTAGCGTCGCTGATTTGAGCAGCGTTCAGCTGACCCTCAAAATCGCTCACCAGGTTTCTTTCTCGTTTCAAAGGGTATGACTTTTCTGTCCCTGTCTTATTGCAAGTGATCACCGAACCTAGCACGAAGGCAGAACCGTTTCCGTCGTGTATATCATCCTGGTGTAACGACGTTCAATGTCTTCGACAGACGAGGTTTTCCTCAGACGAAAAAACTTGGAACAGTATCCTCCAGGGGAAGGTGGCCGGTATGATGCCCTCCTCCGCCTAGCGTGCGCACTCCATGAGAGATAAAAAAAGAGCGTGAAATCGACGACTTGAACGAGGCGATCGATTTGCATCGCGCTGCTTTGAAACTCCGACCAGTCGAAAGCGTGTGGTATCATCGGTCCAGGTCACTCAACAATCTTGCTTGCTGTCTGTCGGATAGATATGACGAGCAGGGAGCAGTCAAAGACTTAGAAAGAGCCATCACGCTTGGACGTAGAGCACTAGGGCTCCGTCCACCTGGGCATCCTCTTCGTGGTGTCACTCTCCACGATCTCGCCGCCTACCTCAACAGCAGGTTCGACGAACAGGCTGCAATCGGCTGCTTGGAGGAAGCCATCTCGCTTTCACGTGCAGCACTAGAGCTCCGTCCACCAGGGCATCCTGATCGTGATGCCACTCTCAATAATCTCGCTCTCTACCTCAAGAACAGGTTCAACCAACAGGCTGCCATCAGCGACTTGGAGGAAGCCATCTCGCTCGCACGTGCAGCACTAGAGCTCCGTCCACCAGGGCATCGTCATCGTGATGCCACTCTACAATCTCGCTCGCTGCCTCAAGGGCAGGTTTGACAAACGGGCTGCCATCAGTGACTTGGAGGAAGCCATCTCGCTCTTACGTGCAGCACTAGAGTTCTGTCCACCAGGGCATCCCGATCGTGGCAAATATCTTTACGACCTTGCTCACAACCTCTGGACAAAGTTTCAGAAACAAGTTGACATGCCTGCGTTGCACGGCGCAAATTCTCTTCATCAAATCGCGCCGGTGGTCCATCCAACAAGCACGGCTGATCTCGCATCTTCGCTTCTCAAGCTCTCACTCCACCTCTGGGACAGGTTCCAGAGGGAGGCCGCGGTAACTGACTTAGACGATGCTATTTATTATGCAACGTATGCTCTGGAACTTCGGTTACCACGAGACTCCCATCGCGAGAGAGCTTGGGTTCAGAGGCTAGCCCAGGGCACCGAATCAGATGCACCTGCCGTACTTGGTCGAGAGATAGACAATCTAGGCGCTCTGGTCAATTACTTTGTGAGGCATAGATCTGGCGATTAACGTGCGACTGTCGGCCTGAACAAGGCCATAATACTGTGTCGATATGTACTGCACTTCCGCCCCACTGGCCATCCTATTCATGCTTCATCCCTGAATAGCCTGGCACAGTGTCTAGCAGACCGGTTTCGTCGACAATCCGCCACAGCGGATCTCGACGAGGCTATTTTGTTGGAGCAAGAAGTCTTGCAGGTACTCATACCCGGAGATCCTGGTTACGATTTATCCCAGTGCTCCCTTGCTACCTACCTCCGCCTGAGGGTCGAGTCACGAGCTGCGGTGACGTCCTCCAATGTCTCACCTGTTACCCACTTTGATGTCGAACAACTCATCCGTAATGTCGCATTCGAAATCCTCAAAACCATACCAACCAGGCTGCTGCACACGCATACTGGCATCCTGTGCAACCGGCATGCGCAGTTGACTCAGTTTATGAACAGCCAACAGTACAAACGGCTGGTGTCGCTGTGCACAGTATGCGACCCAGGTCAGCGAATGGAGCAGGTCCATACGGCTATCTTGAAATACTTTCAGTACGTCATGCTTTCTCACCGTTGGGGTGAAGACGAGCCATCATTACGCGACATCGAGGGCCACCTGATATATGATATGTCAGCAAAGGAGGGCTTTAAAAAGCTGCAAACCTTCTGCGCTGTTGCTTGCGAACGAGGTTTCCTGTGGGCATGGAGTGACACGTGCTGCATAGACAAAGACAGCAGTGCCGGATTGCAAGAAGCCATAGGATCGATGTTTGTGTGGTATCGGCGGTCTTCCCTAACCACTGTGTATCTCTCTGATGTTCTGGATACCGGTTCGTTCGGGAGCAGCGAATGGTTCAGACCAGGTGGACTCTCCAAGAACTACTAGCCTCCCGAAGCATATTATTCTACACTCAACCCTGGTCACTTTACAAGAGCCTCACGTCTTCGAACCATAAAACTGATATCGCGGTGCTGGAAGAGCTGGAGAGGGCGACTGGAATAGAATCCCGGTTCCTCACTCATTTTTCCCCAGGTACGGATGACGCTCGTTCGAGGCTCCAATGGGCGTCATTACGTTGTACCACGCGGCCTGAGGATATCGCCTACTCACTTTTCGGGATCTTTAATCTTCATCTTCCCGTTCTGTATGGTGAATCTGCTGAGAACGCGCTTGGGCGTCTCCTGGCAGAAATCATCTCGCAGTCTGGGGATATCTCAGTTCTGGATTGGGTTGGGGAGGCGTCGCCGTTTCATAGTTGTTTCCCTGCACAGATCACCTCGTTCCAAACGCTACCGTTGCTTCGACCTCGACCTAATGCGGAAGAACCGTCAGCGGCGATAAGTCAGGGTCCCCCACCAATATCATTCGAAGATTCATACTCCCCAGGTGACGCGTACGACTTCCACTCGCTCACTAGGGTGCCCCTTCCACGTTTTCTCAATCGCCGCCTCATACTACCATGTATTGCCCATTGTGTCACCTTGGTTCATCTGAAAGGGTCAGATCCATTCGCAACGAGTTACACGTATAACATCCAGGCATTCGGTCTGAGGTCACTTGAAACCACACTGCCAAACAAGCTAGAAGATGTAACGCGGCCACAGGGTCCTCTGCATCTTGTTCGCCCTTGGCACTCGAAGCTTCCTGGTTCATCTGCCGAACTAGATGCTGCGACTGAAGAACAGCTGCTCTCTACACTTGAGTGGCCATTTAACGCTCTTTTGTTGAGTCAACTACCTCATAACGAGCACAAAAGGATGGCGTCTTCTACTCGCATTACTGCTCAGCCCATAGACCAGGCCAGCATTCTGAAATAGCAAAATTCGGATATTCAATATTGTGTAGATAGCCACGGCGTTATGATATCTTGGTATCAGTATTGACGTTGTCCTGCCGTTTACTTTTTGTTCTCCTTCGTCCGGTCGTATCTTGTAGGAGTACGTGCGTGTATATGTCCAGTGAACTCCAGTCTGACTGCTGTGACTGACGGCCTAACGGGGACGACTACGGAGTACACGAACTCTGCATTGTAATGAAATATTGCAGGTGGACTCATAAATACATACGAACCGAACACTATATAATGGGCCCCCTTTGACCATTGGAGCACAAGTTGGCATAACGAAGACGATTTACCTACGTAAAGATCTCAAAAAGTGAGTAAGCGATATCCTCTGGCCGAATGGTGGAACGTGCATCGTCCACACCCGGAGAAAAGTTAGTGAGGAACCGGGACTCTATTCTAGTTGTTCTTTCCAGCTCTTCCAGCACAGCGGCATTCATTTTATGATTCGGAGATGTTAGGTTCTTGTAAAGTGACCACTTTTGGTTGCAGAATGGTACGACTCGGGGAGCCAGTAGTTCTCGGAGGGTCCACCCGTGCCTGAACCGAATGCATTCACTGGTCCCGAACAATTTGTTCAAGAGGTAAGTGTTGGTATCAGCCTATACACGTGTACCATAACGCGGTGGCTTGAAAACGACCATGCAGCGCAACACACCGATGGCGACAGCGCGACCCGTCTCATGCGAAGCTGATGGTTTGCTCGCAGGTGATGCCGCACTCGTCCGGCCGGCCTCCCCTGAGGCACTCAACATGGCCCATGCATCGCTAACAGCAGACATGGCAGTGCTGCACGCGACCTTGAAAGAATTCAGTTATTCATTGTCAACAGACGTAAGGGAGATTCGACAACAGCTCAGCAACCTCAGCAATTTGGTTGTAAAGGCCATAGTCTCGACCTCCGCACGTTCAACCCCACTCTCTGGCAATGACGCTCAGGCAATGCCAGTGATCAGTGAGCCTGTTCATTCTGTAACTCCCACTGCGTCAACTGACCAGCCACATATATGAGCCCACCGACACTCGCCTGCACAGACCACGACCTCGATCCTCCGGCGATCCAGTCTGTTTCTATCCCAGCCACCCAGTCCCTGCCACACCCATCGCCTGCACACTAGACCGGCACAACCTTGTCGTCTCCAGTGATCCAGTCCGTTTCCATTCCACTTGCTCCCAGTGTGCAACCGACTCGGATGCAGTTCAGGGTGCCACAGGCCCTCGAACTGTCAGACGTCTCCATCTGGGCGACCCTCCCTTCACATACTAGACCCCAGAGGACCACCACCCGCTCCTTTTCCTCCTCTTAGGAGTGTCCATTCCAAACGTGCCTGTCTTCCATGTGGATAGGGTACGGACGCCAAAGTCCGACTCCTGGAGGGGCATTTTTCGCCATTGGACAGTGGGTGAGCCCCGGCTTGGCCAGCACATTCCGCTCAAGAACTGGCCACGCCACTACTACAACGGGAAGGATGGACGGCGATTCAACACGAAGCACTACCAACGAAAGGTCATCGCGACGGAATTTGTCAATGAGTAAGTTCGTTCGTCACACTGCCAGGCTTCTTCCCCCCTCTGAGTCTATTTTCCCCCAGATTTCAAGGAGATGAGGAAGCCTTCCTCAAGGTTTATGGAAGTGCCGCCCGTCTATGACACACAAGGCTCCTCAAAGCAACCTTGGACGCCCGCAAATGGTATTGTGGGGACAGGGAGCGCTGTCATTGCCTCCCAAACGATGTCAGCAACAACTCCTCGATACTGCCAAGCAGCGGCGAGCAGCAGTGATGGTGATACACGTCGCACCGGTCCGACATTCCACCTCGGCGGCCCTTACTGACCATACTTCTTCTCTTGTTCTTTTTTACTTAAATTTTCGGTAATACATTCCATCATGACAATGTCTCATCCCCGGATTGTGTTACTACTATGTCGTCAGGTTAGGCTGATACCTCCGACGTGCCAGCACGCGCCGCTAGTAGCACTACACGTGAATAATCATATCTGTCCGTCCGACTCCGTTGCAGTGGCATGTCTGACTGGCACCCACCATAGCGTGCGGCGTAGACGGTGGAGTATAACAAAGTGACTCGGATACGACGCTCAGCAGTTCAGTACTATCGACCGATTCGAACGTGCGACGACGCCGATGCATGTACACACCATACATACATACCCTGGTCTATACACTGATACGTCCGTTACAGACAAAGCAGTACTAGATCGATCCCGCAGACGCATCTCAATCACGTCATGGATATCCCGGGTCGCCATAAATTGAACATATCTACACAATATGAAATATCCTGACTTTGCTTTTCAGAATGCTGGCCGAGTCTGCGGGCTGAGCAGTAATGAGCGTAGAAGACGCAATCCTTTTGTACTGTGAATGAGGCACTTCAATCAGCAGAAGAGCATTAAATGGCCTTCCAAGTGTAAGAAGTAGCCGCTCTTCACTTGTGGCGTCTAATACGGCAGATTGACCCTTCGAGTGCCAAGGGCGAACGAGCTGCAGAGCCCCTTGTGAGATGGTTGCACTTTCTAGCTTGTCTGGAAGTTCAACCTCCAGTGGTCTCAGACCGCATGCCTGGATTTTGTATGTGTAACTCGGTGCCGATAGATCTTCGCCTCTCAATTGAGCCGCTATGACGCGGTGGGCGATGCACGGCAGTATAAGGCAACGGTTGCGGAATCGCGGAAGGGGTACTCTAGTAAATGAGTTGAAATCATACACGTCGCTTGGTGCGTATGAATCCGGAGTTCGCAGCCGATCCGCCGGAGCAATGCTTGATGGTGTCAGAGAACGACTGAGAAATTGGGGGAGTAGAGACGTGGCGAAGTTACGCAGTACCTCGAATGACGAGAGCCCCTGACTTATCGCCAATGACTGTTCTTCCGAATTAGGTTGGAGTCGAGGCGATGGCAATATTTGATACGAGGTGATGTGAGCAGGGAGACAGCTATGAAACGAAGATGCCTCCCCGACCCAATCTAGAACCGAGATATCCCCAGAATCTGATATGATTTCCGCCAGAAGACGGCCAAGCGCGTTCTCGGCGGATTCGCCATACAGAACGGGAAGGTGAAGATTGAAGATCCCAAAAAGCGAATAAGCAATATCTTCGGGTCTGGTGGTGCGACGCGATGATGCCCATTGCAGTCTCGAGCGTGCATCATCCATACCGGGAAAAAAGTTGGCGAGGAAACGCGATTCTATTCCAGTTGCCCTCTCCAGCTCTTCCAGCACGGCGACATCGGTCTTATGATTCGACGGCGTTGAGCTCTTATAAAGTGACCAGTCTTGGGTATAGAATACTACGGTTTTGGGAGCCAGTAGTTCTTGGAGGGTCCACCCGCGTCTGAACCATTCGCTGTTGCCGAGAAAACCAGCACCGGGAACATCAGAAAGGTATACGATGGTCAAGGCAGACTGCCGATACCACGCGAACATTGACCCTATCGTTTCTTGTACCTCGGCACTGCTGTGTTTGTCGATGCAGCACGTATCGCTCCATGCCCATATGTAATCCCGCTCCAAAGCAACACGACAGAAGGCTTGGAGCTTTCCAAAGCCTCCCTTGGTTGACATGCCATATATCGAGTGGCCCTCGATGTCGCGCAATGATGGCTCTGCATCACCCCAGCGGTGAGAAAGCGTGACGTACTGGAAGTGTCTCGAGACATTAGTGTGGACGAGTTCCATTTGCAGGGCCCGACTGCCTGTTGTGCACAGAGACACCAGCCGTTTGTACTGTTGACTGTTCAAGAATTGTGACACCTGCGCATCACGGTTGCATAGGATGCCAGTAGGTGTGTGCAGCAGCCTGGTCGGTGTAGTCTTAAGGGTTTCAAATGCAACATTACGGATAAATTGCTTAACGTCAAAGAGGGTAACACTTGAGGCATCCGTGGACATCGTAGCAACCTGTGAGTTGAACTTCGTTTGGAGGTAAGCCGTAAGATAGACCCGGGACTCGTCGTAACCTGGATCTCCACGTACGAGTAAATCGAGGACTTCTTGCTCAAGGGCAATGGCGTCGTCCAGATCAGCTGCTGTGGATTGTTGACGAAACCGATCTGCTAGACACTGTGCAAGGTCGTGAAGGGACGAAGCGCGGCTGGGATGTCCAGTAGGGCGGAGTTGCAGCATATATCGGTAATATGTGATGGCCTCGTTCAGGTCGACGATTGCGTGCTGAATTTGGTATCTGGCCCTATAGCAATTTGCAAGGACACATAGATCGTCTGCCGCTTGACCAAGCATTACGGGTTCGCCAGAGTCTGCCCCCTGGGCTACCCTCTGAACCCATGCTCCTACGGAAGCATCTTCATGAGGTAGTCGGAGCTCTACAGCACACGTTGCAAGACAAATAGCATTGTCTAAGTCGGTCATCGTAGCCTGCTTCTGAAACCGGTCCCACAGGTATAGTGAAAGCTCGAAAAGGGAAAAGGCGACATCGGCCCTGCTTGTTGGACAGACCACCGACACCGACTGATCAAGGAAAATTTCCCTGCGCAACTCGGGCATGTCAGCCTGCTTCTGAAACTTCTTCCACAGGCTGCACGCAAGGCTGTAAAGAACTACGCCACGATCGGGATGCCCTGTTGGACAGAGCTCTAGTGCCGCACGTCCAAGCGCGATGGCTTCTTCCAAATCATCGACTACCCCCAGCTTGTCATGTCTATTTGACAGACAGAGAGCAAGCTCATGAAGCGATGAGGACCGATCAGGATGTCCGATGGGACGTAGCTCCAAAGCTGGGCGGAGCAGCTCAATCGCCTCCTGCAAATTGCCGATCACAAGCTCTTTCGCGAACCTCCTCCTGAGGTCGCAAGCAAGGTTGTGGAGAGATGAACCATGATCGGCATGCCCAGGTGGACAGAGCTCTAGCGCTTTACGTTCAAGCGTGATGGCTTCTTCCAAGTCATCAACTACCCCTAGCTTGTCATATCTATTCGACAGACAGAGAGCAAGTTCACGGAGTGACGAAGACCGACATTGATGTCCAGAGGGACGTAGTTCCAAAGCTGCGTGGTGCAACTCAATCGCTTCCTCCAAGTCGTGTATTGTAGCCTGCTTCACGAACCTCTTCCTTAGGGCGCAAGCGAGATCGTGAAGAGATTCATCACGATCGACATGCTCCGGCGGACGGAGGTCTAGTGCTGCACGTCCACGCACGATAGCTTCTTCCAAGTCGTCGACTATCCCCAGCTTGTCATATCTGTTGGATAGACACAGAGCAAGCTCATGGAACGTCGAGGACCGATCAGGATGTCCAGGGGGACGCAATTCGAGAGCTGAACGGAGCAGTTCAATCGATTCCTCCAAGTCGCGGATCGCAGCCTTCGCCGTGAACCTCCTCCTGAGGTCACAAGCAAGGTTGTGAAGAGATTCGCCATGATCAGGATGGCCCCGTGGACAGAGCTCTAGTGCTGCACGTCTGAGTGTCACAACTTCGTCCAAGTCATCAACCATCCCCCTATCTTCATATCTATTCAAGAGACAGAGGGCAAGTTGATCAAGCGATGAAGACCGTTCAGGATGTCCAGGGGGATATAGTTCCAAAACTGCACGGTGCAGGTCAATCACTTCATCCAGGTCCCGCATGTCAGCCTGTTGGCGGAACCTCCATTCGAGGTGAGTAGCAAGGTTGTAAAGACATACATCACGATTGTAGTGTCCTGGTGGAGAGAGTTCTAGTGTGTCACGTTCAAGTGTGATGGCTTCTTCTAAGTCGTCGACTGCCCCCTGTTGGTCATACCTAATCCCAAGACAGAAAGCGAGGTTGAGGAGTGACAGAGACCGATCGTCATTCCCGACTGGTCGCAGTGACAAAGCAGCACGGTAGAAAGTGATCGCCTCGTTCAAGTCGTCGATTTCTTCCTCTTTATCGTATCTTTCGTGAAGGGCGCACGCCAGGTTGAAGAGGGCAACATCCCGGTCATCTTCCCCAGGAGGACAGCGTTCCAGCTCTGCTCGCTTCTGAGAAACGTCGTCTGTTGAAGCCATTGAATGACGTTACGCTGGGATGATGATATACACGGCAGAAATGGCTCTACCTTCGGACCAGGCTTAATGGTCAGTTGCAATAAGACAGGAACAGTCAAACCTACGTTGTCCTTGGAACTGACAGAGAAACAGAGTGACCAATCTTGAGTGCCAGAACGCTACCCCAATCTGGGCGGCTGATTGGAAAGCGCAAAGAACCCGCAGGTAAAGACACAAGGTACAGAACAGGCAAAGATCCTGGCGGTCGGTAGAGAGAACGAAGCGTGAATAGCGTTACATGGAGGTCCATGCGTATGGCGCAGTGATGGGCCGATAGGAACTCACCAATAGGCCCGAAAAGTACAGGTTGGTTGAAAACGCGGGAGAAAATTCGGCTTGACTGCTTGAGCGAGTCACGGATTGAGGAGCTCAGCAGTACACCAGCGGGTGGTGGATGACTCCGTAGGAGGGAGAGGGCAGAGGGCGACGGCGTACGAAAAGCACGCGCCACGCCTCTACCCTACAGCTGTTTCGGGAAAGGTTTGCCGTGAGAGAAAAACCTCGAGATTGTTGCCACTCCCTTGTCTTGCAGCACGCATCTCAGAATTGAAATATCTCGCGAACAGCTGTAATGCACTCCGCTTAGGCGCGTTCCTGCATGTCTGATACCTCCCCACTCGTTGCAAACAACAGCTTAAAAGGTAAATTCAGATTATGTTCCTAGTGTTGCCTACTAAGGGTATACTGCCGACTTGGGAGCGTGCGTACTGGCCTTGTGTGGCATGTGCAGAGAAGGCCACGGCAGGGCAACACTAGGGATGGCGGACGGCTAGGAGAGGCCCACCAAACGTATCAAGGGAAGATGGCGAGATCGTCAGGTTGCATTGCTTATAGCACACGATCCACCACACAGGTGTTTGCATGCGCTCCTACAACATATGGCTGAACGAAGGAGAAGAGAAAACAAGTAAGTGACGAGTAGTATATGCACAAGGAAACAAGCATTCCAATATCGATTAAAGTGCAAGGAAGAAGTAGGCGAGGCAACGCATGAAAAGGAGTGACAAAGTGAGTGCCAATCTCAGTCCATATGATAATGTCGTGGTTATCTACACAATATTGAATATCCGAATTTTGCTCTTCAGAATGCTGATCGAGTCTACGGGCTGAGCAGTAATGAGAGTAGAAGACCCAATCCTTTTGTACTGCGAGTGAGGCAGCTCAGTTAGCAGAAGTCCTTTAAACGGCTTTCCAAGTGTAACGAGTAGCTTTTCTTCATTTGCGGCGTCTAATGCGGCAGACTGACCCTTCGAGTGCCAGGGGCGAACGAGTTGCAGAGCATCTTGAGAGATTGTCACACTTTCTAGCTTGTCTGGAAGTGCAATCTCCAATGGCCTCAAACCGCATGCGTGGATTTTGTACGTGTAACTCGGTGTCGATGGATCTTCACCTGTCAGTTGAACCGCTGTGACACGGTGGGCGATGCATGGCAGAATAAGGCAACGATTGCGGAATCGCGGAAGTGGTGCTCTAGTGAATGAGTTGAAATCATACACGTTGCTTGGTGCGTATGAATCCGGAGTTCGTAGCCGGATCGTCGGGGCAGTGCTTGATGGTGTCGAAGGGCGACCGAGAAATCGAGGAAGGAGCGACATAGTGAAGCAACGCAGTACTTCGAATGACAAGAACTCCTGACTTATCGTCGATGATAGTTCTTCTGTGTTAAGTTGGGGTGGAGGCAATGATACCGTTTGATACGAGCTGATGTGAGCAGGGAAACAGCTATGAAACGATGATGCCTGGCCGACCCAATCCAGAACCGAAATATCCCCCGACCGCGATATGATTTTGGCTAGAAGACGGCCAAGTGAGTCCTCAGCAGATTCCCCATACAGAACTGGAAGTGAAGATTAAAGATCCCGAAAAGTGAGTAGGCGATATCCTCAGGCCGCGTGGTTCGACGCAAGGACGCCCATTGGAGTCTCGAACGGGCATCATCCAAACCTGGAAAAAAGTTGGTGAGGAACCGGGACTCTATTCCAGCTGCCCGTTCGAGCTCATCCAGCACAGCAACATCGGTTTCATGATTCGAAGACGAGATGTTCTTGTAAAGTGACCAGTTTTTGGTGTGGAATAGGATGCGTTTGGGAGCCAGCAGTTCTTGGAGCGTCCACACACGGCCAAACCATTCACTGCTTCCAAACGAACCGGTGTCGGGAACGTCAGAAAGGTATACGATGGTCAAGGCAGACTGCCGATACCATGCGAACATTGATCCTATCGTTTCTTGAACCTCGGCACTGCTGTGTTTGTCGATGCAGCACGTGTCGCTCCACGCCCATAAGTAATCCAGCTCGCAAGCAACAGCACAGAAGGCTTGGAGCTTGCCAAAGCCCCAAAGTGGTGACATGCCATATATCGGATAGCCCTCAATGTCGCGCGATGATGGCTCACCGTCACCCCAGCGGTGAGAAAGCATGACGTACTGGAAGTATTCGGAGAGATTAGTTTGGATGAGACCCATCTGCTGAGCTCGATCGCATGCTGTGCACAGAGATAACAATTGTTTGCACTGTTGACTGCGCATAAATTGCAACACCTGCGCATCCCGGCTGCACAGGACACCAGTAGGCGTATGGAGCAGCCGAATTGGAGCAGTTTTGAGAGTATCGAATGCAACATTACGGATGATCTGCTCGATGTCGAAGTGGCCAACACCTGAAGGATCCGGGGAAATCATAGCAACTTGTGAACTGATCTTCATTTGAAGGTAGGTCGTAAGACAGCACCGAGACGCGCCGTAATCCGGATCTCCACGTACAAGTAATTCCAAGGCTTCTTGTTCAAACGCAATAACCTGGTCCAAATCGGCGGCCGCGGGTTCCCGACGAAACCGTTCTGCAAGACACTGTGCAAGGTCATGAAGGGACGAAGCGCGACCGGGATGCCCAGCCGGGCGGAGCTGCAGTATATAACAGTATAATGTGATGGTCTCGTTCAGGTCGACGATTGCGTGCTTGGTTTGATATCTGGCCCTATGGCAATTCGCAAGGACACATAGATTGTCTGCCACCCGAGCAGGCGTGACGGGCTCATCCGAATCTGCATCCTGGGCCAGTCTCTGAACCCATCTTGCAACGGAAACATCTTCATCAGATAATCGAAGCTCCAAAGCATACGTTGCAAGAGAAATGGCGTCATCCAAGTCAGTCGTTGCAGCCTGCTTCTGAAACCGCCCCAAGAGATCTATTGAGAGCCCGAAAAGGGAAGAGGCGACATCAGCACTGCTTGTTGGACAAACCACCGCCGCAGCCTGATCAGGGAAATTCGACCCGTGCAACTCGGGCATGTTAATCTGTTTCTGGAATATCTTCCAGAGGTTGCGCGCAAGGTTGTAAAGTACTACAGCACGATTCGGATGCCCTGTTGGACAGAGCTCTAGTGCTGCACGCCCGAGCGCGATGGCTTCTTCCAAGTCATCGACCACTCCGTACATAGCATGCCTATTCGACAGGCATAAAGAAAGCTCATGTAGCGATGAGGACCGATCAGGATGTCCGGAGGGACGTAGTTCCAAAGCCGGACGAAACAGCTCAATCGCCTCTTGCAAGTCGCAGATCGCAAACTCCTTCGCGAACCTCCTTCTGAGGTCGCAAGCAAGATTGTGGAGAGATTCGCCATGGTCGGCGTGCTCTGGAGGCCAGAGCTCCAGTGCCATGCGTCCAAGCGAGATGGCTTCTTGTAAGTCATCGATTACCCCTAGTTTGTCGTACCTATTCGACAGACAGGGAGCAAGGTCTCGGAGCGATAACGACCGATTAGGATGTCCAGCCGGACGTAATTCCAAAGTTGCACGGTGCAGTTCGATCGCTTTCTCTAAGTCCTGTATCGCAGCCAGTTTCACAAACCTCTTCCTGAGGTCACGAGCGAGACTGTGAAGAGATTCGCCACGATTAGCCTGTCCTGGGAGACGGAGCGCTAGTACTCCACGGCCGAGTGTAATGGCTTCCTCCAAGTCGTTAACTAGCCCTTGCTTGTCATATCGATTCGACAAGCAAAGAGCAAGTTCATAGAGTGACGAGGACCTGTCAAAATGTCCAGGGAGACGTAGTTTCACAGCTTGACGGAGCAGCTCAATTGCCTCTTCCAAGTCGCTGATCACAGCCTTTTTTGTGAACCTCCTCCTGAGATCACAAGCAAGGTTGTGAAGAGATGCGGTGTGATTTGGATGCCCTCGCAAGCAAAGTTCTAGTTGTGCACGTCTGAGGGTCACGACTTCTTCCAAGTCATCAATTCCCCCTTGATTTTCATATCTATCTGAGAGGCAGAGCGCAAGTTCACGGAGCGATGAAGACCGATCAAGATGTCCCGGGGGATATAGTTCCAGAGCTTGATGGTGCAGCTCAATTGCTTCATTCAAGTCATGCATCAAAGCCTGTTTCTCGAACCTCTTCCGGAGATTGTCAGCGAGATTGAAGAGAGACACGCCACGATTAGCATGCCCTGGTGGACGGAGCTCTAGCGCATGGCGACCGAGCGCAATGGCTTCTTCTAAGTCATCAACTACCCCCTGTTCGTCGTATTTGATTGACAAACAAACAGCAAGATTGTTGAGTGACGAGGACCGATGATACTGGCCGTTTTCGTCTGGTCGGAGTTCCAAAGCAGCACGGTTCAAAGTGTCCGCCTCTTCCAAGTCGTCGATTCCCTTCCCGTTCACGTATCTGTCGAAGAGGGCGCCCGCCAAGTCGGAGAGGGCAACATCCCTTCCATCATGTCCTGGAGGGCAGCGTTCCAACTTTACTCGCTTGCGGGAAACGTCATCTGTTGAAGCCATAGGATGAGATACAAGGTGGAAATGGCTCTGCCTTTGGACCAGGTTCAGTGATCAGCTGCAATACGACAGGAACAGCTGAACCTACGTTATTCCTGGAAACGACAGAGAAACAGAGTGAACAATCTTGCGTTCAGAATGCTACTCAAATCAGGGAGGCCAATAAACAAACGAAAAGAGACCGCAGGAAAAGACACAGAGTGCAGGGCAGGCAAGCTTGGGTATCTGTACGAAGAAATACCTGTGAATAACATCACATGGACGTCGGTGCACAAAGGCGGCGATGGACCGATAGAGACTCACTGGTGGGTACGAAGCAAGTTGGTTGGAAAGGCGAGAGGAAAGTCGCGGCTTTGCCGCTTGAGCAAGACACGCAGATTGACGAGCGCACCACAGCGGAAGTATGGGAGGGAGGGCGGTGATGTTAGGCTGTGGTCTAGGCAACGCCCCTGCAGGGCCCCAGGATTGTCATTTTCCGCGGGCCCATGGCGTACACTCTGTCCCTTACGATTCAGACAGAGTAGCAACATTGTAGCAACCTGAACTACTCACAGTACGGTCTCAAGATCATTAGATGTGCCCAAATACCTCGGTGTTGGTAGTATATACACTCGTTGTATTGCTCGTCACAGCATGGTTTCCAGTGTATACGTACATCGCCCCTGCCCCGTGGTGGTGTACAACCGTTCAGAGGCCATATTATAGGGTACTCGATTCACCAGACGTGTACTTGCGTGTACTCGTGCTACGTATGGCGGAACGAAGAGAAAAAAATAAGTGGCAGGATACACATGTGCAGAGGAAACGAGCACCCCAACACCACTCAAAGTGGGTATTGGTGTCAACCTGTCATAACGCCGTGGCCATCTACACAATATTGAATATCCGAAATTTGCTTTTCAGGATGCTGGCTAGGTCTGCGGGCCGAGTAGTAATGAGAGTGGAAGACCCAATCCTTTTGTACTGTGAGTGAGGCAGTTCGGCCAATAGAAGAGCATTAAATGGCCTCCCAAGTGCAACAAGTCACTGCTCTTTATTCGTGGCGTCGAATACGGCAGATTGACCCTTCGAGTGCCACGGACAAACGAGCTGCAGAGCACCTTGTGAGATTGTCGCATCTTCTGGTTTGTCTGGCAGTGCGATCTCCAATGGCCTCAGACCGCACGTGTGGATCTTGTATGTGTAGGTCGGTGCCGATGAATCCTCGTCTGTCAATTGAACCGCTGTGACACGATGGGCGATGCACGGCAGTTTAAGGCAACGATTGCGGAATCGCGGAAATGGTGCTCTTGCGAATGAGGGGAAGTCGTACACATCACTTGGGGCGTATGAATCTGGAGGTCGCAGCCGAACCGCCCGGGAGATGCTTGAAGGTGTCAGGGAATGACTGAGAAATCGGGGGGGAACAAATGAGCCACGGAGGTTTCGCAGTTTTTCAAACGACAAGGGCCCCTGACTCGCCGATGACTGTCTTTCTGGGCGAGGTTGGGGTTGAGGCGACGGTAGTATATGATACGAGGTGATGTGAGCGGGGAAACAACTATGAAATGGCGATGCCTCCCCGACCCAATCCAGAACCGAAATATCTGCAGATTGGAATATGATTTTGGCCAAGAGCCGGCCAAGGGTATTCTTAGCAGATTCCCCACACAGGACAGGCAACTGGAGATTTTATATCAACTGGAGAGTGAATAGGCGATATCTTCAGGTCGGGTAGTACGACACAGTGATGCCCATTGCAGTCTCGAACGTGCGTCATCCATACCCGGAGACAAGTTAGTAAGGAACCGGGACTCTATTCCAGTCGCCCTCTTTAACTCTTCCAGCATAACGCTGTCGGCTTTATGGTTCGGGGATGAGAGGTTCTTGTAAAGTGACCAGTTTGGGGTGTAGAATAATATGCGTTTGGGAGCCGGTAGTTCTTGGAGGGTCCACCCTCGTTTAAACCATTCGCTGTTCTCAATTGAACCGGTATCGAGAACGTCAGGAAGGTACACGATGGTCAGAGCGGACCGTCGATACCACGCAAACATTGATCCTATCGTTTCTTGCACCTCCGCACTACTATCTTTGTCTATGCAGCACGTGTCGCTCTATACCCATAAATAATCCCACTTGCAAGCAGTAGCACAGAAGACTTGAAGCTTTCCAAAACCGCCCTTGGCTGACATACCATATACTGGGCGGCCTTCGATTTCGCGCAATGATGACCCAGTGGTGAGAAAGCGTGACGTACTGGAAATGTCTCGAAACATCAATATGAATGAGTTCCATTTTCTGGTGTCGGTCGCACGATGTACAGATAGTCACCAGGCCGTTTGTACTGCTGACTGTTCATAAAATGCGATACCTGCGCATTCCGATTGCACAGGATGCCAGTACGCGTGTGAAGCAGCCTGGTAGGCACGGTTTCGAGGGTTTCAAGTACCACATTATGGATAATTTGCTCAACGTCAAAGTGGGTAACACCTGAGGCATCCGAGGACATCATGGCAACTTGTGAGCTGATCTTCATTTGGACGTAGGCTGTAAGACAGCGCCGAGAGACGTCGTAACCCGGATCTTTACGTACGAGTGATTGCAATACTTCTTGCTCAAGCGCAATAGCCTCGGCCAGATCAGTCGCAGTGAGTTGCTGACGGAAGCGATCTGCTAGACACTGTGCAAGGTCGTGGAGGGACGAAGCACGACTGGGATGTCCAGTCGGGCGCAATTGCAGCATATATCGGTATAATGCGATGGCCTCGTTCAGGTCGCCGATTGCATGCTGTTTGGTATCTGGCCCTATGACAATTCGCAAGGATACATATATTGTCTACCGTTCGATCAAGCATGACGGGTTCGTCCGGGTTCGTCCCCTGGGCTAGCGTCTGAATCCCATCCTGCAACAGAAACATGTTCAGGAGGTAAACGGAGCTCTAAAGCATACGTCGCAAAACAAATGGCGTTGTTGTCCCAGAGGTGGAGTGAGAGCTCAAGGAGTGAGGAGACAAAATCAGCCCTGCTTGTCGAGTGGGCCACCGAAATCCAACTGGGCATGTCAGCCTGTTTCTGAAACTTCTTCCAGAGGTCGCAAGTAAGGTTGTAAAGAATTGCGCCACGATCGGGATGCCCAGGTGGACAGAGCTCTAGTGCAGCAGATCCGAGGGTGATGGCTTCTTCCAAGTCACCGATTAACCCTCGTTTTTCATGCCTATTCGACAGACAGAGTGCAAGTTCACAGGACGTTGGGGGCTGATCGGGATGTCCACCGGGACGTAGTTCCGCAATCAGACGAAGTAGCTCGATAGCCTCTTCTAAGCAGCAGATCGTAGCCTTTTTGCGGACCTCCTCCGGAGATCACAAGCAAGGTTGTGAGGAGATACACCACGATCAGCATACCCTGATGGACAGAGCCCTGCCGCTCCATGTCCAAGTATGATGGCTTCTTCCAAATTATCAACCGCCCCCAATTTGTCATGTCTATTCGAGAGACGGAGAGCAAGTCCACGGAGCGATGAAGACCGACGTTGATGTACAGAAGGACGTCGTTCCGAAGCTGTATGGTGCAGCTCAACCGCTTCCTCCAAGTCGCATATCGTAGCCTGTTTCGCGAATCTCTTCCTGAGGTAGCAAGCGAGTTTGTGGAGAGACTCGCCACGATTGACATGCCCTGGTGGACAGAACTCTAACGCTGCACGTTCATGCATGATAGCTTCTTCCAAGTTGTCGACTGCCCCCAGCTTGTCGTATCTAATTGACAAACAGAGAGCAAGTTCATGAAGCGTTGAGAACCTATCAACATGTCTAGGGGGACGGAGTTCCAAAGCTGGACAGAGTAGCTCGATTGATTCCTCCAAGTCGCGAATCGCAGCCTTTTCCGTGAACCTCTTCCTGAGGTCGCAAGCGAGATACAGCATGGTCAGGATGCCCTCGCAGACACAGTTCTAGTTCCGCACGTCTGAGTGTCACGACTTCTTCCAAGTCATTGACTACCCCTAATTTTCGTATCTATTCGAGAGACAGAGAGTGAGTTCGTGGAGCGTTGAAGACCGGTCACGATATCCGGGGGAAAGAAAGTTCCAAAGCCGCACGATGCAGCTCAATCACTTCATCTAGGTCACATATGGCAGCTTGTTTCCGGAATTTCCTCCAGAGATTAGTAGCAAGGTTGTAGAGAGATAGACCGCGATAGGGATGTCCGAGTGGACGGAGCTCTAGTGCTCTACTCCAAGTGTGACAGCTTCTTCTAAATCATCGACTGTCCCCTGTTTGTCATATCTACATGAAAGACAGAGCGCTAGATCGTTGAGTGACAAAGACCGATGATACGTGTCGTCCTCGACTAGTCGGAGTTCCAAAGCCGCGCAGTGCAGGTGATCGCCTCGTTCAAGTCGTCGATTTCATCCTCTTTCTCATATCTCCCGCGAAGGGCATCCGCCAGCTCATAGAGAGCAGCATCCCACCTATTATGCCCTGGGGGACAACGTTCCAACTTTGCTCGCTTGCGAGAAATGTCGTCCGTTAAAGCCATCGAATGCCGCTACAATACACGACGGGAGTGGCTCTGTCTTCAGACCAGGTCTAGTGATCAGTTGCAATAAGACAGGGACAGTTGAACCCTACGTTAACCTCCGAGATGAGAAGAAAATAGGATGAGCAATCTCGGGTGGCTAATAATAAATAACCCAAAAGAACCCGCAGGCGCGGAGCGTAGAGCAGACAATCTTGGGTATCTGTATGAAGAAATGAGTTGAATGACACCACATGGACGTCAGTGCACAAACGCGGCCATAGACTGTTAGAGGCTCACCGATGGGTACGAACTACGAAGCAAGTTGGTTGGAAAGGCGAGGAAAATCGGCTTTGCTGCTTGAGCAAGATACGCAGAGTGGTGAACTGTGGAGGAGCCCACCAGCACGCCAATGGTTGGTGAAAATCTGACAGAGAGATAGCGGGATGTTGTGGTTTACGAAAAACCCATGTTGTGCCCTGTGTGACCTGCAAGTTACTGAATGGCCATCTAACGGTCCCAAATCCCAAACAGATCCTGTTCGTTCGCCTGAAACCCCGACACGAGACTGCATCTTCTAACTGTTGCTTGCCAAGCACATCTCAGCGACTTCGGAGCATGTGCACTGGCCCTGCGTGGCCTATGCAGAGAAGGGCACGACACAGCAACACCAGGTGCTAGTTAGGAGAGGTCCACCAAATGCATGAAGGGATGGTTGGAAGATCGCTAGACATGCCGCAATTCCCTAGTGTTGATATATATGGTTGTTGCATTGTTCGTCACGGTATGGTTTCCAATGTATACGTGGCTCTTGTCTTGTGATGGCGTTCACAAGCCATATTGTGTGGCACTTGATTTACCAGACAGATGACGCCCTGAAGAGAAGGCGGATGCGGAGTCGGCAGTCTTGTAGTATGAGTCGAATACAGCAACGGTTGAGAATCGCTGAGTGTTATCTAAAGACGCGATGGGTGGTATGCCGGAAGCTCTGGACGAGAGCAGATGCCGATTGGAGTAGGGCAACGACGGAATCAGAGACCGGGAGGAACATTGTATCTTTCGATCCGAGTGGTATGAAGACAGCAGACCGACTTCCCACCTGCATTTAACCCGATATATGGTGAGCCACGTGTGTCCAACTAAGCACCGATAGCCCTGGTAACCGCGGTAGCGATGGTACTCGACTTCAATATGTGCGGTACCAACAACTCGTGCAAGGCTATATAGACTTGCGCCTTTTTGCACATCCAATGTAGCTCAATCGCCTCATCTAGCTGGCCCATGTCAGCTTGGTTCTGGAACCTCGCCCCGAGGTGGAAAGCAAGAGTGTGGACTCGAGAGATACGCCACGAGGCTCTGAAGCTATGCCCTCGCTGCCATTGTCAGTGATGACGGTTCGGGCCATCCAGGGAACCGATAAGTAACCAGTCGCCCGGAAGAGTGGGGTTGCGGATATATGTATTGCTATCTACACAATATCGAATATCCTAACCGTGCTTTTCAGAACGCTGGCCCGGCTGACAGGCTGAGCAATAATGAGGGTAGAAGACGCAATCCTTTTGTACTCGTTGTGAGGTAGCTCGGTCAACAAAAGAGCGTTAAATGGCCTTCCCAGTGTAAAAAGTAGCTGCTCTTTAATCGTGGCGTATAGCTTGGTAGACGGCCCAAGCAACTTCGAGTGCCAAGGGCGAACAAGCTGTAAAGCACCCTGCGATATTGTCGTATTTTCTAGCTCGCTCGGCAGTGCGACCTCAAGTGGCCTCAGACCACATGCCTGGATTTCGTACGTATACCTCGGAACATGCGGATCTGCCCTTTTGAGCTGAAAGGCAGCAATACGATGGGCGACACATGGCAGTATAAGGCGGCGATTGATAAATCGTGGTAGGGGCACCTTATTGAGTGAGTGGAAGTCGTACACGCCGTTGCGTGCGTATGGATCGGAGGTTCGCAGCCGAACTGCCGGAACACGATAGACGACCCTTGACGGTGTCAAGAGACGAGTGAGGAGTGACGTAGCGAGTGAGCCACAGGACTTTCGCAGTGTTTTAAATGATGTGGGTTGCGAACTCATGGTCGATGGCTGTTCTTCTGCGCTTGAGTGGAGCGGAGGCAATGGCAGGTTGTGATACGAGATAATCTGGGCAGGGAAACAGCTATGAAACTGTGACGCCTCTCCGACCCAATCCAGAACCGAGATATCCCCCGACTGCGATACAATTTCGGCTAAGAGACGTCCGAGTGAGTGCTCAGCAGATTCGCCATAGAGAACTGGTAGGTGGAGATTGAAGATCCCAAAGAGTGAATAGGCGATATCTTCAGGTCGGGTAGTACGACGTAACGACGCCCATTGCAGTCTCAAGCGTGCGTTACCCATATCCGGAGAAAAGTTGATAAGTAACCCAGGCTCTATTCCAGTTGCCCTCTCCAGCTCTTCCAGCACCGCGACGTCGGCCTTATGGTTCGAAGACGTGAGGTTCTTGTAAAGTGACCAGTTTTGGGTGTAGAATAGTACGGTTTGGGGAGCCAGTAGTTCTTGGAGGGTCCACCCGCGTCGAAACCATTCGCTGTTTCCCAGCGAACCGGTCTCAGAGACATCAGAAAGGTACACGATAGTCAAGGAAGACCGTCGGTACCATGCGAACATTGATCCTATAGCTTCTTGTAACTCGGCACTGCTATTTTTATCTATACAGCATGTGTCGCTCCATGCCCACAAGTAACCCCGATCACAGGCAACCAGACAGAAGGCTTGGAGCTTTCCAAGGCCCCCGTTTGTTGACATACCATATACCTTGTGGCCCTCAACGTCTCGCAATGATGGCTCGCCTTCACCCCAACGGTGAGAAAGCATGACGTACTGAAAGTATCTCGAGGTAACAGTACGGATGAGTGTCATTTGTTGAACCGGGTTGCACGTTGCACACGAAGACAGCAGTTGGCTGTACTGTTGACTGCTCATGAAATGTAATATCTGTGCATCGCGGTTGCACAACACGCCGGTACGTGTCTGCAGCAGCCTCGTCGGCATGGTTTTGAGGGTTTCAAATGCGATATTACGGACGGCTTGCTTAATGTCAACGTGAGTAACAGCTGAGGCAAGGGAGGGCGTCATGGCAACATTTGAGCTGATCTTCAATTGGAGGTAGGCCATAAGACAGCGCTGAGACATGGCGTAACGCGGGTCTTCCGATGCGAGTAGCTGGAGGACCTCTTGTTGAAGTGCAATAGCCTCTTCCAGATCAGCCAGATTGGATTGTTGACGAAACTGTTCTGCTAGACACTGTGCAAGGTCGCAGAGGGACGAAGCGCGACTGGGATGCCCAGTCGGGCGGAACTGTAGTACATATCGGTACAGAGTGATGGCCTCTTTCAGATCGACGGTTGCATTCTGATGGCCAGATCTGTCTCTGAAGTAATTGGCAAGGACTGTTAGATTGTCTACTGCCTGGCCAAGGAGGGCGACCTCATCCGAGCTCGTCCGCTGGGCCAGTCGCTGAGCTCGCTCCCCAACGAAAAGAGTAAGCCGTTCGAGGGAAACAGCGTAATCACAATGCCCTGGTGGTCGAAGCTCCAAAACGTAAGTTGCGAGACAAATAGCTTCATCCAGGTCAGTCAGTGTGGCCTGCCTCTGAAACCTGTCCCAGAAGTGTAGTGAGAGCTGAAAGAGTAAGGAGGGAACGTCAGCATGACTTGTTAGGCAGATCGCTGATGCGGCTGGATAAACAGAATTTGCCGTGTGCAACCCGGGCGTGTCAGCTTGTTTGGGAAACCTCTTCCAGAGGTCACGAGCAAGATTGCTGAAGGATATGCCACGATCGGGATGCCCTGGTGGGCAGAGTGCTAGTACTGCACGCGAGAGCGTGATGGCTTCTTCCAAGTCAGCAACTATCCCCTGCCTGTCATATCTCTTCGAAAGACAGGCCGCAAGATCGAGTGTAGAGGACCGCTTGTGATTTCCAAGTGGTTGAGATTCCAAAGCAGCGCGGTGCGAAGTGATCGCCTCGTTCAAGTCATCGAATCCACGCTCTTCCTGGAATGTGTTATGGAATGCCACCGCCACACCGTAGAGGGCAACATTGCGGCCATCTTGCTCAGGAAGACAGTGTTCCAACTCTACTCGCTCCTGACAAATGTCCTCTGTTGAATCCATTGAATGCCGTTAAACTGAGAGAAATATACGGCGGATATATTTCTGCCTTCAGGTCAGCTGCAAGACACGAGCGAAAAGTGCAAGTTGGTTGGAAAGGCGAGAGGAAATTTAGCCGTGCTCCTCGAGTAAGTCACGGAGACAGAAGAACTGAGGAGGAGCTCACCAGTATACCCACAGGAGGGAGTGAGGGTTAAGCGTTCGAAAAGCGAGGGCCATGCCTCGGCACTAAGCCCTGCCTGGAAACGTTTTCGCATGCTGATAGAGTACTGCCAACACAACCTACATAATAATAGAGGGCTGATTATGTAAGATGCTGCTGAAGCTATCGCCCTTCTCCAACAGACCTCCTGGCACCAACCGCTGGGCTATTAGTGAGCTTCTCCCTCAGTCCTCCAATCTACGTAACTTACCCAAGGAGCATAACCAAACTCCTCTCGGGCTTGCCAACCACCTTGCACTTTTCTCATCCATCGGTGAGTTCTTATCGGACCATCGTTGCGTTGTGCATTGACCTGATGTAGTGCTATTCACACTTCGTTCTCCCTGACACCCAAGATTGCTGTTCTATACTCTGTCTTTAGCTGTGAGTTTTTTCGGGTTGCTTCATTAGCCTCACTGATTTGGATAGCATCCTGACATTCAAGATTGTTGATCCTGTTTCTTTTTCGTTTCTGCTTCAAGTGTGACGTATGATTCTACTGTTCCCGTCTTACTGCAGCTGATTGGCGGACTTGGCTCGAAGGCATTTCATTTCCACCGTGTATATTCTTCCCGTGTAACAGCATTCAATGGTTTCAATGGACGACAGTTCGAACCCCCGTGCCCCGGCCCCCATGCACCCCGCCACCCCTCTGAAACGCTGTGCTCCACGGGAAGATTGCCGCCGTGCTCCCCTCTTCGAGCTGGCTTGTGCCCTCTGCCAGAAACACAACAGAGATAACGAAATTGAGGACTTGGACGAGGCGATCACTTTCCACCGCGCAGTTTTAGAACTCCGACCAGTCGAAAACGACAAGTATCATCGGTCCACCTCACTACACCACCTCGCTCTCTGCCTTTCATATAGATATGACGAGCAGGGGACAGTCAACGACTTAGAAGAAGCTATCTCGCTTGCACGTGCAGCACTGGAACTCTGTCCACCAGGGCACCTCAATCGTGGTGTATATCTCCACAATCTCGCTTGCGACCTCCGGAGAAGGTTCGTGAAACAGGCTGCGATACACGATTTAGAAGAAGCGATTGGGCTGCTCCGTTCAGCTCTGGGACTGCGTCCCCCTGGACATCCTGATCGGTCCTCGACGCTCCATGAGCTTGCTCTATGTCTGTCGAATAGACATGACAAGCTTGGGACAATCGGCGACTTGGATGAAGCTATCTCGTGTGGACGTGCAGCACTAGACCTCCATCCGCCAGGGCATTCCGATCGTGATGGATCTCTTCACAAGCTTGCTTGTGACCTAAGGAAGAGGTTCGTGAAGGAGGTTGCAATATGCGACTTGGACGAAGCGATTGCGTTGCACCGCATAGCTCTGGAACTGCGTCCCCTTGGACATCCTGATCGATCCTCGACGCTCCATGAGCTTGCTTTGTGTCTGTCGAATAGACATGACAAGCTTGGGACAATCGGCGACTTGGATGAAGCTATCTCGTGTGGATGTGCAGCACTAGACCTCCATCCGCCAGGGCATTCCGATCGTGATGGATCTCTTCACAAGCTTGCTTGTGACCTAAGGAAGAGGTTCGTGAAGGAGGTTGCAATATGCGACTTGGACGAAGCGATTGCGTTGCACCGCATAGCTCTGGAACTGCGTCCCCCTGGACATCCTGATCGATCCTCGACGCTCCATGAGCTTGCTTTGTGTCTGTCGAATAGACATGACAAGCTTGGGACAATCGGCGACTTGGATGAAGCTATCTCGTGTGGACGTGCAGCACTAGACCTCCATCCGCCAGGGCATTCCGATCGTGATGGATCTCTTCACAAGCTTGCTTGTGACCTAAGGAAGAGGTTCGTGAAGGAGGTTGCAATATGCGACTTGGACGAAGCGATTGCGTTGCACCGCATAGCTCTGGAACTGCGTCCCCCTGGACATCCTGATCGGTCCTCGACGCTCCATGAGCTTGCTTTGTGTCTGTCGAATAGACATGACAAGCTTGGGACAATCGGCGACTTGGATGAAGCTATCTCGTGTGGACGTGCAGCACTAGACCTCCATCCGCCAGGGCATTCCGATCGTGATGGATCTCTTCACAAGCTTGCTTGTGACCTAAGGAAGAGGTTCGTGAAGGAGGTTGCAATATGCGACTTGGACGAAGCGATTGCGTTGCACCGCATAGCTCTGGAACTGCGTCCCCTTGGACATCCTGATCGATCCTCGACGCTCCATGAGCTTGCTTTGTGTCTGTCGAATAGACATGACAAGCAGGGGGCAGCTAGTGACTTGGAAGAAGCCATCGCGCTTGGACGTGCAGCACTGGACCTCTGTCCGCCAGGGCATTCCGGTCGTGGCACGGTTCTTTACGGCCTTGCTTGCGATGTCTGGAAGAAGGTTTCAGGGTCAGGCTGACATGCCCGGCCTGGACTTTGGTGGCGCTTCCGAAAAGGAGGACTGATTTCGCATCATCACTCCTTGAGTTCTCGCTACACCTCTGGGACAGGTTTCAGAAGCAGTCCACGATGACTGATTTGGACAATGCTATTTGTCTTGCGACATATGCTTTAGAGCTCCGATTATTACCTGAAGATGTTTCCGTTAGGGGATGGGTTCAGAGGCTGGTCCAGGGGACAAACTCAGACGAACCGGTCGAGCTTGGTCGAGCGGCAGATGATCTATGTGTCCTTGCGAATTACCTTTAGGGCCAGATTCCAAATTCAGCATGCAATCGTCGACCTCAATGAAGCCATCACATTATACCAGTGTGTGCTCCAACTCCGTCCGAGTGGGCATCCAAGTCGCGCTTCGTCCCTCCACGACCTTGCACAGTGTCTAGTGGAACGGTTTCGTCAACAATCCACCCCAGCTGATCTAGGAAGAGGCTATTGCGCTTCAACAAGAAGTCCTGCAGCTACTCATATCGGAAGACCCAAGTTACGCCACGTCTCAGCGCTGTCTTATGGCTTATCTCCAAATGAAAATCAGGCTACAAGTTGCTAAGGCGTCCCCCAATTCCTCACTTGTCTCCCATTTTGACATTAAGGAAGTCATCCGTAATATCGCATTGGAGACTCTCGGAACCTCGCCGCCCAGGCTTGCTGCACACACCTACTGGCATCCTATGCAACCGGGACGCACAGATATCACATTTTATGACCAGTCAGCAATACAATCACCTACTGTCTTCGTACGCAATGTGCGACCCGGACCAGCGAATGAAACTCATCCATACCGAAGTCTCGAGATACTTTAAGTATGTCACGTTCTCTCACCGCTGGGGTGAACGCGAGCCATTAATACACGACGTCGAGGGCCGGCCGATATATGCTATGTCAACAGATGGGGGCTTTGGAAAGCTCCAAGCGTTCTGTCTTGTTGCCTGCGAGTGGGATTACTTGTGGGCATGGAGCGACACGTGCTGTATAGATAAAAATAGCAGTGCCGAGTTACAAGAAGCTATAGGATCAATGTTCGCATGGTATCGACGGTCTTCCCTGACTATCGTGTATCTTTCCGACGTTCCCGATGCAGGTTCGTTCGAGGGCAGCGAGTGGTTCAGACGTGGGTGGACCCTCCAAGAACTACTGGCTCCTCGCCGCATATTATTCTACACCCGAATCTGGTCACTTTACAAGAACCTCACATCTTCGAACCATAAAGCCGATGCTGCTGTGCTGGAAGAGCTAGAGAGGGCAACGGGAATAGAGTCCCGGTTTCTTACCAACTTTTTTCCAGGTATGGATGACGCACGTTCCAGACTCCAATGGGCGTCACTACGTTGTACTACTCGGCCTGAAGATGTTGCTTATTCGCTCTTTGGGATCTTCAACCTTCACCTGCCCGTTCTTTATGGCGAAAGTGCCGAGAACGCGCTTGGCCGTCTCTTGGCCGAAATCATATCACAGTCCGGAGACATCTCGGTTTTGGATTGGGTCGGAGAGCCATCACCATTTCATAGCTGTTTCCCTGCCCAGATCACCTCGTATCAAAAGGTGCCATTGCCTCCACCCCGCTCAAGCGCAGAAGAGCAGTCATCGACGAGTCAGCAGTCTACGTCGTTCAAAGCAATGCAAAAATTGCGTCGCTCACTTGCCACGTCTCTCCGCCCTCATTTTCTCACTCGTTCCGTGTCCGGCTTCTATACCCTTCCCAGCGCACCCTTCCCACGATTTACCAATGGCTGCCTTATATTATCATGTATCGCTCACCGTGTTACAGCTGTTCAGCTGAAAGTGGCAGATCCATCCGCACCGAGTTACACGTACAAGATCCAGGCATTCGGCCTCAAGCCACTTGAGATTGCACTTCCAGACAAGCTGGAAAATGCAACGGGGTCGCAAGGTTCTCTGCAGGTTGTTCGCCCTTGGCACCCAAAGTCGCTTGTTCCCACCGCGCTAGATCTTGCCGTGAATGAAGAGAAGCTGCTTTCTACACTTGGGCGGCCATTTAATGCTCTTCTGTTGTCTCGACTACCTTTCAACGAGCACAAAAGGATCGCGTCTTCTATTCCTCATTACCGCTCAGCCTATAGACCGGGCTAGCATTTTGAGAAGCAAAGTTGAGATATTCAATATCGTGTAGATAGCCATCGCGTTATTATATCCCACGTCGCGAACACTAGTCTGGAAAATATTTGCATTGATTCTGTTAGTGAGGAAAGGGCGGACGGGTCGATTAGCTCCCTCGAAGATGCTTTCTATGAAAGTGCCAGACTCCTATGTATTGTATGCAGATCTCTTGAAACCTTATGTAAATATCTTCCTAACGTTGTCTACCGCTGGGACGAATCTTGAGAGAATGTGTATGGTAACTATTCTTTGGATTAGCATGTATGCATGTTGCATTGCTCGTGGAGTTCATCTGCAGTGCAAGACTTTAGGAGAGGGCCAAGTATATTTGAGACTGCCCTGCGATGGTGTGCCGTCGTTGAAAGGCCACATTGTGAGCTAGACATTCGATTCACCAGATGTATATTTGCATGTACTCCTACGTGTGACGAGACGAAGGGGAAAAACGGGCAAGTGGGAGGCCATGTTTGCACAAGGAAAACGCGCATTCCAGTATCGATCAAAGTGCGAGAACAAGGTACACGAAGTAACGCGTGAAACGGAGTGACCAAGTGGGTGTCGATACCAGATCGGCGTGCGCGCCCGGCCTGTACATGTGTGAAAACATAATAAAGGTATAGATATGCACAATATGGAAACAGGAAACAACACATAAAAACGAAATAACATACGTAGTCGGAAGTAAGGATGTGCAAGGAGGGCGTATGGCTAGCGATGCAATTGGACGGTCTTGAGCACCACGAGAGCAAAACAATGCGTGCGGAATTTAAGTCGGAGGATAAGGAAAAGCTGCTATACTGATGGCATCCTCGCCGGTTTCGCTCGCTAGGTACGAACCCCGGGAATAAACAGACGATTGCATAGAAATGGCGCGAAAACGCCCCTCCACCTCCGCAGGAGACGTTTCGAGTGCCGCAATGAGAGATTGTAGGGCTCGACCATTGCCGGTAGGAGGTGGATTGGTGGTAGATTCTGTAGGGGGTGCAGTAATTGAGTATAAGTCAGCGAAAGGATTTGCCGTAGTGTTTGGAAGCAGCGTCCGTTTGGTTGGCTTTTCCTGTGCATTGAAGAAGGGGTTACTTGCCGCCATCTTCAGCGGAACGATCGCGGTGTCCGCGAAAGGATTCTGTTTACCATCTGCACGTTCCAGATGATCTGTGTGCAGGACTTCTGCGCTTTGCCAGCGATGCAGATCTGACCCTGTCGCTGCAGGGGTCACCTTTTCCTTGCACATCATAGTGGGTGACATATTTCCTGATAACCGTGACCCTCTCGACAAGAAAGAGTCTCCCCGGACAGTTTCCCCGTCCCATGAGAAAGACTCTACATGGCCCACAAATGTCCGTGCTGGAGGTGGTTTCGTGATCTTGGCATCTGTTTCTGCGATAGCAGCCTGCGAAGCCATCTCAGCAGCCAAGTCAGGATGGTATTTCTCGAAAGGTTGTAATGTGCCAAAAGATTCGCGAACGTGAGGGCCCTCGGATGACTTCTCCCCAGAGGTGGTACTCGGGGAACGATTGAACATCGCTGCCAACTTCTCAATAGGAGTTGAAAGGGGACGTTGTCTCATGGATAATTTTCCTTCCCAACGATCTTCATTGACATCTGGTAAGCGACCCCAAGGCTCGAGATGAGAGCGACGACGCGAAACATCATTTGCGGCGTTACGGTGGCACCCAGGCGGAGAACGCTTTCGGTTTAATTTTTGGCGCTTAGAACAATAGAGGGCGAGTAGGGCAGCAAGAATGAGCACTGCGAACGCCGCGACGCACGCGCCAATGACCGTGCTTAAGGGAATTTGATTGTCTGAAGTGGTGGCGGCGGCGGAGGTGGCGGCCGTAGATGGGTCGGATACGGCAGTGGTTATGGTTGGTTGGGAACTATCTGAAGACGGGACGAGCGGTACGCCTGCTTGTGTGCCGGAAGCCACTGCAGCTGTGTTCTGGACGAGAGCAGACGCAGTTGGAGTCGGGTTACTGACGACGACGGAGCCAGAGACGGGGAGGAGGGCGCTGTTGCTATCCTGCCGCTGTCGCAACAGCCGTGGGCGGTGACGGGGGTGGTGCAACATGGCAATGAGAGAAGGTGATCTGTGGAAGGACCGACGAGTGTATTGAAAGGATCCCAACACAGAAGGGATCAGGCTTGAGAGCAGAGAATCTCTACTCAGAAGAGTCGAAAAGAAGGCCAACGCTGGGTCGCTATTACATAGTCGGTTCCGTTAGCACATCCACGGCTTGGAATCACCCCTCGTACGTACAAAAAGTGCTAGTACCGTCACTGGCAGCGTCGACGACTGTAAGAGAGCGCCTGCAGAGGCGCTACTGCAGACGCCGTGTTGGACTGGGTGGACCACGGGGGTCGAAAGCGCGTTGGCAGGATGGAGACAACGGGCGGCAGTAATAAAAAAGGCCAAGGGACGTCAACGTTCACATGGGGAAAACCACAGCCATATGGTATTTTACTACGACCTCACGGAGTAACCAAAATACAGTATGTTCGTCGCAAGGCCGCCCGTTTCCATGGGAGTACGTGGTTGTGCAATGTGCTTGCCTAACTTCCAGCTAGTATCGGGCACCCATTGAATGTCTTCCCCGTGCCACCTGCCCGCCTTTGAGTTCAAGTGCCGCCCAACAAACACTGCAGGATTCGCCGGGGAACGTCTTCAAAGGTATTTCGCTTTATGACTTGGTAGCTCCGGAGTCACCGCTCGTAAACGATCACGCTGTTCCCAAGATCGTGGTCTCTGCTCAGGTGTTAACTCTGCGAGGTCATCGGCATCTTTCCTTAGCCAGAATGTCAAGATATTGCTTATGCCAGGGGCCATGTCATGTGCGTATGTATGACATAGGTACAAGGGCAGGCGACCACTTGTAGCTGGCCCCTGTCGGACTCGCCGTGGCAAAACGCCTGTTGATCATTGGATGAAATGGTATTGTACTAAGTCTTGCACCGCTATGTTTCATTTGCTTACTTTGATCTAAGACACTGCCAGCTCCGCCTCTCTCATGTACAGCGCTCGCACATATATGAGATGCTCTGGCGTCGCCTCCGTTTTCACTAGCTCTAAAAGATGGCAGCTTCTCTGTTTTCCGTTAGTGCTGTATGTGCCATCGTGATTGCTCTGTGGTTCGCGCTTCGTACGACTCGGAGGCCAGTTGGGCTGCCTTACCCTCCTGGCCCAAAGCGGCTACCCATTGCCGGAAACGCCTTCGATATCAATTTTAAGGAGCCCTATCTCACGTATACAGAGTGGGGGAAAATCTATGGTTCGCGTTCCGTCTCATTTAGCTCTTCAAAGCTAACCACCTTATCCCTTACCTGCGCACAGGGGACCTAGTTTACTCTCGCATCTTTGGTCAAGACTTTCTCATCGTGAATTCGGAGAACACTGCAAGACTTCTAGCCGACCAGCGCTCTTCCATCTACTCGGATCGACCTCATTCCCCAATTTATCGGCTGTGAGATTTTGACGAAACATGCCCCTGATCACCACCTAACAGCTGTTTTTCTTGCCAGCTTCGGTATCCACCACATGACCCCGGGCTTGCAATATGGCAGTGAATGGAAGACCCAGAGGAAACTAGCTCCACCTCAGCCTTCGCAACGACGTTGTTGACCGGTATCAAGACATGCATCTCCGTAGTGCCCATCGACTTCTGGAAAACGTACGACGTGACAGTAAGAACTTTTATGAACACTTTGACCTGTGAGTGCGTAGGACCGCTTTTTTCGCAGGTCTTTTTGATTCCTATTTAGGTATACTGGTGGCCTTGCTCTTGAGTTCACGTACGGACGAAGGATAGAAGGAAAGGACGATCCCATCATCTCCTTGGCCAATAGGTTAGCAGATGTCATGTCCAAGGGGATCACCGGAGAGAGGATCGGCTTGCTGACGGCCTTACCGATGCGTTAGTCTGAGTTCCTTTTGCGTGGTATGAACTTTTAAATGGGCTGTTGCAGTCACATGCGTTCCATTGTGGTTTCCCGGTGCTAAGTTCCAGCATGAAGCTCGACACTGCAGAAATTTGGTTGCTGCCTTCTCTGAACTTCCATTCGCTGCGGCGAAAAAACAGGCGGTGAATTCTTCGTTCTTCAGGCGAGTTAACGATGTTGATTACTGGCAGGAAACAAGTGGATTGCAACCCAGCTTCGTTTCCGACATCCTAACGCAAGGTGGGGAAGACGAATCGGCAGCCAAAGTAACAGCCACAGGTGTTTACCTAGGTATGTTCTCTAGAAGTACCATTTCTTCACCGTTGACACATGTTACATAGCTGCGGCGGAGAGCGTGCGTATAGATTCGGTTTTTCACGCTGCACATAACAATTCAACCGTGTTCAGTCGTCCGCTACCTTGAAAATCCTCGTACTAGCCATGATACTGAATCCCGGTGTTCAAGATATGGTCCATGCAGAGTTGGATGCCGTCGTTGGAGGGGGCGCGCTGCCTACCTTCGAAGACAGGGAACGGTTGCCTTATTTGCAGGCTATTCTGTACGAGGTCATGAGATGGCGTCCTGCCTTTCCGCTAGGTCACCTCGGACTACTCCGCGATGTTACGGCTGCTGACAAGAAAACCAGGTGTTCCTCACTTCACTACCACAAGCGATGTCTTCGAAGGGTATTATATTCCGAAAGGTGCGTAGGCCTCATTAGCTTTGTGGGAGATGCTTATCACAGGGTCTTATGGCAGGAACTGTTGTGATTTTCAACGCCTGGCACGTTACACCTATTCTTTAGGCATCTCTTGACGTTGAATTGGAAGTATCAGGGGTATGTCAAATCGCGAATATAGTGATCCGGAGCGCTTCGATCCGACACGCCACCTCGACGCAGATGGGAAACTGAAGCCAGAAGCCAAGCAGAACAGTTCAAAGTACTTTGGTTTCGGAAGGAGGTGCGCGTGACATAAAGAATACGTCAGCTCAGTTGTGACAATCAAGCAGAGCGTGTCCTGGACGATTTTTCGCAGACGATGCGCTGTGGGCAGCCACAGCAGTCATTCTGTCCGCTTTTCGTTTTGAGAAAGCCAAGGACTCCCTCGGGAATGACATTGAGGTGGTACCAGTATTTCGACCAGGCGTCATTAGGCGAGTGGCCGATCATGCTGCTAGGCGCGGTCACACGTCAACTGACCATTCATTGGTACAGTCACCCCGCTCCATTTCAATGTTCCATTGTTAGCAGGTTTCCCACCGGATGAAAGCTGAGTGGCTCGTTTTTCTGACTCCAATCCCCCTGCACTCGCGAGTAGATATGGTGTATGTATGGGACTTTCGTGTACGAGAGAAACGCGGATGCATTTTCTCCCTCCGGAGGAGACGCGTGACTCAGTGCAATGTCTCCATTGTAGAGATTCTGTTCCAGTTTTCCGACAGCTCAGACGACGATCAAGTGCTGTGGTCATACTGTGACAAAGTACATATGAGCAGCTAGCAAAAACACTACATGCACGTCCAAACCAGCCTTCACCCCGCCTACTCCACGAGCCTTCTAGTAATAGAACACGGGAACGGAGCTGGACATCTAGAACGCACAGGTTTCAACAGAACTGAGAAGTCAGTTACGCCACACTTACCTAGTCAAACCATCCGAAAAAACGGGTTCCACATCGATATACTTCCCGGACGAATCCTTGGCTTTACCAAATTTCAGAGCGGATAGCATCACAGCCGCTGCTGCCCAGTGGGAATGTTCGGCAAAAAAACGACCAGGACAAACTCTGGCCAACAGCGTCATGTTCTCCGCAAGAGGAAGTCACCAACCGCTACGCACCTCTTTCCGAATCCGAAGAACATTGAATTGTTCTGTCTGGCTTGAGGACTAAGTTGTCCATCAGACGTCAAGTGTCGAGTTGGGTCAAAACGTTCCGGGTCACCGTAGCCCTGGTCTTTCATTGCCATTGCCCTGTCACCTGGCTCTTAGCGTGGCAAAAGAGCACTGGAGAAAACCGATGCACCAATAATTGAATAACACCATAGTTCCTGTGATCACGAAGCATCAATATCTATCAAAACCGTTGAGAGAGAGAGAAACAGGCACCTTTCGGAATATAATACCCTTCATAGGTGTCACTTGCAGTTGTGACATGTGGGAGGCCTAGTTCCGTTGTCAAGACATGGACGAAAGAGAAGAGTGCAGAGACCTAGCGGGCTGGGTGGACTCCACCTCATGACCTCATACAAAACAGCCTGTAGATAAGGCAACCGTGGCCTATCTGCGAAAGTCGGTAAAGTTCCTCTGCCGACGACGGCGTCTAGCTCTTCGTGAACCTTGTCTTGAACATCCGGGTAAAGAATCATAACTAACGCCACGGTTTTCAATATAGTGCCGGTCTATCGGACTGTCAACATGATTCGAGGAGCCACAAGCGCGTGTGTACTTGCCGACTCTGTACCAGCTGATTGACAATCAATGCGAGTCCATCACTTTTAAGTAATGTAGGAAAAGAGACAAACCTATATAGACAAGCTGAGTGCACCCTTCGCCGCCGATTCCTCCACTCCCCCATGCTTGAGCATATCGGAGATCATACAGTGCGATAATACACCGCGTTCCTGTACGAAATCAGCGAAAGCTTTGCATAACGGCCATTAACTTGCCATTTCATCCTTTGCCATGGCGAACGGGAGTTCTGCCATCTCCGCAGCCATACCTCTACATTTGGCTGCGTTACGCTTGAAACCAGCACCAGGAAACCACGACGGAAGATATCGGACTGACCCGTCAACCTTGAGTATCTGTGCAACTGTGCAAAAACAGAAATTACACCCACGAAATGGCATGACCTTCAGCAGAACAACCCTGTCCGGAGTCAATTCCCTGCACAAGACTTCAGCTAGGCCACTGGCCATTGCGAAGACGGGATCATCTTTCCCCTCTACTCGCCGTCCATATATCAGCTCGACCGCAGCGGCACCAGCAAACCTAGCCGATCATCAAGATACTTGGCTATCGGAAAGACATGGACTTACAGATCAAAATGCTCAAACAAATTTGCACTATCACGCAATATGTTTTCCAAGAGCTGGTTCGCATTAGTGAGGTGCAAGTCGTTATATTTGTCGACAACATCATTCCGGAGACTGAGATGAAACAACCTTCTATGCGTCTTCCACTCATTCCCGTACTCCAAAACAGGCGTCATGCGATCGGTACCATAGCTGCCAGAAAGATGTGAGACGCATGTAAACGAAGGCGTGAGAACCGCAACTTACATTCTGAAGATAGACGAACGGAAACGATCGGCATAGATTGCAGAGCGCCCGTCGGCTAAAATTCGTGCTGTCTTTTCTGAGTTCACGACGACGATATCTTGCCCAAGGGAGCGAGTGTAAACGATGTCACCTCCAGAGAAGGGAAAGGCGAGTCAATTCAGAACTTGACGGAATGAGTTGGACCACAAACCATAAGTCTTGCCCCACTGAGCATATGTAAGATGGGGTCTCTTTCGGTCGATATCAAGAGCGTTCCCAATGAAGGGGAGTCCTTTGGGCCCAGGTGGATAAGGCAGTTTGGACTTCCGAGCCCAAGTCACCAGTACCCACAAGCCGACAACTGTGGCACACGCTGCACCTAAGGCGAAAAAGAATGTCATGAGTATGAACCGCAATGCATTCGCTCCGGTCAATGGTGGAGTACTTCATTTCTGGAAATGGAAAAGTCGGTCATGTGTTCGTACACGGGTGCAGTGATCAGAAACACACGACGACAACGTCGTGAAGTCCGTCCATGTCTCAGCCCTTCCACCTTGAACTCCCAACTGGCACTGAGGTCCCTCATGACTTAGCACCTGAGCATCCTCCTGAAGGTGCGAAGTAGCGCTGAGGCTGTCGCTGGTGACAACGTCGACGAACTCCCGATACTAAGTATGTATATGCTATGCAAGTCCTCGTGACACCATGCACAGACCCACTGCTAGATTATCTAGTAGGCTTGAAGTTTCTGGGAGCACCACTTATCTGTAGGACCAATTTTTTACTCTGTTCTCTACCCTCTGCAGTCTTACTTGGGCGCACAAGCTGGTCCAGAAACCAAGGATAGGGCGCTCGCGAGCGTGCCGAGAAACCGCCGCAAGCGCAAGTAGTCACGGAGGAAGCAGATTGCGCTGGCGGATGACCCAGAAGCTATCATTTTGTTCGATGCAAGGCGAAGGAACTCGGTACGGATGTTACCCTCTTCATTCTTTTCCAGTAAACTTCACACCAGATAATGGGCCACCAAACCTGGACTCAACGAGTTGGCGCCCTTCGAAGGTTACAAATGAGGTAGGGCTATGCCGACTTCCACATGCAGCCCAGTGTGTAGTGAAGTGCCTTGACTCAATATTCTAATGTGCGTCCACCCACAACCGAGTTCTGCAGGTCATGGTGGAAGAGATAGGTTACAGCGGCAACACGCAGGAGGATTTGAACCAAGAAAAATCACAGAGGAAGAGGAGACCAAGAGGCATGCTTGTAGGCAACCTGATAAGACGTTCGAGTGTGCAGGAAGTGGGTACCGTAGTTAGTATCCTCATCGGAGAGAAGGCGTGTGGCGAGGAAGAGGCTTCCGAGTCCTGACATACAATCCGAGTACTATACAGCATATAACAAAACAACATGGAACATCCTGGATAACGAAGTACAGGAGCATTCAGCATAGTTAACAAAAGGACTACGCGCACGGCAGAGGCAGCCATCTACTCCTTCCAGTCCACGACCCTGCTAGTAATGAAACAAGGGAACGGAGCTGGACAACTAAAAAGTACGAATTTCAACGGAACTGAGGATAAATCGTCTACGCCCCACTCACCTAACCAAACCATGCGAAAAAACAGGTTCCACATCGATATACTTTCCAAACGAATCCCTGGCTTTACCAAATTTCACAGCAGACAGCATCACAGCGGTTGCTGCCCAGAGAGAATGTTCGGCAAAGAACCGCCCGGGGCAAGCTCTGGTAAACGTGTCACGTTCTACGGAGCAGCGAACCACCCACCGCTACGCACCTCTTTCCGAATCCGAAGAAGATCGAGATGTTCTGTCTAGCTTGAGGACTAAGCTGGCCATCGGACGTCAAGTGCCGAGTTGGGTCAAAACGGTCTGGGTCATCGTAGCCATGGTCTTTCATTGCCCTGTTACCTACTTGTTAGCGTGGAGAAGGAGAATGAAAACTGATGCACCAGTAGTTGAATAACACCATAGTCCCTGTGGTTACAAAGCATGAAGGTTGATCAAAACTACTGTGAAAGAAAAAAAATACGGGCACCTTTCGGAATATAATACCCTTCATATATGTCACTCGCAGTTGTGACATGTGGGAGGCCTATTATCTCTATTTTCAGGGCACGAACGAAAGTAACGAATCTGGAGACCTAGCGGGGTGGGTGGGTTCCATCTTATGACCTCATACAAAACAGCCTGCAGGTACGGTAGCCGTGATCTATCTGCGAAGGTCGGTAAAGTTCCTCTTCCGATGACGGCGTCTAGTTCCTTGTGAACTTCGTCTTGAACATCCGGGTAAAGTATCATAACTAACGCCACGGTTTTCAATACAGTAGCGGTCTATCGGACGATCAGAAGGATCGGAGCAGTGACAAGAATACGTGCACTTGCCGTCTCGGCCCCAGCTAACTTTCAATTAGTACGAGTGCATTAGTTCCAGACCTGTGGGGCGAACCTATATAGATACTGCTAACTGCAGCCTTCGCCGCCGATTCCTCCACTGCGCCATGCTTCAACATATCGGAGACCATACAGTGCGACAATACGCCGTGTTCCTGTATGAAATCAGCGAAAGCTTTGCACAACGGCAAGTGATTGGCGACGACTTGCCATTTCATCCTTTGCCATAGTGAACGGAAGTTCTGCCATCTTTGTGACCATATCTCTACATCGGGCTGCGTTGCGCTTGAAGCCAGCACCGGGAAACCATGACGGAAGATATTGAACTGACCATCAACCTTCAATGTCTGTGCAACAGTGGAAAAACAGAATTTATACTCACGGAATGGCAAGACCTTCAGCAGAACAACCCTGTTCGCTGTCACTTCCTTGCACAACATTTCAGCTAGGCCATTGGCCATCGCGAAGACAGGATCATCCTTCCCCTCTACTCGCCGACCATATATTAGCTCAACCACGACGGCACCAGCATACCTAGCCGATCATTATAAGACCTTACTGCCGAAAAGACATGGACTTACAGATCAAAATGCTCAAAGATATTTGTGCTGTCACGCAACAGGTTGTCCAAGAGCTGGCGAGCATGATCGAGGTACAAATCATTGTACTGGCCAATAACGTCATTCCGGAGACTAAGATGAAACAGCCTTCTATGTGTCTTCCACTCATTCCCGTACTCCATGACAATCGTCATGCGATAGGTGCCATAACTTCCGGAACGGTGAGGGGCGTAAGCGAAGACGTTGGGCGCATCAACTTACACTCTGTAGATAGACGAACGGTAACGATCTGAGTAGATTTCAGGCCGCCCGTCGGCTAAAACTCGTGCAGCCTTTTCTGAGTTCACGATGATGATATCTTGACCAAAGGTAGGAGTGTAGACGATGTCACCTCCAGAGAAGTGAAAGCTAAGTCAACTTAGGTCTTGAATATGTTGGTCCACAAACCATAGGTTTTTCCCCACTGAGCATAGGTAAGTTGAGGTCTCTGCGGGCCAATATCGAGGGCATTCCCAAGGAAGGGGAGTCCTTTAGGCCCAGGTGGATAGCGGAGTTTGGACTTCTGAACCCAAGTCGCCAGTACCCACAAGCTGACAACCGCGGCGCATGTTGCGCCTAAAGCCAAAAAGAACGTCATGAGTACCGCAGTGCAAAACGCAAGCGCTCTGGCGGGGTATTTTATTGTCTGGAAATGGAAAAGTGGGCTATGTGTTCGTGCGGTGTAGTCTACTGTGTAAATACTAATCCATGTGTAGGGTACTATGTGTTCGACTCAGGACAGTCTAATCCTGCAACTCCGACTCCGTTAGAGGCCCTCGAACGCCAACTGGAAGCTTCCAGTGCTCGACATTCACTCACTCAAAATCTACGGGCGTCTTAGACTTGCTGCGAGCACAACATACTTGCACACGACATCGACCCGTCTCCAAAGCATTGGAAGGATGTGGTAGAGGACCTCATTGAGAAACGTGTATGTGAAATCCTTACCTATTCTCTCAAGTCCCGACGGATCGGTTTACATAGTTCAGTTACTCAGCGAATGAACTTCGTGGCTTTGGTCCAAAGTCGCGTCAAAAATGTTCTCCGTCTTCCCGTCATCGTTACTTACGTGACCCACGTCGTCGCTCACATCTCGACCCTTGGAGTCGTTTACTAGATGACGACGAGGATCACATGGAAGGAAGTTACCCATGAGACAACCCCCTCTTCCAGCCCTATTGAGACGTTTCCAGCGACGTTCAATCGTTCAGCCCATACCAACTCTGACGAGAAGTCATCCGAGGGGCCTTGCCTCACGCTCAGCTCAATATTGGTCGCTGAGATGGCTCCGCGGGCTGCTGTTGCAGATGCAGATGCCTGACACAGGGAAAATCCTTCACGTCAATTCCTTCCTGTAGAGGAGGTCATGTCCATCAGGAAATATGCATATAGTAATTAACCATGATGCCCAAGGAAAAGATGACACCGCCAGCAACAGCATGCGAGCTTCGTCCCTGGGAATGCGCGAAACTCTAATGCAAAGGTCACTCGAGCCTTGCATTTAGCAACTGAATATTTTTGCGGACACTGCCGGCGTTTCTCTGAAGAGGGTGGCAGATAGCCTTTTCTTCAATGCATTGGAAAAGCCGACCAGCAAGACGCTACTCCAGGACAATTCCTTCGCCGGCTCCCCTGACGGAATCTACTATCAATCTGCTCCCTACTAACGATGCTCGAACCCTACAATCTCTCTTTGCAGTACTCGAAACGTCTCTTACGGCACTGGAAGAGCACCCTCGCGTCATTTCCGTACAATCATTTGTTTATTCCTGAGGTTCGCACCCACTCACGACCACGTCGTCAGTTTCCTACCCTCTGACACGGTGCTCACGACAATCTAGTTGCATCCTTAGTCGTGCTGCCCCCGACGTACATCCTTCCTATTTCCGAGGTACGCATGTTATACATACCGTTTTATGTGCTGTCTCGTGTTTCCATATCTCTCAATCTTCTCCTCCTTCGTCACGTCATTCGTGGTGTGTAGCGGTACATCCAAATACATGTCTGGTGTCATAATGTGGCCTCCATACTATGGCACACCTTCGCGGGGTGGCAGGAGAGAGCCAAGTACGTTCGAAATCGTACGCGGACGACCGCGACAAGCAATGCGACAAGTAAAACCCAAGCAATCGTTGGCTTCGAATACCATCCTGGTAATGCCCAGGCTAGATCTTTGAATCACCCTGAGCGTTCGCCCTTCTCAGTGTAAGTCGCGACATGCAAGTACACATACTCAGAAGTCGCTGAGACGCGTCTGGTGGGCAACGCTAACAATTTATTTAGGGCCCACGTCATCCGCATTCAGAAGATATGTATGTAATGCTAGTCTGGCACTTTTATAGAAAGCTGCTTCGAGAGCACGAACGCGACATCACACACAGCAGCTCCAAGTGCAACCAGGTTAGGGACCTAATAGATGGCTGATCTAATGGATTCGGCAAAGGAATTGTATGAACAGCACTCTGGGGATACTGAACAAGGGAGCTTCCAGCGACGGGCAGAATTTGTCCCACACTTTTGAATTTCTCCGACAAGAGTTCGGCGAGTAACCATGATAAGTTAATGGTTGCCATGAGTAGCAGGACCTACATGGTCAGTGTGGGCGTTTGAGCTGTGATTGAGAGGGACCTCTTACACGCAAATTGGGTGCAGCCTCGCAGCGCGGGTTTAGGAAGGGGGGGAACAGGTACTATTTGGGATCAGTGGCGCAGCTTTTAAGTAGGGTCTAGGGGACCCGTGCTTCCAGAGCCGCCTGTCCTCTCACCCACTGACGTCCGCCAGTCATTGGGTTACTGGTGAGTTCCCCCCCCATGTTCAATCTGCGTGACTTGTTGCACTCGTTAACAAACCTGGCCTGAAGGCAGAATCATTTCCACTGAGTGTATATCCTCCCGGTGTGGCCTCATTCGATGGACGATCTTGGTGTTATACAGAGCAACATGGCGGAGGTGATACGCAACATGTTCCAACAAACGGGTCAAGTCCGTTTCTTGGACGACGCGATCATTCTGCACCGAAAAGCTTTAGAACACCCACCACTCAGGAATGGCGATCGGGCTTCCTCACTTCGTGGCCTTGCGATCTGTCTCGCGGATAGATATGACCGTCGACGGAATGTTGCTGACTTGGAAGAAGCCATCACGCTTGGACGTTTAGCACTAGAGATCTGTCCACCAGGGCATCCAGATCATTGTGTATCTCTCAACAATCTTGCATGTGATCTCAGGAAGATGTTCGCGAAACGGGCTGCCATCTGCGACTTGGAGGAGGCAATTGAGTTGCACCGCGCAGTTTTGGAGTTACGCTTCCCCGGAGATCCTCCTCGATATTCATCGCTCCACTCACTCGGTCTCTGCCTTGTGGATAGATATAAGACAGAAGTCACCACACTTGGACGCACAGCATTAGCACGCCGTCCACCTGGGAGCGCTGGTCGTGGCACAGCTGATCTTGATGAGGCCATTGCGCTTGAGCGAGAAACCCTACAGCTACTCACACCCGGAGATCCTTGCTACGATGAGGTTCAACTGTGTCTTGGAGCCTACATCCGAATGAAGAACAGGTCCCCAAGGAATTAACTCCGTTCAATGATAGGGTGGTCTACCGTTCACCGGTACCTTCCTTTGTCTGTAATATAAATTTCACATCTTCATGACTTCATGACTTCACCCTTTGAACGTTTTGAACTTAATGTCTGTATCATGTATGACGCCTCTCAGATACATTGTCTTTCTTCTCTGTACGTCTAGTGGTTCCGCAACTCTAACCAGTGCGCTGCAGTGCTCGAGCTTCTGCCATCCGCATTTGCTTACTCAAAACCTCAGACGTCTTAGACTCGCTGCGGACACAACGTACTTCGGAAATCTCCGCTGTCGAGTAGAAGAAAATTACACTCGGATGTTATGATGGCGTACTGTGTCCGATGAATTGGAAGTCGAGGAACATGGGATGGGACAGTCACTGAAAAATGTGTGGGTGGAATCCTTGTCTGCTCTCTCAAGTCCTGCCGGATCGGTATAGTTTGGGTCTCCAACGAATGGACTTCGCGGTCTTACGGTTGCACGCATACCATCATTGAACTCGCTATCTATCAAAGCGTCAGAGCCTGTAAACCACAAATCTTATCTATATTCCCGACATCGTAACCCCGCTCGCGTTGCCTCCTAATACATCTCGCACCTTAAGTATAATCCTACTCACAGTTGACTCACCGCCAGTGTGGAAATGATAATGTTCCAGTTTTACTTGTTTTCACCAGGCAATTACTTCAGCCAACTCAGATCACCTACCCTAGCGCAAGTATCCATAAGTATGTGATGGACACAGTAGTACGAGCGTTCTATATTGTAGTAGGTATGCTACATCCTACACGGGGTATTGGTGCACAACTCACAGCTCACGGTCGGAGACCGACGCCAGCAGCAGTACGCCCGCTCCGCAATTTCCACCCAAACCAACCAACCAAAACATTCTTGGCAAATATTTCACCGAACCCAAGCATGACACCATTTATGAATGGAAGTAGTAAATTGATAGCAAGGGAGGACAGTATGAGGGATAGTCGAGTCCGTCGTTTAATTGTGCCGTCTAAGATGGAGGGAAGGGTAGATGGGGGTGGGTTAGCGGCTTTAGCTTCCGTCGTCCTTCGAGGTGGTGAAGGGGGGTACTCCGCGGGGAAAGAATCATGACGGTGTGACGAAGATTGTGAACCGGATGGGGCAGAGAGCGAAAGAGACGGGTAGGACTGTTGATATGACGGAGGACCAGTAGATGGAGGTGTTAAATTTGGAGTCGATTCCGGTTTCTCGCTCACCACCTTCTCTGCACCCTCCGTACGGGAAGGAATGCTCACAAGGGAAGGAGTCGAACCTGCCAGGACTTCGCTGGCGGCAGCGATGGAAGTCGTGATGTGCGACCCGAGGTTTTCCCACATCTCCGGCTCCTGGCCAAGAGCTAGCCTCTCTTCCTCCTCCTGTTTCCTGATTGCTTCCCACTTAGCCCTCTCGTGTTCCGCCTTTTCACGATCTTCCGCAGATTTGGCTCGCCATTCCTCAACTTGAGCTTCGAACTCTGCTTTCCAAGGATCTTCTTCGGCAGGTTCCGCTGACGTCACAGGTTCGGTAGGTGCATTCGCTGTTGGGGCGGGAATTTCATTGGAGCCTACTGGAGGTGGAACTGCAGGCTGTATGGGGACATCGGCAGGTTCAAAAGGATGTCCCAGCGCCAACTGTTAAGATTCGTCAGGCGATTTCAAAGCAGGGAATGTAATTCACATACACACCTTGACAAGCTGCTCGTCTGCGGGGTCGAGCTTCGACATTTTGTACAGGCTTGAACGGTGCTCGAGAACGGGTTGGCGGCCGACGCAGCCAACACCAAAACGAGGAATGTTCTCACGAAGTAATACACGTGATGTGATTATTATGTAAGCATTCTTCTTTTAGTAGCAGATCGACGTTCTATGAAGTGCCAGGGTTATGCTGAAATTCAAGGGCACCTTTGCATCATCTTAAATCACTAGGAGTGACGTCCAGGATGACGCAAGCTACGCCATAGCTTATATAAAGAGGGACAACCCAGGGGAGGACATTCAACCGAATCTTGCACTACTTGCTCCCACATCAGTTGCTCTCAAATCGAACGCATCAAAACACTCGAAAGGCAGAAATGGTAAGCCACTCTAGTTTTTTCAGAAGCGTATGGTCTGACAATGAGATGAAGACTCACTACAAGGTAACGCACAATTCAACGTAACCTGGAAGCTGTGTCTTATTCTTAAGTAGCAAGGCGATCATGTCGAGTATAGGCCAGTCGGTGGGGCCGAAGATACTGTATCCCATAGCACCGGTGTCGTCGAGGCTGTAGAGGGGACGGGCGATGTAAGCCCTCCATCCCAGCTCAGAAGAAGATGCACAACTGACCTGTCGTAGCAAACGAGGTATGTCATCAAGAACGACAACACCGGGAAAAGTACCAGCTACCAGGTACGACTGCAAGTATCGCGTCAGTCTAGACACTCATTCACGCCGTGTCACAGGACAAGAACATTGTGAGGAAAGTTGAGTGAATGAAGCGTGGATGTGTGTAGAATCTTTGTGCATATATTGAATAAGTTGGCGTGCATGTATGTTTGGCAATCCATATTTGTCGAGGCAGTGGCATTCACCGAGTTACTTTGGGAGATGCTAGATGACTATAACATGGGCAATAGCAATGTCGCAGATTGTTGGTAGGCAATATGCGAGTTTCTACTTACAGACCTTGCGGTTTGTCGTAGGGGCTGCTCCCACTCTCCGCTGTCCTTTTTCCCACTCTTCGTCTTCTAGGTACATGTCTAAGGCACGAGCTTCCAAGCCGATCCCAATTACGTCCGTACCAAGTTCCTTGCACTTCGCATCGAACAAAACGTCAGCTTCTGGATCATCTGCCAGCGCAACATATGCTTTCGCCACGCGCCAATCCGATTCCTTCGTGACCACTTGCAGCCGCTTCTCAGCACGCTCGCGAGCAGCCCTAGCCTTGGCCTCCGAATCAACTGGGGCAGGTGCACTACGAGGCTGCAGACGTGCGCTCGGGGGTAACCTGATAGACGTACGAGTGTGCAAGAGGTGAGGTGTCGTGGCCAGTGTGCTCATCGGAAGATTGTTAAGGCGGCACAACTCGTGTCCCTTGGGAATCTAAATTAGCCTGATGACTACCTTGGTTTGATAACGGTACTGACGTTCACGTTGAGGCGAAGAGCGATACCTTGTAGGGTATCTCCACGCTCAAGATAGTATAAGGGTGGCACCGCTTCATATCTGAAGGATGTTTGCTCGGAAGGTGGACCGGGCTCCGTTTGGGCCTGCGAGTGAGATGCGTGGTTGGGAATAGGCTCTGAAGTAACGCCTAACTGGGAGGCCTTGATATTGGATGATTCGGTGTTACCTGAGGGCTTATGCTCTACCTTATGATCGTCCTCCTCGTCATCGTCTCCGAGCACAAACATATCGTCATCACGGAGAGCGCCGTCAACATTAATCACATTTTTCTCCGACGTCGCAAGACCAGGTGAAAGATGACGACTGGAAGACGATGCACTGACAACTGCAGTGCCTCCCAGACACGACAGGCAAGGATTGTATCTACCAAGTCGTGGATTGGAGGATAGACACGCTGGACAGATTGGGCGTGCGCAGCAAGGTGTGAGGAAGACGCTCTGAACCCTTGGGGGCAAAGAAGACGAACAAGCTAGGCATAAGTTTGTAGTGCGATTGAGTTGGCTTGTCACCATGGTTGCCTATATGAATAGATGCTTGCATGAGGTGGACATGAACCGGACCCCTATTAGCACAGCCACCGAATACCGAGCGTCCCCGATTTCCCCACTTCCAGCGGGGACACCGACGACGATGAGCTCACCACCGAGCGGAACTCGTACAGAGCAACCACCCCTCGTGTCACTGGTTCTGCAGTCAAAGAAGGCACTTCAACATGGAGAACAACTGTGCTCGAAGGCAAATTCCCTCACGAACGCGTCGGCACAGTGTGCAGTGGACGTGCTTGCATTAGATGCCAAAGTGAAGTGGGTTAGTGAAGCCGTGATCGAGCAGCTTAAGGTGCGGTCTTTGACCTTGCCCGCTTGTGGGGACGTTTTACTGAGTCATTGCACATTCCATAGCTTGCCGCCACTGTGGCCAAGTCCATCGAGCTCAGACGGTCTCAGCTAGAAAGACGGATTCGTGTACGTATCTTCATTGTGGTCTCCAGGAAGCATAACAAACTACGCTTGTCTACAGGAATGGGACACCATTCGTTCGCAGCACACCACGGCGCTAGACAGTATACTTGAGGCACTGGGCACCCAACTCGTCCCACCAGACTTCCACCAGACCTCTTCAGACTCATCACTATTCGGAAGCCAGGAGTCTATTGATAAGCCGAACGGCGTCGTCGATCCGCGGTTGAGTCCGACTGCGACCGTACGCGACGACCAGCTCAGTCGCAAGACCCGTCAGAACGTGGACCGGTCAAAATGGAAGACACTCCGCGACTTCGTGGACGAGGCTGCCATAGAAGACGTTCTGGACGCTGTAGAGGGTGAGAGGACGCGTCTGGATGTAAGTGGACGTGCAAATCATGCAAATTAAAGCACCGCAGCCATGTGAAACGTTTCATAGGACATCATGGCATCCACGTATCACTACCCAGAGACGCTGTCGAATGCAGTAGCGTCAATACGAGCGTCCTTGCCAGTCAGCGGCGCCTATCCTCCCATAAACCCCATATTATCTATTCAGGAGCATACCACGATTGACATGGCCAAGCATTTGGAGAGCCTGACTGAGCACTACGAGCAGATGGCAAGTGCTTTGCACGACAGTGAAACCGGTGAAGTATTCAGCGAGGAGGACATGAAAGGTAGGCAGCTTAGCCGGGGACTCGTCTCTAAATCACCCCATTCTGATCTAGAGATGAACCGGGACACGGAGGAGCTACCAGCAATTATGTCTGAGCTTGAAGACAATGTAAAGGAAATCGAAGCAGCTCAGTGAGTGAGAACCACTGCGTAATCTGCAGCTACGTGAATGACTGACATCGTTCAGCGAGAAGTTGCTAACAGCCAAAGCTACTGCCAAGGAGAAATTGGATACCAGTAGCAGTATCCTGGATGACCTCGATGAACTGGGGGAAATCATGTCAGACATGCTAGAGAAGCAGCAGGAAGTTGAAGTAGGCTCTCGCCGCATGCTACCCGTTGTTCATTCTTTCGATAACTTCCGCCCGTTAGGAAGATTGCGAGGATGTCATAGAAGGTTTACAACAGCGATTACAGGTGGTGGAAGAACTCCGCCACCGATACGTGTTATACCAATCCTCGTTCGACAAACTACTCACTGAGATCGCGCGTAGGCGACAGTACCGGGAGGCGGCTGAGAAGATTGTCGAGGGTATGATAGGACAACTGCGAGCCATGGCGGAAGGTAAGTATTCCCCTTCTGTAAATTCTACCACCCAGCACTTACATGAGGTTGACAGAGGAACGCCAAGTACGAGACGATTTTAACGCGGATCATGGAGCTCATATTCCTGCCGATTTGTGTCTGTGCATTGAGAACCCGCCCACGCGCTGGGACGTCGTGCCGTTTCCTGGGGATGTACGAGAGACGCTACCGGAGATCGATAGTGACTTATTGACTCAGGTGAGAATCAGTGAACTACTTCATGCCTCCGATCTGATGCAGACCGGTCGACAGGCGAGGGAGAAACTGTCAACGGGGGACGTCATTTTTCCTGGTACAGACAGTCTGTAAGGTTCCGTATGACGTATGTGCCCGGCTTATGGTGTCAAGCCACCATACGGGTCTGGAATCCACATTGCCTGTTGTAGAGCCTAGACCCGGTTTCCACAGCAGCCGTAAGTCGGCCGCGAATATTCGTCTTCCTTGACTAAGGACTACCTTGAGTCATCAAGACTAAGTGGTGGGGCTGTTATGAAACATTCGACTGATCTATGGTGGAAAAAGTGGCAAACCCGGTGGGGCCACTCGGACCACACAGCACATATACAGACACATGATCAAGATGGCTCCATACATGTGACGTCGAGGAATGGAGGGAGCGGAAATTTTATCGCGCGCAGCACACCAATGAGCGCATCTGTTGCTCTTAGCCATCAAATTTCCGATCCGAGTACCTCCGGCTCCATTGATTTTGATTTGTAGTCTTGCGTAAAGAGGGTCCACACGACGCTGGGTTGCCGCGCTTGCAGCGGCAGACCGGCAGCGGAGGAAATACGCCTCAAACCGAACTGCCATCAGCACATGTCCATCCTAAACCCTTTAGATGAATTCCTTGGGTACTGCAACTTACAGAGATTGCAATACCCATGCTTAAATGAACCAGTTGGTAAATCCTGGATATCACCTATCTTTGCCAAGCATACGGTAGGATCAGAATTGTGCCTCTGAAGCAATTGCAATCCACTGCTCCGAATCGAATCTGTTCCCCCTTTAAGTTGACTCTGCGGTCCCCTTACAGAAAAGAGTCAGGTTAAGAAGGACCCGCCTAGGCCATCTGATGCCATACATTTGCCAAATTCGAGTGCTCAAGCCCGCCTTCTTTCCATGGCACTTGACTTTGATGCTATCGTTTATTTGACAAACTCGGAGCAGTAACAGCCCTACTCCCATTAATATTGACCCACATTCCCATCTTGACGTACGTGATATAGTGGATGTAAGATGGCCATCAGCCCGTCCCCGAGCCATGCGGAGTGCATGGAGGACATGGAAGCCTACCTAACCGCTGGCACGTTCACCATGGCAGTATTACCCCGCCGCGTGTACAGTTTGGGTGAACGTTGTGCCTGGTAGGTGGGAGTCACCGACCACCTTTGCTTGCTATCACAGCTGCATCGAACGACATTGCGAACGGCCTCAGGTCGCCGATATGGCCGCACGACTTTGGAGCATTCTTGAGTGACATTATATGATGGTCATGAAGCGGCCGCGAACGATGTTTGATGTTGGGGAAGTACCTTGTGAGTCCTCCTTGAGCTCACCCAAGTTCGCCAATATCGATAATCGGATCTTGATTGTGGACCTGTAAGAACCTGTCAGCCACGATAGAAAAAATACCGTTCTCTCGTCGGTACTATCTACATGCTGGCAAGAAGTTCCCGGCTTGAGCTGCCAAAGTGCCAAACGCTGGCTCCGTCAAATACGTAATAGGCGTCAAATTTCAAAACTTCTTCACTACTGAGATCTTCTTTGGATGTCACATCTTAAACTCAACGTTATCCATGCGACCGTTTCTCCAATTCTTTGAAACCAAACAGGTGTTCCGCTACTCGCATCAGTAATTTCCTTGATATCTCAGCATGGGAACGCCCTCGTATTTGCCATTCGGTTAGAAACCACCCAACTTGGCTGTGCTTTTGCCACCATCATGAAGGCCATTGAACTGCGGCACGATCTTGCGCCTCAGTGCTGATACTGACTCGAGTTCGTACGCAAGGCTTTATCCTGCTAGGCACTACGAGCTCAAGTCAACTTCTCTTCACGCGAATGATCGCATTCCCCATTGAACAGCCTCAAGAGCAGGAAACCACTCTGGTAGAAGGACAATCAATGATCCTTCCGCAGCGCAGAAGCCCATCAGAACGTTACACGATGGGTGCCGTGCCCTGCCGCAAATTGAAGACCCGTCGGTGGGAAGTAACTACCCCAGACACGCTGGTAGCTCTCCAAGTTTGTGCAGTCTTCGGTGAGAACATCCTAATATTGGCGGTCTCGAGGTAGGATGGTTCTGTCATGCATTATTGCGACCCTGTAAGTTTTCTTGCCGTATGCAAGCGGAGCGTGCTCCGCACCATGACATCGAAGCAGCATTAACAGATCACCCACACATTTACTGCAACAGGTCTCCCTATGTGAGAATTTCCCCGCAGTTACTCTTGGACGACAGCTACAACCTACAACGTAGCGACCCAGCCGTGCGAAGATGGTAGATCAACGTCAAGTAGTGATAACTTCTACACATCTACCTATACCGCGTCTCCCGGAATTCAAAAAAAATAAGAGCCGGGAAGTTGCGAGGGCGCAACATTCGCAACGCCACTGTGCCGGACCATTCTGAATTCCCTGTGTTATCTGACAGCCACGCCGGTCGCTCTAATTCCCCCACTGGTTGTTCGCCTGACCACCTCTATCCGATGCGGATTCCAATGGCTCCGGAGACTATATTGATGGGAGACACGTACGCATCGGCATGTGACCGAGAAGCCGTTGTATAATAACATCACGCAATGATAGCTATGACGCTGTGCTTACGTCGCATGTCGCATGACAAGGTGAGATAACCACTGGTGCAGGATTCCTGTTTCCGACCGACGAACGGAGGGGTTTGGCACAGAATTGTCCTCCGCCGCCCTCACCATCATCACTTCTTGTTGGGAACTAGTGCAAACGCCTTCACCGCTCATTTACACGGTGGGTCCGCTAACACACCGATCAAACAGTTTGTGATAAACGACCACGCCTGACGCCAGGGAGGAATTTAGTGCACGGAAGGGATGCAATTGACCCCATAACAACAATAGTTTGCGCCACGTTAGACGGCTTCTTTACGTAAGTGACTTTCTTTGCAACTATTTCGACCCTAAATGTCATTGTGTATCGTTGGGATATATCACAGTTATGGAGAAAGCGAGACAATTGTCGTTCAACTGCTTGTCTCTAGTTTCCACATCCAGCCGCGCATGTGAAGTACTGGTGCTGTCTCTATGGGCGCACTACGGGCATTTTCCAGTAATCTAACCCGGGTATGTGTGCGTCGGGTCTAAATTTACTTATCGCATAACTGTTTCTTTATCTCCCTTGTCTTCTCTTCTCCGACTCCAGGGAACTGGATTGGATAGTAGAAGATACGGTTTTTCATGCCCTGAACCCGTGATCGACAAGTTCGACAAGTTGTTGTCCAGTGTTGACCGGAAGAGAAGAGTGCTTTCAGCTTGCTTCCGTGACCGTCATGTCTTCAGTGGTCATGTGTGGTGTCTTCTTGCGGCAGCCGCCGTTGTTCATCACCTGTCGAGCGATCAAGAAAGTCCGCTGATACAACTGAAATATGGACCAACATGTTTGTACCTGCTGCATGGGCACTGACACCGCACAACGTGCCGCTCATGTTACCCAGAACTGACTCGTGCACTTCAAACGTTGCTGGGTGGTTAATTATTCCAAATACAAGAAGACTTGTTTCACCTTCGTGTGTAGTGACTGCTGCAGCTTGTCTATTTACGGTGAGGACGGTCTCTTTTAAAATCTGTGGCCGAATCTGCGACAATCAAGATACGTATTATGAGGATGGTTGATTTGGACCTGTTTCATTTTGAACTAAATCATCGTGCGTTCTCGGACCGACACGGGCCGTTGGAGTGTGCGGCAGAGTGACTGTAGTGTTGGCTACCTACCGGTGCCTTGACTGCCCAACAAAGGGGAATACCTCGTGTTGCCCAGTTCGTACCCGATTCGGGAGGTCGATGTTATCGATGAAAGAGAGATGTGACATGTGGCAAAACCCCCGCGCCGTGTACCTAGTATGGTGAGATCCTGGAGAGCCCTCCAGGAAGAGACGGATGAAATGAGATTCAGGGAAGAAGGACTAGTGGAAGATCCAGGGCTTGCCAACACCAACAAGGCAGCCCCGACGGCCATACATCATGTTGTTATTAACTTGCTGTATCATATTATCATAAACTACAGCCCCCTTTTTCTTACTATTATCCACATACCTGTGTGTTTGGCACGAGTCTATGATGCCATGACAGCTCCCACGATGATCGATGAAGATGAACGTTGAACTTCCGTTGCCCCGAAGAACGCCTTACCAAATCATGCACTAATACCTCAGCCCTCCGAGTGGCCTATCCCGTTCGGCTATAAAACCTGGTCGCTTTACAACGTCGCTAACCATTGAACTCACTACTACCCTCTCTTCCCTGCCTTTCAAACTCGATCCTCTCCTCGCTCTAACTGTATCATCCCCTCTTCACTACTACTATCCAATATGTGTAGCATGGAATGGTGAATATCTACCATTAGAGTTCGCCGTTGTGCTTCTGTTCGGACTCACTGACGGCAACAACAGCTTCGGAGACCAGTACAGGGGTTGTGGGGTAGGTGTCCGTTGACGTCTTTCCCGATGGTTCTTGTCTTTTGACACCGTTCTCGCCATCCGCGAAGCACTATGTCCGGATATATCAAACGGGGATCACGATTGATTGCGGATCTCCTTACTGCAAGTTGAGCGCCGCACACATCCACAAAACCGCCAGGAATTGCGGTTGCAACACGGTCAGTACTGCGCTCCTTGCCGAGGGAGGTGACTTCGAACTGACTAACCCGAACCCCGTGGTTTGGCGCTCATCGTGGTACCTATTTTAGGAATACGCTGATCACCGGAGAGTGCGCAATCTCTTCCAGACGAAATGCGATGAGTGTCAGGTAGAGGAAGCTGCACAAGAGATTGATTACGGTCGTCGCTCAGGTCGACGCTGGTGATGCGACGGAGGTCTTTTTGCCATTGCTGCTGCTGCTGCCCGCGAACTATCTGTTCCGTATCTGGTCCATGATGCACTGTGACGCACGGGACCCACCATCACCGACTTTTACTACCCCCATTTGTTTTGCCACTATCATCATCACACATGCATGTTTCAGCCAGCCGCATTGTTTTCGTCTGTAACTTATCGGCCCCCCTCATCTCTCACGCGATATTAGCTTTCGTAGCCTACGCCCTCCGTGATACTCGCGACACCGTGTTTTTTCACGTATGTTACTTACCCGACGCACCCAGAGATGAATGGCATCGTCCTCGATCTGCCTTACGTGACATCCATCGTAAGGAGGACTGCAAGGGTCAGAACACGCGATTGAGGTCTGGAACGAAACAACTCGTGAGCTATCTGAAGAGGAGTCTGTTGCCCGCAGCCGAAACCATATATGTAGCCCCATACATCAAATTTTCATGATCATCTGCCAAGATCCTTGGACGGGAAGGGCATTTACTACTGAAATAGGGGGTGCAGCACTCAAAACTTCCTGCCTCCTCGTCGAAGTGGTTGCCTTGTACCCCGTACGGAAGTAGCCCCACTTTTGATCTGAGCCGCAAGTTTCTTGCGCTCCTCTTCGCTATCTTCGTCGCTTGCGGGGGGCGGCCTCGATTTCTTGGTTGGTCGGATAGGAGAAGAGTCTGTGTCACTGGACACGGGGGGTGGTTTGATTGCGTTTCGATTTTGTGGCCCACTCGGAGCAGGCGAGGGTGCCTTTGATGGTACAGGGAACTTTGCGGCGGTTGTACCATGTTGACTCTCGGTCACAGGGCGCTTGTTTGCAGACTCACGACTCATCGATGCATGAGGGTGACTATCACTTTCGGATTCTGTGGCAGAACCCATATCCACGTCCGCAGTGATAGGACTCTGTACCCCTAAAGCTATTGCCTCAGATTTCAAATCCCCTCTGATACCAGTCGTCTTCTGCAAATTGCATGAGGCTCAATATTGGCAACAGTCAAGAAGGTTGGTAATTGCTCACATCCGTTACATAACTCCCCGTACTTCTCGAGAGCTCAGTTCCCGTGCTTAATTTCGGCGTTGGTTCTCGAGGTTGAAGAGGGGTTACGTCGTTCGCAATCGTCACTTTAGCTGGAATGAGAGGCAATTTAATCATTCGACGCAGGAAGAAGTCATGCATAACCCACGTAGATCCGAAATGAAGTTGAAAACTGCAGTCATGCGCCGAAGGGTTGTTGCCAAGCGGGGTTTAGACATCGCATTTTTGATATGCGTGTCGACGGTCCTGCGAGCTGTGCGGCCAATCTTATCGATAGCCTGTTGTGAGGGTGCGTTGTAAGATCGCTTCTGTTTTGCCAAGTGCGTGGCTGGCTCGATAAGGTACATACCTTCTCTAGTTCGTCTCCGCTGAAATCACCAACTGCATTTGGGCTGCTGAAGGCAAGATGGTTAACGCTTATCAGGGGCATGATGAGGTGTCGTGACAAAATGTCCGCGGAGGCCTTGTGACCCACGAAGACAGTGTCCCACCGCCACTTGAAGGTATCACATTCCAATTCAAACGCCAGGTCCTATCACAAATCATGAATCAGCTGAACACGACTACATACCCACAGCAAGAACAAAATGCACCGCTATTTTGGATTCCACGGGCTCAAAGGATACGTCTGACACACCGCCCAGGGTATGCGCCCGGGATAAAAGGTCGAGGTTGCGTGTTCTCCATGCCTCTTCCGCGTCATCATCCAAAAGGGGAGAGCTGATTCTTCGGTTGCATTCACGCCAGCGCCTGGCGAATTGCTTGCTATTCAATACTAGAAAGATGAACAAGCTGACGATGTGTCTCAGTTCGTTAATTACCGGTGGCGGGGCATACTCACCCTCCGCCCAAATACACTTGGTATCTGTAATCATGAAACAGCTTGTCAAATCCACTGAGGAAGAGTAAAATTTCTGTGGCAGAATACGTCACACACGATCTGATGTCAATGGCTAATGTGGGTGTGGTAGAAAAGGCGAGGATGACGGACAAATAGGTATGGTTTGGCCGTCTGTGCGTCGACTTTCACCAACCACTCTTTCAATAGCAGAAGCTTAGAGTGTTCCTGTGTTGTCATGCCATGCGTCGGACGCGTTTGGTGGTACGAAGTGGGCGGCAAATACCTCACTGAAGTACTCCATTAGCAGTTCCTTTGAAGATGGGTGAGCTCAAGGTCAATAGGGGATCGGAGTTTGAAATGTCTCAATGCATTTCTCTGGCTACGAGGTGTCCGAGTACGACCCTGCGTTCGAATGGCCGGGCGACAGCGATGGCAGTGGAGTCTCTAAGTGCACAACATCGACGGCCTGGCCGCCATTGCGTCTATTAGTCCTCAAGAGCTCCATCCTTCATAAACACCTCCGAGTTGCTGTGCTCGACGCCTATGGGGAAGCTCAGTTCGGGCGCGATCATGCCCCTGTGGGTAGTGCGGTACCACGTATTCGATTGAAGGAGATGGAGGTCTCGAAGCTACATGCTACTGCTTATTGGGATAAAGGGAGACGGGAGTGGGCTGTGGTGGACATGGGCTCTAAGCATGGCACGTTCTTACAGTCTGGGCGCCAGCTTGACACGGAGCCTGTTCGTCTGTCTCCTCCCCGGGTAGCGAGCATACCACGGCCACTATGCCACCTTGACCGATTGATTATTGGCAGTACCACGTTTCTTTGTCACATACACGAGGACCGAACACCTTGTGTAGAATGCATGTCCAATGGCCAGGGTGACGTACCTCTCTTCACTGTCCCGAAAGGCAACGGTCACATCACTGGTGGCAAGAGGTCTTCTGAATCTGCAGGACTTGAGCAACAGCAGACGATGATTGTTGACAGGAGGGACCCGAAGAAAGCACTGACGACCCTCAAACGTGCTCTCCTTTCACGACATCACAGTGCTCATGAGCTTGCATCTGGTTCAAGCTTGCCACCGTCCGACATGCGGTCTGCTGCCACCACTTACGTCGATCGTTCGGCACGTCGGCGTGCGATGTACCCGGGTTCGCAGTATGATAGTCCTGGCGTCCAGAGCCCTAGGGGCAACTCACCGGGTATCTTGAATAAACCGACTCCTGAATTGGCGCAGCAGTTATCTGCCCCACATTCAATTCCCTCTTGTGTTGAAGTTCCGCGACGCCCTGGGCCCTTATCGGAGAGTAACATTGGCCGGCAACTGCTCCTGAAGCAAGGATGGCAGCCCGGACAGGCTCTTGGCTCGTCCGCAAGTGGGGACGGCGAGAGTGGCTCGGGACTGGTAGTGCCCTTGGAGGTGACCCCACTCCCACCCAGAGCAGGACTTGGGATGTCGCCGGACAAGACGGGGCCACCCCCACAATCCTTTCACCAGTGGAGAGAGGACGGCAAAGAGCGACGGTGGGAGAGTGTGCGAGCCACAGCAAATGATGGAGCAGGCTAATAGAAATGTCAGTATACTATTGGCTTCTTCCGTTTCGCTTGTCGGTTTACTGAACATTCGCCAGGGTCAGAGTGTGCCACTACCTGTCATGCTGTCGACTCTAATTCGCCCTTGCCCGTGGCGGGTCAATGGGTTCGTGATCCGTAGGAACCCTGGCATGTGGGATTCTTTAGCGGCAATGCATGATGAGCCGCTGATCGGTGATTGGCTGTCAGATATGATAGTGTACGATGATGTATATGTGGTACTACCGATGGCCCTGTAGCGTCTCACTGCTGTCCACTGTCCAAAAACATTTTAAAGCCAAGGCTAATTAGCAGGCCGCGTCGCGACGTGTCTGTTGTGGAGTGTTTTTATTAGTCACGTGGGTGGTTCGCGTTCCACCTCTACGCGACGAATTTCTTGTCCCCAGAGGGTTGTGCTCGCCCATTCGACCGTTCCGTTTCTGTTGTCTCTGTCGAGACCGGCGAACTCGCTCACAGTTTATTAGCAGCCACGGCTTGGCTTTCTATTGTTCTTTCTCTTCCCCACCACAATCCCTTCTCTGTACCTTTCTCGATCCCCCACTCCGCACCTCGTCGCTCCCAGAGTTTGGTATCTCTCTGTAGCATCTACACTTCATTTCTACCATGCCCAACAACATTATCCGAGTACATCCTTCCCCCCATCTCTGCTAATTCCTCGTCACTGACGCACGCCACAGCCGTCCCAGACCCGTACCCGCTTTGGCGCACGCAAGGCGAACGGCGACGAAAATGCCACCAGCAAGCACCTGCGCCAGGGATCAGGCATCGTTGGTGCCGGCGCGTCGCGCGCATCCGCCGTCCTCAGTGGACTCAAGGTTGGGCAACAGCGTCCCGCGCTTAATGAAGTGACCACAACCGCTGTCAATCGCAAGGTCAGTACAGGTAAATGCCACAGCACACGCATGACTGACGCGGCTGCCGCGCCCCATTCCAGGATGTTGCAGGGAAAACTACTGCCAAAGACGGATTGAAGGACGCCTCCCAAGAGCAGGGCCTCAAGCGTACCCGCTCAGCGTCACTTGCAGCTGCCACTGGCCCACAACGTGTTCCCTTGGGTCCAGGCAAAACACAGAGTGCAACCAATGTACCCCGTCAACCCGTTGCTCGTGCCCAGAAAGCATCGGTCTTCAAACGTATGTCGCGGCAGGAAACCGCTGTACCAGTTATCATCCCTACGGAGGATGACAAAGAGAACGACATGGATATTGAGGTTCCTCAAATCGTAGAGCCAGACGCTGACCCCGATCTCAGCATCATCAACGAGAGAGAAGTAGAAAACATGGTAGACGTCCAAGAAATAGAGGTCGAAGTGGCCGAAAACGCAGAGAACCCGACGGTAACCAACGCACCCCGTGTCTGGCCTGATGTCGACACGGACCGCGCAACGAGACATCACAAGGAAGTGACCAAAATCCAAGAGTCGTTCGAAGACGAGGTTGATATCTACGACACCACCATGGTATCGGAGTATGCCGACGATATCTTCCAGTACATGTCGGAGTTGGAGGCAAGTGTCCCTGATTTTCACCGAGCACAGAGATTGACCTGTCTCCAGGATGACATCATGCCCAACCCCGATTATATGGATGCGCAGGCAGAGGTCACCTGGTCAATGAGGCAAACGCTCGTCGACTGGCTCCTGCAAGTACACTTGAGATGGCACATGCTTCCTGAGACCCTCTGGATAGCTATCAACATCGTCGACCGCTTCCTCAGCAGGCGTCCCGTTGCCCTCGTTAAGCTCCAGCTCGTTGGTGTCACCGCCATGTTCGTTGCAGCCAAATACGAGGAAATCGTCGCACCATCGGTCGACGAGTTTGTCTACATGACCGAGAACGGATACACCAAGGAGGAGATCCTGAAGGGCGAGCGTGTCGTCCTGCAAACCCTCGACTTCAAAGTTTCGCAGTACTGCTCACCGTACAGCTGGATGCGTCGCATCAGCAAGGCAGACAACTACGACATTCAGACAAGAACCCTTGGCAAGTTCATCGCAGAGGTTGCTCTGCTTGACCACCGGTTTTTGAGATGCAAACCCAGTCTTATATCTGCGGTTGCAATGTACAGTGCAAGGAGAATGCTAGGCGGTGATTGGGTGGGTTGAACAATGTTGACCACACGTGGCCCGTGCGACTCACTTTCCTCCTTCGGCAGAATGATGCATTCGTGTTTTACTCTGGTTTCGTGGCCGAACACCTGGAGCCAGGTCACCAATGGATTTGTGAAAAGCTTCTTGAAGAGAATTCTACGCAGCTATACGTATGCCAAAAGTATGCGCACAAGAAATTTCTCAAGGCCTCGCTTTTCGCCATCGATTGGGCAAAGAACAACTGGCGATCAACAGGCCAGGACCACCTGATGCTCAAGAAATAAAAACCCGAGAATTCACGATACCCCCACATCGCAGTATCATTCAGTCTCATCATCTTTGTGCTTGCATACCGTCCTTGCATCATTGTCTTCACAATCTCAATTGTCTGATTACACACACTCGAGTCATGTCTTCATCTGCGTATGTGTCGCTTTGCCTTGCTATTTCACCCCCATGCATTCCTCCTCTGGACACTCTAATCTGTCGCCACGTGTTTCCCGTCAGCCGCATTACTGGCCTCGCGTCACCGTTCGCTATGGTCGAACCACGTATTTGTTACCCACACAACTACGCCTATGCCCTTCATTACACTTCTACCCGCATCTCTGGCATTTGCCTACAATTACTCATGTATGCCATGCACTCTCAATCATCTTCCTCTTCTCTCGTCTTTTGTCGTTTTGTTCCCTTTGTCTTTTCGTGGTGTTTATTGTTCCCGTCATCTATTACTTTGCAATTTACATTCAGCTGGCCGCTTCGTGGTCAGTTTTCTATTTCGTTGGGCTCAGTTTTCAAGGTCCCCCTCCCCCCCTACCCCTTTCAGAGCAACTTTCGGCTGGCGGGAACGATTTTTGTTTCTCATTTTTGTTCCGGCGCGTTCCCGTCCCTCCTCTTTAGTTCTTGAAGCTAGAGTCTTGGCACCAGTGTATATACTGTGACTTTAGCCGCGCCGGGCGCTCAAACTGACCTCAAATCAAACAACCAATTATTTATGCGCAATTGCGAAATTACTACTATGGAAGTGTGAAGCACGTGGTGCCGGCTAAACTACTATCAGTTGGCGCCGGTGACAGCACCGAGACCGTTTTTCACGTGAGACCGACACGCTAAAATAAGGCCCGCCTGCTTTGAGGTGGAATAGCTTTGCAACCTGCGATTCAAGAGCTACCAAACAGTCATGGCATCACTCTCATTCAAGGGTCATACGGTCGTCGTCACCGGTGCAGGTGGTGGACTGGGCAGAACGTAAGTGCGGAGTGGATAATGATGTTGGCTGTGGTATGATCTAACCTTACCTGATCGATCAAGTTATTCGCTCTTGTTTGCTTCTCGTGGTGCCAATGTTGTCGTTAACGACTTCAATGCTGCTGCTGCGCAGAAAGTAGTCGACGAGATCAAACAAGGTGTGTGGCATTCTATCCTGGTTGACTGTGGGTTATGACGTGTCGGCAGCCGGAGGCACCGCGGTCGTGAACGCATCCTCGGCAACGGACGGTGCTGCTGTCATCCAGACCGCAATCAACTCATTCGGGCGAGTTACTATCCTCATCAACAATGCAGGTATTCTGCGGGACAAAGGGTCAGTGTTTTGTAGCACTACGAGTGTGATCATATTTGGGGGAACTTTATTATTATTATCATTTAGGTTCAAGAATATGTCTGATGCGGAATGGGACCAAGTCATCGCTGTCCATTTGAAGGGAGCATTTGCGTGCACGAAAGCTGCATGGCCTCATTTCCGGAACCAGAAGTTCGGTCGGATCGTGAACATCACCAGTGCTGCTGGCATCTATGGTTTGTCTTGGGGAAAATCTACATACAAGTTAAGAATCGCTCATGCGTATCTACTAGGTAACTTTGGTCAGGCTAACTATAGTGCTGCGAAGATGGGGTTGATCTCGTTCACGAAATCTCTTGCAAGAGAAGGCGTGAAGTATGGTATTGGTGCTATCGCTGTCGCTCCGGTATGGGCTGTCACTGTTCTCTACCCTCCCTTTTCGGGGGGAAAGAGTCTGGTCTAATAACAAAAAATGGTGCGTTTAGGTTGCTGCGTCGCAAATGACGGAGACGATCATGCCTCCGGATATGCTCGCGAATTTGAAGGTATTTGTTTCTACAGTCACCCGGAAAGACCCCAGTCCCATTTTCAAACTTTTTTCATGGCACAGCCTGAATTCGTAGCACCGTTTGTAGCTGCTGTTTGCCATCCCGACGGTCCGAACGCCTCTGGACGCGTGTTTGAGGTTGGAGCAGGCTTCGTCGCCGAGATCCGATGGGGGCGAAGCAAGGGAGCGATCTGGAAGACAGATGAAACGTTCACTCCGTCCGCTGTAAATGCCATTCCTTACCTTCTGCTACCGTGGTCACGACTGAGAAATTTTCAAAGGTTAAACTCAAGTGGTCAGAGGTCGCTGACTTCTCAGATCCTAGGCAGTAAGTACGTATTCTTCTCGTACTTTCTTACTTCTTAAATGCTTTGCGCGCGCAGTCCACAGTCAATGGCTGATAGTGAGAAGCAGGTAAGTTGCAGAGTGTGGCTGCAATGCGAAACGGAGATTATATTCTGTGACGTCACAGCTCGAGGTTGCAGCCAAGCTACCACCCAATGCTCAAGCAACACCTCCGGTCCGTTTTGATGGAAAGACTGTCATCATCACGGGTGCAGGTGCCGGTCTCGGACGTGCGTATGCACTTATGTATGGGCGTCTCGGAGCGAATGTCGTCGTGAACGACGTTAACGAGCAGGGAGCAACTGGAGTCTGCAAGGAAGTTGAAGCTGGTACGTAACAGAGATTCTTTGCGGGGAACCAACAAAAAATTCAACATGGGGTAGCTGGCGGAAAGGCAGTGCCTGTCGTTTGTTCGGCAGAAGAGGGGGAGAAGATTGTCAAGGCGGCACTGGACGCGTTCGGTGGCGTGCATGTCCTGATTGCCAATGCTGGCGTACTCCGAGATCGATCGTTTGCAGCTATGACAGAGCAAGAGTGGGACACGGTGATCGCCGTCCATCTTCGTGGTACATACAAGGTCTGCTTCCAGCTATACAGGATGTTACACGTGGCTGATTACACAGTTGTGCAGTGCGCAAAGGCCGTGTGGCCGGTATTCCAGAAGCAGAAATACGGTCGCATAGTTACGACGGCCTCGCAGGTTGGTATATGTGAGCCTTCATCAGTTCTGCACGCTCTTTTTTCGCCTGACTTTGAAATACCAGATGGTAACTTTGGGCAGACCAATGTAAAGCTACTATTTTTTTTCCCGTGATACGAGGCTCATACACGGGGGTGACGTAGTATTCGTCTGCAAAAGCCGCCGTTATCGGCCTTACCAAGACTCTTGGTTTCGAGGGTCGAAAATACAACATTCTTTGTAATGTCATCGCTCCTTCCGCCGGTACCGCGATGACCATGACAATCTGGTGTGTCGATTCCATACTAGTCTTTTTTTCTTGACACTGAAATATTCTAGGCCGAAAGAGATGGTTGATGCTTACAAGGTTCGCAAGTCTCTTTCATTTACCCCATTCGTTGCTCTCAACACATCTCTTTCCCTCTAGCCGGACTACATAGCCCCTGTTGTAGGTTTCTTAACGAGCGAGGATAACACCGACACCACCGGTCGGCTGTTCGAAATTTCTGGTGGCTGGGCAGCAGAGACACGTTGGCAACGAACGGGCGGCCATGGCTTCCCGATAAACGTGGAGTTGACTCCTGAAGAAGTCATAGCGAAGTGGGAATCCTTTACGACATTTGGTGCGTTGTAATTGCTGCTTCTGAGTGTTTCTTTTCTATCTAGTGACTCTTTCTCTTTTTCGTAGATGATGGCAGGGCTACGTTCCCGGCGACATCGGCTGAGAGCTTGCAGCAGATCATCGACAACTTTGAGAATAAGGCGGGATCGGTAGTTGAGGGTGCCGTAGAAGCGGTTAAAGAAGCTGGGAGAGCACTTAAAGCGAAGTTGTAAAAGACTGATTCGCGGATTGCTAAATCGTTATATCGACTCCTGTGAGAGTATAATGTAGCTATATGACTTGCGGAAGCCTAGTGGAGAGTGTCAATGGTCATTCGATTCTTAATCAAAGTCTATCCGAGCGCCGAGCATGTGATTTCACAGAGCTCGGTTATATCGACAGCAGGGCAGTCTGTCTTCGCTGTAAACCTCTACGATGACATTGCCCGCCGTCTTTGCAGACCCGGAGGATTCACGGCTGGTCGCCGAAGCAAAGAAGGAGGTGCCTCCAGACGAGGAATTCGAATACACTGAACGCGACGTCATCCTGTACAATCTCGGTATAGGAGCGACGGAACGAGACCTCCAGTGGTCGTATGAGGGCCACAGTGACTTTGTAGCACTCCCAACGTTTGGCGTGGTTCCACAGTTTCCCGCAAGCTCAAGTATTTCGTTTGGATGGCTTCCAAACTTTAACCCTGTGAGGCACCATTCCCTTGAATCGCCAACTTCCAGTTATTTAACTGTTTAAACTTGACACCATGGACGGTTATGGTTAGGCGAAGCTCCTCCATGGAGAGCAGTACTTGGCTATCAAGGGACCTATACCTACTTCGGGAACGCTCATAAACGAAACAAGGTCTAGCCACGCGAATAGTGTCATCCTAGTGTTGACAACTGACTGCTACATATTGTATTGTTTAGGCTTCTGGAAGTTTTAGACAAAGGGAAGGCTGCATCAATCACTAGCATTGTTCATACCAAGGACAAAGACACTGGAAGACTTCTCTTCGAGAACCAGGTGACCGTCTTTATCCGAGGTGCTGGAGGGTTCGGTGGCAAACGCGTGGGGTCAGGTGAGGACTTATCATGCCTGACGTCCGATCTTTTCCCAAGCCCCATGACCGTTGGTCGCCGTATCTACAGATAGAGGTCCTGCCACGGCTGCAAATGTGCCACCTACCCGCAAGCCGGATGCTGTGGTGGAAGAAAAGACGCTACCTAACCAAGCTGCACTCTATCGGTAAGCCATGTTCCTCTATATATTGTAGCTTGGTGCTTTCATACCTGTCTTGGCATCATGCGATTGCGTCACTATTGGAGGAATGGCTAAGGAACTTTTCAATACAGGTTAAGTGGCGATTACAACCCTTTGCACGTGAGTTTTCCTTCCCAGAATTCCAGAAAAGCTTTTGGGAAACTTCTGATGAACAACCTCATTTGGATTCGGATGCTAACAGATAGATCCCGATTTTGCTGCCGTTGGCGGCTTTGATAAACCCATCCTTCATGGTAGGTGGCCCTATCTCAGATATCAATGTCAAACTTGTGTCTCTCCTTGTCCTGAACTGCTGTCTGTCTTTGCTGTGTTTGATAAGGACTATGCTTCATGGGATTTGCTGGAAAACACGTGCTGCACACGTTCGGAGCATTCAATGACATCAAAGTACGGTCAGTATACCTTTTTTTCTCCACTAGACTCCCCACAAGGATGACACGTGTCCCTCTTTTCCCCTCTCTTCTACTATGCATAGCTTTGCAGGAGTGGTCTTTCCGGGTGAAACCCTCGTCACTGAAATGTGGAAAGAAGGTTCCAAAGTCATCTTCAGTACGTCATTTCGTGCGTCAGTAACCAGGTTCTCCAGGGGCTTACTTTACGACGTATTTCCAATTTAGCAACTAAGGTGAAGGAACGAGGAACTATCGTCCTTGCAACAGCAGCAGCGACACTTGTCAATGGAGATGCCAAGGCCAGACTATAAAAAATTTCTTCTCACCAATTACCATAAATATTCTTATAGGCCTCGATGTTCGAGCGAGTCTGGAGGTCGTGACCTGGCCAAACGTGCTGTATATAATCGTGTATACCGCCACAGCCTTCTAGTTATAACATGAAAATTAACTTGTCTACCATACTAGTTCTGACCATGTCACAAGCTCCACTCCACTCATCCTCTTGGCACTCGGAAATTATTGCGGCGTTGAACGCTTAGACAAGTAAATATTTGGATATCTTATATCGTCATAGACATGTGGCATCAAAAAAATAATGGAAAACCTGTAGATGATACACGAAGGAAGGGAGAATAGTCATGTATAAGAGTCGTGGACTTCATTCCAGAGTGAATACTGCAACTGGACTTATTAGAATCATAAACATTCTCCAAATATTGGTTTGGATGTTTAGCAGCTTAAAATCGGCGAGGTACCTAAATCATGACATAAATGAATCAACATTTCTGAGCATGTTCAATTGACGTACCAGGGTAATACCAGAATGTTACGCAAAGGATGAGATATAGCGCTGTCCGTTCACCCGTGAGCGGCATAGATGATCCACAAGAAAGGAGCGAGGACTTACACATGAGGAGCATGCCCTCCAGCCAATTCGACCTGCCATCTTGAATGACGTAGTTGACGGTGAGGACTGCGAAGTTCTGCGTCAAAGTGGTGCGACTGGTCAGAGGGGTCGACTTACCAGCAAGGAACATGACTATAGATTCCAGCGGGTCGAACATGAGGGTTAACGGCTTTCCAAGAATCCATCCCAGCGTGACAATGAAGCTGTCAAACTGGTGAACACGGGAAACACAACAAAACTACAGGAAGCACATACGGAATGACAAACAAGGCGATTTGCTATATATAAAAATTGTGAGCACAAACTACAAATACACCAGAGTGGGAGTGCGTACAATGCTCGATCCGACGGCCACGCCCAAGCTCAAGGTTAGCTTGTCTTTGACCGACACTGTAACCGCGGTAACATGCTCCGCAGCATTGCCAACGATAGGAAGTAGTATCACGCCAACAAATTCTGTGCTAATAGCGCCTCCCGAAGTTAAACCGTTGATGGAATCCACCAAGAATTCCGCAGTGACAGCAACGAGCTGTGTATTGATGCTACTATCGGTGATCAAATCGGAAAATGGAGCTGTGCAAACTTACCACCGTGACAGCAACAAGGAGGCCCAAGGACACTGGCACTGACATCTGAGGCTTTTCTTCCTCTTCGGAGGATCCGCTCTCGACATCATGGGTAACGTCGGGATGACTCATGGAATTTTCATCGCCGTGGTCAATCTGAACGCTCTCCTGACGGGGAGAGGAAACCATCGGAAGGTCTGTCATGCCCACGTCGTTTGCAGCTCGTCGTCTGTGACGCAGTCTGTGACCCAATTTAAACGGATTCTCCCCCGAATACTTCCTTGATGCCTCGAATGCATCATCACTGTAAAGGTTCTTATGGGAAAAGAGCTGGAACAGGAGATATGAACAGTAGACTAAAGAGTGAGGAATTAGTTTTGCTAGCTTAAATTGACGAAGAGAAGTTGCCTCACTGAAGAGCAGGATAATGGCGACCTTGGACAAAAGTTAAACTTAATGTTATCCACTTGTAAATTACTCACTCCGTGACTAGTCTTCAAGATTCGGTCGTCTAAATCACTTTCACTGACTGAGGTGGAGCCCTGCAAAGCCATATGGAAAGCCCCAGGTAACAGGACGGCAATGACGCTGACGGTTAGAAGGGTAGAGTTCAGTTGGGCCGCAACTGTGAGACCGTCAGAATGGATAGTTTTCACGGATGGGAGGAGGCCGCAAACCATGTCCGAATCCTTGCTCCGAGAACCGTAGACCACCTGCGAAGAAACACATGCCCAGGACGAGTACTAAAAATCCATCATAAGTACGTTGTTCACGACTTGTGCTAAGACGTACACAAATTACTCAGGATGGATCCCACCACTAACTGAAGCATCAGCCTGGACATTCAATCAGTCAACGATATAGCACTCACGGGACGACTGAACAATCTGCAATTCGCATTTCGTCAACGCAATTATCTGATCGGCGATTGAGAATAGCAAATTCGGGAATGATGACCAAAACGCACCGAAACAATGAGTTCAACACTGGAAAGCAGAGGAAGTGAATGACCGCTTGCATGTAAAAGGCACGACTTACGCATTTCCCTGGACAGGTACATCAGTCGGTGATCCACAAGTAAGCCGAGCACACACACCAAAGTTGCATTCATAAGCCCTGCAAGCGTTTGCCCGACACGCATCGATAGCTCATCGGTAGCAAAGGCAAGGAGCTTTATACCTTGTCAAAAAAGTTATCTAGTAATGTTTAAATAATATACCTTGGCAAGCGGAATTATAGCCAGGAATGAGACTGTTACTTAGATTAGAAGAGTGCGACAAGAACAGAACAGGGGCGACGTACAAACGAATATAAGAGTATGTTGGTCGGGAAGAGCAAAGTTCATCGCCCACTGCATCCCCGCCAGTCAGAGCAGAAAGCCGGTACCAACGGACCTACATACCGATATCGGGATACAGACTAAGAGGACATTTAACCCTAGGGTACAGATATATCATAATCATTACAGTGAGTTGCCAGAGGAACTTACAAGATGCTAGGATAATGGCCCGCAAGCTTTGCCAGGCAGAAGGGGGAGAAGAAAGTTTCCTCTCTGGTTGCAAAAGCGTCGTAAAGTGGCGCTTCAGCGATTGCCGGCTTAAGACGCGGTTGGCGGGCCTACTCTGTGCGACGGGATTTGTGGAACTCCGGCGAGGTTGCGGCGTTTCGTCGGACTGCAGCAGTCGTGAGTCAGACGGCGCCCGCCCCAAGTTCGAGTCCGGGTCCGACACTGTTGATTTCGCCTCGTCCATGAATGATTGCGGATGGAGCCTTCTCCTGTCACGTACTGGCAAATTATACGTTCGATAGCACAGGTTCTAGGGGGGTGCTGCGCAGAGGATGTTTTATCAGTGGATACTGCCTGAACGAAGGTTGGAAGACAGCTGTGTAGTTTGGCGGGTTGTAAGAGGACAGGCCGTGTTCCAATTTTTGTTCATGTATATATGTACATTACTATCGTACGTTTACGTAATGGTGGTTTCAGTGTCGATCACGGCAACTTTCCACGCCGTCGCCTCCAATCTTGCACTCGCCAACCCACCACCGACTCATGGACCCACCACCGTTGTGTGACAATCAAAGCGGTACAATAATTGAATGACGGAGGGCGCGACCCGGAGGGCCCACTGGTCAAGCAGTGCTCTGCGAGCGGAGATTCTCGGCTGTGGGAGAAGACACCCGTGTTCTAACAGAACATTCCATACACATGTACCATGCAACAATTGATCGCACTGCCTCAGCTCGTGCTCCAATGCGGCAAGCACATATCAGCCTTGTACCACTCGATAATACACATAACTTTGAGGCGCGCCTCGGCTCGGATAGTCCTCTGATTTGTGCAAGGCACATCTTGTCAATTGATGGACTGAATTTTTGACTTTACCTCGACCTTGCTCTGCCAAAAGCTATCCATAACGCGTCCGGAGACACCGCAGTTTCGCCGGCCCGAATTGACTGCGCCCTCCCTCTCAGTATGCACTTACTTTTACCCCCTAATCAGTAATGAGTACAGCACAACTCATTAGCCGCAACCCTACTATTGTGTATTACATCATGGAGGCCTTCTCGGAAAGCTTCGCAGCGACGCGCCATGACTGGCTACTCTGCGGGGCTTAGTCCCCCACCCGCAGGTAAACAAAGGTGACGAGAAATAAATTTAACAATGCGCGTGTACTGTAGATGTGCTCCACGAAGAGCGGTGTTGACTGCTACCTGCAGAGGTTGGTGACGGGATCCATCGGTTCTGGAACCTTGGCACAGGTAGTTGTTGCGGCGCTCGCTCGATCCAATGGTGGTTCTCCCATGCCTCGACACAACACCTCCTATAACGTCTCGAGTTCCGAACTCCACATCCCCAGGTAAGAGGGTAGTGCCGATTTATTCACCATTCCGCAGCGGCGTGCACCGTTCATATCAGCCTTGCTGCCTGCCCACGCGCCAAGGGAACAAATTTGGCGTCAGCACATTGTGTTTCGACCTACTAATCCCTGCCCCCCTCGACTGAACCACATGGCAGATCCTGAAGATAGAAAATGGCGTTTCGAGCGGTCTGTATTCACTGAATGTAACCGTCACCTGGAAGTGTGAACAACTTTTCCATGCAAAGCTTGGCAATGATCACTCCGGGACGGAAGCAGAAACAGGCACTTATTTGTACCCGATCGTAAGCGTGATGTCATATAGTGTGTGTGTTGCTTTCCGCTCGGTGGGTGGGTGTCTGCAGCATGTTACCGACGGCTGCTTAAAGAATTTCCCTTAACTTGCGGGCCGGTGTTAGGTACGTATGCTGGGACGTCTGTGCATCACCGCCACTTTTGAATGTGAGGCTTTCTATGCTCTGCCTATAGAGTATACAGAAGACGGTTCATGGTCAACACTGCGTTCGTCATGACCGCCTTGCGCTTAGCAGTCACCCGATACGAGAAAAATCTCGAATAGTGACCTTGTGGAAGGATATGTTGACACGCTTCTGGTAAGTTATATATGTACATACCTCGAGCCCCGTGTCGGGCTCGGTGCAGCTCTTCACATGAAGCTCCGCTTCATAATCCGGAAGCCAGGCCACGGTATATCATAGACGAACCTTATATTTGCACCCAAGCTGTGGCTTGGCGTACGCGAAGAGCCATAAAGCTTAAATCCCAGTCATCTCAATGGATGAACAGTTAGTTTGTCGACGTTACTTTTGAAAGTCTAATAGGGAGTGAGAACTCTTGACAAGCTGCGTTTTCCGTGGTCGGGACATGTCCTGTGAACCTCTGGTTGACACTGCAATGAAAACCCCCGCTGCCGGCATTCCCACAAGACTTGGTGATTCATGCCCGCTGGCCGGACATCATGCTTCTGCCCACAGAGATTCCAATCGAAGAAACTGCTGTAAATATTAAAAACATAGTTGGAGAGTTATCAGCCTATCCATTACCTGCGATATTCCAGTATATATTCGCATCAAGCGGTGTGAAGTATCTAACCCGTCTTCGGATGAGGGGCACGAGGTTTGGCCCTACAAGGCGATAGCTACTTTATGACATCCGCGGAACTATTGAGTCACGCAGGACTGGAGCTGCCCCTCTAAGCCATCTCACGCCCCCAGACACCTAGCAACAGCTAACACTGATCATACATCCGATGTTCCTGTAACTTTCACACGAAGACCACACTTCAAATGAAATGGTGGAGTTGTAGTGGCCTTTTTCTCACTGCTCAATACTGCAAGCACACAGAGTTGGTAATTCACGGGCTCGGCGACCATGGCATCGTTTCCGGAACGTAAGTGTGGAGAGCGCTCACTGTCAAACTTGCCTAGATACCTGAATGTACGAAGAAAGTCGGCAGTTCCGAAAACGGAATAAGACATACAACCAGGCTGCTTCCCAACCACTGCTGGACCCCCTCACCGTGGATGGAAAGGGCCTGGCATACAACAGGCCTTGTTGGGAGAGAGGTTCCTGCAAATTTTCTTTCTCAAGGAGATCACATCACACCTTGACGCAGTTGGATGCGCTCACCTACTGTGCCCGAAAACCCTGAGCTGAAGGTACAGAATGTGGCAACGAGGATATGGAGACCAGAACTTGTACATGAACAACCGGAATTGGCGAATAGATGAATCCTACGGGAAATACAAACGGGCAAGGTGAAAGGGTGCGTGCCGAAGCGCATCTGGGTGAAGCTCGCGGGGCCAGCCCTTGCGGATAAACAAAACTCGAAAACTGGCCCTCGGGTAACCTCACATTGCGGGAGAACATGGTGACGGGTTGCAACCCTGTTGCAGACCTAGCCCCACGAAAGACCGCGAGGAGCTGCAATACTGGCTCCGCGGGCGTTAGTGACCCCTCTCAGAGCGCAGGGGGTGTCCTGGCCTAGTTTGTAATGGTCGCCCTCTGAATCAATGCGTTTCTGGTTGAAACGGATTTTCAGTGGTACTTACCTGCTGGAGAACTATTGCGAAGGTTATCAAAAGTTTCTTCGGCTGTCTGCTCGGTTTTTACATTGACCTCGAAACTACGCTACCTTTTCACCTATATGTATTTACCCATAGTCGCACGCGGACGTGAAACTGATTGAGGATTCGCCAATGCAGCCTTGCTCAGTTCGGACGAGTGTGCAGGGGTCCACTTAACGCCGAGAGGGACCCTGTACAACGTTGTCCGTAGTGCCGCAACCAGTAGGTTTCATAAGTATGTGTGAACAACGGACGTACGAGGTAAATGCCAAAGAGGAAAATCCATTCTGTGACGGCTGTACGGACCGGCAGCAGTAAGTACACCGCTCATGCCTGGGTGTCGGCGCCGTGGAGTTGTTTAAGTAGGAGATCATGGTCCGTCCGGTCGTACGTGACAAGAGGGAGTCGTCGTTTTACGCATGATCTTTTGTAGGGCTTCTGGCTGCGATCAGCCGCATCACATCGTGGTTTGAGACCTCGTCAAGCGTAAGGTCGTGTGAAATATTTGATGATGACGAAAAGGGCACTGGATTACCAAGGTCTCAACTTGGCCCTGCGTCTTGAGAGTCCCACATTCTAACTCTCGGTTTTCCCTGATGGCATGAGCATCACAGACCTCTGTGAGGGCACAATGGCGCACAGATAATAATCGGTGTATAAAACCACAAGGGGGGTTGATATGAACGTATGAACGTGCTTTTTAGCAGCTCGACCATCAAACCGGAAAAAAAAACATGATCGTGTTAACCAAATCGTCTGGAGGAGACTGTTGCGGCACAGATCTATGAGGTTGTCTCTTAAAGGGCATCACTTCGGAGATGAGTTAGACGGTGGACGCATTACCACCTTCGTATGTACCGATTTGGGTTTAGTTTGAAATTGTTTGGCCAGCTACTCTGAGCGCACATGTAGCTCCATAGGAGTTTATTACTGTACACTAGATTCTAGGCTTCCACTCACCACCCTATTGTTGTGAAGTGACGTACACTGATCAGCAGATCAAAACATCTTCAACTCAAGGCTACGAGAGGGAATTAAATCCATAAACCTCAACTCTTTATAATTTATCTGCTGGTCAAGGTCTACGACTAGCACAATTCTACACGGATAATTACATATATCCTAATAGCAAGGCAACTAAAAACACAGTGGATAGCGTATATGTGCAGGAGGGGCTGTCACTAGGACTAAGCTCCAGCAATCATAACAGTAAATATATTCAGGAATGAAAGAAGAAGAAAAACCCATTGTTTCACCCTTGGTACGCAAAGGAGACAGCACCATAAAGACCATCTTCACGTCCTGACATTCCACATCCATGTAGCACCTAAGAATATCGCTCATCAATCTCAACCATTCACGGTAACAGTCAGATGGAAACGTACCTCCATCTTACGAGCATGCCAGCCTACTCCACTACTGACATTGCCATTGGCGTCCGCCAAGCGATTCATTTCCATACGGAAAGGGTGATCGCGGGGCAGGCCGCGTATGAGTTCGCCTCCGACCCAGCCACTAGCAGTGTCGACATACCAAGCCCCTACCACCCTTGCTGCGAATACTACGCCAAGTGCCGGCACCGGCACCTAGGCCGACCAGTGCTGGCATAGACAGTTCTATCACCCGTACGCGGGTAGGCGGTTGCGTCGTGACTGGCGTAAGAATCGAAATAAGCGGAGGCGTACACAGCGGCGAAATGATTTTCGAGTGTAACGCAAGTGAAGTCTGTCGTGCAGTACCCCTGGGTATCTCGATGCCCCCGCCAGTCCTACTCCACTCCAGGTCTGGTGATGTGGATACCAACGTTAAAATTTCTACGTTTTGGGCTTTGCTTGTGATAAATTTAGCGATGTCCTCCAATTGTAGGTCGGGAATATAAGAAAGCCCGAAAGATCTGAGCTTAGGCTGTGGTCCCCATTTGCTCAACGACTCGCCGGTCACCGGAGAGCTAGATAGATCCAAATAGATGAGTTCACCGCTGGTAAAGCAAGGCGCAAGTGTGAATAGTTCCTCGAGATCGCTGGTGGAAAGGGGAGAGGGGAATGTCTGGTCTCCGTAAAGCGTCAATTCTTGAATTTGGGCTGCGGCAGGTGCTTGTATCAAGAACGTCTTGATGCTCTCTCCGGTGAGGCGGATGCATCGAGCAAGTGACAAGGAACGAAGCCTGACGGACGTGTTTCCAAGTGCAGTAAGCAAGTCAGGCGTTACTCGCGTGGCAGAAAGATCCAAGTGAGTGAGCGAGGGGAAAGCGAGCACGAACGAGTTGAGGACGGGTGGCTGGATTGACTTGACACCCCGAAGACTCAGGCGTCGCAGGACGGGGAACGTCAACGGACCATCCTCTTCAAAACGTACCGCGCGGCGGGAGCGCCTTTCATCCCTGCGATCCTCGTCGCTTGTGTTATTGGGCACCAGTGACAAATGGGTGTCGACAAACTCTGTGAGAGCGCTCACGAACACAACACTGACGCAGCCCGTGAAATCTACAGCTTCAAGTTCGCTGCAGTCACGCCTTCTTTCATGGTCCTCCTCGTCGGTATTGTTAGGGTCCACTGCAATTAGTCCACGCCCACGAGAGGGGCGACCTGGAACACGAGAAGAGGAGCCACGGAAGAAAAGTTCGTTCAGAACAGGCAAAGTCAATGCACCGTCCATATACTCGGTCGCGCCAAATGCAGTAAGGTTGGGCATTTCCTGGGAAATAAGGTTAAGCACAGGCGCCGAAATAAACGTGGAATACGGCAAAGACGTACCTTGAGAATTGCCTCCACACGCTGACCAGTGACAAAACGGCTGTTCACTCCTTCCTCTACGGAACGGCGCATGCCGATGGTCCGAAAATGATTAAAGTCAATATGCTGTACAAACCTCCCGGGTCGAGGGTCATGCACCCTCGGAACTACAGAAGTCGGATGTCAGGACGCGTCTAGAATGTGATCGGAGGAAAATAACCGGACCGTATAGGCCGAACTCATTACGGTCAGCTATGTCTTGCACGGCATCGCTTATGGACCGCATCAGTTTCCAGCGAGCTGGACTCTTGCTTTTCGCCCTCAGGCGCCTCGGACTCGGATCACGGGAAGCTGGGGGAGTAAGGATGTCCGGAGGAACTGATCCATCCGGACCTGCAAGAGTCTGGAGGATACACTCCTTCCATTTCTTGAGGGCCTCTTCGTCTGAGGAGGTTCCTGCCATTGCAGTCGTTGCTACGGCTGCTTCGGCGAAGGCCTGGATCGACTGTTCAACAGCAATAGCAGTCCGTTCGGCATTTAATTCGTCTTCTCCTCCGGTTATTTCGTCCACTAGGGCGAGCCAGCTGCGAGGCAGCCGAACCTCTATCCTCCGCCATAACCATGGTTTGGCAGCATCGTACCAGGCGTGATTGACGAGACATAAATTAGCGAGGGCCTTGCGCACTAGGGGCTCCGGCCAGTGACTGGGGGCCATCGATGAAGGTAGAGCGGTGGGTATGCCATAGTCACCTAACGCTACAGGATCTAACGAGCTCGGAGAAGCAGGTATACCTGCGGCATAGATATGGGAGCATATTATGCACAGTAATTCTGAAGGGCACCGCGAGATGGCAGACATGGTGTAAAAAGGAAACGGATGCCACGGAATGGGGGAATGTGCAAGGAAGTCGGAGCCTCTTTTATAATCTTACGGTCGGTGCTTAGCCAGGCTTAGCCCTGACATCACTTAGCCGGCGCGGGTATGTGGATTATGTAATCTGGGGGGCGACCTTATTTGTGGGGGGAAGGTTGTCTCGATCGTCTAGCGCTCTTCATTAATACCTCGTGCCTGCATAGATCCGGGTAATTTTAGGACCAAGGAAAGCCACCTCAGAGGGAAAACAAATGTGCCCATGAGCTTCTGCGTTGTCGAAATTGTCTGTGACAGCACACGGCCAAAGTCTGAATTTGAGTTATGACCGGTTTTTTGATATATCAGTGACACAGCGAACCCCGTGACTTTTAAGTAGGTAAAAACTCACAGCAACAACCTGCCTGTATCACCAGGTGTCACCGTTCCGTTCGTTTACGTTGCAGGCGTTCCTATTCCGAAACTCTCAAAATTTACCCATATAGTTACTTAAATCCGAAAAAAGAACGTGTCTGGTTTATTTGAAGCCCCTTCCGCCATTAGGGTGTACGTGCCCCCTGAGGCGACACACGTTCAAAGAACTAAGTGTGTCAGGTGAGGATATGTTCGTAATGACACTGTTAAGTAACTGACACTATTACAAGGTACTTTCATAACGGTGTGTTCCTAAGCAATGCATGCGTTGCGTAACAACTCGGTGGCCATCTTCATAGAGTCGCCATATGACGCCTCTTCGCGCAATTGCCGCCTTGCTTTTCACCACGAATTTCCCCATGGGGCTAGAATTTCCACCACCCCAGAATACTCGGTGTTGAGAAGCTAGAAAGATCGGTTTATGGTTTTGAAATGCAGCGGGAGAAGTGGGAGTTATATGTTGCACATGGATTCGGTCACAATCTCGCCATCGAGAGGCGCAGTCCGAGGGCAACGTGGCGCAACTCGAGGGGACCGAGAGAAATTCAAAAGCGGCAGACCGCCCTATCGATTCTGTTGCTACGAGATTCCTGGAAAAAGTATCTTAATCATCCACGATAGGCAGATTGCCGTGGAAGTTTGGCGTTGTGGCGGCTTTACAAGTCATATCAAATTTTGATCTACGTATACTGTTGGACGTCACGGTAGATTGCGGGATCTTGTGCTTCGCCTACTGACCAATTATGGTTATGGTATGTCGGGGGATGCTGCTGGCAATGGAAACCGTTCCTAGGCTAGTCTATAGCATTATGAAGTGTGGTGGGCTTCGTAGGTTAATCATACAACAATTTTGACTTCAGCGCTGGTCATCGCACGCTCACTCTCACACCAGCTTCTGCATTTGCGGGACTTCTAGGGTTGGTGACAGCCATACATGTGGAAGAAAACAATACGATGGCCCGGATTTGGATTTCCCGTGAGCAGCAGGGTTCGTCTGTTCTGAACTAGCCCCTTTTCGATAGGAATAGTGCTTCGTCCTTGCATCAGGCCTACCCGGTCGAGCATCGATAGTACTAACTCCTTCTAACCCCTCGGGGATGTTCATAAAACAAATGCACATTGGTTATTGAGAATACACAACGTGTCCATCTGCGGGAGGTGCTCAGGGAGTGACGTAGAAGTCGTAGTGACGCAACATCCATATCAAAGACACAGCTTCACAGAAGTAGAAATCAGAAGGGTTGTGAGACCGAGAGTGTAATGAACTCAACTGGACACGATCACCGGACTCAGGGCTGCGGAGTTGAGCCTAGCAGTTCGAAATATCAAAATTTCAGAGGAAAAGTGACCGAAAGCAATAAGATAAGTGAAGAGAGCCATGTCATAGATCCTACAGTAGATGGGGTAAGAACTTGAGAGACGTGTCTGGGTTGGTACGCACCTTTTGTCGTGGATATGGTATGCGGCGTACCCGCGGACAATCGCAGCTGTCAGAGTCCAGACTGCGAAGGTCCTCGCTTGCAGAGCGGTGACTTTTCGAGAAGCAGTATGTAAGCGATATCTTGGACAGAAAGGGAAAGAAAACTCACCATGATTAGGTGCGACTCGTGTGTAGAGCTTGCGCGTCAACTTCAACGTGGCGAAGTTTTGTATGGTGTTGAAGACCGCCATGGCAACCACCAGCAATTGCCATTTCGGCAGAAGTCCCTCGTCCTTTGGTAGAACTACTGGCCGTTATCAGATTGATAGGCTTGGCAGGATTTTCGACCTACGTTCGAAGACAGCCTCGGTGTCGAATGCCATTATTGTCGTTGTGAACAAGTGCCCGTGTGGATCGCAACCAGGCCCAACATTCTAAGGCACGTGGGTGTAACGTAATAGTTTCCTAAAGTAGATTTTTCCCAGTTTTACTTGTGGCCGTTTTGCCAGTTGCTACCTTCTGAAGCAGAGTGGGACCCGGAAACCCATGCAGGTGTCTCATGCCGGATTCTTCGCCCATTATATTTCCCGGAGCATCTCGCTCAAATTCGTTGGCAAGCACGGTCAGTAGTAGCGGGGCCAGTTTATCCCGTCGCTCGCGCATAAGAAAACGGACGCGAACGACCACGGAGTCCTCGCGTCCAGAATGCATACCAACTGAATTTGACAACGTCTTGGACATCTCTGCTTCGCACAATCAAGAGCTGGTCTCTACTTCACTCAACGGTCCGTCCGAGACACCAAACGACCCCCCGGCATCCCATTCTGAGACTGGGAATAATATCTCTGACATTCACAACAATGTCAACCCTAATACGAGCAAGGAGACATGTGGAACATTTGGACCAGTTGGGCAGAACTGGAGCGTCGAGCCAGGCTAGTGGTGGAGCTGGTTCGACTGGGCAGTCAACCCGAGCCACCGCGGAAGGTGGAAATCATTGCAGCTCCAACAACATTTGTAAGTCGTCGCACCTCAGAGACGCGTAAAACTGAAGTCAAGTAGATGAAGGGGAAGGGGCGAAACTCGAATCTACCCCGCCTTACTTCTCCCCCGTCTTCTTTCCGACCTACTCATGCTGAAGGTGATAACTGTCAGAAGCAGCATGCGGGATTCGCTTGCTTACCCAACAGTCTTCGACGTCCTCTTCAGTTTACCCGCTCAGCACGTCGACAGGAACAGAGTCTACCCCCTTCTCCAGTGTCACCCGTGGAGCAGGTACACTCTATGATCATTCCTGCAAGTTGATCTAGGACGTCTCGAAAGTGCAGGAATTTGATGCAGATGACGTTTCATATCGCCTTCGGTTACTCATGAAGAACAGCTACTTCCTTCCCCCTGCTCACTCTAAACCGTCGCCTTCTGATTTTCCTCCTGCCATCAATCCCACGAAGAAGGCGCCCGCACCTGCCTTTTTGGACTTGTTCCGTGTTGGGAAAGCAAAATCAAAGCCGGCCAGTCCTGATGCACCGGCTCCTGTGGTTAGGGTGACGTCAGACTCGACGACTGCATCTCGTTATGTTCTTCGCGACAACGCACGTCCGTCCATGCAAGTGTTCCGCCCACCACTGGGTGGTCAACACTATGACGAGAGTTGTCGTAGTCAGGGAAAAGGTAGGATGATCTGGACGCTGCTGCGAAGCAAGCCTGAAGGTCGATCTGAACACTCACGAGTTCCTGGCGGATCGCGAGCGGGCGACTCGGCGATGTAAGCCCGAAATCTTTGATGGGATTGTCGATCCTACGGATGTGGTTGATATCCCGCCACCATCCGCGAACTATCCGCTTGCCTTGCAGGCTTCTGCTCTACACGGCTTGGGTATCGAGGAGTCGGTTGGAGCGGCCGTACTGGCAGAGCGTTTACCGCCCCCTGCGAGCCCTGGTGCATCCACTCTAGACCCTCGGGACAATGCATGGAGGAAAGCACTTCTCCACGAAGCTGTAAATCATTCCCTCAACAATTCAGCTGCGTCACTCTCCGCCGTTCACTCAACGCCTACGAAGTCACCGCACCATGTTAGGTCATCTGAGTCTTTGAACCATATAGGCATTCAACAACAGAAGAAAATGTTGGAGCAGAAGATATTGAGCCATCCGATCATTGATCCTTCTGAAGACTTCGATCCCCCATTCAGTCCGACTCCTGCCGCTCCCGCGAATCCCACTGGTCCTCCCGCCACACTTACAGCCGCTCTAATCCCCGATATTCATCGGTTGTCTAACTATGCCCCTCTCCGTGCCGAAACCCCTGTACCGCATATACCTCTATCTCCGCCACCGCGTCGAGCTCTCCCGTATTCAAAGTCGCAAACGGACCTATCAACCCCGATGCAAGTGCTCCTTGCTCAACGTCCTAAGAAAGTGTTGCGTAGGTCTATGTCGTCACCTATGCTCTCTGATACGCATGAAGCAAGGACCGCTGGGACGATGACACCGACAAAGACTCCACCCCCGATGCCTTCCCTCAGCGTTTCGCCGAACCCTTCGTCGCACCACCGTATCAGTCTGATCACGAGCTTGTCGCGCTACACGAGTGAGCCTGAGGACGTAGCCGTTCCGCATGAACCAGCTTTCAGGCCATCCCTTGTGTTGTCGGTGCAAAGTATAGATGGACGTCCAACTTCGTCGGAATACTCACAGCCTTCGCCTACCGCCTCCGCGTTCCGTGACCGGTGGTCGGAGGGGTATTACTCTGCCAACTCGCAACTCCAGCTTGCAGGGTCGCCACATAATCTCCGGGAACCCCCTACATCACCTGCGAGTCGTTCGTCGCGCTTATCTGCGATGTCACCACCACCCCGATCGTCTTCTTCGCTTGCCGGTATTGCACTTACCCCAGCCCCTCGTCCAGGATACCTGCCTTTCCACTCCACATCCTCACGCATTGTGCCACCCTCTCGATCATCCTCCGATCTTAGCCGAGGAACCTTCCGCTCGTTTGTATCAGTTTCGGCATCACAGCATATGCAATTACCCACACCTCTAGATGTGAATCATTCAGTGCTCAGTTTTCACTCTGCCCTCCATTCTGCGCCGCCCCCTTCGTCTACCGCTGAGTTCTTTGATCATATACAAGGTTATCCAAGTGCCATGGATGGACTATATGATTCGGAGGACAGTGCCAGTGAAGCGGACCCAGAATTAACCGCCGTCTATGCTCCTCCTCCAGAGCCGCAACGTTCGTTTACGCGACTGGGCAATCATTCTACGCCCGACATTATGCGTGGTGCTACTGTGCCATATTATCCTACTGGTATTTCTAAAGATCGGAAGAAGCCCGTTGGCAACGCTCCGCCGGAAAAGCACTACTTTACGAACCTTAAGGCGTCACCGCACTCCCTCTCACAGTTATCACTGTCCCAGAACTCGAAAGAGCATCTTATCGAATCCCAGTCGTCTTCCCCTCTTCGTCGACCAGCTACGCCAGGGGAAGAAAACATTCGTCGATGGCAGAGGGAACAGTTAGCTCTAGAAGAATCGTCCAAGAAATTGGATGGGATGGTTATACAACATATGCAGGCAGAACGAGATACGATGAGGAGGATTGCTGAAACTGCAAAAGTACCGAAGTCATGAAGTTTTCTCTGCTCTATCAACGTCGCTTTTTTTTTTTTTTGATCTGCTTTCGCAATTCCTATCTACATATACCACACAAGGTCTTTTTCTTTTTTTCTGTCACTTTCATTTTCTCTATTGTAACTTGGGATGTACATGATTGAATACGTTGCTACAATTGCTTCTTGGCCTAGTATGTCTCTTGCATTTCGCACTGGGCGGGAAACGGATACCATGGCAGGCAATTTGACCCCTGTATGAGTCTTGGCACACGTGAGCCAGTGTTCTGACTCCGCCTGCTGGTGCTGTACACAATTACTAGAGAGACTAATTCGACACACTCGTCCTTGTTGAAAGTAAGTCACGAACTGATCACGATATTCAGGAAAATGGCAACGGAGAACTGCGTCACTTCCAAGCACTCGTATTCCTGGCATCAGGTGCGTCCGGACTCCATCGCACAATATCGTTGCGGCTATTCAGCGGCTAACACGTTGGCCATCCATTCCTAGTCTCATGATCAGGTGAACGAGGTGGTTCGACATTGGCACTAGGAAATTCTGACCCGTGGTTCGCGCAGTAGGCGACTGTGCTGTTGCTAGTTCCGCTCGAGACCTCAGAAGAAGATGTTGCCGTGAGTTATACCCGCCTCCCCCGTATAGGAGTGCCCATATGGAGTTTCCAACAGGTTGTGATAGAACGGAGTTACTTGCTGGCTGGAGTCAAGGGTCAACAACCCGTAGTGAAGGTATGTATTATTGAATGTCCACTATGTTCTCCCTATCCCTCTCAATACCAATATGCCTGAATTCAGGGACGCCTCTACGGCAATGTCGACTGTCGCCAACTCAGCATGGCAGCTCGAACCGCGGACTTCGCGGACTTCCACCCGGGAACGCACTACTTCGACTTTATCAACCGCATCTACCCAGTCGTCTTATGCCTTCGTATCTGACCCCGAGATATCGAGCAGCTTCGCTGCATCACTGGAGAGCGCGCAGGCGTCAGACGCCGAAGAGCCCGTAACACCCTTCCCCTGCGCTGTCCTCGCCCACATCGTCTGCAGAAGAGCACCCCGGATATCATCGGCGGGCGGCGGTCCCCAGCTGTATCTGGACATGTATCGCCTGTCATGCAACCCCATGCTCTCTCATCGTTCTCCTCGCTAGAGTCGTTGCACTCGTCTTCAGGAAGACTGTTAACCCTGCATCTGGAAAAGGACCAGTCTGTCATTTGGCCGTCGCTCATCGTGGGTGCCGTACCTCAAGAACTTTTCCCGTCTCCACCGATCCCCATGCTGTATGACCCTGATCTTGAGGTGAAATATAACATGGATCCCACTAGTCTCGTCCTTTTTGCTATTGAACTTCTCGATATCAGGAAGGATAAAGAGGAAGCATTTGAATGCTTCGTGTACGTGTTCTTTTCTAAATTCGCTCTCGTGGGCTGATGTATTTTTCCTTCAGGCGAGCGTGGCACCAAGCACACCTCCCATCTGCCACTATGAAATTGGTCACACACTACCTCCCACCGCACACATCCTTAAGCCATGTGAAAGAGGCTGAGGAAAACACACGGGGGACTCTGTCTTATTACGTGCAATGTATTGGCGGAGCCGCTGGACTTGGGCAGTTGTATCTGGAAGCTGGGCTTCTGCATCTCGAGGGTGCTGCCTCCGTCGTGCTCTCTGCTTCGTACGCGACCCTGTCTTCAATTCGTGTTCCTCCGCATCCACAACCTGCTGAAAATGGCGCGGAGGCGTGGAAGCGGGATAGAGATGCTGCGGGCCGCTATTTCGACCGTGCTCGGGCGATGAATCCCGATCTCGACATACCGGTGATCTCGGACGAAAGAAGCGGTCACACTGAACTCGAGATGCCCTCATTGGAAATCCACCACCACTCTGCGCCCGAGAGCGCCTATTCTGGCGAAGGCTCCATGTACTCGGAGCAGGAGAGAGTTGTCCGGCGGAGAAGGCAGGAACGGACGAAAGACGAGTTGATCTTCCTCGACAATGTCAAGGGTAAGGACGATATCGACAACGCCTGGTATCTGTATGTCCCTAGCCTCGTAGGGGCGGGGACAGCATTACTGGTCGTTGGGGTTATTGGCGCTCTTAGCTTTTCATCTTGGAGGCGGAATCAGGGATCTTAGTTCTCTTTTCTCGCTGAGGTAGTCCATGCTCGGCCCGGTATTCACTGTATTTGCTATCCCCATGCTTGTTGATTTAAATAATCTAGTCTTTTCCAGCGACATGTAAGCACGACGTCGCTGCACTGTTATTAATGGGGGTCTCTCGGTATCACTACTCGGATCCTTATGCCTCCACCAGTGGCCCAATGAGGAAAAATAGAGCTGCTGGCATTTGTATCCGTGGAACTGACAGAAAGTGACCAATATAATGTTGGCACGTTCTCGGCAGCCCTGGTGTTGAGTGCAGGTACGGAGCCGTACGGGGGAACTCCATCGGTCCGACTGCCAACGAAAACCAGCGATCCGGAGACTTTGTATCATTTTGCTGTGTTGTACCACTGTCAATTCCAAGGTGCAGATCTAGACTTGTCGTTTTGATGCAATACATAGTGTTACCGACGGATGCCATATTCGAATCCAACTTGTCGGCTCCATTTTGAGTGCAGAACCTACGAAGCCATCACACATCAAACCTTGAGCACTCACGTTGTCTATGAGTCCTGCCAGGCAAGGGAATTGATGGGTCAATAGCACAATGGGGTGGTCTATACGTCACAATGCAATGACATTACTCAGCAATAATACATCCTTACAAACTGGTGTGATGCGAATCAATTGCGAAATAATGGCATCAGCATCATCTGGGGTGGTGTGGAGAGCCATCGAGCCATTGGTACAGGATTTCGGCTCCTCTACCCTGTGTACTCCAAGATATTGCGAATGGCATAGTTCCTAGGTGGGGGCTGAGCTTGATCACATCGCATTGAGTGCGGGCCGGCCTACCTTTGCTTGAAACGTGTCACCAATGCCTGGGGATTCTGCGGATATGCCTGTGATGATTCTAAATTGACACTGTGGCAGCGGGTCATTCGACTCAGTGCAGCTGTCGGATCCCCCATAGTAACTTATCTGGCGTACTGGCTACTATCCGCATCGATGGAGGTCACTTGCAGGACATACATGTTAGGGTTCTTGTCCTCGTCCATAAGTGGCCCCTGGCGCTGACGAGACCTTAATTCCTGAAAGAGAAAACTGACTTGACGTGCTCCTGATGGTTGGAGCCGTGGGGTTGTCTGGGTCGTGGTAGAGGACGAACACATGCTCATCTGGGTGGCTAGGAAGTAATGACAGCGGAGAGTCGTCGGCGTGACGATAGTGTATGTCAACGTGGGCAAGTACGGTTGAGGGTTGTGCAGATGTGGTGGACTGGAGTGTGTTGTGAGATGCAAGCACGTAGTACGGAGGTGCCCTTGAGGAGGCCGTCATCACAGTGAAGTGTTATGTGATAACGACCCAGCGTTGGCCTTCTTTTCGACTCTTCTGGGTAGATTCTCTGCTCTCGAGTCTGATCCCTTCCGTGTTGGGATCCTTTCAATATACTTGTTGGTCCTTCCACAGATCACCTTCTCTCATTGCCATGTTGCACCACCCCCGCCATGTTCTTTCGTTTTTACTGTGCCCACTACGATGTGCAAGGAAAAGGTGACCCCTGCAGCGACAGGGTCAGATCTGCATCGCTGGCAAGGCGCGGAAGTCCTGCACGCAGATCATCTGGAACATGCAGATGGTAAACGGAATCCTTTCGCGGACACCGCAGTTGTTCCGCCGAAGAGGGCGGCAAGTAACCCCTTCTTCAATGCACAGGAAAAGCCAACCAAACGGACGCTGCTTCCGAACACTACGGCAAATCCTTTCGCTGACTTATACTCAATCACTGCACCCCCTACAGAATCTACCACCAATCCCCCTCCTACCGGCAATGGTCCAGCCCTACAATCTCTCATTGCGGCACTCGAAACGTCTCCTGCGGAGGTGGAGGGGCGCCTTCTCGTCATTTCTGTACAATCGTCTGTTTATTCCCGGGGTTCGTACCTAGCGAGCGAAACCGGCGAGGATGCCATCAGTATAGCGGCTTTGCCTTATCCTCCGACCTAGATTCCGCACGCATAGTTTTGCTCCCGTGGTGCTCAAGACCGACCAATTCGTATTGCTAGCCGTACGCCCTCCGTGTACATCCTTCCTACTTCCGACTACGTATGTTATTTCGTTTTTGTGTTGTTTCCTGTTTCCATATTGCGCACATGTACATGCCAGGCGCACACGCCGATCTAGTATCGACACCCACTTGGTCACTCCGTTTCACGCGTTACTTCGTGTACCTTGTTCTCGCACTTTGATCGAAACTGGAATGCGCGTTTTCCTCGTGCAAACATGGCCTTCCACTTGCCTGTTTTTTCCCCTTCGTCTCGTCATACGTGGGAGTACATGCAAATATAAATCTGGTGAATCGAATGCCTAGCTCGCAATGTGGCCTTTCAAAATTTCAACGACGGCACACCATCGCAGGGCAGTCTTAATTGTACTCGGCCTCTCCTGAAGTCTTGCACCGCGGATGAACACCACGAGCGATGCAACATGCATATATACTAATCCAAATAATAGTATGCTCCCAAGTCGAGATTCGCCCCAGGGGAAGATATTTACTTACATAATAAATTGTCTTCGTTACTTGTCATTGCCAACTTGTGCTCCGATGGTCAAAAAGGGCCCATTGTACAGCGTTCGGTTCGTATGTATTTATGGGTCCACCTGCGACATTTCATTACAATGCAGAACTCGGGTACTCCGTAGCCGTCCCTGTTAGGCCGTCAATTACAGGTCTGCCTGCCAATCCGGCCAATGACGACGCGAACGCGACCGGTCAGACTGCGATTCACTGGACATGTGTATGCATGCACTCCTACAAGATATGATCGGACGAAGGAAAACAAAAAGTAAAGGGGAGGACAATGTGGATGTCGATACCAGATATCATAACGCCACAGCTATCTACGCAATATTGAATATCCGAATTTTGCTTTTCAGAATGCTGGCCTGGTCTATGGGCTGAGCAGTAATGCGCGTAGAAGACGCGATCCTCTTGTGCTCGTTATGAGGTAGTTGACTTAACAGAAGAGCGTTAAATGGCTTCTCAAGGGTAGAGAGCAGCTGCTCTTCAGTCGCGGCATCTAGTTCAGCAGGTGAACCAGGAAATTTCGAGTGCCAAGGGCGAACAAGTTGCAGAGAACCTTGCAGCCGCGTTTCATCTTCTAGCTTGTTTGGAAGAGTGATCTCAAGTGGCCTCAGACCGAATGCCTGGATGCTATACGTGTAACTCGGTGCCGATGGATCTGACCCTTTCAGATGAACCACTGTGACACAATGCGCAATACATGGTAGTATGAGGCGGCGATTGAGAAAACGTGGAAGGGGCACCCTAGTGAGTGAGTGGAAGTCGTACACGTCACCTGGGGAGTATGAATCCGGGGCTCGCAAATGAACCCCCGGAACGTGATGGTCGATATTGGATAATGTAAAGTAACGACTGAAAATGTCTGGCAAGAGCGGCGCCGCGAGTGAGCCACACAAGTTTCGCAGTGCTTCGAATGATATTGGTGAGGGACCCTGACTTATCGCCGCTGAGGGCTTTTCTGCATCAGGTTGAGGTCGGAGCAATGGTAGCGTTTGGAACGAGGTGATCTGGGCAGGGAAACAGCTATGAAACCGCGACGCCTCCCCAACCCAATCCAGAGCTGAGATATTCCCAGACTGCGAAATGATTTCCGCCAGGAGACGCCCAAGAGCGTTCTCAGCAGATTCACCATACAGAACGGGAAGGTGAAGATTAAAGATCCCGAAAAGTGAATAGGCGATATCCTCAGGCCGCGTGGTACGACGTAATGACGCCCATTGGAGTCTCGAACGAGCGTCATCTGTACCTGGGGAAAAGTGAGTGAGAAACCGGGACTCTATTCCAGTCGCCCTTTCCAGCTCTTCCAGCACCGCGATATCGGCTTTATGGTTCGAAGATGTGAGGTTCTTGTAAAGTGACCAGGATTGAGTGTAGAATAATATGTTTCCGGAGGCCAGTAGTTCTTGGAGGGTCCACCCACGTCTGAACCATTCGCTGCTCTCGAACGAACCGGTATCCGGAACATCAGAGAGATACACAATGGTTAGGGAAGATCGTCGATACCACACAAACATCGATCCTATGGCTTCTTGCAACTCAGCACTGCTGTCTTTGTCTATGCAGCACGTGTCACTCCATGCCCACAGAAAACCTCGCTCACAGGCAACAACGCAGAAGGTTTGCAGCTTTTCAAAGCCCTCCTTTTCTGACATATCATATATCAGGTGGCCCTCGATGTCGCGCAATGATGGCTCGTCTTCACCCCAACGGTGAGAAAGCATGACGTACTGAAAGTATTTCAAGATGGCCGTATGGACCAGCTCCATTCGCTGATCTGGGTAGCACGTTGTGCAAAGCGACACCAGCTGTTTGTACTGTTGGCTGTTCATAAACCGGGTCAACTGCGCATGCCGGTTGCATAGGACACCAGTATGCGTGTGCAGCAGCCTGGTCGGCATGGTTTTGAGGGCTTCAAATGCAACATTACGAATGAGTTGCTCGACGTCAAAGTGGGTAACAGGTGAGGCATTGGAGGATGTCATAGCAACTCGTGACTTGACCTTCATGCGGAGGTAGGCTGCAAGGGAGCACTGGGATATGTCGTAAGTGGGATCCCCAGGCATGAGTACCTGCAAGACTTCTTGCTCCAACGAAATAGCCTCGTCGAGATCTGCTGCTGCGGGTTGTTGACGAAACCGGTGTGCTAGACACTGTGCCAGGTTATGCAAGGACAAAGCACGACCGGAATGGTCGATCGGGAAGGATTGTAATACATATCGACACAGTGTTATGTCCTCATTCAGACCGACAATTGCGTGTTGATTGCCAGATCTATGCCTCACAAAGTAATTGACCAGAGCGCCTAGATCGTCTATCTCTCGACCAAGTACGACAGGTTCATTTGAGTCGGTGGCCTGGGCTGGCCTCTGAACCCAAGCTCCCTCGTAATGGGAGTCTCGTGGTAACCGCAGTTGCAGAGCATACGTTGCACAGCAAATAGCATCGTCAAAGTCAGTCGTCGCGGCCTCCTTCGGGAGCCTGTCCCAGAGGTGGAATGAGAGCGCGAGAAGTGAGGAAGCGAGATCAGCTGTGCTTGTTGGATGGTCCACCGACGCAGCTTGATGAAGAGAATTCGCACCGTGCAACCCAGGCATGTCAACTTGTTTCTGAAACTTCGTCCAGAGGTCGCGAGCGAGGTCGTAAAGATATTTGCTGCGATCGGGATGCCCTAGTGGACAGAGCTCCAGTGCTGCACGTCTGAGCGAGATGGCTTCCTCCAAGTCGCCAATTGCAGCCTGTTTGTCCAACCTTCTCTTGAGGTAGAGAACGAGACTGTCGAGAGTGATATCACGGCGAGGATGCCCTGGCGGACAGAGCTCTAGTGCGGCACGTGAGAACGAGATGGCTTCCTCCAAGTCGCCGATGGCAGCCTGTTTGTCGAACCGGGCGTTGAAGCAGACAGCGAGAGTGTGGAGAGTGGTATCACGATCTGGATGCCCTGGCGGACGGAGCTCTAGCGCTGCATGTGAGAGCGAGATGGCTTCCTCCAAGTTGCCGATGGCAGCCTGTTTGTCAAACCTGGCGTTGAGGCAGACAGCGAGTTTGTGGAGAGTAACATCACGACGAGGATGCCCTGGTGGACGGAGCTCTAGTGCTGCACGTGAGAACGAGATGGCTTCCTCCAAGTCGCTGATGGCAGCCTGTTTGTCAAACCTGCACTTGAGGTAGCCAGCGAGTTTGTGGAGAATGGCATCACGATCAGGATGGCCTGGTGGACGGAGTTCTAGTGCTGCACGTCCAAGCGAGATGGCTTCCTCCAAGTCATTGACTGCCCCCTGCTCGTTATATCTATATGAAAGACAGAGAGCGAGGTCGTGAAGTGACCTGGACCGATCATCCCACTTGTTTTCGACTGGTCGGAGTTCCAAAGCAGCACGATGCAAATCGATTGCCTCTTTCAAGTCGCCGATTTTACGGTATTCTTCGTATCTATGGTGTAGGGCCCACGCCAGGCCGAAGAGGGCATCATACCGACCATCTCCCCCTGGAGGACATCGCTCCAAGTTTTTTCGTTTGCGGGAAACGTCTATTCGTACCATTGAATGTCGTTACACCAGGATGATATACACGACGGAAATGGTTCTGCCTTCGCGCTAGGTTCGGTGATCACTTGCAACAAGACAGGGACAGTAAGGGAAACGGGAAAGAAACTCGGTGAGCAATATTGAGTGTCAGCTGAACGCTGCTCAAATCAGCGAGGCTAACCAAGCAGCGCAAAAGAACCCACGGTAAAAACACGAAGTCTCGAGCAGGTAACCTTGGGTGTCGGTACGAAGCACCAACTGTGGATAGGGCTACACGCGGTTCAATGCATATAATGCAACGATGGTCCGATAGGAACTCACCAATAGATGCGAAAAGTGCAAGTTGGTTGGAGAGGCGGGAGGAAATTGGGCTTTGCTACTTGAGCGAGTCACACAGCTTGAAGAACTGGGGAGGCGCTCACCAGTACAGCAACGGTTTGGTGGACATTTGTGGGAGAGAGAAGACAAGTGGTTACGGCGTACGAAGAGCACAGGATTTGCCTCTACCGACGCTGCCCGTACACGTTCCCGCATGTCCGATGCTCCCCAATATGGCGTTACATTTGAACCACAATTATTTGACGCTGGGAATAAACCACTAGTGTCGGGAATTTACTTGTTTGTGCGGGACAAATAAAGTTTCATGTGCGGGACAAACGGAATTTTGTGTCCCGCAATCAACATTGATTATGTAAGCACACATCGCACTAGCTTTGAGTGTAGTTAGGCCTACCTAGTGGCCTCATCACCTAGTATGACCCATATACTGTATGTATAAGATTCTAGTGGTACATTGTTATGATATACTGTACTAAGACTGGCAGATGTTTGGTAGACATGAAGGGTTAAGCCACCTATGAGTCTGTTGATAGTAGTACCCTATTTTGGAAGTCACCCAGTCAAATTTTCATTGTCTTCACTGCACTCTCCAATACACAACATCATCCCACATACATCCCTCCATGATGTCTAGGACCTCTAAGCACCAAGATCTTGAAAAATGTAAGTCATAAGTCATATGGTACCAGTATCTTACATGCATTTGTTGTAGTCTTTTCAGTGCTGTGTGCAGACAGTGTTTTCATAGCAGGCCTGGAGCAGAACCTGCTTCCAGATGATGTAGATCAGTGTGTTGCATTGGCTGGACAGGAGGCAAATATATCCCAGAAAGAAGTGACTGTAAGTGATCCCCCCATCTCTACTTATTTTATCATTGACTCTGTATTTAGATTGCTGATTTTTGGTGCCTTGCCAGCTATCATAAACAGCTTGTTCCCCTGCAGCTCACCTGGGCTGTAAGTTCATACAAGAAGAAGGAGAAAGGGGATCAGAGCACTATTCACCTTGCAAAGTGTTCAGTGGTGAGTGGTAGTCTGTATAACTACAGTCATTGATGGTCACTAAATAAATTTCCAGGACAGAGATCTTGGTCTGCAGGATGCTGCTGTACCATTAGATCAAATGGTTGGGCAGAACCCTGATATTGCTGTTGTATGCCATGACTGTTACATTGACACTGACCACAAGTCCCCATACAAGAGGGGTAGGGTCCTTGTTGATGCAGGTAATGAAGACTTGTGTCCAAGTAATGTGCCTTCAGTCATTGTCCCAGCTCCTGGTGAGGACTGGTATACAGTGGCTCCAGAGCAAAGTGCAATCTTTGTCAACAGTGAAGGTGAGTGATTTACATTACATTTACACCTGTACTAACACATGATTTTGACCATCCATGGTAGGTGAAATTGAACTGGCTGTTATCTGTGGGTGCTCTGGTAGGCACCTTGATGTACTTGAGTATGTGAATGTGGTCATATCAGAGGCTGTCAATGACTGTAAGGGTGTTCATGTATGTTGCATGTTACCTGCTATCTCATGGTCTGACACACCCTTCTTTCTGGCCTACCCATGGGGGAGAGATGATCCAGTATGGGTGGAATGCTGGGGCTTGTCACTTGCATGTATTTGGATTGGTAAAAAATTTCAAGGATAAGAAGCTCACAGATGATGAGTGTCATGAGAAGAATGGGGCAATCTTGGGTATCCTTGCACTGACATGGAACCTTCTGATCAGGACTCTGCCAGAGGAAGTGGTAGCACCAACTAAGGCTGCCATTGCAGCCTCAGGCTTGCCACCCATGGCAAGTGAGTGTGATATCAAAGGTATATGGAGACTTTCCCACTTGATATTGTGCTAACTCTGAAACACTTAGAATGTGGTTACTACTTGGACCTCCCTGTTGGCCATCTCAACTTTGGAAGTGCTGACTGAGCACCAGCTGAGGCATACATGAGTCAGAATTATACTGTGTATGTGGTGCATATTCATCTCCCACAATACACATCTGAAATTGGCCAGTCCTATTCACACAGATCAGTTGTATGCACCCTATGCATTCAACTGGGTCACTGAGCACAGGGTCTGTGACAGCAAGATTGCAGAAACCAGTGCTAGGTCAGATCAAAGTGGTCACCCAACTGGAGGTAATTATGTAGATGTCTCTTTCTGAGTTATTGTTTGCTGTGCATCTGACACTGCCATGGTATTGTCTCCACCATTCTCTTAGTATGTTCTTAGTAGCTAATTTATCTTCTAGTGTGTCTGACCAAAGTTCCAGCATGGGACAACTCTAGCTCGGCCCAGTGTCTGGCATCAGGGGACAGCCATCAATTTCTCCACACACATCAAGGCTGCCTATGATGCTGCTGTCCAGGCAGGGGGGATTGAGTTACTTTGTGGTTGAGTTTGAGGTGGAAGGTAGCTACATAGAAAATTATTTTTCTACTCTCCTGTCTTTTCAAATCACTTGTGGAGCTATGTTTCACTGTCTAGCCTCTTTCCAAATCCTGATCATTACAATGTATCATAATAGCCCTGTACAGAAGTGATGGCTCCATAAATGATGTTTCCTTGACATCAAGCCCACCACTTTCCACCACCTCACCAACAAACTGCCCCTTGCACTCTAGGTTGAGACCATCAGGATTCTTCTGCTCACCAATGAATTGCACTAAAGAGTTGAGGGGAAGGGGATTGTATGGGTGCAACAACTGACATGCAATTTTCTGCCACCAAAAGTGAGCCTAGATATCCTTACAGTTTGAATGCTGGGAAGGGGTACAGAGTGACAAGGGAGGAAGGGAGAGTCCAGGTGGAACAGCAGCAATAATATGTCTCTCCATGTCCAAAGCTTCATGTGCTTTTGCAATGATTGAGTAGACTCAAATACCTAGGCAGTATGCTTTGTCCTCAGTGATAGCCTAATAAGGGGTTGAGCAGCAAGAGGTGCAACAGAGGGGGGAATCCACTGTGGAATAGTATACTTGCATGCCAATTCAAGCTTTGTGACAGCTGAAAGGTTCAGCTGGTTGAGGTGAGCAATTTCCCAGTTGATACTGTTATCAATCTGCCAGAGCTTGTGACACCTTCAAGATTGCCACAAGGGATGGCAGGTTCCTGTCATGGTGAACAGAGCCACTGAAATACAGGATTATCAGTGTAATTCCATGCTGGCCTGTTATGTACATGTAGGGATTACTTACACATGATACATCCATGATATGAAGTGCTCAAATTCTCCACCTGAGATTCCTGGAAGTTTAATGGGGTGCTCTTCATCCACACCATCATTCACAACCCCAGATGGGAGTGTGAAGATACCCTCCAGAGTGGGAGAGTGGACAAACAGTGCCCCCCTATGAAGGCAAAAGAGAGCATTGTCTGCCTGTTATCAATCTGATCAGCAGCAGTGATAACAATGACCATGATCAAATAGCACACCTGAAACACAATATTTCCATCTGTAAACCAATACTTTGGGTGCTTCTGTAGGGATGCCATTGACTGTAGTTGGATCAATGGGTTATCAGTAGGGACTATAAGAGAAGATGGAGCCTTTGGTCACACCTGTGCTCATCAGCAAGAAACTGATTACATAATCAGCACTGTGGCCTCTCATGCTTGCATCAGTTCTGACTGACCAAGTCCTTACTGCCTGGCACTACAACACTCAAACTGCACCCACTGTCATGGTCCTTCCTAACCTCCCTACTAGTAATACAGCACCTTCCACTACCTGGCCTGCACAAGTACTCCAGGCAGCTGACAAGCTGGCACAGATCTATGACCAAGCCAAAAGGGCTTTACAGGCACAAAGTGAGGTTCTCCAGCTCCAATACCACAGTGGCCAGATTAACCATGAGGCCATTCCAATCCTGCATGCATTGGAAAACATGGCAAACCAGGGAGAAGTCCCACTGGAATGGGTGTTGGAGTGTGCAGCAAGGTTTGACATTTTACTTCAGGAACTGGAGAGTGCACAACAAGCTGCAACAGGACAGTGAGTACTGAAAAACTATACTTCATACACACTGAACACCACTGCCTACAGTGATTCACTTCCAGTTAGTTACATAAGGCCTGTGGATGTTTTGCATACCTGAAGGCCAGGTTGCCCTTGCAAGCAGCCAAATATTGCCATTTTACAGGCTGCTATGTCTTCAGGGCATCACATACCCCTATCCAACCCATCCCATGCTCTTGGAATTCACTGGCATACTTTGTGCTATTATATGCAGAAGTTTGGCATTGATTATCAGCATACTCCAATCTCAAATTCTGAGCTTGACACTCTCATCCAACAGTTCTGAGCTTCCTGTCCCCAGTCAGGATTACATTACATCACTGGGTCATTGTGCAAACATGGCTTGCAGATACAGTGAAGGCAAATTACTGCATCCCTGCATTGGGTGGATCCTTCAGGCCATGTCTTTCAGTTGTGAACAGCTACTCACCATCACAAATACAAAGTATCTCACCCAAATGCCCTCTGGCACATGGATGGTCACCACAAGCTTATGCACTGGGGAATAGTTATCCATGGTATCATTGATGGATACTGCTGCACAGTGAGTGAATCCTCTAGGTAGTGCTGTAGCATACTAAAATCTACTAATCCCCTCAAGGTTGTTGGATTGGAGGCTCATACTAGCAACCAATCATCTACTGTGATGGCAACATTCCTAAATGCAGTTGAAAAGTATGGACTGCCTTCCCATGTGCATGGAGATCATGGAGGGGAGAATAAAGAGGTTTTGGTGTTCATGATCATGACCAGGGGGCTGAACCAAGGTAGTTTCATGTGGGGAATGTGAGTGCATACATTCACATGATTCATTGACTTTACCACCTGTGTACAGATCCAAGCAGAATACACACATAGAGCAACTCTGGCATGAAGTTGGTACATGCTTTGCACAACCATGGAGGGTCTTTTTCTATCAATTGGAGCATGAGCACCATTTTGACTGATCCAGCCACCACCACCTGTGGCTCCTGCATTACCTTTTCCTTCCAGATATCAGGGCAGACTGTGCCTCATTTTGTGAGGAGTGGAATGCTCACCCAATCTCAGGTGAAGGTCATGACCAGAGCCCAAATGTGAGTGCAGTAATATAGCTATGCTCTGATGACCACCAAATATTGACATAAACACTGGAAGGACATGCATTTCATGAGGCAGCTAGAGCATGGAATATATCTCCAGAATGACATACAACTCCACCCCAATGTCATTTCTCACTACTATGGCCTGCAACACCAAGGCAATGGTTCTACCCCAGGCCATCTGGCTGAACAGGATGATGAATGGGAGGATGTGGTAGAGGACAGTGATGCTGCTACCCAGAATTCTGATCTTCCTTCTATGATTGCAGCTGATCAAGCACCTGAATTTGCCAATGATGGTGCCCCAGTTCCCAAAGGAATCAGCCCATTTCCCTCACCTGCATGGCAAGAAGTGTTTCATCTGTCCATGCAACAAGTACAGGAAATCAGACATATTCCAATTGGATATGGGATCAGGGAAGAGGAGTGGGATGGGGAAGGCTATCCAGAGTTGGAGACCATTCCCTCAGGATGCCATGGCCAAAAGGAAATTATAGTTGAGCTTCCAGAATTTATCTGGAGACCACAAGCTCTTAGGTGGTGTCAGGCCATGGAAGTTCTCATCCATGTACTTGAAACTGCTAACTAAATGTCTGTACAGTAGGATGTGTTACCTGCATGCTCATGCTGATTACTACTGCATTTTTGACTTAGTGTTTCTGCAATTCCACTATGTGATGGGAATTTTCATGAAAACTGACATTTCGTCTGCAACTACACTTTCGTTTCTTCCACCAACAACCAATTCACATTCTCCCACTTTCATTCACTACTACATTCCTTTAATATTCTTTCTCTCCCTTTTTACTATCATGGCCAGAAAGTGACTCCATAAAAGACCTCCCTCCTCCTTCTCTGAAAGCTCTGCCCAGCCATCCAGCAGTCAGCCACCCTCAGGCTCTGGGCTTGTTGCCTCTGTGCTACAGAAAGTACTGTCTTGCCCAAGCATCCCTGCTAACATAGCCTCCTCCTCCCAGCCAACATATGCCCCAGCCCCACTGCAGCTGGGAATGCCATCCTACAGGCAAGCAGACCTTGAGTCAAACAGAGGACTGAAGGGAAAGTCCAGGGCAGTCAGTGCACAGACAGCACAGACTGGAAGGGTGAGTCCTCTGTTCTCTATCAGAATTACTGCATTATAAGCCTACCTTACAGAACTGACAAGTGAACATGAAAAGCCCTGAATTTTTCATAAGCTGAATTGTCTTCCTTCCTCATGGCACTGCAGAGGTGAGTGCCTTCCCCCAGATTGAGAGTTAATACCTAATGCATGCATAGCCTGAAGATAGTGGCCATATGGAGGACTCAGGTTCCACCTCTGGTCCCCTGCTCACACACCTTTTCCTGGTCATTCACTGCTCAAGAGCCCCTTCAGCTTCAGACCTTACTAGGCTTGAAGCACTCAGGCTGGCCCATGCAAACTTTCAGGATTACTTTCAATTCAATTGTGACTGGTCCTTCTCACAGGTAGACAGCTACCTTCATTCATTATTTCCCACTCTCTTTGCATACCTTGACTCCCAACTTCAGGCAAGCTGCCCCCTTGTCCAACCCCCAACATTCTGTCATGCTAATCACATTCTAGACCACCAACCCAGGCTACAGCAGTCTACAGGCCTCCTGTTACCAATACCTTCCACCCTACCACCTCTGTGTCAAGAGTCACAAGGAGGTGGCCATTGCCAGTGGAGCTGATTTTCCTGATGGTGAGCTCATATATGCTAAGGTGTGAGCATGAAAGTGACCCTCCCATGAGGACAGCAAGCTTTTTCTCAGTGAGTGGTGCCATCACCCATGATAGTTTCCTGATAAACTTACCTGGCTTATGCTAGAAACTCACCACAAAATCCCTTACACAGTCCTGGAACAGTGGAAACCTTGCCCTGTGACAAAATTGGCTTCTAAGGCTGCTGGCAAGAGAAAGGCAATTGTCCTGTCAGACACCAAGTCAGATGATACTGATTTCACATTGAGAGTTGCTGATCCTGATGGGGAACTCAATACCCCTCTATCCTTTACTCAGCACCCATCAAAGTGATTGTGAGTCACAGGTAAGGTCAGTCCTGTACACATGCTAGCCTACTGACTGACACTCTCCCAATGGTGCAGAAACACCACCAGCATTTACTGAATCCAGTGTTCACACTAGTCATGATGCTGGTATGGAGGCAACTATGGGTACACCACAGCCACCATCACCAGACTCTCCCCTACCTGCTATGACTGTACCAGCAACCCCTGAGGCAGAGTCTGCCCCTCATCCTCCCAACTCAAGTTCCTTCACTATTGATGATTCTATTGCCAATCCCTGGAAAGCCCATTGCACTTTCAAGTTCTGATCCTGACTTACATATGCTGCCTATCCACCCATCCACCTACTCACTGTGCTATGACCCTCACATATTATACCCCTGATGATCCTTTTTCATGCTACATACACACACAGATCATACCATGCTATGAAGGTGCATGTCTATTGCAATAGTAAATAGCCTTATATAGTTGCCATTTAATATAAACTTTCAGTGTTAAAAATGGCTTGTGTGTTGCTAACTTCACATGTATAGTCAGGCATTGGGCAACATACACACAGAGCCCTGAGAAATTTTATGTAGGGGTATATTTAGCTGCAATATGTATACATAAAGGTTGTCCAAATGGTCCAGTGGTTAGGTGTGTGGCCCCTGTTGTGATACAGTGCAGGACCTGCCATCACATGACTGCAGGCTGTGGTTTGAATCCCTGTGGTAGCACAAATGCTGCACACCTTCACTAGACTTTGCAGGCACATTTTGTTAGAACTTTTTTACATTTTTCTTCTTCTAGTAAAATGTAACAATTTATTTATGCACTACTAGTAGATTATCTTCATGGGTCATAGGCAATAAACATTCAATGGTATGGTGTGGTGCATATGACGCTGCATCTGTAACATTAAACAAACAAAAATAAAACAGCTGATTGTGTGACTTTTGCAGTAATGCAAAGAAAATTTGCAGGTGGCTGTGCCCACAGCTACTGACTAAGCAGGGCATGTGCATGGGGGAGCGAGTGAGTCAGGACTACATGCACTCCTTGCCCATTCCTTGGGACTCATTTCAATGCTACTGTACATAACCCATGTAATAATGGGTATTTTGCCAAGAAATGGGCCCAAATTCACTAGGCCAGTGATGACTTGTGGCATGGAGTGTGGTCACATGAATTTGCAGGTGGCGATGCTGTGGGAATTTCCTGAAGGAGCAATCCCACCACCAGGTGGGAGGGGTGGGGGAGGGGGTTGAGCATTCGAGCAGGCCCTGTGGGGCATCACAGCCTCATGGATTGGGCAGGATGACTGGGGAGGGTGCTGATGAACTGTGTTCATGTCCTGCCTACGTTTATCTATTTTATCCACCCTCCTAGCTAGTGCAAAGTGGTACAAGGTGGTTGTGTTAAAAATTATGCAAGGGTAGTATAAAAAGTTGCACAGGAGCAGTGCTGCAAAAGTCGCACAATCAGCTGTTTTATTTTTGTTTGTTTAATGTTACAGATGCAGCATCATAGGTGCGATGTGTGCTTACATAATCAACTTTGGTTGCGGGACACAAAAATCTCATTTGTCCCGCACATGACTTTATTTGTCCCGCACAAATAAATAAATTCCCAGCACTAGTGGTTTATTCCCGACGTCAAATAATTTTTGTACAAATGCAATGCCATAGGTAGCGACATATTTGGTTCCATCCACACTAGATCTATCCCCGACGTGTATAGTTATGTATGAGTATGGCTTTGCAAGAATCCCACTCTGATTCTGGTTATTATCAGACGCCACTGGATGCCGCAAGAAGCGACATGGATTGATTTACTTTCCAACCGATTCATCAACCTCTGACAGCAATAGCGTTGACAGTAGCCCACAAAGAAGAGCTTTGCAGCTGACGCAACCAGCGGATTGTCCGTCGAATTATTCACGTACCACAAGTCGTGTCCAACGGGCTCGGAGCCGAAAAGTAACGCCGCATTGCTGCCAACATCTCCCTATCCTCACCGGTGAACACTTAAGTGCCGAAGGATAATGTATGACGTGGACAGACCAGCACTCGAGAGCTTGACTTCTGTCATTTCCAGTCATCGTCTGGGGCCTTGCCTTGCACCACTCCGCATTGGAGGTGATCCAACGTATCTTGGCGCTTATGACTAGCAGATGCTATATCTGTCCCCCCACAACTCGCTCGCGATATTCCGCGAGGCTACAACTCCCACAATCCGGAAAGTGTGAATCCACACGTTCATAACCCGAGGCGCGTACGGGTACAAACTATGTTAAGGGCCCTCTTCGTGAGGCGACATGGGAGTTCCATTGCAAGAAGGGATGGTTTAATTGAGAGTGAACCAGGGTGGCCTTCCCTTATTCCCCTAAATATTGACCTATGCGCTGGACGAGGAGCACTGGTTGCTGGGGACTGACGGCTCACACAAAATAACATCGCCGGATGAAACTTACCGCCCTGACTTGGCAGCTTCGCAGAGCCAAATGAGGGGATGGCGTCCGAATCCACCCTAACCGCCAGCTAATTCAATTATTATTAGCATAAGCAGTACTCCCCGTACTTACCACCATTGTGTTTTTGAGGCTGGTATTGTAGACATGTTACAGTCGTGTACGTTCAAATGCACTACTTAAGCGCATCCGGAGCTGTTGTAGGCCGGCGAACGAAAAGAAAAAATTAAGTCGCATATGTGATCTTTGATCCATCAGTGCAGGCTTCATATCGGATGGCGAATAGCTGTACTGCTTCACGTGGAACCCCACGTGGACGAAGATATTTCACCGAAGAAACTAGACCACCGGCTTCTGCGCAGAAAGTGTGACTGACCGTAATTTTTAACACTATGGTGGCCTCGCAGGCCGAGAGGAGCAGCGGGATATTCCATAACAGTATGATCAATGGCGGTCACATTATGGTACTACTAGAACTACACCTCACTCTCTCTTCGGAAGACCATGCCTTTACGTATCAAGTGCCGAATCAGCAGTGATATCGATAACCATCACCTCGTGCGCCTCGATATGTTTTTCTCCTTCGTTTGAACGCTCCACGCCCTCCGAAAGATTCTGCAGGTTCGTGAGGTGGACAGCATCGACGCGTTCATCTGACTGGGTGGTGCCTAATTCCTGGGATCGAAGGTATTGTCGGGTGTTCAGCGATGCTAAAAGTGAGTTGGAATATACTATTCAACAGTGAGCTTGGGCGTCCTTCCATCGCTTGCAGGGCATGGAAGACCTACGTTTTCCCATCGTGAAGTCCAATGCTGTCGACCATGTATTCTGGACCTTAATGGTCTAAAGGAAGCGTGAGGACGACATAATCGTCGTGTATTACGTTATACGCACGGCGACGGACTCTGCAAGGGCGACTAGTCTGCAATGAAAACCTGGATCAAGTCACGGTGCAAACAGAAGAAGGTCCAAACTCACAAGATCAGCAGACACCGATTAACAGCATAGATGATGAGCGTGTTCAGGAGACGTTTTGTTCTAAGCAGGGTTTGTTAGGCATGGAGCCATCGACAGGGACTGGAGTCACCTTGGGAAGACGGAGCAAGAACCACTGTCATACAAAAGTATGCAGAGTGACACCGTGATCAAAACATCAGGCAGTATGGTGGCCACAAAGGATGACAAGGAATAATACTGGGTATAATAACTCGTGAACCGGTGAACGAACATGTCAGTTAACAGGCCTACCAAATTTTGCGAAGAGGAGCTGGATGCATCGAGGAATCTAGCCGTGGATGTCATTATTTCTGTGAAGATAGTAGGAGACGTTTAAGTACAGTAGAACGATCATCTCTTCTTCTTGATCAGGATAGGTCTGTCATGATGAAACAAAAGTACGAACCCATGCCAAACCCTGTTGAAGTATCGTTGGAAACGTCGTCGGCATAATAAAAAGAAACTCACCAAAGTGGGCTAACACTAATAGTAACTATCGCGGCCACCTTACTGGTTGTCATTTTTGCCATCACAAGCAAGTGTACTTACAATTGGGGTAACCACCAACCACTTCATCCGAGTGCGACAAACTGATTGCCGTCAACGTCTCAGGAGGCACCTGACAGCTTTAAAGGGACCTACGGGTGTATATTTTATGGGCGAAGAAACTAGCAACACTCAGTTTATGAGCGTCAGCCCACAAGGTAGTCGCTTACCATTGAACTATCATGATCACAAGTAACTGCAATACAGCCAAATATTGTCATAGGTAGTTTTGAGATGAAACGGGCGTACATTGGCTAGAAACGATGTCTAAGCAGGGAAAGCGCTTGAAATCAGTGCCTGTTAAATTGTAGAATATTGGACATGCATACTGGGAATGACCTGTCATGTTTGCATCAGCAGGAAACAACTTCGACATGGGGGATATACGAACCAGACAACATGCTCCAAACTCAGCAGATTGCCATAATTGGTTATCTACAACGATTGAGCGCGGTGGTTACGAGTGGCTGCACCAGATTCACCAGGTAGTAATACAAGATATGACACACTAATCAATCATTGGCCACGCGTTCACGTGAACGCGCCAGAAACTCACCGGACGAGGTATGTAAGGTATCAAGAATCCTGACTTCACATGAGCAGACTTGAAGGCTACCCAGGGTAGCCTAACTCACCATACGGCAGCCACGACGAACTTCATGATGAAGGAATCCTCAGAGTAGTGCATGTAATACACATAAGTCTGTATAACCAGTCAGCAGATCACGACACTGAGCATTCTGTATAAAGCGCTCCTGGAGAGTTGTTATTCCATATAACCTTTGGCATGACACAAGGGTATCAGAGGGGAGATGTGACGAAACCAAACTAAACAATACCTACATGGAAGAGACCAACCCCCCGATGAGGGTAGCACCTATCGCAAACAAATGAACGGATAATCGGATTGTGTTTGGCCATGAAATGCCCTCACCGAAATCGCCCGGAATGCCCATGTCGTTTGGGTAACTTATATACGGGAGCTTCGTCGACGGACTCGTTGCCAGGGTACGGATGGTGAAGCGGGCGTGGCGAGGTTGTACACACCTGTTAATGGAGAGATCTAGTCCTGTTATTTAAATACGGGGGACGAGGACTGCGCCCGCGCGGCCAAGCCAACTTGCACCGCTCCGGGCAGCAGCATAGTAATTTACTAGTAGTCCAGATCATCATCGAAGCACCTGTTTGATCCATCGCGGGCGACAGACTGTGTTTCGTCCACGAGGTCCGAGACACTGGTAGATGCAAATATACCGAATGTTTGATACCCGTCCATTCACGAGGCGCAAGGAGCACGCATGGGGTTTGAACCACCATACTTGTATGTGGCAGGACTTATTAACGAAGCCAGCCCTGGTTCTGGGAGCTGATCCATTTTAGCAATGGGCGGGTCGCTGTGCACTAAGGTTCGATACTGAAGCAGGCTCCACTGGGCGTAAGACGCGACAAGCTCACAAAGGAGAACGCTGAAGCCGCTACTTCATACATGTACATAATGCGTACTCGTCAGTGACGAACTTACCGGGGTGTGGACGGAGAAGTGATCGAGAGTGGCCCGCGACCGTGGAATCAAAACTCGAAACAACCTTGCGCCATTTTTAGTAAAGGACGAAGGTCGCACATCGTGAACCGGAGGACCCAAATTGCCCAGGCAGCATTTCTTACAGGAATGATGAACACCCCAACGCCGGCGGCTAAACCCGATCATCTCGTTTTTGCTGTAGTTACAACAGCACAGCCTTTATATGATCACTAGCTTTGGTGTAGGCCCAACATATCTCATCGGGAAGTCTCAACAGTAGCCAGAATAATGCGGAATGTTAGGGGGCTCCGTTGGCATGTAAGATGAGGCAGGCCCACTGGAGCAAACCTCAAGTTGCTCCAAGCGTCAACTAACAAGCAACTAGTATACTACCCAGGAGCCAGCTGCGGCAGAATGACGGTCGTACGACTCTATAACTAGATGAAGCTTAGGGCCCGACTTGGACAATTACCCAGAGCTGAACGACGGCTAACAAGACGAGGATGGCATCCGAATTGATCTCAGCCGCCGCTGGCTAATATCCAAAAAGGCTCTCCACGGAATATTCGAACGAACAAAAGATTCTCGTGACGGAGAGACGGTTGCTGGATACATGACCACGCCAAAAGTCTGACTACGCTAGGTTCGCGTGTTACTTAGGTCAGAAATGGATGAGTTACATATGTGATAAGGCTGAGGTCGGCCAGGCTAGGATTCATATTGGGGAACGGATAGCTGCACTACTTCACAGGGAACCCCACGCGGACAACTGTGATCGAAGCTTTTTCACTGAGGAAAGCTACGCCGCTTTTGCAACGGTAAGACCTACTGTAAATTATAACCCTATGGCGGCTTCACAGGCCAAGAGCAGCTTGCAGGAGGGGATAATTCATACCAGTATACAATGTGTTGACTAATGGCGGACGGCATTATGGAACTATCAGAACTACGCTTCTCCCTCTCTTTGGAAGACCATGGTCCTATCAACTGCCGAATCTGCAGTGATATCGATCACAGTGCCTCGATATGTTTTTCTCCATCCTTTGAACGCTTAACGTTCTTCGAAAGCCTTTGCAGGTTTGCGAGGTGGACACCGCTGATGCGTTCATCTGACCGGGTGCCTGACTGCTGCGCTCGAAGGATTTGTCTGGTGTTCAGCGATGCTAAAAGCGAGTTGGCATATACTATTCAACAGTAAGATGGGCTGTTCTTCCATCGCTTGCAGAGCACGGAATACTGACGTTTTCCGATTGTGAAGTCAAGTCCTGTTGACCATGCACTCTGGAACTTAGCCGACTGAAGAGTGTGTGAGATAACATAACCGTCGAGCAACACGTGATACGCACAGTTGCAAACTCTGCAAGGGCGACCAGTCTACAATGAAAAGTCTGAATCAAGTCACAGAGAAAACAAAAGAAGGACCAAACTCACAAGGTCAGCAGACACCGATTAACAGCATAGATGATGAGCGTGTTCAGGAGACGCTTCGTTCTGAGCAAGGCTTATTAGGCATGAAGTCATCTACAAGGACCGGAGTCACCTTGGGAAGGCCGAGTGAGAGCCACTGTCATACAGAAGGACGCAAAGTGACACCGTAATCAGAAGCTCAACTAGTAGGAAGGTGACCCCAAAGGGAATTGAGGCATAAAACTAGGAATAATGACTTGTCAGCCGGTGAACCAACATGTCGGTTAACAGACCTACCGTAATTTGTGGAAGAGAGCTGGATGCATTATCGACGAACCTATTTGCAGATGTCATTATTTCCGTGAAGATAGTAGGATTCGTTTAAGTACAGTAGAACAACCGTCTCTTTTTTTTTATTAGCACAGGTCTGTCGTGGTGGAACAAAAAGCGCGAACCAGTACCAAACCCTGTTGAAATATCGTTGGAAATCTCGCGTCGCCATTACAAGAAAAACTCACCCAAGTGAACCAGTATCAATAGTATCTATCGCAACCATGTCACTAGATGATAATTTTGCCATCAACCAAATGTACTTACAATTGGGGCAGTCACGAACCATTTCATCTGAGGGCGGCAAACTGATTGTCGTCAACATCTCGAGAGGCACCTGGCAGTCTTAAAGGGACCTACGGTAATATATTCTATGTGCGAAGAAACTACCAGCATTCGGTTGATGAACGTCAATCCAAAAAGGTGGTTGCCTACCTTTGAACTACAATAACCACGAGTAACTGCAGTACAGCTAAATTTTGTCATAAATAGTTTTGAGATGAAATGGACGCACATTCACCAGAAGCGATGCCTAAGTAGAGAAAAAGTTTGAAATCAGTGCCTGGTAAACTGTAGAAAATTGAGTATGCGCACTGGGAATGACCTGCCGTATCTCCTCAGCGGGAAACTGGTTTGAAATGGAGGGTGTACGAACCAAACAATATACTCCAAACTCATGAGATTGCCGTAATTGGTTATCTATAACAATTGAGCAAAATGGTTACGACGAGTAGACACATCAGATTCACCAGGTAGTAATACAGCATATGACACACTAATCTACCGTTAGCCATGCATTCACGTGGACGCGTCAAATGCTCACTGAATGAGACATGTAATGTGTCAAGAATCCTGGCTTCACATGAGCTGACTTGAAGGTTACGGGGTATCCTAACATACCATGTGGCAGCTACGATGACCTTTATAGCCGAGGAATCCTCAGAGTAGTGCATGTAATACATATAAGTCTGTATGACCAGTAAGCCCACCGCGAGCCTGAGCATTCTATATCATGCGCCCCTGGAGAGTCGTTATGCCATACAACCTTTGACGTGAAACGGGAATATCAGAGGGGAGATGTGACGAAACCATCGAAAACAATAGTTACATGGCAGAGACCAAACCCCCGATCAAGGAAGCACCTGCTGATAACGAACAAATGAGCAAACGAGACCACATCCGGCTAAGTAAAGATCTTCACCGAACTCGCCCATGTTGTTGGCGTAACTTGTGTATGGGGGTACTTCGTCCACGACCTCGCTGCAGGGTATAGATGAAGAAGGGAGCGTGATCAACCTGGTGGTGAAGAAATTCCGTGCTGTCCTTTAAACACGAGGGCTGCATGTGTATGGTTAGCGCAGCCCCGGGTCGGAGCATAATAATTGACATGTTACATAGCCCAGATCATCTAAGCGTGGAGAAGATGGAAACTCCAACGGTAACATCCCATGCAATCTCACCATTTCTGTAGTAGCACTGCCTTACCTATGGTCCTTGGCCTCCCTGTGTTGTCCTCGCAGTCGAAATCGCACCTGTGGAAATACACTGAATGTTAACGACTTGTTTAGTTACGAGCTGCAAGTATTGCAGGACGCGTAAGCAAGTCCTGGTCTGTGAGAACCTTTGCAACGCTCTCTCGTTCTGGACCGGTCACGGTGGTGCTGTGGATGTCTGGAGGGAACGTTTGGTACGAACATGTGGGAGGTACACTTTCTTCTCGTTTTGGCTTGCACGGACCGTTCATTTTCGGATCAATATATGCGGCATTGGATCTCCTTGCCCGTCTCTAGTGATCGAAAGGCATAAAGCTATCGCATGGGGCGTCGACTCATGGGCCGCGTATCATCCACTAACTGGGTCGGCATCGGCAACCTGTTTGGTAACAGACGTACAATATCATACTGACTTCCATTCCATCAGATTTCGTCCGTTTGCGAAGTCTGTATGGCGCGGGACTAAGATGATGCTGGCACTGGTCGTGTTGTCAAGTTGATTTCTTTCGGCAATGGGCGGGTTGTGGAAGATTCAAAGTAATGATGCAGGCCCAAGTGGGCATAACTCTCTTGCGGAATCGAGGAGGTCACTGATGCCGACTACAGAGATCATGCGTTCGCTTCTTCCTCGGCTTCGTTGGGCACCAGCAAATTTCCCTCCTTCATGCACAGACCGACCAGTAGGAGCCCTGGTTTTTCCGACACCTGATTTGGAAAGACCAACAATCGTGTCTTCCCTCTGCCGGGCTTTCAATTCTCACCTTCAACACTCCTGTGGTTTTCGCGCAGTCCCGCCAGCACGCAAGTCTGCAGCAATCTGTTATTGAGCGCAAGTGAACTGTCAGTGGCACAGCCGCCAGTCGGCCCCGGCGGCCTGGGATCGTCATCGTCGGCTCACCAAAGCAGGTCCTCAAAGTCCAACAGACTATCAAGCTCGCAACGGTAGAACTGATTAGACCCACTTGCTCTTATCCCTGACGTTTTTATTCATGATCGTCACCTTACATTCAACTCAGATTCGTATTATTTGTATCAGACACCGTCAGATAGCGCAAGAAACAACAAGGATTTCATCTACTCTACAACTGATTCGTCAACCTCTACTAGCAAGATCCTGGACAACAGCCCACACTGCCTAGAGAGGGGCTCCGCCGTTAAGGCAACCAGTGGAAAATCAATCCTGTGGTCATGGGTAGTGAAGGCAGGCGCCACTGTTCACGTACCATTCATGACCTATGCGTCCTCAACCAAGGAGTAACGCCGCATCGCTGCCAACTCGCGGGGCAGATGTGTCTTTGCAAGGCTTACATCTCTCCTACCCCACTGGCGAGTGCTTAAGTGCGTAAGGATAATTTATAATGACCAGCGAGCGCTTATCTTACATCCTTTTCAAATGTTTGTCTGAGGTCTCGCCCACTGCCGCTCAATGCTGAAGACGATCTGATGTATGCTGGTTCATCGTCACCGACACCAACCAAACGCTATGTATATCTGTACCTCCACAACTCACTAGTGGCATTTTCCACGAGGTCACGACGCCCGCAATTCGGAATGTGTGAATCTTCACGTTGACAATGATACGATCCGAGGCACATGCGGTCGTAAACTGTGTTAAGGACTCACTCCTGTTTCGGAGATGGTATCGCCATGTCATAGTAGATATGTTAGATTTCCGTACGTTGGAATGCACCCACTACTAAGCGCCTTCGAAACTGTTGCGGATCTGTGAGCAGAAAGGGAGAAAAATCTAGTCGCATATGCGATCTTTGATCTGCCAGTCCAGGGATTCATGTCGGACGACAAAGAGCTGCACCATTTCACAAGGAATTGGAATTCCAGGCGGACAACTGTCACCGGAGCTCTTGTACTGAGGAAAAACCAGACCACCGGTTTCTGTGAGGGAGAGACTATGGTGGCGAGCCTCACGGGGCAAGAGGAGTAACTCGAAAGCAAGGGATATCTGATACCAGTATTACAACGTTGCAACCGATGGCGAATGCATCATGGGATTAGAATTGTGCTTCTCCCTCGCTTCGGAAGGACGTGGTCTTATTGAGTGCCGAATCAGCAGTGATATCAATGACAATCGCTTCGATGTGTTTGTCTCCATCGTTTGAACGCTCTAGACCCTCCGAATGCTTCTGCAGGTTCATGAAGTGGACAGTATTGATGCGTTCACCTGACCGGGTGCCTGAATTCTGGGATCGAAGGTATTGACGGGTGTTCAATGATGCTAAAAGCGAGTTGGCATACACTATTCAATAGTAAGATGAGGTGTTTTTCCGTCGCTTGCAAGGCACGAAAGACTGACGTCTTGGAATTATGAAGTCCAATCCCGTTAACCATGTACCCTGGGAGGTAACGGTCTAAAGGGAACGTGAGACCGACATAATGGTCGTGCAATACGTCATGCGCACAGCTAGGAACTCTATAAGGGCGACCAGCCTACGATGAAAAAGCCTGAATCAAGTCACAGTGCAAATGAAAGAAAAGACCGAACTCACAAACTCAGCAAACCCTGGTTAACAGCGTAGATGATGAGCGTGGTCAGGAGACGTTTCGATCTAAGTAGGGCTCATTAGGAATGAAGCATCAACACGAATAGAGGTCACCTTGGGAAGGCGGAACGAGAGCGACTGTCATACAAAAGTACGCAAAGCGAGACCGTAATCAGAACCTCAGCTAGTAGAAAGGTGGCCGAAAAGGGTAATCCGGAATAAAGCTAGGAATAACAAGCCGTGAGCCGGTGAGCCAACATGTCCGTTAACAGACCTACCGTAATTTGCGAAGCAGAGCTGAATGTGTTATCGGTGAACCTGTAGGCGGACGTCATCATTTCTGTGAAGATGGTAGGATACATTGAAGTACAGTAGGACAATCGTCTCTTCTTTTTGATTAGCATAGGTCTGTTGTGGTGGAATAATGCTACAAACCTATGCCAAACCCTATTGAAATACCGTTGGAAATGTCTCGTCGGCATAATAATAATAACTCACCGAACTGAGCTAACAACAACAATAGCTATTGTGGCCATATACTGGATAACATTTTTGCCGTTAAACAAATGTACTTACAATTGGGGCGGTCACCAGCCACCTCATCTGAGGGCGACAAACTGATTGCTGTCAACATCTCGAGAAGCACCTGGCAGGTTTGATGGGACCTACAGTAATAGATTTTATGTGCGAAGGAACTAACAGCTTTCGGTTGACGTTAACATCAATCCAAAAAGGTGGTCACCTACCATTGAACTACAATAACCACAACCAACTGCGGCACAGCTAAATCTTGTCATCGATGGTTTTGAGATGAAACAGACGTACTTCCATCACAAGCGATGCCTAAGTAGGGAAAACATCGAAAATCAGAGCTTCGTAAGTTGTAGAAAATCAGGTATGCGCACTGGGAATGACCTGCCATGTCTCATTAACAACGAAAAGGTTTGAATTTGAATTGGCAGGCATACGAACCAAATATCATACTCCAAGCTCATCAGGTCGCCATAATTGGTTATCTGCAGCGATTGAGCGCTATGGCTACAACGAGTGGACGCATCAGATTCACCAGGTAGTAATACAACATGTGACACACTAATTGCCCGTTAGCCATGCATTCACGTGGGCGCACCAGGCACTCACTGATTAACAGGTGTGAGGTATCAAGGATCCTGAATTCGCATGAGCTGACTTGAAGGTTACCCTGGATAGCCTAACTCACCATATGGCAGCAACGATGAACTTCATGATGGAGGAATCCTCAGAATAGTGCATGTAATACACATAGGTCTGTATAACCAGTAAGCAAACCACAGGCCTGAACACTCTGGATAAAGCGCCCCTGGAGAATCGTTATACCATATAACCTTTGATGTGAAACGGGGATATCAGAGGGGAGATGTGACGAAACCAACGAAAACAATACTTACATGGCGGAAACCAAACCCCCGACGAGCATAACACCTATTGCAAAGAAATTAGTGGAATGTTGGACTGTGTAAGCCATGAAATATCTTCACCAAACTCGCCCGGGATGCTCATGTTGTTTGGGTAACTTGTATATGGGGCCTCGTCGACGGACTCACTGGAAGGGTATGGATAGAGAAGCAAGCGTGGCGAAATCGTATCCACCCGATAGTGAAGAATTCTGGTCCTGTTATTTAAACACGAGGGACAAGGGCTGCAGTTCTGAGATTAGGACAACTTGCACCGCCCCGAGGTGGAGCGTGATAGTTTACTAACCCAGGTCAACGAAGCGTCCGCTTGATCGCTTTAAAGATGGTGACTCCAGCGGCCGCGGCCAACTCCGATAATCTCGCTGTTTCTGTAGCAACACTGCCTTGCCTAGACCATATATATGCTCCTTGACCAGTGGCTTCTCTATACTGTCCTCGAAGTCTGAGACACTGGTAGATGGGATACGAGCTTCAAGTAGTCACGGGGACCCAGGGTATGAACCACTGTTCATGCTTGCAAAGTCCGTGTGTCGCGGAACCCAGACGAAACCCGGGGTCCTGGTCCTAGGTGTTGATCGATTTTGGCGTTGGCCACGAGCGGGTCGCCGACGCCTTAGTAAAGTACACAGCGAGTCACTGTGGTGTGCTAAAGTTAAATATTGATGCTGGCCCATCTGGGCATATTGAAGTCGCGATAAGCCCACTATCTGACAGGAGGTTACTAACGCGCCGATGCTGGCCGCTACTTACGTTCGCTTCTTCCTCGGTCTCCCTTTTTGCTCAGCGTCAGCTCCTCTCTGCGAGTAACTTCAACGCTCCAGTGCTTCTCGAGATGCACGGTCCCGCCAGCCTGCGTGGGTAAGCATGGTGTGGATTACCAACTACATGGCAATCCCGCCAATCGGCTCCAGCGGCCTATCTGACAGGCTCATGGGTTGGAGCACTTCTGGCTCAAAGCCCAAATATGTTCAACCAGTGACATCCACACAGGTCCTAAGTATTCCTGACGCCAATATATATGAGCGAACTATTATGTATCGGACACCGTCGGACAGTACAAGAGGTGGCACGGATTTCATCTACTTTTTGGCTGGTCCGCCGGCCTCAAGTAGCGGTAGCCGTGGAGAGGAGTTCTGTGGTTGATACAACCAGAGAAACGTCCATCAGGTGATCATTGGCAACGAAGACAGGCGCCACCATTCACATACCCAGGGACCTACCGTGTTCGACGTGTCCAGAGCCAAGGAACAAAGCCGCATCGCTGCCAGCGATGTGGCTTTACAAGACCTTCGTCCACCTCTTACCTCTTATTCCACTTGTACGATTTGCGGCTGACCAGCGAGTACTCAGCGCTCGCCTTCCGCCTTCTACGTCTGGGTGCAAGGCGTTCCATGCTGTGAAAGCAGTGTTACTTCATAGGCAATTCCATACAGATAACTGCCACCGAGGAAGATAGTCGTCACGCGAGGCAAAAGGATTCAGGAGCGGCTTGCAGGTGGGGGATATGCATTTCATACCATCATTACACCGTTTTACGTAAGACAGCTAGAATTATACCTCTTCCTCTCTTCGAAACGCCGAAACCCTATCGAGTGCAGGATCGGCAATGATGTCGATAACAGCCATCTCGGACACGTTAAGCTGCCCTGTTTCATCCTTAGAACTTTCAGCGTCCCCTGACAGCTTTGTCGGGTTTGCGAAGTGGACAATACCGGTGCGTTGATCTGACACAGTACCTGGGTCCTGCGATCGAAGGTGTTTCCGGGAATTTAGTGATGCTAGAAGTGAGTTGGCATATACTATATCACTAGTAAGCCGGTGTATACTGTCCATGGCTTGTAGGGCGCGGAAGACTGACATTTTCCAATGACGAAGTCCAATCCAATTGACCATGGATCTTGGACTTCAATTGCCTGTGAAGGAAGTGTGAGAGCGACATAATCGTAGTGCAACATATCCGACATACGATCACGAGGTCTGCAATGGCGACTAGCCTGCACCGAAAAGCTTGAATCAAGTCATGGCCACCAACCAAAGATGGATGAAACTTACGAAGTCAGCAAACACCGGTTAACAGCGTAGACGACGAGGGTGTTCAGGAGGCGCTTGGTTCTAAAGCGGGGTTCGTTAGAAATGAACCACTGACACAGACTGGAGTCACCTTGGGAACCCAGAGCCAGAGCCATAGTCATATAACAGTACGCAGAGTGACCCTGTAATCAGAACTTCGGCTACTGCAATGGTGGCCCAAGCGGGGGTCACGTCGTAAAACTAGGAAGAACAAGTAAGCTGGTGCACTAATTTCTCTCTTAATGGAATTACCGTGATCTGTGTAAGGATGCTGGCCCCACGGTTGACGAACCTATGCACAGTGATCAGTATATCTGTGAGCATGGTTGGACAAGTCGAAGTACTCCAGAATAACTGTCTCTGCTTTTTGATTAGTATAGTGTTTGGAGGCAGAAAAAACGCACAACCCATGCCAAACCCTGTTGAGATACCATTATAAAAGGCTAGCTAATCCCAATAAATAAACACACCAAATTGAGCTAGTATGAATAGTGTCTGTTGCAACCCCATCACTGCATGATATGTTTGCCGTGACAAGCAGATGAACTCACAATTGGGGCAGTCACCAACCACCTCACTTGAGGGCGACAAACTGGAAGTCGATCAACGAGGTCTGGAGAGAAGGAGGTTTAACAGGACATACGGGAATATATTTGATGTGCGAAGAAGCTAGTAATGTTCGGTTTGTAAATGCCAAGCCAGAACAGATAACCACTTACCACTGAACTGCAGAAACCACAAATACCTGCAATACCACTGAGTGCTGTCATAAATGGTGTTGAGATGAAAGGAACACACGTTCACCAGAACTGATGCCTAGGGGGGGAAGCATTCATAATAGTGTCTGGTAGAAAATCGGGTACACATACAGGTAATGACCTGCTATATCTCATCAGTGAGAAGTAGTTTTCAAATGAAAAGGTAAACGAACCAGGAAATGAACTCTAAACTCGTCGGAACGCCATAATTGATTATCTACAGTGATTGAGTATGACAGTTACAAGAAGTAGACAAGTCAGTTTCACCAGGTAGTAATACAAGATGTGACACACTAATCTGCAGTTGATCATGAATTTACTGACAGCTGCTGAATACCCACCGAAGGAAGCATGCAGGGTATCGAGAATCCTGACTACATGTGAGCAGATTTGCCAGGTGTCCCAAAGCAGCCTAACTCACCATATGACAGCAACCAGATACTTCATGGTTAACCCATCCTCGTAGTGCATAAAATATGAATAGGTCTATGTAACTTGTAAGTAGAGCGCTGGACTGAACATTCCATTTACAACGTTCCTGGAGAGTTGTTATGCCATATAGCCTTGACATGCAATATGGACATCAAAGTGGGGGACGTGACGAGATTGAGGGAAGTCACACATACATAGCGGAGACCAAACCGCCGATGAGGGCAGAACCTATTGCGGATAGATCAGCAGACAAGACTGTATCTGGGTACGAAAAGTCTTCACCGAACCCGTACGGGATGCCCATGTCGCTTAGGTAGTTTGTACCAGGTGAACTCGTTGACGAACTCGCTGTCGAGTGTGGAAGGAAAAACAGGTGGGGAAGACGGGTTCTGGTAGTAAGGCAACCCTGCCCTGTTTTTAAAGGACGAACACTACATCATCACGATTCGGAAGTCTTGTATTCCCTGAGCAGCAGGAATGCAGATAACTGCAGTGCCAATGACTGGATCCGGTAACCTTGCCATCGCTGTGGTACAGCATTTCCTATGGTCTCTGGCCTGTGTGGAAAGTCCAACATGACGTCCTGGGAAAGCCTCAGAAGTAGTCAGTAAAATGTTAAACGTCAGGGGCCCATTTTCTTACAAACTGCCAGTAGCAGAGGCGCAAGCGACTGTAAAGTTTGTCAAACCTGGGCATATGGTTTGGGGACCCGGGGTGTTAATTTGATTTGGTCGGGTTGGCCTGTACATCAGGAAAATAACACTTTACTATTTTTGACTTTTTGTGACTAATGTGACTTTTTGGGAAGGAATCTACTATCATTACCCATGTCCTGCAGGCATAGCTGCACTTTTCTTGCTGATTTTGGTCTTGTTCAAACAACCTAATTCATAGCTTTCAGTAGATACCACATACATTCAAATTGATGGAGGTTCCAAAGAGATATTGTGATTTTTCTCTCAGACAGTGTGCATCACACCAATGACTCAATATCTCTGAGTTTTCAGATATTTTCTAGTCTTCTTGGCTTAGATATATTATCACTTAGTTGTCTCAATAGATTCTGTTCTCTTTTCATTCTTCAAAATGCTGTATATGGTCAAAAAAAAAGTACAGATAGTAAGTTCCTTCCCAAAAAGTCACAAATAGTCACAATAGTCACAAAAAAGTCAAAAATAGTAAAGTGTAGGATGACGCAAGCTCAGCTTGGGCTTATGGTCGTAACAGTTATACTGGCTCCAAACCCGTTTGTGAAATGGAAAGCCTGAAATGCAGCACTCCGGACATGTGACATAACAGCTCACCTCTGGTCCTATCCTTACTCCTTGATGTTCAGTGCTCGCCATCGGTTGCACCCAACGATACCGCCTGCAGCACGCAAAGGGTATCATGTGCCAGTAGACGCGGTTCTGATGGCGTTATACTGATGGGGTCACCGTTGCCGCACTTCTTTGTGTCACGTCACCTTGGGGTCTCTCGGTTTGTGGGTGTCTTCAGTCTTAATACCCTTCGCTCACTAGTTTCCCCGCTGTAAGTGCCTCTGGCGTTCCCCCAGCTCACCTACACGAGCTCGTTCACCTCTGTAATCGCTCCTGTGTTTACTTTCCTAGACGTGTCTGAAAAGCTTACCTCCGTCTTTAGCGGGTTCTGTGCACACTAGTTCCCCCCATCTTCCATTGTGGACTTGGATCGGTATCATAGGGCCGTTGCCAAAGGGTCAGTCGTTGTCAAAGGCTGCGCAGAGTTCCTCCCGATCCGTGTTACTGCCTCCCGGTGATGTGATAGACCTTTAAAGCTCATACAAGCAACCACGAGAAGCCGTCTTACTTCCAAACGTCACCCTGCTCCCCACACCTTTCTACAATCGCTCTGCTCTCGTCATTGTCAAACTAAGGTCTTACCCAGCTAGTCCTTCGAAGTACGTCGTATTCTTTATCTTTCACCCTATAGTTCTCCTTTATGGTCAATGCTCCCTCCTAGTTACTATGTCGTCTTCACCTTATGGATTTCTATACAACCCGAGTCTGCCCTCCGAAGAGACAATCGTTGCCCACTGCTTGAATCTCGGCTTCGTCTGCGGAACCACCATTGTCGATCCTTCTACTACGTCGGTCATTGCCTGGATCAAATATGGTCGCGACGTCACCGTCGCCGAGGCGCGCACGCAAGATTGGACCGCGAAGGCTCTCCGCGATACTGGTGCCTCAGATATACGAGCCCCTCGCGTATTCCATGCGTTTACGGCAGACTACCACGGGTGGCCAGTTGGCTACATCGCCATGGAGTACATCGAGGGTACAGATTGCGGCTCAAAGGACGTCGAACTAGTTGCGAAAGCTGTCCAGGCGTTGATCGGCCTCCAAGCACCACCAACCGCGACACTCGGACACATTGGCGGCGGTACAAGATCTATTGTGCACTCCTTCTTTCCCGAGTGGCTTCCCAATGCCAATTACAGGTCCGACCAGGATTTCTATGCTCATATTCGCAATGTAAGTGTTTGCCAACGTCTCAAGATGCTTTGGCGAACTCAGAGCTATGTTAGATCTTTAAAATGCTGCCCATCGATTTTCATGGCGATATATCTAGCCACGATCGATTCCTTTGTCCTTCCGATTTCAACTCGGGTAACTTCAGGAAGCGTACGATGGAGGATGGCCGGTTAGTAGTGGCGGTGTTGGATTTCGGTGCGACGTGCTTCATGCCGCTCCCCTTCATCGAGGTCGCACTGAAGAAGCCTTGGGACCGCTTTTCCCAGTTGGTTGTCAGGAAGATCATTTATCCTCACCCGTGGTCGGACGATGCAAGGTTTTTGCTCTGCGCCTCCGGTCTTCTTGTTCAGTACGGTTTCAAGCCAGTCGGTAAGCACGACTTTTCAATTTTGTTGCCACTCTCGGGCTGATTTTCATCGCTGTTCAGCACTCCCATCGGGCGTCAGTCCTAGATGAATGGCAGATAATGTGTTGGCGTACCCTGCGGCTTACCTTACACGGGTACCTCGGTGGGTGACGCTTTTTTCTGTTCTACGAGCCTTGGTTCAAGTTGCTGTCTCGGACTTCGATACGGGTGAATATGTAAATGGCTTTTCTATGAATGAATGTCGTGCATGTTTATAGCTACGTACCTTGGGGTCCTGATATTGATTTGCGAGAGATCAAAAGCCGGGTCCGTAGCAATGTCCGACAATTCCTCAATTCCCGTTGATCACGAAGCGGAATGGCTGAATAAGTGTTTAGACTTGAGCACGGAAAAGCTTTGGTCCCAGTTGAACCACTCGATCGCCGTCGGTGCTGTCGCCGTCACTGACATTCACGTCGTTGGAGACGACGGTGGAGGAAAACTTGGCGTCGGAGAGGTAGGCGTCCTGGGATGGACCGTTGAACACTACTAGACATTGTTCCTGTGGTTAGTTTCCTACTAGTAGACGTGTCTGAAAAGCTTACACGCTATAGTCCCTCCGATATTCCGTTGTCAAGTATATGAGCGGTCACCAAATAAACTCAAACAAACTCCGACAAGGGACTCTTCCCGGTCATATTCGGGCCAATGCTGCCCCCTCCGTCGTCGTTTGGAGGGCACATCACTCTCTGGTTAAATGCTCGTACACTGGGGCGGGAGTTCAACGTTCAACAGGGACGCAGTGTACCATGTCGAATCCAGGCCCCGCTCAACTGCAACTTGCGTAAATTTAGCAAATGTAATGATTCGAGCTAACTTTGTCTTTTTCGTTGCCCAAGATTTCCTCTTGCTGTTAGTTCGACCTTTTTCGCGCCCTGAAGTCGTCTCTTCCCTGCACAACAGCAAGGATCCTACCCTCCTTATCAGAAGTCCAAGTCTGTTGATACAATTCTCGTTCTCTTGCAGAATCCAGGAAGTTATTTGCAGCTTCTTTGTTCACTCCTTCCTCGGCTTCCCTCCGTGACGGAAGTTGTCTTCCTTCACGCACTGGCCGTAACGAGGACTTTACTTCTTCTAAGGAACGTAGCCTTTGATTGGCTCGGAACTTGTAGCAATCATTTGATTATCAAAGGAATCGTGTTCCCCGTGTCCCATCGGGTTTCTTTGCTTGTACCCTCAAAGCTCCCATACGCTGCCCGTAAGCGCTCGAGTACGTAATGGCAGTTTGCGATTAACCAGCATGCGTCCGGGTTCCGTCTTCACTGATCGCCTGGGCCTTGCCATCCACCGCTCCAATCTGAAGGCGATCTAAAGTATCTCGTCCATGTCCAGAGCGTTCATCGTGGCCAGTAGCAACCGAGTGTCGTATCTACACCCCACAATTCCCTCGTTCTGTGTTACACAAGAGTGTGGTATCATCTCAGGTATGGACCCCCTGATGTGAAAACCGATCGATTCTGTATGTATGGAACGAGCCGTCACATTCATATTCATATAGCGTTTACATGTCGGATGACCCATCGCGGCGCTACTTCACAGGGAATACAAGGCGGACAACCGCCATCGAAGCTCTTTCACCAAGAAAAACTACACCGGTAAGGCTTGTCGTAAATTATAAACCTGGGTGGCCTCATGGGACAAGAAAAGAAACTTGCGGGCAGGGGAGTTACATACTGGTGCTACACCGTTTAAAGCAAATGGCGGGAGCAGCAGGAACCAAAAACTAGAATTAATCACACCTTCCCTTATCTTTGCAAGGCTGTAGTCTTATCGAGTGCAGGATTGGCGGTAATATCGATAGTGGCCATCTCGCCGATGTCGGGTGTCCTTGGCCCATCCTTTGAACTCTCGACGTCCCCTGGAAGCTTCGGCGAGGGGTTCGCGAAGCGGGCAACACTGATGCGCAGGTCTTATACGGTAAGTGAAGCCTGGGTTCGAAGGTGTTCCGAAAGTTCAGTGACGCTGGGAGCGGGTTGGTGTGTGCTATTCTATGGTAAGTCAGGTTTTCTGTCTTCTGCGGCACGGAAGACCGATACTTTCTAATGACGAAGTCCATCCCTATCGTTTCTAATCCCTGGACCTTTATAGTCCGAAAGAAGTATGAAAGCGACGTAAACATGGTGTAACACGTCACACGCACGACGACGAAATCTCCAATGGCGACTAGTCTAACGAAAAGCCCGAATCAAGTCACAGTTGCAAAGGAAAGAAAGACCAAACTCACCCAGTCAGCAAGCGCTGGTTAACAGCATAGATATTAAGCATATTCGGGAGGCGCTTCATCCTAATGCAGCGCTGTGTGCCCTGAATATTTGAATTTGAATCGGCTTCATCGCGTCGCGGACTCGCAGGCCAAAATGCTGCTAACGTTGACATTTGGACTATCTTCCCCATCGCACTGCGCGTCCTTATTCTGCCTTGCAACGCCAAGGACACCGGCGAGAACGTAGACAGTCCCAGAAGACTCCGACGAACTCAATTTGCCGTATCCGCTGGCCCACCCAGGGCACCACGCTCCCGCCCCTCTGACGTCTTTCAGGGGACACGACGCAATCTGGTTTCAGCCCGTACACGCGGCCGGGAACTCGATAGGGACCAATTGTGTGTCGCCCCGATCCCGCTCAACTGCATGCTTGCAAACCGATCTCTTACACATCCATCCACCTGATTTGCTGAAGTCGGGAAACGATGACCCCTCTACGGCTGATGGCACTCTGGATGTGGTATCCGCGCCTCCATGACCTTACAGCAGTCCCCGTCGATATGTGGGGGTGGGTGACAATGGACTGTGTTAATCCTATATAGATACTGTCAGACGTTTTTATGTTAATACTGATCGATGCGAATGAGTTGCGGTCGTGATTGATATTCGGCTAGCTGTGCAACGACCGGTTTCCATGCTCCTATGGGTGCATCCGATATGTCTTCATCGTTCCCGGAACATGCGCTCTGCGATTCTGACCAACCCTCTGACGGCCTCAGCGGAGAGCGAGTCTGGCAAGAATTGGACCAGCTGCGGGGAGATGGGTGGGTTGTTGGACCTAAGGGAGGTAGAGGGCGCCAACTTCAACACCGGAGTGCAGCATCTGGCTAGGCTCTATGCAGCCCTGTATCGCAACTGATAACCTGTTGTTAACCTTACGAGGCAAGAGGAGCATTGTGTATGTAGATGGTATTTCGTACCAGTACTACACTGATTGACCTCGTGGCGAAAGAAAAAGGCAATGGCAGATACAGGATGAAACCACTAGTACCACAGCTCTGCTTCTCTTCACAATGTCGTAGTCTTATCAAGTGTAGCAACTACAGTGATATCCATAACAGTTGCTTCGCGTGCCTTGAAATGCCTGTCTCCATTCTTTGAATCCTTCACGTTTCCCGAAGGCTTCGGCAGGTTCGCAAGGCGGATAGTACTCATGCGTAGATCGGGCGCAATGCCTGAGCTTGAACCCAGGGATCGAAGATATTCCCGGGTGTTCAGCGATGCTAGAGCCGAGTTGGTGTATACTAAGGTTCAATAGTAAGATAGGGTGTTACGCATCGTGTGTAGTGCACGGAATACTGACACTTTCCAATGATGAAGGAGAATCCCATTGCCAATGCATCTTGGCGAAAAATGATCTGATGGAACTGTAAGAGCAACCTGGTCGTCTGGCGATAGAGATCACATCCACCATGACGAGCTCCACAATCTCAATTGACCTAGGACGAAAAGTCTGAATCAAGTTATGATTGCGAATGAAAGAGGGACTAGGCTCACAGCGTCAGCAAACACCGGTTCACAGCATAGATGATAAGCGCGTTCAGGAGGCGCCTCGTTCTGACCAGAATCCGCCAGGAATGAACCATCGACGCGGACTCAGGTTACCTTAGGGTGGCAAAGCGAGAGCTGTCATACAAAAGTATGCAAAGTGACACCGTAATCAGAACCTCAGCTGGTAGAACGGCACTCCCACCGGGTATTAGGGAGGAATTCTAGGAATGACCCATCAGTCGGTGCACCATTCTCTATTTACGGAACTACCCTAATCTGCGTAAGGGAACTGACGTCCTTATTGACGAACCTATACACGGATATCAGTAATTCAGTGAAAATGGTTGGACAGGTTGGGGTACATCAAAACAGTCGTCTCTGTTTCTTGGTTAGAATAGTGTTTCGTGGAAGAAAAGCACGAACCTACGCAAAACCCTGATGAAATATCGTCAAAATGCGTCACAAGCATGGTGGAGGGACTCACCGAAGTGAACTAGTACGAATAGCATCTATCACGGTCGTGTCACCGGATGATGTATTTGCTAAAGCAGATGTACTCACAATTGGGGCGGTCACAAACCACTTCACTTGGCGGCGACAGACTGAATGTCAATCAGCAAACACAAAGCCTGGACATTCTGGCTGAGTGTGACATACGGTAATGTATTTTATGTGCGAAGAAACTAGCAGCATTTGGTTGATGAGCGTAACCCACCAAAAAAATAGTCGCTTACCATTGAACTACGAAAACTGCGAGTGACTGCAACACACCTGAATTTTGGCATAAATGAACGTGAGGCGGAAGGGACTTACATCCATCAGAGCTAATGCCTAAGCAAGGAAATATTTGAATCAGTAGCTCGTAGAAAATAGGGTACGCGTACTGGGAGCGACCTGCCACATCTCATCAGTGGCAAGTAGTTGTGGAATGGGGAGGATGCGCACCAGACCAAATACTCCAAACTCGTCGGAACACCATAGTTGGTTATCTACAATGACTTAGCACAACAGTCACAACAAGTGGACGCATCAGTTTCACCAGGTAGTAGTACAAGTAGTGACATGCTAAATCACCCGTCAGCCATGCATTCAACTAGAAGTATCGAGTGCTCACTGAACAAGGCATGTAAGGTATCAAGAATCCTGCCCTCGTATGAGCAGATTTGACCAGTACCCCAAGGTGGTCTAACTCACCATAGGGCAGCAACCAGGAACTTCATGGTCGTGGCATCCCCGGAGTAGTGCATGTAATACATATATGTCTGTATAACTAGTCAGTGGAGCACTAGCTTGAACATTCCGTTTAGAACACCCCTGGAGTGTCGTTATGCCATACAACCTTGGCGCGTAACGTGGACATCAGGGGAGAGATGTGAAAAATCAAGCCGAACAATGCATACATAGCGGAGACCAACCCCCCGATGAGCGTAGAACCTATCGCGAACAAATGAGCAAATAAGACAGCGTTCGGCTATGACAGGTTTTTACCGAACACGCCGGAGATGTTCATACTGTTTGGGTACTTTGCACAAGGCGAATTCGTTGATGAACTTGCTGCAGGGGTGCTGAACTCGACGAAACGATCGAGCGTGGAGAAAGCGTACCAGTCCGGTAGTGAGACAGCCCCGCTTATTAAAGGTTGAAAGTTACCATCAGTATGAACAAGAGAACGTGCGTGGCCTCGAGCACCAGCATACTTCTCAAGGTAGACTAGATTGTCGAGGCGTCTGCTGTTTGATCTCGCCCCCAATGGCAACGGATATTCTTGTCATTGCTGTAGCACAGCCTATTCAGTCCTATATGGGCCTCGGTGGAGGGCACAACACATCGTCCCCGGAAAGTCTGAGACATAGCCAAAAAAAAAAAAGTTGGATGTGACGGTCTCATTTACCTACGAACTGCAAGCAGCGGACCTGAGGAAGGCGTTCGGAACGACTTCACAAGTCTAAAAAGCAGGATGTCGTGCGACCAAGAGGCAGCCATTTCATATCAGGAATAGCCTGTTTTGATTTGTAATATTGGGCATGTTGGCGTGTAAGATGATGCGGGGCCATCGCTGGCCACCATGGAAATAGAACTTAGGAATCATTTCATCACGGGCTACCCCCCGGCAACTTCTCGGCTCGCCCATCCGTTGCTAAGACGAATCTGCCGAATCGTGCGTCAGTCTGTCATGTCACGTGCATGAATTGGCGTGACCCGCCAATCATTAATCATTAATGGGTTCCCCGATTGGTATCCTGTCGTATCTGCTGGCAGATCGCGGCATCCTGCCAGTTCAGACACACCGTAAGCTACGCATTGTACCATTGCTCTTTCACCCACCTCCCTACCACCCAGGGTTCGGTCTCGTTTGCTAGTCTCACTTGTTGCCACACTAGGCAGTCGATTCTTGACCGCACTTCAATGAGAACCCTGCCCCTCCTCTCGGGAGTGAGTTCTTGTGTAAACCTCACATGCCCTCGTTCCAACGCGGGTTCCAGGAGGCCGCCTATAGCTAGCTCGTTAACTCTTACCTCGACTTTGTTCAGTGATGGGACTTGCCTCCACACACAGACGGCTCCAGTCCTCCAAGGTACGTCGCCCTTGATTGGTTTCGAGTTCGTCGAGACGTGGTGCCAACACTCGATGATAGAAAGAATTATGTTCATTCTGTTCCGTGTGGCTTCCCTGTCCGTGCCTTCAAGGCTCCAGCGTATCCAGAGGTGAAACTGACAAGGTCACGGGAATGTATTTGGTGCAATCCATACCAGCCCTGTCCCCAGAGCTTAAACCTAACCCCGAGTCTGACTATTATAACTGTCAGACTTCATCTGACGTTACAGAAAGTTACGTGGGTACCGTCCTCTGCACATCTGATTCACCAAACTCAATATGGGCGCCACCAAAGAGACATCTATCCGATCTGGGTAAACTCGCTCCCCTTGACAGTCCGCCTCTTTCGTTTTAGTGCTAGGGCAGGTAGGTGTTTATTTCACTGAGAGGCTTGTTCCCGATAGTGGCAATTACGAAAGTGCAAAAAAGTACATTTTGATTTTTGCATCCACTCTGAAAGATGGCCTTATCGGTCGTGGCAATTCCATGAGGCCACAGCGTTGCAATCCAAAATGTGGACAGGCACACACTTACGATCCAAAGCGCGCGCAATCGCAAATTGCATTGGAGCTCATTCCGTGACGTGCTATGAAAATTGATCCACCGTAGCCACGTTACCTGGCAAACGAAGGAAGGCACGGTTCAACCGTTGAGAGTGGACTTCACTGGTTCCCTTAAGTGTTGACCGACAAATAACTCTGCTATCCAGAGCCAGCTGTGGCGGAACGACGGGTAGTACGAGCCTCCATTGCCAGATAAACCTTACCCCCTTGACTTGGACAACCACCCGGAGTTGAATGTTGAGGGTTGGCAAAACGAGGATGGCATCCCAGTCGATCTCGACCGCTGACTAATGCCCAAAATGCCTCTCCACAACATTTTCAAATGAACAAACTATGTATCGTCCCGAGGAAGATGTAGTTGCCAATGACATGGTGGACCCTGTGCTGAAGAACAAGTCCACCTGCGCCGGATTGGCTTTAGATTAGGAATCGGGTAGTGCGGGTTGATGTGCTAACCCCCCTCCCCCTCGAACAGTGAATCTAGCGGTATGGCCGAAGTGCGCAAGGAATATGGTAGACCGTTGAGAAACCCAGTGGGGCATCCACACAGGAGAGCTGGCGGTAGTTAATCAGTGGATAGGACAGTGTGACGTAGGCAAAAATCATTCTCTACTAACTCCTTTCGCCATATTCACATATGGATCGGGCCATCACGTTCGTTCTACCGGCTGCCCTCACCGCCTCCAGCTTCTGTGACGGTTGGCTGGATCGGATTCCCTATGAAGTAGTGCAGCTATGTGCCACCCCACGAACGCTGTGCTAGCGGATACGCCGAGAGGGAATGAACGCTTTCTGTTGTGCCTTTGGTCTGCCTGATAGCATATCATAACACGACCAGACATCCATCCCCGAAAGCCGATCCAGGACAGCTCGAAAGGCACTTGGTGGCCATGCATGCGTATTCCCAACCATCAGGTCTACTCTCACGGAGCGATACCAGTTCCGCAAAAACGAGACCATCGGTGAGACTCAACCGTGAATTAAAATTCTATCGCAGCCCTACTGCGGCTTCGCAAAACAAGGCGTAGGATAACTTGTAGTAGTATTAAATTAGTTCATGTCATAGCGAAAAGAACCGAAGCGCGGACGGAACGCGGAACTAGAATTTCGGTTCTCCTTCGCTTCGCAATGCTGTCGCCTTACCAAGCGCTGATACCGATAAGGGCACGTCACCCGAATGCTGCGGCAGGTTCCCGAGGTGGATAGTATTGATGTGTTCAGCTGACTCGGTTCCTGAGTGCTGGGATCGGAGGTATTGCCGAGTGTTCAGTGATGCTAGAAGCGAGTTGGCATATACTATTCGGTGGTGAGTGGTGGGTTATGTCCATCGCACGTAAGGCAAAGAAGACTGACACTTTCCAATCATGAAGTCCAATCCCATTGTCCAATCATCCTGCTGATTAACATTCTGAAGAAAGTGTGAGAGCAACAATCACCTTGAAATAGGTCGTGCGTACCACAGTGAACTCTGCAATGGTGACCAGTCTACCACCAATATTTTGGATCGAGTCAGGACCATAAATGAAACTGAGGGGAAACTTACGATGTCAACAAACACCTGTTAACAGCATATATGATAAGTGTTTGGAAGAGACGCTTCGTTCTAGAGCAGGGTTAATTAGAGATAACCACGGATGTGGAATGGTGTTACCTTGGGAATGCAGAGCGAGAGCGACTGTCGTGGAAAAGTACGCAAAGTGATATCGTGATCAGTGCCTCAACGAGTGCGACGATGGCCAAAGCGGGTAACACGGCAGAAAACTAGGGACGACAAGTAAGCTGGTGCACCAACGTCTCTCTAAACGGAAGTACCCTAATCTGCGTAAGGATGTCAACATCACGATTGACGAACCTGTGCACAGAAATCAGTATTTCCGTAAAAATAGATGGGCAGGTTGGAGCACATCATAATGACCGCTTCTGCTTTTTGATGAGAATAAGTCTTCTGTGGTGGAAAAACAGCACAAACCCAAGGCAGGTCCTGTTGAAATATCGTTATCAACGCCTCGTAAAATGAGAAAAAAACTCACCCAAGTGAACCAGAACTAATAGTATCTATCGTGACCACATCACTGAATGATAACTTTTCCATGAGCATCAGCAAATATACTTACAATTGGGCCAGCCACCAACCACTTCTTTTGAGGACGACAAACTGGATGCCGATCACCAAACGTCTCGAAAAGTAGCTCAAGCGTGACGTACGGCAAGATATTGTGTGGGCAAAGAAGCTAGTGACATCTGATATATGAGCGTGAAGCCATAATAGATAGTTACCTACCATTGAACTATAGAAATCACGAGTACCTGGAACACAACTAAATCTTGTCATAAACAGTCTTGAGAGAAAGAAACGCACATTGATTAGAAGTGACGTCTAGGCGGAGAAAACATCGTAAGTCAGTCTCTCGTTGAAGATTCGGCTCACATACTGGGAATGTCCTGTATCATCTCATCAGTGGGGAGCAGTTGTGAGATGCAAAGGCATACGAACCAGACCATATACTCCAAACTCGTCAAAACGCCATAATTGGTTATCTGCAGCGATTGAGCATGACTCATGGCTATCGCAACGAGGAGACATAGCAGTTTCACCAGGTAGTAATATAATGCGTGACACACTAATCGACTATTAGCCATCCATTCACCTGTAAATACCAAGTACTCACTGCATGAGAGATGTAGCGTATCAAGAATCCTGTTTTCGGATGAGCAAATGTGACAGGTGCCCCAAAGCAGGATAACACACCATATGGCAGCAACAAGGAACTTCACGGTTGAAGCATCCCCAGAGTAGTGCATGAAATATATATAGGTCTGTATAAACCAGTAAGTGGAACCCTAGCCTAAACGTTCCCTTGAAAACGCCCCTGGAAAGTCGTCGTGCCATATAACCTTGATAAGGAACAAGGAAATCAGAGAAGAGATGTAACAAAATCATGGAAACCAATACATACATGGCAGAGACCAACCCCCCCATGAGAATAGAGCCTATTGAGAACAGATGAGCAGAAAAAAACGTGTTTGGCTATGAAGATCTTCACCGAATGCGCCCGGGACACCCATGTCGATTGCGTAACTTGTATAGTACGGGAAACTCGTCGATTAACCCGCCGAGGGGTGTGGACTGCCAGAAGCGATCGAGCGTGGAGAGGTCGTATCAATATGACGGTGGAGAAACCCAACCCTGTTTTTTAACGAGAGGGGCTTCATTTGTATGATGGGACAGTACGTGCTACCGAAGCATGTTCTTGATTTAGTATCCGATGATGCGGCCAACGCTGTGTCTCATTTAGGCTCTGCGTTTCTGTGGTGCTAGCAGCACCACTAGTGCTGCTGCTCCTGTGATCCGCTTGGAATTTCAGTATATCAGTGGGAAGAGATAACAATGACTTCCACTAACTGAAACATTTGTGTCAAACTCGGAAGCTGAAGCGAAATGACCGGTTGTGCCGTGCTCCTCCATAGTGAACATTGAACTTTAACGACCGGTAACAATAAGTCCATGATCAAATCCTGGGAACCTAAGAACATCACAGCCTTGGTTTGATCTTCCTTTGATGAAGTTCTTGACGACTTCCATGTTTCAAATACATTATCACCATCAGCGAGGCCAACTTCAATGAGTATTATGATGCGTCCAAATCGAGTGTCCATTCTAGCCTGAGTTGGAATCTCCTTCACCACACTGTGAGCGCCATCGCCGTGAACACCATTTCCCTCGACATCACCGTGTGCAGAGTCCTGGAAGTTCGTCCTTGCAACTTCGCATGTGGACCGTCTCTGCAGACTCTCCGGATCCGACTAACCCACTCAGTCGCATCTGGCAGTTTACCCGTGGCACCACGCTGTACCCCTCTGATATCTTTCGGACGATAGCACTCCGGTTTTAGCTCATACACCATGTCGCAAATTTATTTGGTCCATTGTCACGTGCCCCCATTGTAAGTAGCATGTAATGGACCACTTGCCATCATAATGGTCAGGTTTGGCTAGATTATAGCAAATACGTGATATTTTATCTAAGATATAGTGCAAATGTGTAAAATATTATGTACAAATACCCATTTTTGGCAATCTTTCAATGACACATAGGTGGCATTGGCATAGCTTATAACGGAAGTGTGAACAGCCACCCTTAACATGTATTATAAGGTTCTTATCACATGCCCAAGAAATTTGCGACACATCATGTAGATGGGACAAAAGTTCTGCACCATTTCTCCTGGGTCCCACTAACTATCTAATCAGAAGATACTCCATTATGTCCTCGCCATATCCTATCGTCCAATGGCATCTGGGTTACCAAAGAGCCTGACTTTCTTTGGAATTGCTTGTCCTGACTTGGTAGCATCCTGTCACTTCTACACCATGTGATGTGGGTGGTGAGTACTTGAGGTTTCCGTGTGACCACAACGCAGAAACCTAGAATATGAAAATCCGCACGCTTACAATCCCAGACTCATGCAGTCACAAATTGCATTGGGTTCCTGTTCCATGAGGGGCGAGTGTAGACCAACCCGTGTGAGAATTGGTCTACTCTAGTCTAGTAGGCTACCTTTTGTCATGGAGCTGATATCGTCTTATCACAGCAGATGTACATGTAGAGAATTCTAGTCACAGGTGTGGTCTTGGATAGGATTCTGATCAGATGACAGTTAGCTGCGCTACTTCATGGAGAATTCCAGATGGACAGTCACCACCGAGAGTCTTTCACTGAGGAAAACCAGACCAGCCTCATCAGGAAATTAACACTTTACTATTTTTGACCTTTTTGTGACTATTTGTGACTTTTTGGGAAGGAACCTACTATCTGTACTTTTTTTTGACCATATACAGCATTTTGAAGAATGAAAAGAGAACAGAATCTATTGAGACAACTAAGTGATGATATATCTAAGCCAAGAAGACTAGAAAATGTCTGAAAATTCAGAGATATTGAGCCATTGGTGCGATGCACACTGTCTGAGAGAAAAATCACAATATCTCTTTGGAACCTCCATCAATTTGAATGTATGTGGTATCTACTGAAAGCTATGAATTAGGTGGTTTGAACAAGACCAAAATCAGCAAGAAAAGTGCAGCCATGCCTGCAGGACATGGGTAATGATAGTGGATTCCTTCCCAAAAAGTCACATTAGTCACAAAAAGTCAAAAATAGTAAAGTGTTATTTTCCTGATGAGTACTGGCTTCTGCAAGCATGAAACTTACTATAGATCATAGCCTTGTCATAGCTTCATAGGGCAAGTGGAGCAACTTGCAGGTTAGGGATATTTCATACCAGAATTTTGCAGTGTTTTACAAACACAGCATGGAACTATGGGAATTATACCTCTCCTCCTTGCAGTGCTGCAGTCTCATCAAGCAGAGTCAGTGGTAGTATTGATAACAGCCATCTCAGGCCTGTCAAACTGCCTTCCTCCATCCTTAAAGCTCTTGACATCCCCAAGAAACTTGGGTGGATTCATGAAGTGGATAGCACTGATGCATAGATCTGACAGGGTACCTGCATCCCAGGATCAAAGGTACTCCTGGGAGTTCAGCAATGCTAGAAGCAAGTTGGCATATACTATTCAATAGTAAGATGGAGTGTGTTCTGTACATTTCTTGCAGGGCAAGGAAGACTGACATTTTCCAATGGTGAAGTCCAATCCCACTGCCCATGTATCTTGGTTAACAACAGTCTGAAGGAAGTATTAGAGTGACATAGCTGTGGTGCAATATGCCATACATATGGTGACAAGCTTGGCAAGGGTAACTAGTCTAATGAAAATCATGCATCAAGGTATGGTTACAAATGAAAGAGGGAGGGATCAGCTCACAAAGTCAGCAAACACTGGTTAACAGCATAGATGATGAGTGTGTTTAGGAGGCACTTCATTCTAAAGCAAGCTTCATTGGGAAAGAACCACCAAGGTTGGCAGGAGTCACCTTGGGAATACAGAGCAAGAGCTACCATCATAGAAAAGTATGCAGAGTGACACTGCAATCAAAACCTCAGCTATTGCAGCAGCAGCCATGGAAAGTGTTATGGCATAAACCTAGAAATGAAGAGTGAGCCAGTGGGCTAATTTCTCCCTTAACAGAACCACCCTAACCTGCAGGATGGTGTGCTTATGATTGATGAACCTATGCACTGATATCAGTATTACTGTGATGATGGTTGGATAGATTGGAGTACAAAAGAACAACAGCTTCTGTGTCTGATCAGAGTAGGTCAGTCATGGTGGAAGCAAGGTATGGACCTACACTGCACCCTATTAAATTATCATTATACTGTAAATGCCTCAAGAGGAACCAAAAATTCACCAAAATGAGCAACAATAAATAGCATCTGTCATGCTTGCATCACTGGATCATGGCTTTTCCATCACAAGAAAAACAGACTCACAATGGGGGTGGTTACTAACCACCTTATTTGAGGGCAACAAACTAGATTCCAATCAACAACATCTTGATAGTTGGGTTTATTAGCACCTACAGTAATATATTTGATGTGAAAAGAAGCTGGTAGCATTCAGTTTATGAGCACCAACTCACCATGAATACTCACTTACCATTGAACTACAAAAACCACAAGTCCCTCTAATACCATTAAATCTTGACACAGATGGTTTTAGGATGAAGGGAACATACATTCACCAGACTCAATGCCTCAACAGAGAAACATTCTAAAATAGTGCCTAGTAGAAAATTGGGTATGCATACTGAGAATGACCTGCAATATCTCATCAGGGGGAAGCTGCTTCATGTTACGCCTTGTTCAGGGACCTTTCCTTTTTTGACTTGTTGTGGTCACGTGTGTCACGTGCCTCATCACATCCCTCATAATTGTTGCCATTCTAGGGGCTCGCATGTTCCAAGGGTCTTTCAGATCTCCAGTTGTCAAGGTATTTCCAATACCTGTTGAGACTGCACCTCCTTTGTGATCTGGTATCCCACCACCCTCTCTGATGGACGACATGTTCCCTTCTTGTTCCAGTGACTCGTTTATAATGCCTGTATGTTATACTATAGCTCCAGTGTCAGGCTCCTCACTGTGCATTGATTGTGCAGTTGGCATAGCCTTCATTCCCCTGCCTACCCCTATCATGTGGCACCATATGACTCCCCCTTCTTTATTTATTTGACTGATTGTTTTGTTGACTACTGTGGATATGTGTTGTGACATGTCATGTCACAACTGGTATGGTACTCATACTTAGGGGTATATAAACCTATGTACTTTACCTTGTATCCTCAGTTTTTTGATAGGTTGCAACTCAGCTAACTTCCTTCTCTTTCATCCTTGATTCCTCCTCCATGTGATCTCAGAAGAACTCACCAGAAGGAGCAAACCTCTGCTGGACCTCAGAGATAACTGAGCCATAGGTGTTACGACACATTTGGCCCATAGACTCCCCCTTGTGCACTTCATGCCTATTCCATTTGAAGAAGTCACTGTGCTTGGGCATAACAAAATTGAAAAACTCTGTGCAGCTTTCAGGACTTGTCAACCTCTTTGCACAAAGTCTACTTGTCCCTGGTTACTGAACTTCAACAAACCAATCCACACCACACACAAGGCTCGTTGCTCTCCCTATGCATAAAGACTGACTTGCCTTCATCTTGCTTCTTCGAGTAGCAAGATCGAGAAGCATCCCTCTACCCTCAATCAAAGCCACTGCTCTACAGGCAGCCACTAGGCTTTAATAGATCACCTCCCTAGAGTCTGCGCTTGTGTCTCCCTACATGTAAAGCCACTCGTGCAACCACAACCCCCCATGCTGACAGGTCTCTTTCAAGAAATAATTCCTCCCTCAGCCTTCATTTGCACTATCCATAAAAGTGTCTAACCTGCAGAAGTTGAAACTGCCAGTCCCTCCTCATCCAAACCCACTCGGACTCAGACGAAATCCTCCCTTATCACCTATACCTTTAGGATGACTCGGTCCTTCAGTTACTGCAACAAATCCCTGGTTATCTTATTTATCCTGGTTTAGGGATTCAGAAGTTGTGCTTAGTTCAGAAGAAGAAGACAATCAGAAGTCTGAGACTTCTTTTGGATCAGTCCTCAAGGAAGAACAAGAAGCTCGCAATCAAGAAAATATGTCTATGACTATTGGTCATGGAGAGTTGGTTCCTGAAATGCCCCTGAGGACCATTTCAGAAGAGGAACTGAGACAGAGGTTGGAAGAACAAAGAGTTGCTATGGTGGAGGAGCTCCACCAGGCTATGCATGCAAGTACTAGCAACCCATTCCCAACAGGTATGCCTATGGACTTGGCCCTACGAGACTGGTATTGTTGAAACTTCAGAAAGGTAATTCCCCCAGAGGTCCCCATTAGTGGGTCCAGTAAGGGTAAGGCCCCAGCTGATGATGATGACTCGTATGGAAGCTGCCCACCCAATGGAGGTTGAGAGTTTAATGTTGGGCATCCTGGAGAAT